TTTTTTGACCGAAAACCAAACATCCAAATACCAACCTTTTAATATCTTAATTAGCGTTCAGCTATGGCAATATCGGCGGATAAAAGCTGCGAAATTAGTCCGAGCCTCCGAAAGACTAATCCCACTCGTCTTTGTATCGGGTGCATTTCGAGATGAAACTTGGGATTTAGCACCAGAGCGTATAACGAGCTGAATTATTTAATTAGTCGGCGAAAGAGTAATTAGCGAACGCCGGACGTCATTTCTAATTCACGACGCCGACGTTTTTTGGGCGCGGGATTAGTGCGATAAGTTTCCTTTGTTGGGCAGATCAAGGCCTCTAAATATTTACAAACTAGACGTTAGTTAATTTTGGCTTATTTTCAGGTCTTAATTTTGTTGAAGTGGGTGAATCCGTTCTTAAAACACAGATATATTTTCTTCAAAAAAGTTTTTTTGGATATTTCGCCACTGTAAAAAAATCTACAAAATAAAATAGTTATTTTTTGGAAACACCGCTGGCGTTAATCCAACGGAGACCAAATTGTCAGGGTATTTTACCAATAAAACAAATATGCCTAATCGAAAAAAAAATAACGTTTCAGCAGAGCTGCAAACTCACAGAAGAAGAAAGAAAAAGTTAAAAAACTTAAGAAAAACTTAAGTCTTTTTTTGATTTAAATCATTTTAATGACTTAAGTCATTTTTCGAAAGCTGACTTAAGACTTAAAATTTAAGTCTTTTTCAAAATGATATATGATTTAAATCTTTATTCGGAAATAGAAAAAGATCTTTTTTGAACAGACTTAAGTCATTAAAAAGATTTAAATCTATATACTAATATATAAAATCCTTAAGTGACTGACATACTGATTAATCACGATCCTGCTCAAACCACTCAACGTAAGAAGCTCAATTTTGGCACACAGGTTGATTCTAGGGTGTAGAGGTTCGATAAGAAGGGATTTTTCGAAATTCCAGTTCCAAGAGGAAACCACCCCTCAAATATTACAATATTTTTTATTTAAAAAACGGTCAAGTTTCCGAAAAAAACGCTTAAACACGTATATTTTTTTTGTTTTTTTACATATTTTAAGATTTTTTAAAAATGTATACAAGGTGTTTCGAAAAATCTGGTCATTGCTTAATCACGATCCTGCTTAAAGCGCTTGACGTAAAAAGCTGCTTATTTAAATGGTTTTGTCCACACAGACACACTTTACAAGATGGCTCCGTATTCCGGAAAAGTTCTATATCAGGATCCCTGTTTAAGATTTCTACTCCAAACCTTTTACAAAATGTGTTTAATGGTAGTTTGCGTTTCAAAAATATTTTTATAGATATACAGGGTAAGTCAAATATATATCTTGTTAGTTCAGTAAATTTGCTATAAAATACCGGTTCCAAAAATATATTAATACCATAGAGTATACTAAGTAGTTTTTGAATTATGACCACGTCCATGAGGACGTCAATCTAGACGTCCAGGAACCTTCGTATGAGAACTTCTAATCGAGACGATCGACTTATTGTAAGTTTAACGCTAAGAAACCGCCGTTTGCCAGCTTTTCAAATTGATAATGAATTGCACTTCAGAAACGTACATATTAACTAACGGACTATAAGAAGATTAAATGAAGCAAATCTAATGTCAAGAAGGCCTGCTTCGGGACCAGAACTTATTAGATGTGTTGAGTAGGCCCAAAAGCAAAGGCATGGTCTTAATGTCAAAATTACGAAGAAATGTTAGTGTCTTCTTCAAAAGCGAATATTTCTAACAAAAATAAAGCTAATGAGATGAACCAAAAAACAAACCATCGAGAAAGGATGTATTTAGATGATAAAATGGTTTTTCAAATTTCTTGCTGTTTTAACATATTCCACAGGGTGTTTCAAACTTTCACCAAAATATCAACATTTTGTTTTCCCTCGTATAATTAACAGATGGGGAGTTTCATTTTTAATATAGAAAAAGATACTAAAAAGTCAAATAATATGGCTACACACTGCTTAAAAAATCATCAAAATCGGCCCATTAAAACAAAATATATTAACCTTTAAAATACATCAAAGTTTTAAGGTGCCCATTTTTCGTGCCGGTGAATGTATTTCAAAAACTATACCTTATAGGCATAAACTTTTCTAATGAAACAAACCTTTATTTATTTACTAGAATCCAAAAATCAATTAATATATAGGGTGTTCCATTACAAAAAATATAACTTTGATGTGTAACTTTTTTTGGGGACACCCTGTAGAACTATGCATAATTTTAGAAAATACTTTAAATTGACTTACATAAGCTCACAAAACTTCACTTCAATACAAACTTTTGTTCTCCTTGCAAAAACCGCGTCGTATATATGACGCGCCACCCTGTATAATTTGATTTCAATCAAAATTTCAATGATTAGAATATAAGTAGAATAGGTATAGCTTATGCATTAGATTTATTTATTTCAATAAATTTACTTAGAAAAAGAATTAAAAAAATCAAAACATTAAAAAAGAAATAATTAAGAATTTACTAAAATTACTAAAATAAAAAATTAAAAGCAACGAAAAAAAATGGGTAAACATTTTAGTATTTTATCTATAAAACACACACAGAATGTTCCACATTAATACATTCACAGTAATTGAATTCCGAGGTAAAAGTCTCTGGGACTCTGGGCACTCCACTAATGGTTTTAATTTCAACTCGTTATCTGGATTATTATTAATATAAAAATTGAAGTTTATTTTGAGTTTGCTTTTAAAACCGTTCGATCGAAAAGATGTAGAAAAAAACTACCAAAAAGAACAAAAGCGATATTATTAAAAAATATATAAAGCCCTTAATATAACCCATGTATGAAGTACTGTAAGAATATAACAATGGATTTTAGATTGATTTGCCCCTGCATCGCTTTCACCACTTCACTACAAATCACTTTAGAAAAAGAGCGTTCCGACGGCTGGCATTAAATTGAATCTGAGCCATTTTCGACCCTTCAGTTCCCTGAAAGCGCTTGATTCCATCATATCACTTTAACTTTATAAAACTGGTTTTAACTCTGTTCCTAACTTCGTGCATTTGCTATTTTGTTAAACGTTGTAAAATTGCTACAATTTTATTTTGCGGTTTTCGAAATAATAGAATTACAGATTCGACATATGAAAATTTTAAAAAACCCTACATATATTAGTGTAAGAAAATCTAGGAACTATCTATATTAGTGTATATAACTTTGGAACATCGAATTTTACAAATAAAGTACCCATCATGTGAGATTTTCTTTTTTAATTGGATTAGGTAAAATTTTACTTTGCTTATAATTGGGTTAAAAATATATAATAAAACTGAGGTGTTGCTCTTGATAGCACAGGATTATTAAGCTGTCTCGTTGAGCAAAATGCCCTAAGCTGAATTTTTGTGGATAGTTAGTCATTGTGGTCCAGGTTAACATACTAAAAGTCCCCACCTCTCCGGGCGTGCAAACCATCCCTAAAGGTACAATTTTTTTTTGTTTTTGCTAAATATCTCCGTTACAATCAATTTTATTAAAACATTGATAGTTATCAAAATTATTGCTTATAAAATTACCTACAAAGCAGTACAACCTACAATCTTTTTTTAAATACTTGTGCGCCACTGGCAAAAATATTTTTCTTCTTAATTAAACATTTTATAATTTATTAATATTTTAAAAAAATATTTACCTAATTATTTTGTTAATAAACGATGAATTTGGCCATCGTAATAAATTTAATAAATTTAAGCGCACGGTGCACGCCACTGGTTTCATAAAATAATACACTTATAAACAATAATTTTGATAATTATCAATGTTAAAATATGTTCCTGAAATACATCCTAACGCATACTTTAGGTTGGCACTTACACAAAATTAAGTTTATATTATAGGAGCTATGAATCAGTACTATAAGAAACAGCGGCGAATGCAGGTTCTGCGTGGAAAATGGGGAAACACTACCTCATCACTGGGTACGCCGAAACGACAACCATTTGTACCACGAATTTTGGTACGACTGATATCTGAGATGGAGAACTAACCTCTCTAAAACCGTCTCAAGAACCGCCCTGAGACTGTATGATGAGTTACTGAAGAAAAAGGGACACAATTGATTTGTAAGGTCGCGGTGAGGTGATTAATCCTCCTCCCATACATTCTACCTATAGTTGGCGGAAATATAGAATTTTATGTATCAGAAATGATATTTGACAGTAAGCTTAATAAATTTTAAATAAATTAACGTTCGGGTTTATTTTTGATTGATGATGCCCTCTAACGGACAAACGAAGCACTTTTGTATAGAAATAAATTGTCGAATGAACTTACTTTGATTCCTAAAATACCTTGTAGTTCTATGTCCACGGAATATTGGAATACTCTGTATATCAATCTTCAGAAGGCAATTACATTTTTCTGATTACTACTTAATTAAGCATTTATTTCACTAAAATGTTAACATACCCTACTGGTCATCGAATTTATGTGGTCTGGATTTTAATGCGTGTGACTGTGACAGAATAATATAAACAACCGGTTGACAGACAGAGAGACAAAATCAAAAGCGGCATACAGTGTTGCCGGCTTTTTACGTTTGTAAGAAAATGTGTGTACAAAATATAAGCTATTTTAAAAACTTTCATGTATATTATACTACTGAAAATGATGATAATATATCTAAACTAAATATAATCTATAACAGCCGTAATAGTGAAAAATAAAGTTCCAACCGTAGATGCAACATTTTTCGTAAACGCCTACTTGTGCGGTTTAAAATTTTGATGCAAAATCCGGCAATACCACATAGAAGAAATATGTCGACCCAAATTTTATATCTTTTTAATACATTTGATTTTCCATTAAGCTGTCTACATCACTGTCTTACACGTTAAAATCCAGACCGCACAGTTTTGATGAGCAAATCGGTATATTTAATAACTACCTTTCATAAAATGACCCTTAAATGAAAGATACAGGCAATGTCCTGCACATGACAATAAAATCAAATTACTCTTTATAAAACTTTATTACATACAATATAAGACTTCATCTGAGCATTTAGAACTATATTATCTGAATATACATTAAATTTACATAGTAGTTCTAAATAGCATTAACAGTGGGATTTTTCACATTGCCAAAAAATAATCTGTCAGTCAATCATTCACTCAGAAAACTAGTGTATGTTGAAAGGAAGACGTTGAAGGAGTATGTAGGATATTTACTTTACTTTTTTATAAATTAATATTAGGTATTATAAAAACAATTAACAGATATATTAATAATTATACTAAAATATAATGGTTTTCTAATAACTTAAAATATATTATAAATTATGTAACTACATATTTAAATAGTTATAACACACGAGATAAAATTGCTTAAACCAAAAAGATTCAATTACATTTTTGACATAAAATTTCAAAAGAAAAAAACTTTTACACTTAATTCATATAAAAAATTGATTTTTATAACCAATAAAAATTAATCATATCATAAAAAAATATATAAATTAATTAAACAAAACAGAATTAGGATCCTCATTATCCATTTGCTTTACATGTCTAAGAACATCTTTTTTCGTTATCACACCTAACAATCTCCTGAAATAAGAAAGTTCGATAAATTAAAAAAATCCAACTAAAACACTAAAGAACATTGTACTGTCTGTTAAGCGATCATTCATCGTCACGAACTCTCTAACAATTTTTAATTCTGACTTTTTGATTTTTAATTTTCTGCGCCATATATGCTTTAGATTATATGTTAAAGTTAATATTATTCTTCTAGTTTTAACTACATTTAAAGTACATATATGTATCAGATAAAATCTGGTATAGCGGATAAATCTTGCGTTCCTCAACATATTGTTAATAGCTACAAAATGTGCGAGCATCTCGGCCAATCAGATCGGTTGAATCCGGAATGTTATGGTTAATTTAACCATAATAATATATATAGTAATAATAATATAATATAATATATAATAATTATTTATGTTATGTTATGGTTTTATTATAGACAGAATGAAGGAAATTAGTTTAATTAGATAAATATACATTTCACAATAAGAACTACGTTAAGATACTTAGCATATATAGAGGGTGAGTCTTAAATAAGTGCAAATATTTGCAGGGCTGGTAGATCTCGACAAAAGAAACATATTTTCTCTTTACCGTTTTTCAAGTAAATCTAAAATAACCGAGATACTTGACTTTGAAAATTTCCAAAAAAAAATGGCGCCGGGAGGCACGTATAGCCGCTCATACTAAAATATGTTATAATAATAAAAAGTTGGTAGGCAGTTCTTTTAGTTTCAAAGTAAAGGAATTTTTCCAATTTTTTTTATCTCAAAAACTGCGACTTTGACTGATTTTGATGTTATTACAAATTTTGCTGCAAATATTATTCTTAATCTTAAATTGAAAACCGCGTTTCGCTAGCTACTGTAATTTTGAAGTTTAAGATTTTTCTAAATTTTTAACACCCTCCCATACCCCCTTACCAACCCCCCAGTCCCACCAAAAACTAATGGCTAATTCTCGGGTGCCACAGTATTTTTGTGCCAAATTTGATTAAAATCGGTTTAGCGGTTTTTGAGTTATCGTGTTACAGACGGACAGACAGGCAGACACCATGAAAATATTTTGTATGTAGGTGATTTATGACCCAAATAACTCATTTTGAGTGAAATTAAAAAAACTTTTTTACCGATCTTAATAGCTAAATTTTGAGAACCACTGGATGGATCTTTTCTGGATTTTCTTTCTTGTAAATTTAATATACTACCTATGTTGCAATATTATCAACAAATTATATTTTTAACTAAAAGCTAAAAAAAATCCAAAATTTTTTTCAAAAAACTCAAATTTTTAAAATTATTTTTTCGCGAAAAAAAACTCATCGTGTTTCTGGGGTCGAAATATACTACCCCTAAAAATATTTGCACTTATTTAAGACTCGCCCTGTATAATTATGTATGCTGAAATGACCTAAAAATAATTTCAATTTAAAAGTAATATCGAGCAATTTTGCTGTTCTATCATTAAACGTGACAACATGGTTTTTTTTGCTTGCAATCCTCTTGCTGTTTAACATCCGTTTGTCAGATAATAGATCTAAATAAGTTAGATATAAACATAAAGCAATAGTACAAAAATTAGTAGATTTTTTTGCTCTCCAATTATTTGTAATTCTTATTAGAATACATACCCATTATGAGTGACTAGAGTTTGTCTCAATCCCAACTTTCTAAACATATCCACTACAGTTTCCATTGGTGTTTGATCAGTAATTGTTATCGGCGCCATGTCTAATATTTTCTTCAGTTTTAGCGGTGGAGGACCTAAAGACTGCGGTGGATTGCCGCCAGTAAATAAAACCAATGATTGACCACAAATACCATCTACCAGTCGTTTTGCGTTAGCTAAAATTAATATCATGGAAATAATACATAATAAAACATTTAGCTGCAGTAAGTGTTGGTATATTTCACTGAGGAATAAGAGAGTGCACCAAGCCTATAGAGTACAAGAGAGGACAAAAGTGTATTGTAAACCTTCAATTTTTGTATAAATATAGAAACTAAAAGAGATTATTTTTAAAGCTATGCAAAACATGTCTTCTAGCGATCTATACACAGTCCCTAAGCAAAGGTAAAGGTCTTAAAATTCGCCAAAATCGCCATTAAAGAAAATTTTTAAATATGCTTAAATATTTTAGAAAACCGCTTTAACCACAATAAAAATAAAAAAGCTTACCAATAGCTAAATTAAGATCCCGTCTTAAAACAAATCCTACTAAATACTGTGATTCCCTTGAAACGACCACTGGGTAACCATTGTGTTCTGTATCTTTTAAAAGTGCTTCAATGTCGTCTACTGTCATCGAATCCTGGGTTATTACACTTAGTGTTTCATTGCGCCTAAAAATGTTTTTAAGTGAAGAAAAATTATAAAAGCAAACATTTCGTACACTTTCATGATAGTGTTGTTATTAATTTATATATTTAAATTTACATATTGAAAGTTTTTTTATCTACCGATAGAGTCATCGTAAAAACGTGGTCTGGATTTTAACGTGTAACACAGTGATGTAGACAGCTTAATAAAAAATCAAGTGTATTAAAAAGAGATAAAAGTTGGGTTGATAATTTCTTCTGTGCGGTATTGCCGGATTTTGCAACAAAATTTCAAACCGCACAAGTGTTTACGAAAAATGTTACATCTATGGTCGGAACTTAACTATCTTATATTTATTTAATATTTATCTTTAGGATATATAATTTATATCGAGGCCACTTACTTCGGTTGCATGACATCAGCAGCTAAGCTAGTATGCTGAAATTCATCTTTTGAATCCAAAAAGGGATATCCATTAAGGGCAATGTGAGCATCATAGATCCCTTGCCTGCCTAGAGCATCTCCTACCCATTTGCTTGCCATAGCTGCCGCCATCAAAGGGACGATATATCGGACACCTCCCGTTAGTTCAAACATTATAACGACTAAAGAAACTGTCATCCGGGTGACCCCACCCAGAACAGCAGCCGCACCTACCATTGCATATAATCTAAAAATAAACCGAACGCTATTCTCAACTTACTATATAACTCGGTCGAAGAACTGGCCATAATGAAGAAGAAGAGATTTAAACGCATCTTCAGGAAAAGCTTTTCCTTTATATGCATTAAAATTGCAGAGCTCGAGGAATTTAAAATCATTTAAACCGTTAAATCTACAGTTTATTTGAGAGTGGCCATAAATATAACGAAAATTGACTCAAAATACCAAGTGTGGGTTACCAAATTAATCTTAAAAAAAATATTTTTTTTATTAATATGCTAATGAGGCATCCTCGCGTTCCATTTGAAAAAAAAATGAGTTATTATTAAAAATACGATTTGGCATCTTTTAACCGGCCAGGACAAAACGCGAAAAACATTAAACGATCAAATCCATTTCTCCTTGATTAAAAATTAGAGTTTTTAACAGTCATAGCACTCTAGATTGAAATATAAAATACGATTTTTTTAAGCGTAAATGTCAAAAGTTGTCAGACGAGAAGTCACTCTCAGTTGAGAGTCATTTTCAGTTGCAGTGATTTCCAGTAAAACAGGAAGTGACTGAAAACAATTAAATATGTCAATCATTCCTGATTTATGTGATATACTAGCGTACTAAATCTCATTTATTTATTTTAAAAAATAAAAAAGTTATAGAGCCATTTTTGAAAAACACTCGGTATAAAGAAATAAGAGTATAATAAATTGACGTGTTGTCATTATATCTAATTTACAGCGACGAACAACACGACTTTACTTACCCAGGCGTTATGCAATCATCTCCGCTGGAACATTCACCACTGAACAGCCAATTTTTGGGATAATTATAGGCCAGTTGTTCCATAAATATGCCCACTATTCTGCCAACAATTGCTCCCAGACAAAGAGATGGAATAAATAAACCACAAGGAACCTATAATATATTGCTGTGGTATTATATCTACACAATATAATGCCGTACGAAAAAAAACGGCGTCAAAGACGGCTGGGGAATGACAATTGATGATACTTGGCGCCATCAATTTCTAGACGTTGTTTATTACTATAAATTGACCACATGAAACTTGTCAAAAATTAACACTAATTATAGAAACATTAAAAAAGATAGAACGTTTCCATACACACAAATCTATTTCCAAAAAAATATTAGTATTATTATTATTTATATATTTATTATATAAACTACACCATTTAAAAATCATGTTTACGCAATATAAAAATAAACTACAACCTTCTTAAGGCCAACCGGCAATAAGAGTCATTAAAAGACAAAGAAGAGTACTGGCCAAGTAAATAATTATATTTAGGGCTTGTCCTCGCCAAAATTATCAACATCATTCCCAGCCGTCTTTGACACCTTTTCGTATGGTAAGACTACTACCACAGAATATCTAGCTACGCAACAGAAAAATACTCGAAATGAAAGAGCTAAAATTGCACAAATAGAATACTAGATGGCGCGACAATATCATAATCAGAATATAATTAGAAATTTTGAACTTTCGGTTTTGGATCGACGGCTCGTCGACGGCCTTATAGCTCGGCTAAATATGCACAGTTGCCAGATTCAAAAAGACTTGAATTGGCATCCCATTCTTTTTGTGTATAATGCCAGTATGTGTTTCTTTCTATTCTTCTTTTCTTGTCAGATACACTTATATTAATTATTCCTTTGGCTATTAAAATAGTTTTAAGTATATTATTACAAAACATATACATTTTTAATATACACTATACCTTATAATGTTAACTAAGAAAATACCTTTAATTACCTTTAAAATTAATAATATACAGGGCGATTGATAGTGATATTTATTAATGCTGGAACGTTAGTAATGAAATATGGAAATAATTTATTAAAATGCAGTACAAAAAATGTTAACTGACTAAAAAATACTATAATAACAAATTTCTTCCGTTTGCCACGTTATTTATATATTATATACCTCGGTAGATTTTAAAAAGTGACCCAGGTACAATTAATAATATATTAGTTCGGCATAAAAGTTGCTGTCACGACATCGAACAATAAATTAAAATTATTAATTAAACAAATCTTTATAAAGAAACGCAAGTATACCAAATTTGGGCCCAATTGAACTCCAGGAAATGATATCATAATAGTGTACTATATTATGGTACCACTCGATATACTTTAAGGTACCATAATATTGCAATGTCACCGAAGATCCGTAGTATACCAAATTTAAGAACAATCGAACGCCATGAAATGGTATCGTAATATGGTACTATATTAAGGTACCACTTTATATACATCATAGTTCAATCATATTACAATGTAACCGAAGATACGTAGTATACCAAGTTTGAGCCCAATCGAACGCCAGGAAATGGTATCGTAATATGGTACTATATTAAGGTACCACTTTATATGCATCATAGTACCATCATATTACAATGTCACCGAAAATACGTAGTATCCCAAGTTTAAGCCCAATCGAACGCCATATACGTAATATAGTACTATATTATAGTACCAGTTGATATGCTTCATGGTACCATAATAATGCAATGTCATCAAAAATACGCAAGTATATATCAAATATGAGCTCAATCGAACGCCAGGAAATGGTATTAAAATATGGTACTATATTAAGGTACCACTTTATATGCATTATAGAACCATCATATTACAATGTAACCGAAGATACGTAGTATAACAAGTTTAAGTCCAATCGAACGCCAGGAAATGGTATCGTAATATGGTACTATATTATGGTACCTCTTATTATGCTCCATGGTACCATAATATTACAATATCACCGAAGATACGTAGTATCCCAAATTTAAGCCCAATCGAACGCCATGTACATAATATGGTACTATATTATGGTACCAGATGATATGCCTAATAGTACCATCATATTACAATGTCACCGAAAATACGTAGTATAACAAGTTTAAGCCCTATTGCCGCTATGTACCTAATATTGCTATGTTATCAAATATGGTACTATAGAAGGTACCACTTTATATGCTCCATGGTACCATGATATTACAATGTCACTGAAGATATAGTATACCAAGTTTAAGCCCAATCGAACGCCATGTATCGTAATATAGTACTATATTATGGTATCACTTGATATGCTTCTGAAAAAAAACGGCGTCCAGTTGGCTGGAAAAGGACGATCGATGACATTTCCCATATAAATTTAAATATAAAATGACAGTGATATTCATTTCATAGCTATCGCTAACGCCGTTTTTTCCCGATTATACAATATGAACTCTATTATGAACACAATCGAACGTCAGGAAGTAGTATCATAATAGTAGAACAATACTTATTATATTGTCGCCGAATTACAATGAAAATTCAGGATTCAATTATACAATCAAACGTCAGGAAGTGATTGTAATTTAGCTCATAAGATTTCATTCCAACTAACATGGCAAACTGAAAAAAACAGCTCTGATCTATTTTAATATGTTTAAATGATGTAGCAAATTTGAAGGTAGGCTTTATCAGAAAGTATTACGATATGAATTACACAATGGCAACACTGCACAAAATTCTTTTAAATTTTGTTTCTAGAAAACTGTTTTCTTTTAAATTTATTGCCCTCTATTATGTAGTAGCGAAACTACCACATCAAAATATCTGATTTGGAGACAGACTTTTAAAGCCTGTCTCCTTTTGCTACCTACAATTTTATACATGTAACGAGGCTTCTGTTGCGTAGCTAGATATTCTGTGCTACTACTAATAATACCAATAATATCGTCTCCACCAAACACAAAATGGTCAAAAACTGATCTGGAAAACTTGAATATACTTACAAGATCAGAATTGACAAAACATAGGAAATTGCATCCAAACTCATGCAAAGAGAGGATTACAATAGACAGGAAGGATGGAGGTAGAGGATCAATAGATATCCATATACTCCATGCCAATCCAATAAGAAAAAGCCCTCGACTTGACAACATCCATATACAAGTAGTTCTTAGATAGATGAAGATAGAACTTAATATAATAGAACTTAACTTAATAATAAAGATAGAAGGATAAAATGTGGGATAGTCTGGGAGCGCACGCATGCGTTTACACACATGACTTGAGAACGCACACATTCGCGCTCAAGTCTGTACACAGCTTATGATTTAACATTGCAATCAGTGTAAAAGTAAAAGTGTTTTGGTGTATTGTGGTGATTTAGTGTTTTTATTTTGTTATGATTTAACGTTGAACAACTGCAGAAACTTTACCTTCATGCCAAAAGTAAATATGGTCATTCCCAATTTCAAAACCAGAGCAATGATTAACAGCCAAATAGCATTATATACTCCTGGACCAGCAGCTGCTAAATCTATCGCTGATTTGACGTTAGTAAAATTACGATTGTAGTCACTAAAAAATAAGTTTCTTTATCATAATTATTGTATTGAATAATCAGAAAATCAAGGTAATGATTGAAGTATTAAAGTTTTCAAAATGGCTTCTGTAAAGAAAAGAATATTTTTTATCAATGGATTGTCTATTTTAATATAAATTATCTTACATGTAGAAGAATCCATTATTGAAGGTAGCACACAATGTGAATTTAAAATAAACAGTCCAAAGACTAATTATTGTAGGCTAAGCCAACGAGAAACCTATTTACTAAACAAGTTTTAAAAAAAGAGTTATATTTTTATGGACTCTAGCTAGAATAAAAAACAAGTTTTGTATATCATAATAGTAGATACAAAACTTTAATATTGGTGGTCCAAATTGTAATCGCTTTTAACTTTAACTCTTTAACTTCCTCCCTCAAAAAATAATTCGCATGGCTACAGGCGCTTGGAAAAAAATAGCAATAAATAATCTCTTTATTGTCAACAAAATTCTACACAAAAAAAAAGAAAAAATAAGCCCCTGTAGTTACGAAACAAAGCAGAATCGGACCTATGTTGATATAATAAATAAAAATTGCTTTTAAAAACACCCTGCATTCCGGAATTTCTCAAATTCAGTGTAAGTTAATATTGCAAAAGGAGGTTCTAAGGCAAAATACCGTATGATCGAAAAAAAAGCGTCTAATTGACTTTAAAATGACGATCGATGACATTCCCCATATAATTTTTCATATAAAATGACAGCGATCTTCGTTTTATAGCCATCGCTAACGCCTTTTTTCGATCATATTGTACCTCTCCACATTTCACACTTTTTAAAACCTATTTAACACAGACAAATTTATTTAATATACATGTTGATATATTTATTTTAGATATTTTATTTAACTCACCAAATAGGATCTGAATTTGCAATGCCACATTGACTAAAAAGTAAATAAATAAGTTCACTAGTGTTCATTCTTGTGTACCGATTTGGAAATGCAATTAAAGCTGTTAATGCAGTAACAACTAAAACTTCAGTGACAGGATATTGTCCTAATTTTGAGTATTTTCTAAATCTACACCAATATATATTTGCTTTAATGAATACTGTTGCTATTACTCCCTAAAAAGAATACAATAATTATTATTATTGCTGGGAATAAATTATAAAGAATATAAATCTTACTCCAATAATTCCAAGTCCAATAAATGGTATTAATTCAAAGAATATCCAAGGTTTATTATATTCAACATAGAATAAAACAGAATGTTCATTTCCGAAAGGATTTATGGATCTTAAAATAAAAGCAGCTATCAGAGCACAAAAGAAAGACCTCCATAGCGTTTTCAGTGGAAAATAATAGCTAACCTAAAATAGTCGTTTAATGAAAATATATACAGGATGTCTCTTAAATAAGTGCAAGTATTTTAACTGGTAGTACAGTTCGACCCCAGAAACCATGAGGTTTTTATGCAAAAAAAAATGTTGAAAGTTTTATATTTTTCTTTTTAGATGGCCAAATACAAGTGGGTATTATATGGTGCTGTCAAGAATCGCAGTAAAATTAAGTGTTAAGTGTAGTGTTTCAGTTTTAGGTAAAGTGATAAAACACTCTAAGCTAATTACATCGATCTGCTATCTATCGGAGTCCCCTTTGTTGTGAGGTGGTTAGGTAAGTTTCTTACTTTTAATCTGAGTTTTGTAAGTCATTTTTAAATCTTTCTATTCGATGTGTCAACACCGGGCGTCGAACAAACTCAGATCCGGATAATTGCTTGGTATTTGCGGCTGATTGTCGATTGCTTGCTCTCAAAATGTTGCCATTATTTTTTTCAATTTCAAAAGTTAAATAACCCGGTTGTTATCAATTAATTTTAAAAAATGGTAAAGAGAAAATATGTTTCTTTTGGTCAGATCTACCACCCCTTAAAATATTTGCACTTATTTCTGAGACACCCTGTATATTTTTGGTTGCTTCATTGCATTACCTCTTCTAAACTAAAAAGTACACCACCAATAGGTGCTCCAAATGCAACAGATACGCCTGCTGCTGCAGATGCAGACAATATTTCTCTTTTCTTGGCTTCATTTCTTCCATATTTAGGAAAAAGATAAGATAAAATATTTCCTAAAAATAACGTCATATTTATTAGTAAAACCATCATATCAAAATAATTTTTACATATAATTAAAATGATATTAGATTTACTTGAATTTGACTTTGAAATTCGTTTTATTTGGTTTGAATTAAGAAGTTAAAAATTTTAGGTATTACAAAATATAGGCTTACCAATTGCACAAGCTATATGGACCATTGGTCCCTCTTTTCCTAAACTAAGTCCTGCTGACACTGATAAAATTAAACCAACACATTTGATTATTAAAGTCCATTTTCCTAAATATCCTCTGATTATAAAACCACTTAGAATTGTTTTAATCTATAACATTATAATTAAAAAACTTCTGTGGCAGCCATCAATTCATTAGATTTACCTCAGGAATACCAGATCCGCAAGCGTAAGGAGCAAACATTCTTACTAATGATGCGGACAAAGCAGCAAAAAGTAAAGCCCACATTGTATAAAATAAATAAGATATTATGTATGGTCCAGCTCCAAGTTTAGCTTGACCAAGTACCTCTGGCCAGGTTCTCCACTAAAATCAAAACAAAAATGTTAGACAAAAGAGCACTCAAAAGATAACTCTATTCAAATTTATATCTGAATTACTTCCTAAAAAAGATATAATGGGCCATTTATGTGAAATACTCACATATGTGTATAGTATGTACCTACATATATTTTTAACCCTGTATATATTTTTAAACATGAGCTCAAGGGCTCACATTGGGAACCTTCCACTGCGATTCTGAAGAGTCTATTGATAGCATATCCTACTGGCAACGCTCGGCTTTGGATCCATATTTCCGTATGTAAAACGAGTGCAATGCATTTATAATGTACTGAACAAAGAGAGAAGAGTAAAAACGCTACCATATGTATAAAATAAACTGGGAAAGCATCGGGAAATAAGCGTCTTTCGACCGCGATTTTACCCCACTAGACAGGGAAAGGCGCACCTGTATCTCCAATAAATATGGCAACGCCGCAACAGCACGTCGTCGCATTTTTCTCTCTCTCCTATACAATAAGATCCCCAAGTGATTCATTTCCACACACGTAAATACCGACCTAAGATCAAGACTTGCCAACGCGGTGTATGCATAGAAGCTAAGTATATATTCTTTAAAGTAGATATGTAGCTGTATCGATAAGTATAATTATGTAAATAGTAATAAGTACAACATACCTGGGTACAATTGCCAGTCTCGAAACTTGTTTCATTAGACCAACAACACTGTTCTCTGTTTAAATAAAAAGCTTGTAAACATATTCCAAATTTTAAATCCGTCATCCAACTAGCTCCAATATCGATAACGCCAGCCACAGCTCCTGTACATAAGCCAACTAAAAGAACGCACAGCCAGCCAGACCACGCATCATGGGCGCCTTCTACCAGATTCCATAAAGAGTCTTGTTTCTTTTTAACTATATACCTGAAAGTATCAAATAATTATCATTTAATATCATAATAGATAATTATTGATATGAGTTTATATTTAACAATAAAAATGTTTATTTCTTGCTGAAGTAATATAAGCTTATATCGTCTTGGTTATGCGATCATAAATAGAGTCATAACTCCCTTGGGACATTATTAACGGGAATTAAGATGCCATAATTCCCTCTACCATTTATAGATAACAACCATGAAATCAACAGAGATTTTGAGTAATAATATAAAGTGAAAATGGACACTCATATAACTATTCAATAAATAATTTATTTACATCATTAATGCCACATATAATAACTTTACAAGGGAACAGTTTCTACAGTATTTGTAGATGATATACTTTTTTAGAATTTAGAATTTAGAATGAGTGGGAGGGGGGTTAATCACTTCGACCTTACAGATCCATTGTGTCCCCCTTTCTTGAATCATAACTCATCATACAGTCCCAGGGCTTTGACAAAAGCCAGTATCTGGGACGGTTTTATAGAGGGTAGTTCATGATGATATACTACAAAATTATTGTAGCAGGGACAATATTTTTCAGTCGCAGCCACTAAAGGTATTTTTATATCCCTTTTGGTAAATAGATTCGCTTTTAGGTCGAAGTAACACTTGTGCTTCTTCAATTTTTTTTAATATTTCCTCCATTTTGATGGAAACGTAATCGAACGCGTGACGAATTCGTGCAAAATTTGACAAAAACTGAACTCGATTGACAACAGACCCTAGACATTCAGTAGTAATTTTATAAAACCACAAATTTAGTTTCTTTTGCATCGCCAGACAACGCAAAAAACATACAGGTACGGTTTCGTACAGGTTTTACGGTTACGTACAGGTTTCTAATTTATATATATGAAGATAACATGGGAGCCGCTGGCGCTGTGTTGACTGCCGTCTAGTTGTCAAAATATTGGTGACCGTCAAGTTTAATAATTTGAAGTTATTATTTAAATAATCATTAATTCATAATTTCCTGATTTGTCGGAAAGGTCGGCTGTTTGTGTTTGTGTTTTTAGTTTATGCATTTTGATATTTACTGGCGATTATCGTTTTCGTGTTAGATAATAAACTTTTTTTAAGACATTTTAAAAATAATAATAAAAATATATGAAAGAAAAAAAAATAGCTTAATCATAAATAAGTAAGTACACAGTTGGTAAAATATAGTATTTTAAGTAACAGTTAATTAGTAGTATATAATATTTTTACTATATTATAATTTATTGATCGTTATATCAAAAAAAATAGGCGGTATGTGCTATATTGTTGTGTTTAAAATGTATGTATTCAAGATTTTTTTTTCGACTATGTCACACTTCTAATGATTTAATAAAATATAAAATATGTAAAAAAGTCTATATTTATTATTTTATATTTTACAAAGAATAATTTCGAGCTTGAATAACGTTATCGTTTTGGTTAGCGTTAATAAGTAACGGAACGCTAAAATTATGTTATGCCAAAACTCTCCATTAGTTTCTTCCGGATCACCAGGTGGCTCTAAATGCATATATATGTTTTACTCAGTGTCCCATCTATCTCTAGTACATGACATTAGTCTATGAACTGCACTTCAATGTAAGGCGGTACATAGCCAGGTCACCTAGTATTTTATATTTATTTTTGTAGTTTTACCTATGTCTAGCACATTTATCTATGGGCTAGTATGTATATCTCTAACATTCCTCCATACAGGAGCATTGCGTTTTAAGATAAATATAGAATATTTTTGTGAAGAATACATTTTTCCGAAAATGTCAATACAATCCGGGGACATACTGTATTACGCAATTAGAATTTTAGATTGTAAATAGAGTATGTTTTCAACACTTACCTATGTCTCATTCGGTCTCTAGCAATATCCCTTTGCCAATCAATTGTATGAAAATCATCATACTGTCCAATTCCAGGTATATCTCCACCTGTTTCTATTAATATTGTTATATATAATATTTAGTATTATTAATATTTTATATTGTAATTTTTACCTGATACTCCTCCATAGGAAATGGAATCTAAGAATATAAATATAATTAAATTAAAAATAATTAGTAGTGGGCATTATTATATGTGTATATATGTAAATATGTACGGTAATCGCAAAACATTTTTCGATGCAGGTCATCAATCATATCGAAATTGACACTAAAGCCTACAAACTTAGCTAAATGAAATTTTGGCGAAAAAGTTTAGATAAATTTGTTGTATAGTTTCAGATACCGAGAAGCTCTTCATTTTACGATTGTAACAGATATTTCCTTTAGATTAAAGCTGCCAAAATTAGTTTCAAGCGATTTTTTTATCGCCATGTTCGTCACATTGCGCCGCGATCAGTAACGTTGTCGTTTATTATTTAACAATTATCATAATGTCAGTCATTATTTTGTATAATACCGTGTTGTTGTTGAATCTGTGTGAGTAATTCTCCTTTTTTTGCCGATTTTCATAATTTTTTTTAAAATTGTACTTTGAAAGCACAAACAGTTCTTTTAAGAACTAAATATTCGAGTTTTTGTATTGCATTTCTTGAAATTTGTGTGTTGAAAATATGCCCAAGCATTTAAACAGTCGAAGTAGAGAGTGGCAATAAAGGTCCTTTATTACCCTTGTCTGCAGGCAGAGAAGTAAGTTTGATTAGTAAGCACATTATACCACTTTCAAAGTTATTTCTACTTATTTCGATTTGTAGCGAGTAGCTGCAGCCTTAAATTTAAATATTTATACTGTCAGTGTTAGTGACTATATATTGTTATTAAATTAATTAATTACTAAAATATTAATTATTAAATTAAAAATAAAACGTAAACATCATTAAAAGATGATATAATAAATATACTGTTTCCCAATTTTACATTAAGATTCATCTCAGAAATCCATCACAATCTGGCAGCGCCGTCGCCATCGCTTGTCACTCAAAGTTTATCACGCGCATCGAAAATTGTTTTGCGATTACTTTATAAGCATTATCAAATGTGAAAACATACAGGCTTGGTATATTTCAACCAGTGTTTTAAAATTCCTACAGCAGCACTCGGTACGGCAGAAATCAGAACTGTCTGCCTACTTCATTTCACGCCGTCCGGTAACCGTTCATTTTGATCGCATTGAAATAATATTGAAATCGTGACTATGTTATAATTAAATATTCTTGTTTTTACTAGTGCAGTTAATGAAATTATAAACTTCTCAGGTACGAGGTTTATGAGATGTAACGCTGTTTCAGGTAGTAAAAATTAAAAGAAAAAGAACCCGAACTGGACGTCGCGTTGTGTTATGACAATTTCAGATGTTAATAAAATTGACGAAAAAATGTTAACACGTAAAGGAGGGCGTAACTGCGTGGATGTTGGGTACAATAACATTTAATACCACTCTCCAGGAATAATATTTTATAGCTTCTCAGCTTTATCACATCAATTTGATCAAAAGCAAAAATGGATTCAGGCAGTTCGACAAAACAAATGAGATTACAATTGAGGGTTGGAACCTTTGGTGTTACACAGCAAAATAAAAACACTAAATCACCACAATACACCAAAACACTTTTACTTTTACACTGGACGCGCGTTTCGCTAACCATGTTAGCATCATCAGCAGATGATTATAAACTTTCAGTTTATAATCTGGTACTTTCAGTTTATAATCATCTGCTGATGATGCTAACATGGTTAGCGAAACGCGCATCCAGTGTAAAAGTAAAAGTGTTTTGGTGTATTGTGGTGATTTAGTGTTTTTATTTTGCTTTTTAAAACAAATGAGTAAACAAAGTGCCCATTACATAGTCAAAAAATTAAATAGACTTTAAATTACTACTGCTCATGTACCACTGGTCTAGTTTTATATTATTTAGTATTGAATAATCATTAATAAACCAGATAAAATCTAGTAATAACCTGTAACTTTATCATTTAGCTGTAATTTACTTACAATGAGATATTCCATCTTCGTCATCTAATCTGGTATTCCGATGATCTCCGCCGCTTGTATTGATGTCAATCATTTCATCATCTGAAAATCTTGTTTTTGTGGTATTATGGCCGTTTTCTGACGAATGACCGTTAGTATACTATAAGAAAATGCATATCAATTCCCCGGTAAATATTTGAAATATTTTTTGATATTTAATAATTATGTAAAATGACTTTTACACATGGTGACCTAGGCTTCTGAAAAAGCTCTATATCAGGTTTTCGGTTTGTGATTTTTATTTCAATTTTTTTACGTAATGTGAGGACAATGGTAACGGACATTTTGAAAATATTATTGTCGACATACAGGGTGGCTCAAACATATTTGCAAACATAAAGTTGTATATTTTAAATGGATTACTTTATATTTTTAAGCTCAGAGGATTTTCGATTAGATTTCCATTCCAAAAATACCATGTCATATTATACTATACGGAGCGTTTTTTGAAATATAACCGTTTTTAAACTAAATTTACTGATTATTTAAAGTCCTCCCAAAATTCTAAATTAGAAGAATTTTATATTTTTTTAATAGGAAATACTGTATAATAGTGTCCTCGTCAAAATCCGGTCTACCAAAATTTACAATATGGTTTGATAGTATATACAAGAAGAGTCAAAACTAAATGTTGTATTTTTCTCCATTTTTTTAAATGGGACAACCTGTATTTTGTATCATAACCCAACAGAGTTTTGTTGAATCAGATTGATCTGATTTAGTGGTAGGTACCGTCGGAATTCCGTTACGTCACTACATACAGATATATGGTAAATAAAAGATTAATTAATTAAACCTTCTGGAATCTTTAAGGGTAAATAAACTTTGAAAATCCGAGGTATTGATATTAAATGATCAAATAGACTTGATGATAAAAAACGGCGTCCAGTTGGCTTTGAACTGACAATTGATGACATTTACCATAAATTTTCATATAAAATGACAGCAATCTTCATTTCATAACCATCGCTGGCGCCGGTTTTTTTTTGATCACATTGTATAAAGATAAATACCTTCTTATTAACTGCTTGATAATGTTTTGGTGTGTTTTGGGGCAACTGGGCACTAGTTGTTCTTTGGTTTAGTGGAAATTTTTCCATAATAGCTTAAACTGAAAATAAAAGACGAAACATGTTTATAATGCACCATATAATTAAAAATAACAAAATCGCCCCCTTGCCTTATTGTGAATGCCGGGATCATTATTATTTTAGCCAGCTATTTCACAAATACAATGAAACAATAACTGAGTAAACGTAGCTGCTTAAACCAGAAGACAACATAAGCCCAAGAGGTGTTGTATGAGAATGAAGGAATTCGCAGGATAAATTGTTTATATATCTTTTTAAAAGGAATTCCACCAACAAATGTTGAAGCTGAAACTGGCTGTAAGCACAGAATAAACAACCTGCTCATTGTGTACTGAAAGGTGCTTCTCCTCATTAGCAGATAAAGTCTGCTGTTTACTCAGGTGCTCGGAGCAAATCAAGTGGTATACCAATCAAGTTGTTCAGTTTCCAGTGAAATTTTGATGGCTTTGGTTTCAATCGTTTTTTAATACTTTTCGTTCTTTTTAAATGCACGAATGAGTTTTGATTGCTTTGGTTCTAACTTTTTTCCTGATTCCTTGTTTTTTTAACATCATCCAAGGCATCGACGGAAATTCCCGAATATTTCCGAGCACCTGAGTAGGCGGCAGACTTCCGTGAAGTCTTCTCTTCTCAGCTGGATCGATTGACAACGTTTCGGTCTCGTTTAAAAAATATAACTCTTTTGGGGGAATTGTTTTAGAAGTTCCAATGTTAATAATTCACATTAACAATAACTATGTACAATATAAAGATTAAAAAATAGTTTAAAAAAATTAACTTAAGACGGATATGTAACAACTGAAAAAAACATTATTATACCACGTACCATTTTATTACACATACACCTTAAACTGTATTATCACTTAACAAGTTTAAGAAAATCTTTTTGTGTTTATTTAATTGCCAAAAACCGAGAGCAAAAACCGTATAATCCAATTAAAACCACAAATCTCTACCCCAAATAAAAGAACAATAGAAGTCTGTCAAACGAGAGCCGTTTTGACAGAGACAACCACAGACACGTCAAACTGTCAAACGTCAAAGCCCCAAGGTCACGGCCAGGGTTGTTTCTTGAAAATTTTCGATAGTGCATCCGGCAAACTCAAAATAGGCAAGATTAGTCTGACGTCATTGCATTGAATAGGTTGGTAGCACCGTTGACGTTGAGACTCAGTTGACAGTTGGTTGATTGTTTCCAAATAAATAATAATTGTCCTCTGTATTTTTCCCATATTTTTCCATTAAGAAAGTTTTTAATTTAAATTATCAGTAAGTACGAATTACTTTGGACTTTTTAACATTTATTTTATATTCTAGAAAATCTTGGCTTAAAACAGATGTACAATACTTGTGAGCAAGGCTTGTGCCAATGAAACACTTTTTCAATTTTCAATTCAAAATTACTTATTTTCAAGCCATAATATGATAGTTTATTAAAAAAATGCTACTAATTAAAATTAAGCTATCCGTTTAAAACTTTTTCTTTTTTAGATATGGTTATGGGCTTTGTTCCAGAATGTAAACATTACAGTTAAAAGAAAACTTGTTCTTTTTTTCGTTTCCCAAAAGACCTAGTTCTTCTAAAGAAGTGGAGGTATACCGAAGTGGATTTCACTTGTGAGGTAGGCTTATTTAACATTAAAAAATAATAACCCATGTTTAATTTTGAATGATCAAATTTTAGACGTGGAGACAGGAATCCAAGTCCATCTTCTTTGATTTGTTCATGTCACTTTAGTAATGGGGACAAAAAAAATATGTCAACGTTATTTGAACATAATGAAAACAAGCTATTTTCGTTCTAATCTCCAGAGAAAAAGAAGAAAAGGTGATAATAATAATAATTGAAGACCTCCCTGGAAAAACGTTGTAACCGACATTTTCGCCATATCGACGATTTCAGTGGAATAACGTTATATCTAACTTATCACGTGGCTGATAGTATTTTCTGTCGCGGTATTTTGAATATTAACACGTTCGCTACCAAGTGGCTCATATATGCGCCACAAGGATTTTTCTCATAGACCAGCGTCACACATTTGAGCCGTGGTTTCTACTGTACTAAATGATGAACAAAATATTAACGTTCGCAGATAGCGGTTTGTGCTTTGCATGTGGTCTATAGGAAAGTGTGGCGCATATCTGAGTCGCATGGTCTGTGCTTTGCTTCCACCGCTTAGTAGAAACTGAGTGTCAACCGGTACAACATAACATCCGAATTGTGCTGTGCTTTATTCTTGTTTTTAGTCCATGTAAGTGTTTTTTGTTTTACATATTATTAGGTATGGTATTTTGTATGATAATTCTACTAGAAAACAAAAAAAAATCATTATTACCACAAAGAAAATAAAACGTGCTGGAAAAGTGAGGTTACGTCACAAAATATTTTCCATTTTAGGCGCACGCTGTATTTCAAAGGTTTTTCGTCAATCTCGTTGTTTTTCTCTCAATTTCGTATGTTTGCTACATATTTACTCGTAACACGCGTAATAATATTCCCTTTGATGTTGTTTCAGTGTTTAGCTGGGATGGCTAAAAGAACATTTCTAAGCGAGAAAGACCTTCAAGAAGAGGCCGACAAAATTATGAACTCAGAAAATAATGAAAATCTTTCTCAGATGCTGGAACCTGATGAAATTCCAGAAATGTTTTCAGATTCTGGAAGTAGCTACAAGCCTTCATCAGAATCGGGTTCTAGTGTGGAACATTGTCCAAGTAGTGACTCGGAACATTTTAGTGATGAACCACATAGCGACCTTGATGAAAATGTTCCTGATAATGAACCAACGAATAATCAAGACGATATCGATAGTGACTGGGTCGAAATTGACGGTGAACCAGAGATTTTCGATTTTCTAGAAATCGAAGGGTTGAAAGTAAATATTTTAGAAAGCTCTACTGTCAGATATATATTTGAACTATTGTTTGATGACAACTTATTTGAAAAAATTTGTGAATGGATCAATCTACGTGCACTGTCAGTTATAGGCAATGTAATACCGAAGCATTCTACAATGAATAAATGGAAACCAATAACTCCTGATGAATTCCGCCGTTTTCTCGCATTATGTATGCTAATGGGGAACATAAAAATGCCCAACGTTAAGTGCTACTGGAGTAGGAATCCACTGTATGCCCACCCAATATTTGGAAATACAATGTCAAGAAATAGATTCGAACAAATTTTACGGTGTTTATGTTTTACCAAAAAAGATGATATAAAAACTTCTCGTTTACATAAAATTGAACAAGTTGCAGACCATCTTTTTGAAAACATACGACAGGTCTTATATCCTGGAAAAAACCTTTCCCTAGATGAAGCTTTGCTACTTTGGCGTGGACGATTGATATTTCGTCAGTATATTCCTAATAAGAGTGCAAAATATGGAATAAAATTGTATGAGCTTTGCACCCCTGACGGCTTTGTTTTAGAATGTCTGGTTTATACTGGGAAAGACACAGTTAACAATGAGACTGGCCATGCACAAGCTGTAGTAACAAAACTAGCTGAGCGATATTTTGGGAAAGGTCACACATTGTACTTGGACAATTATTACAACAGTGTAACTCTTGCAGAATTTCTTTATGAAAAAAAAACTCATGTGGTAGGAACATTGAGAAAAAACCGGAAGGGGAACCCAAAAGTAGTAGTTAACTACAAATTACGCAAAGGAGAGAGCATTTTCCGAAAAAAGAAAAATTTGATGGTCTTGAAGTGGAAGGACAAGCGCGACGTACTCATGATAACGACGTTGCATGGACCTGGATCTGAAAAAACTACTAATAAACGAGGGGCCGAACAAGAGAAACCGAGTGTTGTGGTTGACTATAACAAACATATGTCCGGTGTGGACAGGAGTGACCAAATGCTCTCATATTATACGACACCCAGAAAAACTATTAGGTGGTACCTAAAACTATTTTTCCATTTTGTAGACATATGCTTATGGAATGGTACATATTTGCACAACGTTGCTAAGAAAAAAAAAATTACGTACCTTGAATTCAGGGAGCTGCTGATACATGACTACCTTCAAGTTCAACTTCCATCAAGGAAAAGTCAGGTGAAACATTCATCTCATTATCCCAAAAAAACAGAAAAACGAAGAAGATGCCGAATTTGTTCCTCAAAAAAGAAAAGGTCACTGACATTTTTTCTTTGCGAGAAATGTAAAGACAAAGATGGAAAAGTGATTGGGCTGTGTGTAGATCCATGTTTTCGGGAGTATCACGAAGGCAGCCAGTAGATGATCTTTAGTATTTATGTCATTAGAAGTTTTTTTTTTGTTTTTTTTTGTGAGTTTCTTGATTTTGTTTGTTCTTGTGTTATCAGAATACTTTATTTTAAATGTAAAGACAAAGATGGAAAAATGATTGGGCTGTGTGTAGATCCATGTTTTCGGGAGTATCACGAAGGCAGCCAGTAGATAATCTTTAGTATTTATGTCATTAGAAGTTTTTTTTTGTTTTTTTTTGTGAGTTTCTTGTTTTTGTTTGTTCTTGTGTTATCAGAATACATTATTTTGTTCGTGTTTTGAAAGAAATAGAGTTTATTTACTTATATTTGTTAGTTTTATTACGTCTCATATTTGCGACATATGGTCTATGATATTTCCAGTCATGCTATAGACCAGCGTCACATATATGAGCCGGATCAAAAAATCCTACAGGAATTGCATATTTTCCTCTCATATTGGATATATTACAATCAGAGAAGGTTTATTTCTTCTAATTTGTCATAATCTATATATGGTCCAGCAGGACGAAACATAAGAACAGCCCTGGTAGCGAACGTGTTAAGGGGTGGGGTGAGTTGACAAGTTTGCTCGTTAGTGGAATAACGTTGTAACTGTTTAAAAATGGACAACGCAGTAGGTGTTGTGTTGTCACCGGCCGGCTTAAAATCGCTAAATAAGGGCAAAAAACGAAAAGCTAATATCACAGAATGGAAGGACAACAAAAGACGCATATTAAGACAAACAGGAAAAGGTTATGTAACAAGGAAAGGCCAAGAAAAACCGGGAAAACAAGGACCATTGCTGGTAAGTGGAAAAAGTTGTATGTGATTGTTTACTTTATTCTAGTTTTTGTTATTTTAGGAGCGACAGTGTAAATGTCAGTACAAATGCGGCGAATTAAGTGACGCTGCAAAGGAATACCTTTATAGACAGTTTTATAAAGTGAACCATTCAGAACAAAATTCAATTTTAGTTGCCTGCATGGAGTTATGTGATATAAAAGACACGTAACGCCAGAAAATATAAGTAAACGACATTGTTCTTTTAAGTATAATCTAACATTTAATGGAAAAAGATATGATGTGTGCCAAAAAACTATATGTGCAATTTACTGTGTTACTCCAAGAAGAATTCAACTACTTCAGGAAAAACTTAAAAATGGGCACTCTATTGAGGATAAAAGAGGCAAACACTTGAATCGGCCCCACAAAATTCAAGAAAATTTAAGAAATAATATAAAAGAACATATTACATCTTTTCCAACCGAGCAAAGCCATTATAGCCGGCAAAAATGTAAAAAAATGTGCTTATCTTCTGATCTGAATGTGCAGAAAATGTTTGAATTATTCCAGGAAAAATTTAAGGAGTCTAAAGTAAAGCTTCATTTATACAGAGACGTCTTTAATGAAGATTTTAATCTTCGTTTTGGTGTACCCCGGTCTGACACTTGTGCAAGATGCGACTTATTATATACTAAGTTGGTGAACGCGGAAAACGAAGAGGAAAGAAGACGGATTAAAGCAGAAAGCGAAGTGCATCATAGAAAAGCCGAGAAAAAGTTACCAGACGTTAAAAAGAAGATACAGAGCGTTCAAAAAATGATCCATCAATAGTAGTGATATGTATGGATTTACAACAGGTACTTTTTTCTCCTACATTAACGCACAGTAATGTCTTTTACCAACGTCAGTTTTCAACCTATAACTTTTGTATACATAATCCTGCTACCAAAGACTCTGTTATGCATGTCTGGCATGAAACGACCGCTAAACGTGGATCTGCGGAAATCGTCTCCTGCTTACTGTCCTTTATAGTTTCACATTTTAAGCCGCTTGAGAGATGTGAATCGAGGTCTTTAATCATTTGGTCCGACAGATGTGTCGGCCAAAATAACAACTTTAAAATTGTTACGCTATTACACCATTTAGTTTTGTGGAACTATTTTTCTCAAGTAGAACAAAAGTTTCTTTGCAGTGGTCACAGTTTTTTGCCTTGCGATCGTAATTTCGCTCTTATCGAGAGGCAAAAAAAAGTTGCAAGAATACTTCACCCTTTTCAATGGATCGAACTAATAGCTAATGCGCGGCCATCAAAACCATTTTTTGTAAAGCTCATGCAGCAGTCAGACTTTTTGGATATTAGTATACTTGAAAAGAGAACCTCCCGACCAAAAGAATTTAAAGTAACAGAATCAATGTGGTTGTTATTTAAAAGAGATGATCCAAAATGTGTTTCGGTAAGACAATCGCATTCTGTGCTTATGCCGTGGAAAACTTTTACATTAAGAAGAACAATACTTCCACTTACTAGAGTTAAAAACTTGTCAGTATTATACTCAACACCAATTCCCGTTAAGGCTGAGAAAAAAGCAAATTTAGTTGATATGTGCAAGTATATAGAAGATGCAGAAGCAAGAGATTTTTTCCTAACTTTGCCAAGTGAAGAAAAGTAAAAAAAGCAAATCGTATTAAAATTTTGATTCTATTTTACGTTTATGAGTTAATTTAGTTTAGTTTTTAAAAACAAATATGTATATTACTTTAAGAATGCATTAATTTTGTTAGTCGTAAAACGTTGTAACTGGGCCACTTACAACGTTTTCCAGAATATCTTATCTTTTTGCATAATAAAAGTTTTTCTTCTTAAATATATGTTTTTTTTTGTTTAACCAAGCTATTTTAACAATAAATATCACGAAATGATTTGCCAACTTAAAAAATTGCTACTCAAACAAATAAAAAACAAAAAAGACGTGTTCTGAAAAAAGGTTATTTTGTTGCTTACAACGTTATTCCAGGGAGGTCTTCAATTACTGTTCATTATTTTTTTCTTCATGTTTTTAGAAGTTAAAACTTTTATAGGGTACGTAGTGTCAGCAAATCTGTAAGTGATAGAACTCAAAGCCTTGTATATATCTATAACCTCTCTCAGACATTTGATGAAAATATACCTATGGACTGTGAACAACTCGGTTCTGAAAAACAACAACCGTCAACGAGTTTTGAATAAAATGCTTCTCCATATTAAATTCAATACCTCAAAATTTACTTCGTCAAGCCACAAAGATTTTCCAAGTCTGTGGTGCTCTGACAAATTTGCGATTCCCATTAATTTCTGAAGTAGAACCTTGAGTAGAACACTTGTATAAAATAGAGTAACTTATTTTAATGACAAAAATTTTATTGTTTATACACAGGTATTGTATATAAAACATTTGTTCACTATTATTGTTTACTACTTATTTTTTATATTCATTTTATGATTATGATCAGGGTTCGGAAAACTACATGTTACTTTTAAAAACTACATAAACTACATTACATGTAGTTAATGTAGTTTATGTAGAGGGTGTAGTTTATGTAACCTATGTATGTAACTCTCAAATATCAAAGGTTGAGGTGAGGTTATAATAAGTTGAAGCTTTAAAAATACATAATGTATTTAAGAAAACAGAAGAAATATGGCTTTAAATATAATATTTACATCATATTATCTCTATTACACCTCATACAAAGGAAAATTATTCATAATATCAATACATAGTTTATTAATGTAGTTTTCATGTAGTTAATGAACGGGAAAAGACGTAGTTTTTGAAGAAAAATTACACGTAGTTAATCAGGTAAATTACGTCTTAATTAACTACTTCCGAACCCTGATTATGATCTTTGCTTTGTGTATATTATTTTTCTGTTATTTCCCTTCGATGAGAGCTTAACTTTATATTATATTTGTATGTATATCAAAAATTTTCTTAATAGAAAACATTTTTTTTGTTAGGTTTTTAAATAAATTGAATATTACATTTTCCCAAATTTTTATTTTATAAATATAGCTATATATATATATATATATATATATATATATATATATATATATATATATATATATATATATATATATATATATATATATATATATATATATATATATATATATATATATATATATATATACCTAGTTCTTCCTTGTGTAAATATGAATAATCAAACTGTTTGTCCCCCTCAGCCAATGTGGTAGGTAAGTAGGTTTATAAGACTTCATAAATGAACAAGTTTAAGTGTTTTATATTAATATTATATTATCTACTACTTTAATATTATAATTATGTACTTCTAGCTACTAAAAATATGCCAAAAAACAATATAATCTTACAAGTATTGTTATAGGTATACATTAATTACTTTATGTATGTATGTTTTTTCCCCTAATAAAAATGGAATATAATGTTCCAAATAGCATTTGTGATTTTTTGGAGGGTATAAATCTATGACTAAATATAAAAAATGATGAAATAATGCCTTAAAATGTAAAAAAAACAATGTCATAACCTCAGAAAGTTTAAAACAATTATTACCAAGTTGTTTTGAAAATACATACATCGGTTTTTCGATTGTGTTGTTTAAAAACTACAATTTTTTCAAAAAAAAGTCCACTTGGGTCATTAAAAAGTACTTTAAATATATAAAAATTAAAAATAAAATCTCTCTTGTGAGAAATTACAGGCAAATTTTAACTGTTTGGAATCAAGCATTGCTCTGAAGTTAGCTTTGCATGTCTGCCAATATAAATGTGACGTCACGACTAATAGGCTCTATTGTGCTTATTTAGTTGAAAATATGCATCTGTGGTAATTTAACTTGCATTATCCTATCTACTTTTTGGGTATGGTTTCATTATTTGAAATGGGTAAAGGTGTGGATCCGGTGGCTGACCTTGAAGCCCATATTTGCTGCATTTGATCATCGATACTACGCAAGCGCACATGGTCGATGTTGCCAAATTGCAGTTTATTTTCGAATTATTTGCAGTTGAAATTTTTTTTTTGAGTGTTAATCAATTATAATACAAATTCTATAATTAATTTTAGAATTTCAGATTTATCTTGATATCCAAAATTAAGGTAAGAAAGATAATGAAGATTGTGAAATGAAAGTATTATGAATATATAAAATTGTAATAATAATAACATTTATTTATATATTTACATTAGAATTAAAATTATCATTTACGGATTTTTTTCTTAATGGTTTTAAACTTATTAGTATTATTTTAATTCTTTCAAGTTATTTAATTTCTAGTTATTTACAGGCAACAATAGTTTTGATTATATGTATTGATGTATTGAAGTACTACCATGACGAGTCTTATAGAACAATACACGTCAATGGAAGATAGAGGTAACATCTTACCTATAATGTTACTAATATAATATACTTTGATTATAATGTTTGTATCATAATTTCTTAAAAATATCAAGTTAGTGGATTAATAGCCAATTTTAGACATATATTTTATCGAAGAGTGTGTTGATAAGACTAAAATAAGCTTTGTTTTATCTTTTTCTCTTTAGAAGGGAGATAGTTTGTGCCGTAGAATACATTACAGTATTTAATATCGTGTACTTTGATATTCTTTTCTTAATTTACTGTAATTTCTTGGTTCGTATAATGCCAAATCTTGACATGGTGAAGGTTGAGTTTGATCTTATTAGTTTTATACCTGTGTTTATACAAGACCAAATTAAGACTTAGTTAGTTTGTGATTTATATTAAGATCTTTCTTATAATATTTGTCTTAAACTTAATACTATATTATGCTTTGTGTGGAAAATAAATGTTAAAATATCTTAATTTTGCATATCCTATTCCATCCTTCCATTAGGAAAAAAAATATATGGTTTATAAATCATGAAAATTAAATAAATTAGGTGTAAGAATAAAGAAAACTTAAGGTAGCAGAAAAATTAATGCAATATATGTATAAGCAGAATTAAACAAGGTAACTGTTAAATGTTGCTGAAGCTGATTCTACAATTTTAATTACGGAGGCTAAAATGCCTTTTAAGGCCTCCGTAGTTTTGATGGAATGTTAAAAAAACTATTATGAACATGACATGGAGCTACAGCATTTAAACATTAAAAAAAAAGAAAAAACTTGGACACGTCCCTTTTAATTTCCCGAATTTTTAATAAAGCACTTTTTAAACGTAGCATTATAATCTAGATCAATTAGATTAATTATAGGAATCTAGAATTTTATTTCTATTTAATTTTATTGACTATGAAAATACATAATAAGCATTCACGTTTCACGTGTTGTGCGAAATATTAAAATAATAATAGAAATAATATACCGTGTACTCATGGTACAAAGAAAACAAGGTATGATCGATAGCGGCTCCAATTTCGTTAAGTTTGCGCATACCACCTGTGACGTCATACGCCATACAAAAAAATATTTATATTGTCCAATTGCCACTAATAAAAAAAGACCTAAAATAGGGAAGTATTAGGACATAACCCCAAAAGTTATGTCAAATCATCGAACTTGACATTTGAAAAATTATTTTTACATTTATTATGTCATCTGTTTGACAATTTGAAATTGGCGCGCGGAGCTTGCCGACCAATGGTGCCGTTTATCACCTGTGACGTAGTGACCAACCTGCGCAATATCATACCTTGTATTCTTTGTATCATGCCGTGTACTATGATTGAAAAAAATAGCGTCAGCGATGACTATGAAATGAAGATCGCTGTCATTTTATATGGGAAATGTCCTCAATCGTCATTTCCTTGCCAACTAGACGCTGTTTTTTCGATCATACTGTATATATTGACAAAACACACTGAAAAGCACATATTTGTTTTCTACTGAAAATAATTCCAAAATAACTTGCAATCTGGCAACGTCGAAGATGTGCGCCTGCGTAGTGTCTGTGACTATATACAGCAAAAACTCGTTTCAAGGTCAGCCACCGGATCCACACCATTACCTTGAAATGATTTTAACCTACATGGTACCCGTATGGTACGTACGTTAAGAAGTTTGAGGTTTGTTTTATCTTTTTTCCACTTAGAAAGTTTAGATTTTTAACTGAGAGAGAGAAAAAGAGTATATAGAGTTTTATCAACCTAGAATCATCAACCCTCAGGGTTGTGTTTGGAGACGGCAAGTTAAATTACCACAGATGCAAATTTTCAACGAATATTAGTGAATATGCGGAAGTTTGAAGTTGCCTTATGCACGATGGAAAATTTTTAAGGAACAACCCTGCTTGTGGACAGCTGTATTTGTACTCTATAATCTTTGGTATTGACTTTTATTCTCTTCTCTGGTATTGACACCACAGATGATTGACACTATTGACAGTACAAAAGTACAAATTGCAGTAAAAGTTTTTATTGTTTTTGAAAATTTAATTTTCCTTATTAAATAATATTTTAAACATTATTTTATTAAAGGTTGATAAAGCATGTAGATGAACATTTAATTTTATTAAATTTGATGTAACTTTTATAGTATGTTTTTGGTAAGAAGTTTACATCTTTTGTGAATAAGATTATATATCGTGGTATCTATTTATTAACATTCATGTAAAAATCATTACAGAGTGAAGAAGCTATAGATGAGGATCTTGAGGCCTTACTGTATGCTCAAATTTATTATGGAAAACCAGACTGTAGAGTTAATGATGGAGAAATTAGTAAGGAAGATTTGACTACTGCTAGCCTAGATAAAGATTCCTTAGACAATATTTACAGACCAAATAATTTTTGTAAGAATTGTGAACATTTTAAGAGATATTTTGATGCTAGTATTGTAGATACAACGTTTCAGTTTTAGAGGTAATACGTATTATGTAATGTGTTTATCAATAATATTTTCAGGCTCTACCTCAAGCTCTATTCTGAATAATATTCATACATCTGAAAAAAACATAGATAGCATTCAGAACAGCCATAAGCAAATTACTAAAAACATACCATCAAACAACTCACCTCAACATAAATCTTTATTTATGTATTCAGTAAAATTTCAAAGAAAGTTAGATGATTTTATAAAAATTTGCCCCCTGTCAAAAAAAATTCAAAGAGATTTAAGAAAGTTGAGAAGTGGTCAGTTAAGTGAAGAATTTTTGTTGGAGAAGTTGAATAGAAGATTGCAGATTTCTCAACTGAGCAATAAAAAAAAGGAGGAAAATTATGAGGACATTGTTTGTTTGAGTAGTGGCAGTGAAGATTCTGATTTGCAATTAGTAGACTTAACTGACATATTTCATGGTCAAAGTTTAACAGTTAATAGTTCTGATCAGTATTTTCCTAGTACAATGGAAAGAGAAAACTCAAATGAAAGTGATGATGAAGTTATTTATATAGCTCCACCACCAGTGCCAGTAATAGATATAGACGAAAGTGATCCTGATACTCCTAATACTGAAACTCATGAAATTCTAAATGATTTTTTAGTTAACGAACCAAACTGTTCTACTGAAAATTTTAATTTTAGTCTTCATGGTGTGGAATTTCAAAATTCTGATTTTGCCAGGCCAGCTAATCCAAGTGATATATATGAGACAGAAAGTAGCACAAGTACATCTGATTTTAATAAAGATTCTACTAGAAATTTTAGTAATACAGTAAAAACGATTGTATTTAATGAAGTGGAATTTCCCAAAGATTCCTTTGCAGAGAATAATTTAGAAAGTTTTGGTGAAATGATTACACCAAAGCGAACTAAACAAAAAAATTATACAAGTAAACAAGCTGATTCAACAACTAGTTCTGCGACAAAGAGATCTATTACAGACACATCTTCAGAAAGCAGTTCTGAAAGTGATTATGAAACGTCAAATCTTCAGTATAACTTGCCTGATTTAACCCCTATGAATTCAGATAGATCACCTCAAAAATTGAAGAAGGTTAATTCTGAATTGCTAACAAAAACTACAAAAAGAAGTAAAAGATTAACTGGTCAAACTACTAGTGATGATATAGATAAGAAAAAATCAAAGAAAAGAAAAAAGACAACTAAAATATTAGAGGTGGAATCTGACGTTAACGTCGGTGATTTAGGAACTAAAAATGAGCATGATCTACATGATTTGGAAGTATCACCACCAGAAACATCAAAATATATCAGTGACTCCAATAATTTAAAGGAAAAGAAAAAAAAGAAACTGATAGACAGTGAAAATGTTTTACAGAAGACCAAAAAAAAGAAAAAGTTATTTGAAAGCAATTCTTTGAATAAGAGTGTAATTTGTAATTTAAATCAAGAAGTCAAAGAACCAGAAGCAATTGATATTAATAATCTAGCTTTACCTGAAGGTAATTATCACCCTTATTTCTTTAAAATGTCAAGTTTTATATACTAAAATTTGCCAATTATTTTTTTTAATTGCATCCAAATTTAAACTTGAATAGCTTTTTAACCAATAAGCTTATAATATCAAAATATTATAAGATACTTTTTTAGAAGAGCGTTCAATTCTCTACAAGAATATGCTGCAACCCAACTAGTCTGAAAAGTCTAGACTAGTCTAAAGAGTTAAAAATTCCAAAATTGGAAAAAAATTCCCATATTAATCAAACGAAAAACAAATTTTTCTACGCCGCACCTCCTAACAATATTATGAGCTCAAACTTTCACAGTAATTTTTTTTTGTCATTTCCAATAACATTTTCGATATAATTAAGAAAAAAAAGTAGTCAATTTTTTCTTGAACCTAGGCAACATTTTGTAGAAATCCTATTTCTTTATTCACGATAGCAATTGCTCCCTGTAGCGGCCGTTCTAGGAACTTGGAAATAATTCCAGCAATTTCTCTTTTTTTCGTGGGCGTTACGGCTAATACTTTCCGAGATACAACCAAAAGCTATTCTTAGTGGGACAAGCGGTATAATTCTGTTTGTTTCATTAATAGGTGAAAAGAAACTCTCCGATGACAGAGCAATTCTTGTTGTACATTCATCAGATTCTGAAGAGGATTTTGTTAGTTTTGAAGAAATTGGTGATAATATCCAATTGGCTAATACCAGAAATGTGGATAAGAAATGTTTGGAAGTTAGAGATTATTCTGAATTCGATATCAATGTCTTACAAAGCAAAATGTCAGGTAAGTAATTTTAATAGCCTTAACGATTTTGTTATTTTATCTATAATTGATACTTTTTGTAGTAGTTTGTTTGCTAAATTACAGGTAATATGATATACCTAATGTTAATTTTTTAATTAACCAATTATTTGTAAAGACTGGCTAGCGATTCTGTAAATATATTTCCTATCTAGTGACTCATCAATCGTATACAAATAGCATAGGCTAGACAGGAAATTTCTTGCTACGGAGCTTACAGAATCCCACTGCTGTTCACCCATCGTTCACCGTTACGTCATCATTATTTGTCAAATATGAATTTTAGGGTGTGTCTGAAATCACTTTATATTGTTGAGAAAATTTTAAGTACGTTAATTTTTTTCTTGAACTCTTCATCCCTTTAATTCCAATCCTTTGGGCTATTGAAATTCCTATTTGTAAAGCACCAGCAACACACTATCCATATATACAACAAAGTTAGATACATTATTTTTTGACACCCTGTATATAAAAATTACACCCTGATTTAAAAGTATTTATTATTATATATAAAAAAGGCCAAGCTACCAAGCAATAATTAATATATATTAATTATATAATTATGTTGAGACCAGCATAATGACAGAAATTAGGAAAAGGATGAGTATTTTAGACAGTGTTTAGTTTTAATGGCTAGTGAAAAATGCGTTTAGTTTTTGTCAATAGTTGCTCATTTTATACGAATGTTATTACTTGTTTAGGTGATCCAGCTAAATGGGAAATCATTTCATCTGATATGACACTCTTGCCTAATTACCCTAGAGGTATAAAATGTCGCAGATGTAGGCAATATGGTCACTTAGCCGTCAAATGCTTGAGTAAACCGTCGCCTCCGAAATGTTCCCTTTGTGGACGCTTCGGCCATTTCGAACCTAGATGTCCCAATAAAGTTTGTTTCTCGGTAATTATATAAGAGTTATAGTCATTAATTTTTATTCAATCGTTTGTAGAGTGTATATTATTAATTTACAACTCCTCTACATGGGATTACCACCTTCTGCTTTTAAGGTTGTTGTAGCGGGTCTGAATTGTGTTCGGGAATCTTCGGCAGCGGATAAAAATAAGTAAAAGAGTTTGTATAAATTTACGTCCCAAAATTGGGTTTCCGAGACACACGGTGTAGAAGTTTCATTTTTATTTTGATTTTTTCAAATAAACCATATGCGAAAATGTCAAAACTTGACATGTGATACGTCATTCTATTCAATCATTTTTATCGAATAAAGTAAAAAAATACGGAGGGTGCGATTTAAAATCAAAAGTTGTAATCACTTCCGGTGCAACAGGAAGTAACCGAAAACAATTGAATATGTCAATCGATCCTAATTTATGTCATATACTAACATACCAAATCTCGTTTTTTCATCTGAAAAAATAAAAAAGTTATAGAGGTGATCCACTTTTGGGGCGCACCCGGTATATAGATACATCTAAATCAAATTTTTCATTTAAAAAACACTCAGACACCAATTTTCATCCAAATATCGACGTTAGTTAGGAGAAAAAATGAAATAAAAATGAAATATCTACACCCTGTTCCTCCGAAACGAAGCATTTTAGAACATAAATTTATATGAACTGTTTTATCTATATTTATCATTTGCTGCAATGCAAATTTGCTGCCAAAGTTTCCCGGCTACAATTTCTCACCACCATGTATAGCATTAATATATGCAAAGTTTCGTATTTTTGTATTTTTTGTATACAAATGAGCCTAAATAAGTGGATTACTTTTTATATTTTTGATTTTTAACAGCACTCACTATCTTATCTATGTTTTTTTTTTTCAAGTATTTGTATTGTGTAATTATTTTTTTAGTGTGGTAATCCAGGAAATTTTTCTACGACTTTCTGTTGGAAATGTGTTGAAGGCCGAAGAGCAATATGTAATGTATGTATGATACCCGGGCATTATTCTGAATTTTGTCCTGATTTATGGAGACGATACCATTTAACGGTAAATAATTTAGTACATACATATTACATAGTACATATGTATCTCTACTCATAAAGGAGAAACCTCATAAAACACAGAAAAATGGAACACCTTGTACATACTATTTGAAAGTTTATTACCCTATCATATTCTGTACAGTAGAGGGTGTTTGTGTAATATTTGAAAAAAAAAACAACTCACTACCAATATTTTCTATATTTTAGACTCAAGAAGGTGATTTGGTATCCCCAAAAGATGGAGTAGTATTAAAACCTCAAGAACAGCAATGGTGTTCAGGTTGTGCATCTCAAGGGCATTTAGAGTTCCAATGCAACAGCTATAAATGGCATAGGGAATATCCAGCAGCTTCTCCAGAAATTTTTAACTACAAAAACATCTACCCAGTAGTGAATATGCCGGTTGCACCAAAAAATATAGGATTGGTAGAAGTGTCTATTTCCTCTAATCTAAACCAACCTGAACTTGCTAAGCAAAATTTCGAGAATAGTTCATTTCAAGACATTGATAAAGAACAACATCCAAATGATAGCCAGGAACAACATTCACAAAACATATCTAACGTGTATTTCCCTAATAGCGCAAATCAAGATAATTTTCAAACAAATAGTCCACTACTTAAATCAAAAAGTATAATTGCACAGAGTCCTGAAAAATCACAAAATTCAATAATTGGAGACAGAACCACTTGTAAAATTAATCCACTATCTCTATCTAATATTGACCATACATTAAATCAAAATCAGAACGTTATAAATCCATATTCACTATTTAACTCTGCAATTAACAAAAATACAGAATTTTTCCAATCTGTTCCAAGGTCCTCAATAATAAGTCAACTAAACAATCTTCAGGGGTCCAATAATTTTGGTGATCCATTATATCATTCAATTTTAGTTAATTTACATTCCCATAACTCCACGGAGACACCCTATCAGCAGGTTAATGTGTATAACATGCCATCAGTTAATATAGGACAGATGCCTTCTCTCATTGATAGTGATAGATACAATTTTGACAAACGTCATGAAATATCATTATCTAATCATCAAGCAGATAAACAGTGTGAAACCAATGATAGTCATGTAAACCAGTTTGTTCATTCAGTAACTAAAATATTTCGTGTTTCATCACAAGAGTGTATTAAACATTTTCTTAGCAATGAACTAGCTAAATTAGACAAATTGGAATTGAGTGCAAAAGACGTTAAAAGGAAAATGAATATTATTGACAAATTAAAAAAAAAGAAATCTGCTACTACAAATAAATCAATTAAAACACAAATTCATTATTTGTATAGAAAAATAAATATGTTTTTATTTGGCGTGTACAAAATTTGTAATGGAAAGAAATACTTAGATTTTTTAAGAAATTTCTTGTATAATTCTGGGGGAGTCTTAAAACCTACCAAAAGAAAGGCACTCATAGACGCTTATAGTTACATATTTGGCGGAGAACACCATAACTTCAATTATAGGCATTATTTAAACAAGTCCTTAGTCATGCAACGTTAATTTTGTAAAGTTTTATACTACCTCGGTTTTTTTAATTTTTATGTACATCAATTTAATGAAGCTGGCATGTGACAATATGTTTTGTTAAATTTTTAATATTGTTTTGTATAAATTAAAAAGTTTTCTATACATTTTTTAGTTACTACTATTTACGTATGAAATTAAATCATAAATATTTCCACACAAATATAATTCTATTAATCTAATTATCTATTCTAATTTCTTATATGTTATATTTACAATTTTTCATATGTCATATGTAAAAATATAACGTTAATTTCAAGAAATAATGTCTCTCTTTATTTTTTTCCTATTTCCTTTTTGGATATATCAAATTTATACTTCAGTATGGTATTCTTATTTTATTATTGTTACACTCATTATTACCTTCATTGACCTTGGTCACTTCATCTGCGTAATCTTTATTTTAATGCATGCGATAGAGATAAATATAAATGACCGGTTGACAGACAGAGAGGGAAAATAAAAAGCGGCATACAGCATTGCCGGTTTTTTACGTTTGTATGAAAATGTGTATAAAAAAATTAATTATTTTAAAAACTTTCATGTATTTTCTATTTTGATGCAAAATTCGGAAATACCGCATAGAAGAAATATATCAACTCAACTTTTTTCTCTTTTTAATATATTTGATTTTGCAGTAAGCTGTCGACATCACTGTCTTACACGTTAAAATCCACACCACGCAGTTTCGATGGTCAGATCGGTATATCTGAAATGTTTTTGAACCATTTTGTACTGTCTCTAAAGAACGAATCATCCATTGTGTAAGAGTCACTTGGGTATCTAAGGCTTGGATAATATGTTTTTTACCTGCCGTGTCCCCGCCAAGTCGAGCACAGCCGTACCAGCTTTTTCTTGAAGCAACTACGGCACTTTTGACCCCCCTGTAACTTTGTTGTGGATAAAGCAAAAATATTAATTTTTACTAATCAAGAGGACGTACTATAGCTGGCTACATTGCCAATATACCTATTATTTGCTCTACCGATGTAAATTATTTTCATCATTAGACTGTTTGTTGTTTTTATATTACGAGTATAAGTATATATTTTTTAATTTATTTATTTGCTGTTAGGTGTTTTCATTCTTTTTATCCCTATAATAATATGAAACTACCTTCTTTTTTAACATAAGATTTATTAAACTAAAAATTAACATCCTCAATAAATAGCATATACCAGTTTGAAGAACAATAAATATGCAATTATTACTTTTAATTTAAAACTATGTATTCTAATAGTAATTACTAGAATTTCGATTTTTTCCTAATGATACAGGCGTACTACTATATCGCTGGGAATTCACCTCAGGAAATGGAGGTGCCGTATAGACATCTTCGAAAAATTCGTGGTCTCCATATGCAGGACTTTTCTTTCCAGTTCGGGGAACCTGAACCCTTGGTATAGTATTTTGTTCACTAAACATGTTTTAAAGAAATATATTAATTACAATACATATATGAGAAATTTATTAGACGACCAGGACATAACATAAAATGCTTCGTCTAGCTGTTTTTTAATTTTGATAAATTTTAGTAGTGGAAATGGGGGTAATTCGGAATACTGTTGGTAATTTGGAATACTGATTTATTGAAACAAGGTTGAAACTATGCGTGGCGCTATCTGGCTGAATATGGTATAAACTACTAATTCAGCTTGTATTTAGTGGACAACAGGAAACTAAATCGACAATCTATGCCCTGATGTTTGATTTAAATTAACTTTGACTTGGTCTTCAGATAAGTATTGGTTTATATTTTAATTTGTTACCTAACCTAACCTATATATTTTACGGATTATGGCATAGGTCTTCATGTTGCTCATTTGGTATAGTCGAAGTTATATTCCTTTTGCTGCTTTTCGATTCTATAAATGTATGTAAATTTTTTCGGCACGAACTGTTTGATGGATTGTAACATATAAAGTGTCGATAGATTTGTTTTAATCTGGTCTTAATTGTAGGAGGGATATAGGGTAACATGGGCAAAAATCAGAAGACAGGAACAAACAGTGAATCTAATGCAAGCCGAATTACTTCGACCTCCTTAGAACTCGGTCCAGAATTTTACTTCAATAGAGAGCCAGAAGATCAGGAGACGAGTTCTGGTTATTATTTTGCAATTTTTTATCAAACTACTATTCCATAATATCTTCACTTCCTCTATTAAATTTAACTAAATTCTGATTACATTCTATTTAAATATAATTAATAACAATTAAATTAATACCACTTAAATTTAATATTTATCGATTTGGTGTTTTTTTAATCACTACCATTTCAAGGAATTCCCTCTTTTTTGTCCTGATTTTTGTTTTTAATATTTTTGTCACGCTATAATAATTAAAAGAATGTTTTTTTTTTCGTGATTAGCAAGTGCAGTCTGTTTTTTTGTTCATATTTATAACTTTTAATTCGATTTTCTATATAATGACTAGTTCGCCCAATGTACGCCGCGTCGCAATCATTGCATGGAAATATACAGGGTGTTTTAAAAAACATGTGCCATCTGTCCTGGAGAGATTCCTCACGTAAAAATAAGATTTATTTCAATTATCAACATAGGTGCGATTCTTTTTTGTTTCGTAGCTACAGGGGGTTAGCCTTCATGTTTTTTTATTTATTATAATTTTCTTCCAAGTGCTTTTAGCGATTCGAATGAAATTTTGACGATAAAAGTTACTGTAAGTGTTACATATTCTAGTGCTAAAAAAATTTCGACAGTACTTATTTAATACTTTGGCCAGTTAATTATATTACACCAGTTAATGACTTACAAAGCAGAATCGGACCTATGTTGATATAAAAAATAAATCTTATTTTTACGTGAATTTCTCACGAGAGATGGCTCGTTTTTTGAAATACTGTATATAGCTACAGAAAATAATATAAGACAAATAGTAACTTACTATTTAAAAATTGAAGGGGTACTCAAAGCCTAAAAACAAAACAAATTTATGTATATAAGAGCAGTAGAAAAATATGATATAAATAATTACCTGAGTTCCAACAACTATTAAGCTTAAACTGAGAAAGACGTTTACGAACAATAGGACATAACCTCTGGCTACAATTGTCATTACAATTCCAGTAGCGAGTTTGCAATCTATACCAGTATTAATTATTACTTCACTAAAGGCTTGCAACATTAGTAAACCCTAAAATATTTATTAATAAGCCATGTGGTAATAAGCTGCTGTATTTTAATGGAGCACTTTTTTTTTAGTTGGTATTTTAAAAAGTATGTCATGTACAGGGTGTCCCATTTTCGTGTTTTTTATGGAGTTTCTCGTTTATGAGTAGGGATACAAAGATGAGATTGTCACATCACTGTGCTACTTGATGAAACTAAAGATGCTACACACATTTGTCCTAGCATTTTTGGCTCCGTGGTTTTCTTATAACATATCGAACGGTAAAAACTGAGTCCCGTCACGTAGAGTATTTTACATAGAAACCAGTGGCGTAACTAGTTTTTCGCTTGGAGCTACCATTTCCAAAATATAACTCAAACTTATGTATTTTTAAATTAGACATTCTGTATATTATTACCATTTTATTTAATTTAGTTTAAGCAGATAATTTTGCTTTCCATCATGTTATGTCGTATTGCTTCTATCGTGTTAACTGCACTAAAAATAAACTTATGCAGCTTTTAGATAACACGTTGTCAATCACAATTATTGATATTTTAATGTACTCGTACAATAATTCTACATACAGAGACTCGTGTGGAATAATCAATAACCAAAATTTGACATCGAATACTTGATTATTTTGACAACCTATTTTAAACCGGCCGCCTCTGTTGAAAAGTTAAATAATGTAATTTTTTTACCTTATGTTTAAAAATATGTATAGAGTATGTTATATTCTTAGAAAGCTCATAACAAGGCAAATAAAATAAAAATATAATATACAGAGTATCCCATTTGAAAAAAAAACATAAGTTTGGGTCGTATTTCAACAATGACAGCTCGCAGCAAAAAAATAATTACACTCTTGGAAAGTATAGGATAACCGAGATACGAGGGGAATCGAAAAATGTAACGTGTTTTCAATTTCCCCCTTAGGATTAGGACATTGAGGGATAGGACAAAGCTTTCTGTAGCATCTTTAGTTTTATAAAAAAGTAGCAGTGTTGTGATAACCGCATCTTTGAAGCTCTATTCATACGGAAAGGGGACACTCATTTTTGTTGTAAAATGGGGCACTCTGTAGAGTGTGTGGTAAGAAATTTGGAAACAAATGAGATAAAGTTTATTTTAAAGTACTTATACACATTTATTATTTATAAGTCTCTACCTCCTAGCAAATTGCTAATAAATAAGTGAAAATTTAACAGATATTTATTTAATAACCATTTCTTACTGTTATAGACACTAAAAATTTATATTAAAGACATAACAAACGTATTAAAATTACTAAGTATAAAATTACTATCGATAAGTTAAAATATTTCCACAAAGAATTCTACAAAATGTTTCAATTCAAGGCATTACTAATGAAAAATTGCTAATCACTCAATCAACTTTTATTCCTTTTAAAACAAATGATCCTCATAAAATTTTATTTACAACTTAAGATATTGATTTTGACTGAATTTTAGGATTAAATTTTCTTAATCATTATTGTACAGTTGATTTAAAAAATAGACAATTAATAAGAAACTTTAAAACGGTGCCTTTATTTAAAATTTAATATTCACTGAGGGAACAAAATTCAAATTCTAAATAAATTAAAAATCAAATAAATATTAAATGTTGAACAGAACAAATTTTTAAATTAAAATGTAATCCAAACCAAACCAAACTGTAATGGTATTCCTAAGTCAACTGATTTTTGTGAATTTTGTGATACACTGATTCAAATCAATCAACAACTGATATTCAAATCACAAATGGAGTATCATCAATTATTTTTGCTTCATATTATGTAATAGCCTTGTTTATATATTCTTTAGGCAATGTCGATTTTAATTGCATTTTTAGAAGAAATTATATTTAGAATAGATAATAATATATATTATTTTTGCTGTTCATGGATAAAATAAGAAAACGCTTGAAGGCGACATTTTAAGTAAGTTGTAGAAATATTAAATCATAAGTTGTTGTAATAAATACCTCAGCAGTTGTTTCTTCTTCTAGAGCTAGAGTAGTAGAAGGCTGTGTAATAGTAGCAGGCTGTGTAGTAGTAGAAAGCTGTGTAGTAGTAGAAGGCTGTATAGTAGTAGACACCGAAATTACAGTAGAAAACGTACATTCAGAAAAATCACGCGCTAATAATGCCAGAAAAACAATATCAATTATGCTTGTTATTATTATTATAATTCCCAAGATTACACTAACATACGCTTGTCTTCCTTTATTTCTTTTTAAAGCTGAAATGTTACTTAAAATTAATAAACATATCACAGTACAAATATAAATCTATACATATTATGTTATGAATGATTTGTCGAAGCAACTAAAATTTGCTTATACAGGGTGTCTCAGAAATAAGTGCAAGTATTTTATCTGGTGGTAGATCTGGTCAAAAGAAACATATTTTTTCTTGCCATTTTTACAAGAAATTGAAAATAACAGAGTTATTTAACTTTGAAATATTTGAAAAAAAAACATTGCAACATTTTGAGAACTTAATTAATTAAGAACCGGCTATTAAGCGCTAAAATTAACAGTGAATACAAATATGATGAATATGGATAATGTAGGAGGTGACAACAATGCAAGGTTTAGATATACCGCAGAGAAATCTCAGGTGAATAAACAAGTGGCACTTTTCCACTTTTCTGGAAAATGCCAAGAAAAATATAATATTTTCAACAATATTTTTTCCTAAAAAAACCTGGCGTATTTCTGGGGTCAAAATATACTACCGGTTAAAATACATACACTTATTTCTGAGACACCCTGTATAAGTATACTAATACTAATTCAAGATCTGTCATAAATGTGGATAACCTCATGAAATACTTCACATATAAGCTTACTTCGAGTTTTACTTATTACCGATTTTAAAAAAAAAATCCTCATATTTTCTTCTGCGCATGCGTAATATAGTTCTAGGAATAAAAAATACCCTAAAGCGGGGTTTCCACATGCAAGGATTGGAAACATGTAAAATCGACTGGCGCAAGTTTAGTGGCGCCACTATTTCATGTGCCAGTAAAGTTCAACGCTCCTGTACTTTTTGGCGCCAGTTTTGTGTGTAAACAATACTTCAAGCATCTCCAGTCGTACAAATGTCGTTTGTTTCAAAAAAGTGGTCTACTGAATTAATAATAAAGTTTTTGGAAGCCTACGAACAACATCCTTGCTGATGGAACAATAAAATAAGTGATTATAAGGACCGAAATAAAAGGGATGAAGCCTTAAGAAGAATTGTTGGAGTCATGTCTGATTCTCTCAGCAACTTTGATGTAAATTCCGCAAAGGCCAAAATTCGAAGTATTATAAATGCTTACACCCTAGAGCATAACAATAAGGTGTTAAAATCTCATAAAACTGACCGTAATGACATGCCAGTTTTAAATTTACTATAGACCTGTGGAAACGGGTAATGGCGCCATTTAATTGTGGCGCCAATAAACTGGCGAACACTGGCACCAGTAATCCTTGCATGTGGAAACCCGGCCCGCTTAAGTAAACTATAATGAATATCTACTACCCAACTTCAGACTACAGGGAGATACTAAGTTTGTTCCAACATAGCAGAGAACCGTTCTTGGTAGGGTTAGAATTATGTGCAGTACAGAAAATGCATTCCACCAACGAAAGAATCGTTCCAACAACAATATTTGTGAACCGTAGATTTCAATACCAGGCTAAAAGCAAGAATCAAAAGAACTGACCTGATTTTAAGACTGTATCTTAGCTGATATCATCCAAGATGATTTGAAACTTTTGTTAAAAAGTCGACACATGCGTACAAATCCGATGTCTGCGATCTCAATTACCATTCTAGAACAAATTTCTTTGTTGGAACTGAAACGTTGGAACAAACCTACTATTTTTACGAATCAAAGATCAGTCACAAGTTGCTTTCGGTTTGACTTCTAGGCAGTGGCGTTTTACAAAAAATAATTATTATATTTTTTAGATTTCTCTTTCAGTCACAATTTAGATTTCCCTACAACCAGAAGGGTACAGACATTATTTAATTATGTTTTACCTGAATATTGATCTATAGATGCTGCGACCCAAAGAGCACTTAATACAATATATATCCATCTTAATGCGTTAAATGATGCTGGAGTTATAATGTTACCATTTCCGGGATCTAAAAGAGAATTTAGTAAATCCAAGGTACTATGTATACAGATTGTTCCTTAATGACATGTTAATATTTAGGGGGTGATTCTTGGACAATTAAGAAAAAAAAAACTTTATATGAATGTATGTCCTAAACATCTTAACTTTTGAGATACAGGGTGGTAACATTTTATAAAAAATAATTTTCATAATAAGTCTGATAGTATTATAGATATCTTTATGAAAATTGATACAGGTCTTTTATGCATCAAAATGCATTTTTTGATGTACAAACAATATCAAAATATATCATTTTCTATATCCTCACTCATTTCTAAACAATTTTACTTTTTTGATTTTCTTTCTGCCGAGTTATTTTACTTCAATTGAAATCGCTAAGAATTGCATGCTTAGACTGTTGGATGGAAATTGGTTTTTACATCGTCTGGTAAGAAAATTAAGAGATAAATAAGAAAAATTCTGCACATAAAATACATTTTGATGCATAGAAACCGTGTATCCAATTTTATAAAGAAACTCACCTATAAAATGACTGTAAATAACACTTGAAATATATTCATTATAATTGGTGGGAGTCCTCTTAACTGATTCTGGAGTGTAATTTGTAACAACCAATGTTAATATACAAAGGACTAACCAAGTTATTCCTTGAATCTACAACATTGCATAACAAATCTATATGTATTCAGGGTGGCCCATTAGTAAGAGGAAGTCCAAGATCGTCATTTTTGTCGGAGTATGAGAAAAAGTTTTATATAGATATTGTATGGTTTATAAAGAGGCAAAAAGAGGTTAAAAATATTTTGTTGTATACAGGTTGTCACAAAAAAAGTTATGATAAAGTTTTAAGTTTTATTAAAATGCACTTCCCATTTTTCTGAAGATAATTGGATTCAGCATATCCGGCAAAACGTAAAAGTTTTTTTTATTTATTTGTATATAAAATTTTGTATTCAAATTTATTTCTGTTAAATTATGTAAGAACGGCTTTTTAATTTTCTTGATATTACCGGGAAAAAAAAAATTTAATGTTAATAGTAATTGTGCCTTTAAAAATGAAGACTAATATTATTTATTGTTAATGATTGATTACTAAATAAGGGTTAATATTAGTTATTGTTAGTGAATGTTAAAATGAATAATGGGGCAACTTATTAAAAAAAAGATTGACTTTATAAAGTAATTAATTTATATACAGGGTGGTCCATTAGTGTGAGAAAGTCCAATATCGTCGTCGTTGACGAAAACATGAAAAAAGTTTTATTTAAATGTTGCCTGGTCTATAAAGGTAGATGGCCTAAAAATTAATTTGGGTGTATACAAAGTGTCCCAAAAAAATATAAAGTTAATAATATAAGGCAAAATATATCATTAGGTGGCTAAAATTTAGAAAAGTGAAGTCTGGAATCAATCAACTTCACTTCATTGTGGAGATACTAAGTTAGCCGGCTCAGGTACCTATAGTCATATTTAACTGTTATGACTTTGCTGTTATACTAATACACGAACTATGATTTATTAATTTTCCTAGAAAAAAGTAAACAATATAAAGTAAGAGATAATATAAGCATAGTTATTGATAAAAGATTTTATCAGTAAGAAAATAATTTCTTACCTCATAAAAATACCTATCGTGACAAAAATGATATATTATAATAAAATTATCGCGTAAAACGGAGATAAGGTTAATTATTGTTATATTTTTTTCCGCGGCGTATTATGATTCACGGACGAATAAATAAATAATTCGTTTTCATATCTTCATTTACCTGAAAATTGTACATAAAATAGTTAACTCAATTGACTATAAATCCTTTTGTACTAATTCAAATAATTTGATAGATTTAAATATAACTTTCGTCATTTTTAACCAATAGCAGCTAACCCTCGTGACTGAAGCAAAAATAACTGATTGAACCCGTGTGTCATTCAAATATTTATCTTGTGTTCATATATTTAGTTCAATGTTTTAAATGTATTAATAGTTTTTTTATTAAAAGGGTTAAATTTTGTTTTAAAAACATGGGCTTGTATGAAACAAACTATAAAAAAATCGTCCATATATTGAGGTGATATCATTTCTATATATATTTTTATCCTCTAATTGCCCAATTTAAGTTTAGATTTTCTTTAAAAATATAAGGCCCGCTATAATAGTAGTTAGTTAAACAAATGTTTATAATACTTTCATTTTAATTTGACCAGGGACCATACAGAGGCAATATCTAACCAATAAAATCGGCTAGTACTATTGGTTAAAAGTTACAAAATATTATTTTTTATCTAGATGGCTGAAAAATTGGTGCACTTATATAAAATTAAATACGAAATAACTTTTTTTAATAAAGTTTTTGGAAATTCTGCCAGCAAACTTATTTTTTGGCCATTTGTTACTTTAAATGTCAAATTTGACCAATACCCAGATACAGCAAGCAATAGGCCACATTTTCTTAAGTAATTTTTCTAGTTCAAAGCAGAAACTATTACCCCTATTACCCTTGTTTGGCTATTAATAAAGTCAAATTTTACCTAAGTCAATAAGTAAAAAAGTTCCATATGATGATGCGGACTTTATCTCTGACCCTATACCGGGTGCGTCTCAAAAGTGGCTCACCCACTTTTAAGACAAAAAACGAGATTTGGTATCAGCAGTCGAAAACGGAAGATGACGCTAGAATAAAAGCTAGACATAAATGCCTCAAAATGAGAAAGTTATCGTACATGTACGCCTAATTTGTTTCAAATTCAGAATTATTGTCTAGTGATTCGATAATAATAAAAATTAGATTTTTTTACCCAAGTGCACAAAGGAGCTGTATATAACAATTTAGTATTTAGTTTTTGTTTTATTATATGTTAAGAAAGTACAAAGCGGTTTTTTGTTTGTTTTTAGGAATTTTCAAGAAACATATCGAATTTTGAATTTGTTTGCTATCAAAAAAACGTTTTTCTAACTTTTCTTGTATTGGGGAGTTTCCATAAAATGTGTCATATGAGTCTGTGAGTGTCAGCATAAATGTTAAAGAAAAGTAGTGGTAGCACAGTTAAGGGTTTGATATGCTATTTTTTTGCTGTTTTGAAGTTTGACCGTTGAAGTTTTATTCCATAATATATAGTATGTCACTGATATGCAGTGAATATCAATTATTACAAATAAGCTACCGGCGTCAACGATGGCTATGAAATGAAGATCGCTGTCATTTTATATGTAAAATTATATGGGAAATGTCATCGATCGTCATTTCCAAGCCAACTGCCGTTTTTTTTTTCGATCATACGGTATAAGCGTTCGTGAAAAGAGCTGTCATTTGCGGAAGATAGGGCAGTTCAAAACCAATTGTCACTTTTTACTGATATTAACATAATATCTTACCAAGCCTAGAACTGATGCTACTTTTGCCAAAAATTTTCCCTTGTCATTTAAAAACATATTAAAAATACTGATAAGACTTTTTATGACTTCCTCTTCTCCACTTATTTTTTTTTCGATGTTTCTAGCACAGTTATCTTATACACTACTAACGTCTACCTACTATATTATCTTGAAGTCTGAGAAATCTGACATAATTATAATTTGCTATCTTACTGAGATAATAGATAGAAATAATTAATAAATGCTTTTTACTTATTATCTATCTTCTCTATTATGTGAACTAATATCCTTGTTTAGAAATGTGTGAAAAGAGTATCTAATAATGTGAATGACAGATGCAAGATAATACCGCGAATATTTTGGTAGGTATCTATAAGTATGTTGTTATTTCCTTTGCCAACTTTATATTTTCATATATAATATAATCAGTAGATATTCTTACCTTTACATCAGCAAAATAAAACACTTAGGTATTCACCACAATACAGCAAAACACTTTACTTTTGCACTGAACGCGCGTTTCGCTTTGGTTTCGCTAATCATGTTAGCATAATCAGCAGATGATTAAAACTGAAGTAATATCTACAAATTGAAGCAATATAGGCGCTCAGTTGACACAGACCAAGAGTGACAAAACTAGCCAAGCGAGTCAAAACCAACTGAGCGCAACAACCAGTGATCGAGTCTAGAGCAATAGAAACAGACAACTGGAAGGAAATGGACCAACTGTTCATATTATTTTTACATTTATTAATTTTGAAGCTCTCATATGCATCTAATTGCCTGTAAATACCCGACCTTTTTTTATAAAATTTCATGTAAAGATGATGATCAGAAATATAGTGGTTAAACTAGAAGATTAGTATTAACTAGATTTAAAGGACATATATGGCTCAGATAAGATATGGAAGACCGGTCTTGCGGTGCTCAACATATTGTCGATAAAGATCATTGTATACCTAGATATTAATAATTTAAAATTAATTAAACAGCTCTCAAATTACAGGCAATTAGATGCATATGAAACCGTCAAAATTAATAAATGTAAAGATAATATGTTCCTATGCCCTATAGTTCCACAGGAGTTTACTGTCCAGAGTTATTCCCAGATATTTGACTGTAATGGCAGTATTTCTTTTCCATCTATGTGGATTCTTTCCAGGTTTTTAGACTTTTTCTAGTGAATGATACTGCTGAGAGTCCTACATCATCTCTCAGTGATGCGCAGCCCTCTTTGGATAATATCGCACAGGGTTCCTTCATGTTTCTCCCTAGCAATCATGACTATGTCGTCTGTATAAACTATGCACTGTATTCCCGCTAGAGTTACTTTTTCTAGTAGTCCATCCACTACCAAGCTCCACAGCAGGGTTACTTCACACTGTGACTGTAGAGTTCCTTGCGTGGTTCCAGCCGGTACAGTTCTGGTACTTACCTGGGCCCCTGCAGCATTTCAAGAGTTATTCGACAAGACAGCAAAAATGGGATATTTTTTACACTTTCTTGTGTTTACATTTCAAACAAATTTTAACTAAGAAATAAATAAGACTAGATTTATCCATGAAATCATTAATTTTAATTTAATTGACAGATAAAAAAAACGGCGTCAAGTTATCTTAAAAATTACGATTGATGATTTTTTATGTGTAAAATCCTTGATTATGGATTATAGACAAGGGTAAAATTATATGGTGAATGTAACCGGTTTTCATTTCTAAGGTAATAACTTAATGCCGATTTTTTTAATCATGTAATATATGTACTTGGAAACAGACAGGTTTAAAAAACAATTTAAATACATTATAACAAATATTTAGTACTATGTGAATTTTTAAAATTCGTTTCGAGTTAGAAAATCATGTATTTTTTTGTATTCAGAGCTGCAAGCTCACAGAAAACTTAAGTCTTCTTTTTATTTAAATCTCTCTCATTTTAATGACTTAAGTCATTTGATTTTAACTTATTTTTCGAAAGCTGACTTAAGACTAAATTTAAGTAATGTTCAAAATGATTTGTGATTTAAATCTTTATTCCAAAATAGAAAAAGAATTAAGTCATTAAAAAAGGTTTAAGTCTTTTAAAAGGTTTAAATCTTTTAAGAAAAAACTTAAGTCATTAAAAATATTTAAGTATTTTTATGAAAGACTTAAGTCACATTTTTATATAGCTTTATGATAAATTTTTAACAGCAACATTTCTTTTTAATCTGTATGTGGCAGCCAGGCAGCAGATAAAAAAGCAACACTCAATACTCTTAGCAAATAAAAAGTTAGTTTTTCGGAACCGGTTTTGATTATTTGTCATGTTACGCGTGCTTAATCAGTCTCTTGTCTTCCAAATGAATCAAGTGAATCCCCGTCCCGTTATATAGCCGGAAAGATGAACCAACTGATCTCGAATATATTGAAGAGTACCTTAAAATCCCCCAGCTCTTAGCTTATGCCATCGACAAATTACATAGTGATCAAAACATATTACCACTTTTTCTTTTTAATGAATATGTATTTGATGACATCTAAACTGTAATGGATACATATATACAGAGGTGGATGGGCCATATGGGAAAACGGGAAAATTCTCGGTGGGCCGGTGGAAAGATGGGCCGGGGGGCCGGGCCGATCAAAGCTCAAAAAGAGATTGGATTAGCAAAAATTAAATGGTTAATCTTCTAACTAAAGTGACGTAAGATCCTTAGTGACTCTATAACTAACTAATCAATTTGAATCAGTATAAACGTTAGTTGCTTTTAAACATAAAAACCAATTTGTAAAATAACTATTGTAAAATGTCTTTCTCTGGGACACTTATAATTTTAATAATCATCTGTTGTTTGTTCGGTTTAAATTTTTTTATTATACAAGGTGAGTCTATAAGTGCAAATATTTTCAGGGCTGGTAGATCTCAATAAAATAAACATAATATCACAGATAACACACTCACAGATTATATGTTATCTGTGTAATATATTCTCTTTACCGAGTTTCAAATAAGTCCAATAGAGTTATTAATGTTTGGAAATTAAAAAAAAAATAGATTTATTTAAAAAAAAATGAGCCACCTCAATTTTTCGGTATTTGCATCTCTTTTAGTGCCGTAATATCAGAGATTAAGAAACTATACCGTGGGGAAATTTGCGGTGAACAGGAAGTTACAGGAACTAAAAAGTTTTCTAAAATATACAGGAATATTTAAAAGAAAATGCTCGATTTTTAACATTTTTTTTTGCAAAAAAAAACTCATAGACGTGTTCCTGGGGTCGAAATATACCACCCCTGAAAATATTTGTATTTATTTAAGACTCACCCTGTATAGTTTTACCCACTATTCTTTATTAATAACTAATAAATATGACTGACTGGCAGCAGAAAAAAGAATGAATAGCATTAGGTAAATTTAAATAGTCTCGATCTAAATGGGGGCCTCGGTGCAATATTTTTTGAGCTCCACTTTGTAAAAAGGTAGACGAATTTGACGCGAACTCTGCGGTTGACGGAGAAAACATATATATGTTTGGTTTGAATTGGAGACGGACTAAAAGCCAAGTCTGACAACTAAAAGCCAAGTCTAAATTGTTTTAAACGTTGCTAAACTGAATTTGGTTTGGTAACTAAAAATTACTGAGACAGCAGAGATAAGGTTTAAACTAGATTAGATAATAAAATATTAATATGTCTCGTAAATCCAAATATTCTTATTATGGACTGTAACATAGCATTACATCAGAACACATTTATATCCACTGCCTAGGTGTTGCCTAGGTTTTTTTCTTTTGAGTCATGGCATTATCATACAAGATGCCAAATGTAGAAAAGCACTTATAGAGGAAAATTTTCGTGATAAGAACTATATAATAACCTAAAAAATGCTGCAGTTAGAAATACGTATACACGACGAGACTGCTGCTAACCTAACAGAAAAGAGAGAATTTCTTTCTATAATGTGTAAGAAAGTATTTACCCGAGAAGCTAAATGTAATGTATTTCTTAAATGATGAAGTCTTAAAGTTTCTCAAAATCGTGCCTCAAAATCGTAGCCAATTCAAGATCAAATTACCGTTATCGATAATGGAAATAAAGCAGTAGAACCCTGTAAAACTAAACCATTTTATAGTAAAAATTCAGATGACCGACCCAATATTGGTCTTTACGAAAATTTTGATCAAGACAATTTTTTTTTTAAACCGGAGGCAAAAGAGCTTTTTCGCACGAGCGAAAAACACCCTTACTCATATATTAACAAATAAAATATGTTTCTCGTTATGGTCATTTTGTTTTTATGGATTTGGGCCGGTTGTCTGTTTTTCCCGGGCCGGTTTCCACTTTCCCATCCACCCCTGCATATATAAGTCATACAAAATGGGTTAATTTAAAGAAAACATATTTTTGTGTTTGTAGTTATTTTGAAAGTTAACCGTTTTATTTTATGTGGTTTTAGTATCATTTGTACCTACAATAAATTAATATAGGTACTAAGAAAAAGGCTAATCGCTAATACAAGAAAATTTATATTAAAATTAAAAATAGGTACTTAAATTGAATTTTGGCTTTATTGACTTGATGTTATAATTATTATGATTTTTGTCATTTTGTCGACTTAACTCGCAGATCATCGTGATTTAAATAAAAATATAGACTTAAGTCATAAAAAGTATCTAAATTACATTAAATTGATTTTAAGTCTTTACGAAAATGATTTGACTAGAAAGAAAACGATTTAGTCAATGACTTAAAATTTAAATAATTTAAACTTTATGTTGAATTCGACTTAAGATTTAAATCAATTTGATTTTAGAAATGACTTAAGACTTTTAAGTCATGTTGAATCTGACTTATTGCAGCTCTGTATGTATTATATGAAATTTTTAATTATCTATTAAGCAACTCGATATAAAAAAGCGTATAAATTATTATGTTACGTTTGTTCATATTGTTTTTGACCTTAACAACATCAAACCATTAACAACTCATAATCTAGTTGCTTCCGAATTGGAACTAGTTTTATTCAGTCCTTCACTTCTCGAAGATCGTCTACGGGCACTGTAGTAACCAAAATTAGAATCTGTAGGGCTCACATCGCTCGGTCGGGGACTCTGAAATAATCGAGTCTCGCCCATATCAGGTGTAGTCGATTCCAAACATTCACAACTGACACTTGAATCTGCCAAAGTTTCACTGGGATAGTTTGAAACGGATAATAAACTTTCAGTCGATTTAGTTGATTGAAAATATCGCCTCTGAGTATGCGGAGTATATTGAGTAGTTTTATCAACTCTAACGTATTGCAGCGTCGTTTGAGGTTGCTTTTGAGGATTACGAGAAATATTTGCCTGATACCCAAATCCATATCCTCCAAAAGATTTATTTGTTAAGTTATCCCAAGATTTAGGCTTAACTTGATTATACGGCATATAAACTGGATCATGGGAATATTGTGAGTGTTGTGAGTATCTTTGAGTAGGCTCATGCTTATTTAAGTTTCCTTTTTGGCTCATTTGTTTAGGAGTAGTATCACAGGAACCGTCCCAATATAACGTATCTGTACTTAATGATGTCGTGTAACTATTAGCACTGCTATCGCCTACTGTTGTTGGCATTACGTTGCTAATTTCACTAGAAGTACAGGAATGAAGACTGCACTGACTAACTAAAGCACTGCTTATATTAAAATAGCGTCGAGGCATTGATGCGTAAATATGGCTGTTTCCTGTCGAGGACGTCGGAGTGATTTGGGAATGAGGCCTCGATCGGGAAATCTGAAAAATACATATTTTTGTATTATAATAGAAAAATAAATATGTAAGGCAACGCGGTTCCTACAAAAAAAGAGCAAAATGTAAATATCTCTAATATTTTACTTAGATATGTACTGGGTGTCCTATTTTCGTATGTTTTATGGCCATCCTTAATTTCATAAAAAAGTAACACAGTGGCGTGAAAACTGCATCTTTGAAGTTCCACTCATAAACAATAAATCCTGCAAAACACACGAAAATGGGACACCCTGTATATGGTTTATTATAGGCTTGACGTATTTCAAGACAAAAATTCGACAGCAGCGCTCAATACGGTAGAAATCAGAACTGTCCCTGTTACTGTTCATGCTGATCGCATTGAAATCATAATGAAATCTTATATATATTATAATATTTAAGTATTTTGATTTTACTAGTGCAGTTACTGATACTATACACTTCTACGTATCTTATTGTAAGTAAACGACTAAATTCATTCCAAAGTAGTATGAGTAATGTGGTCAGGTATTAGTCGTGTAGTAGACGTTTTAAACATATATTATTATACAATACTACACTTACTTGTTGAGGTTCAGTCTGAGTTTCTTCAGTCTTTGATTCCTTTTTTCTAGAATGGGAGTCTTTTTGACTTCTCGATCTTCTTCTGACTGGAACACAGTGAGAATTACAGCAAGGGCTTGCTAAATCGTAGGCCTCTAAACTCGTATTGTCTCCTAAAATTATGTAACTTACTTAATTATCAACAACATTCAAAAAACTCAGCAATCCTTTTGAAATTTTAAAAACTTTTTTTGATGGCATCCTGGTGAACCCAAATTTAACCACATGTTCGTATGTATTGCAGTTACCCAGATACCAATGCTCGTACCCCGAATTTGTAGCACCCTGTATAATTATCTAGACTTCTTTAATTTTTAATATTTCTTACCGTTATTAGGATTCGCTTTTATACAAGGATTACATAAATGACCACTATAACTATGGCACGGTCCGTGTCCCTTCTTTGACTTTTCTGAACTACTTTGAAATTTTGATTGCTGTTTTTGAGGAGTAGGATCACAAGGAGTTTTAACTATAAAACTTTCATCTCTTTTGTTTCTGCATCTAAAAAATATAGAAATTATAGTAATTTACACCGCATAGAATATTTATATGATAAAATAAATAATTACAAAATTCGCCAATAAATGTTGAATCATTATATTAAAAATTAATTTCTTACATTTTAATGGATTCCCCCGTATTTTGTTATAGATTTCGCTTTCCGCAAAAATTGATGAATAAATAACCGTCCAGGTTTTTCAAAGATTATAGGTATTTGAAATAGATAGCAACTTGCCTTTAAAATAATTAATCTTAGCATAGAGTATTTGATATTAAAATTTATCATTAAATCTTTAGTACAAAAACATTTCTAATTTATGATTTCAGTCAACTAATTATCTAATCAAGATGTTAAATTTTTGTCAATAATCGATAATAATGTTGATAATTTTGATTCCAAATATCCCGAGAACCATTACTCGCAGCGATTTTTACTAAGAGATTTTCTTACGTTAAAAAAATATAAAATACTTTATCACTCAGTTGTTTTATAGAGATACGGACACGAAAAGTTATTACTCTTCAAAACAGTTAAAAAATATTTAGGTGGCGCCCCCATAAGTAGGAGTCATATTGACATCTAAATCAATTATCTCATGTCAAAAAACTCATGAAACAATATCAATGTTAGCTCAGAAATTATTTGGAAAAAATCGAAATAAAAATAATATTTCTACACCCACTGTATCACCGACGTGACGCGAAGCATTTTAGGACATACATTTATACGAACTCTTTTTATTTATTTTTATCTGCCGAATTTGTTGTAGGAGTTTCCCGAACACAATTCGGACCACCCTGTATATTTATACAAAACCTGCTAATTTTTAAAAACTGTATAACATTTGACAGAAATATTCATCTTATAACTTATAACATACCGTTGTGGCTCATAGGTTAATAAATATTCTCCACTAGAACTGCTAGAAGGTTGCAACATGTACCGGTAAGTACTATCCAAGTACTGATAAGCAAAAACTAATGGTGGTGTTGGTTGTTGTTTGCACTGGATTATTTTTGCGACATCTTCTGTTGAAACTGTTGGTCTACAAAATGTATAATACCCTAAAAGAAAATATCATACCAGAACATTGAATAAACCTACAAACCTAGTTTTGGTTTATATGAAATACCTTGAGAATTTGAAGGTCCGCTGTTGTTACTTTGTGCTTTTTTTCTAGCTGGGAGACTGTGCGTTTTCCACTTTCCTTCCAGAAGTTGTCTTTCTTTGATGCATAATCGCTCTAACTGTTCCATTTTGCTTTCTAATATATTTTGCAACTTAATATAACGCATATGGAGTTCTACCTAAAAACGAATATTTGCGTAGAAATGGAAATTGTAATACTAAAAGTATTAATATTTAATATTGTTTGTTCAGCCATCGTTCAACGTGACGTCATATATTCTCGCACTCTCTCTTTCACTTGAATACCAGATGAAACAGATTGGTGTGACGTCATTACCCTATTTCGTAAATTACTGCACATTGTTTTTAGTAATTGTCATTGTCATTTGATTTGGGGTCATATTTAAACGGCGGAAAACGCATATTTTTGACAAATAATGATGACGTATCGTTGAACAATCGCTGAACAGACATAGATATATCCTATTATAAATTAATGGAGAGTGTTGTTTCTTTTCTAATTACCTTCCTAACACAATCTTCAAATAAAACAACCATTCTCATACGAGATTCACAATTTTTAATAAAATTTACTAAAGTTTTATGATCAGATTTTTCCATATCTGTTCCGTTTATGGATAGAATAACATCACCCTCTCTCATTCCAGCCCTAAAGAATACATATTTTTCTAAGTTGTTATAATGGCACAGACAATATGACTAAATGTACAGACGGTGTCCCATTTTCGGATCTTTTAAAGTGTTTCTCGTTTATGACTAGAGCTACAAAGATGCGGTTTTCACATCACTATGCTACTGTTGTATGAACATAAGATTTTTTTTAAATGGGATACACTGTATTAGTGATGGGTTGTTATTTAACTGTCTGTTATTTTATAACAATTATTTAGAAATAACATAACGCAACCGTTACTACTTCTAAAAAATAACAGATATAAAATAACGACACGTAGACCGCTCGTGAAACGAAGTCGGCGCTCTGCACCGCCACGAAATTCTATGCAGCTCGAAGCAATTCCAAAAAACAACTAGTATGGATGGAAAACATGTTATTTCGACAACCATCGATACAGGCGGCGAGATACAACCTGATACAACGGATAACGGAGTGGGGAATGTGGGGGAATGCGCTACGGCGAACGTAGCTGCATCGGTCGATGGTCGCGTTGGGCTTGCAATGGCTCAAAATAATAGGATATAAAAGAAGCAGCTTTTTTGAAACAGTTGCGCGCATAACGCCTGGCGGTCGAGATAACAAGAGTGGGAAAGTAACGCTGCTGCATCGGTCGATTGTCGATGGAGGCTCGCAACGGGTTGGAGAATAACGTATAGAAAATAAGCAGTCATTTTAGATACTTTGTTTTAAGTACCTAATAAAAAATGGAAATAACAATTTATTACAGTTGAGGGTTGGAACCTTTGGTGTTACACAGCAAAATAAAAACACTAAATCACCACAATACACCAAAACACTTTTACTTTTACACTGGACGCGCGTAAACTTCTGAGAGTTTATAATCATCTGCTGATGATGCTAACATGGTTAGCGAAACGCGCGTCCAGTGTAAAAGTAAAAGTGTTTTGGTGTATTATGGTGATTTAGTGTTTTTATTTTGCAATAACAATTTAATTAATTATTTAGTAATATGTATATTTTTCTAAAGAAATGCTTTAGAAAAAAAAAGTTTTGAGTTTTTCTAAATTTTCCCAGTCTTAAATTATTACAATACAGTAGTTGCAAAGTCATAGTTTTGTATTTTTCACCACTGTCTAAGACTATTACTGTTATAGATGGTGATAAGAATAAAAACACTATGTTAAAAAAAAAGCTGTTTAAAAGGTAGCAAACACATTGAGTATAATATTAATTTTAAATAATTATAATAATTAAGTACATATATTTGTTGGTTTTGCTGCGATTTAAAGCTCTTCAAAAAACAAATTTACTATTCAGAGATAATGATACAACAAACAATAGATACTAAAAATACACCAAATAAAGATTACTTTTCAACTACTAAAACAAGTAAAGGCTAAATTATACAGACTTCAAATTATTTGGAATCGCACTAAGAAAAATTAATCTCTTGAAATACTATAATTAGATATTACCCCTGTTTATACAGTATGTCCCCTGATTGTCTTTATAAGAGGAAATAAAGAAACCTGTTATTTTTAAGCTGTTATTTTAAGCTGCTTTTTATAAATAACTATAACAGTTTCAACTGTTATCTAAAAACAACAGTTTTGCCCATCACTACACTGTATATTATATTTTTATTTGATTTGTCTTGTTATGAACTTTCTGAAAATATACATACTCTGCGTATTTTCATAAACAAATGATTTTTTTTTAACTTATTGTAAACGTAAAACCGAATTTTTATGGTTTATACCTATAAGCTGGTCCATCATAATCTACATAGTCTACATATGTTATCATTTCGATTTCCTTCTCTTTTTTGTAATGTATCCCGTAACTCTGAATCGTAAAACCAAAATTCCCATTCTTTTTTTCGACAATTATCGTTCGCCTTCTGCGATCTTCTTCCGGTTTTGTCAGAATCACTTTATCCGATTGTACTCTTTCTAGAATTTGAGCCTAAAAAATAAAATGTTGTATTTTACATATAGTTTTTCTTAATTTTTGTAATGAAGTACCTATAACAAAAAAAAACGGACAAGTGCGAGTTCTCACCCACCAAGGGTTGCGTACAAAGGGTAGAGCCGGATTAATATGTGAAATCTGCCCCCGCGGCTTTTTTGACTCTGACTCAAGGGATCGAATTGGTGTCGAATCAGAATAATTCACGTAAATTTTTAGCTCTTTAACTCAAACTTCATTTTTTAACCTTTTTGAAATATGTCACTTACTAAAAATGGCCAGAAAATCTTTTATACTTCTTTACACTCAGGAATTTTTTAGAATTTTTTGAAGTGGTGGATCAATATTAAAAACTATTTTTTTCCAAAATCTTATGTTTTTTTTAACTCACTTATATTTTTGTTTAGTTTAAAAAAGTGCGTAGAAAATATTTTTTCATTAAAAATACATCCTTGCCAGAAATAAACATAAAAATTATTATAAAAAAATGAGTCCGAGAAGATTTTAGAAAAAAATTAGTTTTTAATTTTTTCATATTGTTCCACCACTTCCAAAAAGTCTAAAAAATTCCTGAGTGTAAAGAAGTATAAAAGACATTTTCTGGCGATTTTTAGTGAGTGACATATTTCACAAAAGTTAAATTGAAGATTTTAATTTTCTTTCCTCCGCTAAAAATCGTTTTCTCTTTTAAGAATCATGATCATATTATTTTTTCATGTCTTAGACTTCTAAGAATTAGAAAAAAAATCATCATTATTAATTAATTTTGAATTTTACTGTAAAAATAAAAATAAAATTGAAAAAACAGATTTTTTCGAAAATCTCGAAAACCGTTTGAGTTAAAGAGCTAAAAATTTAGGTGAATTATTTTGATTGGATACCAAATCGATCCCCTGAGTGTGTACGTACCTATCTATACTAATATATAAAATCCTTAAGTGACTGACATACTGATTAATCACGATCCTGCTCAAACCACTCAACGTAAGAAGCTCAATTTTGGCATACAGGTTGATTCTAGGGTGCAGAGGTTCGATAAGAAGGGATTTTTCGAAATTCCAGTTCCAAGAGGGTGAAACCACCCCTCAAATATTACAATATTTTTTATTTAAAAAACGGTCAAGTTTCCGAAAAAACGCTTAAACACGTATATTTTATTTTGTTTTTTACATATTTTAAGATTTTTTAAAAATGTATACAGGGTGTTTCGAAAAATCTGGTCATTGATTAATCACGATCCTGCTTAAAGCGCTTGACGCATAAAGCTGATTTTTGGAAAACAGATTGACTTTAGGGTGTAGAGGTTCGATGAGAAAGGATTTTTCGAAACTCGAATTCTAAGGGGGTGAAACTATCCCTCAAATATTAAAATATTTTTATTTAAAAACCGGTTAGTTTTTCGGAAAAACTCTTAAACACGTATATTTTATTTTGTTGTTTTACATATTTTAAGATTTTTTATAAATTTATACAGGATGTTTCATAAAATATGACCATTGAGTAATCACGATTCTGCTTAAACTGCTTGACGTGAAAAGCTTATTTTTGACAGACGGATTTTTCGAAAGTCAAATTCCAACGAGATGAAACTACCCCTCAAATATTACCAAGTTATATAATAATATCGCCATATTGTTTTTTCTGATGCTGACATAAATGTGAGAAAATTTTATCCAGTTTTTAATGGAAATTCTTGCTTTGCTGTATCATCACCATTACAAATGATTAATTCGACGCGAACGAAATCGCTGGTACACGCTAGTTACTTATAAAAAGGAGAAAAGAATTTCATTCTTCCTCATAGATCGAAAACTATACATAAGCAAAATTAAAAATATTTTTAGCTGGTGCCAAAGAAGTCCCTTCATACTATACCCCACATGGCACGATTAGTTTTATAAGGTCAACGGAAAATGCCTTATAAATTTTGAAGGAGTGTCAAAACATAGTTTTTTTGTGGCATAGACACATTTTTTTAGGAAAATATTTCGGTAATATGTGGTAATATCACAATATGCAAGTTCCTGGTAAATCCTGTAAATTCTAAAAATTATAATAAATCGAAAAAAATTGAATACTTTAATCCCTTGTGGCTACGAAACAAAGCAGAATCGGACCTACATATATGTTAATATAAAAAATAAATCTTATTTTTACGTGAGGAATTTCCCCACGAGAGATGGCACCTTTTTTTAAACATCCTGTATAAAATTAATATCTGTAAAACTTTTAATAAATGAGTTTTATGAAAAAAAAACTGTAAAAGAGTTTATTTTGAAAAAAAAACGAAGAACCATATTATACTTACTGGGCTAGATATAGAGTCACTACATTCGTCATCGCTGTTTTGTATTTGCGATTGGATATTTTGATGACTCTGTCGTCGCATTATTTCGGAGGGGTACTTGTTATTTAAACGAGAATAATAATTTATTCAGAGACATTTTGGTTAACGCTCGCAAACACCACCACGAGAAACTACACTAAATATATATTATATCGTTCACTTTTGTTCTAAAAATCATCTTTAAATATTATATGTATTTGCGGATAATAATTATTGCACTTCAGTCTTCTGAGCACTTCATCTCCTATTGTTAAATACAAATAAAGGAATGCCTAGCTGGTTATACGGTTATTGAAAAAAATAAACTATAATATATAATTAAGACACGTAAAGCCAATAAAACTTAGATTAATTTATTAATAAAATAGTTCAAAAAGAGATGCTGAACCAGTAACATTATTTGAGAGGCACTAACAGCTGTTCTATGTAGGCTGTAGTTTTTTACCTACTGGTGCGTCGCGTAGGGCATCGCGACGCCGCGACGCCTGTCTGAATAGTATTGACTCGGCGCACGATACAGGGTGTTCTACCAGTCTAATTGGCGGCTGCGGCTCTACATTCACTGGGCGGATATTTTTCGGTCTTCAAAATGTCCCATTATTTACCGAATCTTTAATATTTTATGGCACTGACAAAATATACAGGGTCTAAATAAATAATTGCGAAGAAATTCAGTAGGTATATTATTATATACAGGGTGACCCATTAATACGAGGAAGTCCAATATCGTCGTTGTCGACAATGATATGATAAACTATTTTATGTAGATGTTGCATGGTTGATAACGGAGCGTTTCCTAAAAATATTGTGTTTTATACTGGGCGCCCCAAATAAAAGTTATAATAAAGTTTTAAGTTTGTTTTAATTGCACTTCCCATTTTTCCATACATATCTAATTAGATTCAGCATAATTCTGCATTTAGTACACTATTTTTATTTGAAGCCCTAGTCGGTTTGCCATTCTATTTCTTATTTACTAAAACTATATGGTTTAAAACACTACATATATCAGAAAAGTTGTAAAAAAATGTGAATGAGTGAATCTATTTTTATTAATATTTAACTATATTTAGAGCTTTTCCCGAAATTCATTTTCCGAAACCTATAATTAAAACTATACATCATAAAAATAATTAAAAAATTGTTTAAGCTTGTGCCAATGAAGCCCTTTCATACAATATCTCGCATGACATGGTTAACTCAATTCAAAATTTGGACTGCCGCTCCTTGCATAAAGACCCTGTTCTTTGGCTTTGGTGAATTAATTAAAAATATACGGCTTTATCACGGCTCTTATCTGTACAAATTAGTAAAAGATTAAAAAAAGCTGGCCAAGTACAAAGAATGTCAGAGGAGAGGCTTCCAAAACAGATCCTCAACTGGACACCAACCAATGAGCTAAAAGAACGAGGGCTCGAAAACGACCTCTGGCTAGATAGGGAGCAATGGCGACTGGGTATCGGAAGACGTCGAAGAACGTTTTAAAACCGATTGATATACAGGGTGGTCCGAACTGTATTCCGGAAACTTCGGCAGCATATTCTGCAGATAAAAAAAAGTAAAAAAGTTCGTATAAGTGTAGGTATGTCTTAAAATATTTAATTTCGGAAATACAGGGTGTAGTAGTTTAAATTTTATTTTGAACTAACGTCAATATTTGAATAAAAATCGGGGTCTTTATGACTCCTATTTGTAGGGGGCGTCACCTACATGTTTTAACTGTTTTTAAGAAGGGTAATAACTTTTCGTCCGTGCCTGTACAAAACTACTGAGTGTGAAAAATATACATTTCCATCATTTTTTACATAAAAAATCAATTTTCAAAATTTCTTGACTGAAATGATAAATTTAAAAAAAATTATATTTTTAAATTAATCACAAATTTTTCTTCCGAAAAATGATAAACTTTTGGCACAAAAAAAATTCAAATTTATGATTTCAGTCTAATAACTACCGTATGATCGAATAAAAACGGCGTCAGCGATGGCTATGAGATGAAGATCGCTGTCATTTTATATGTAAATTTATATGGGAAATGTCATCGATGTTCATTTTATAGCCATCGCTGACGCTGTTTTTATTCGATCATACGGTATTTAGTCGACATATTTAATTTATGCCAATTAGGATGGTATTGATAATTTCGATTCCAAATATCTCGAGAACCATTATTCATAGCGATTTTTACCAAGAGACCTTTTTTACGTAAATAACGTCGCAAATGTATATTTCTTTACTCACTAGTTTTATACAGGTACGGACGAAAAGTTATTAGTCTTCAAACCGGTTAAAAAAGGTGTAGGTGGCGCCCTCTACAAGTAGGAGTCATATTGACATCAAAATCAAATTTCTCATGTCAAAAAACTCGCAGATACTAATTTTCAACCAAATATTGACGTTTACTTCAGAAATTATTTGGAAAAAATAGAAATAAAAATGAATCTTCTACACCATGTATCTCCGAAACTAGGAATTTTAGGACATACATTTATAGGAACTTTTTTACTTATTTTTATCTGCAGAATATGCTGCTTAAGTTTCGGGAATACAATTCAGACCACCCTATATAAAAATCTACAATATTTGGTCACCCATACAATTATGACCGCGCATACCGTTGCTTAACCTCGATGATTGATTACGTACTTTAAATAAAGACTATATTTTTTATGATTTAATTACATAATCTATTGTTTTCAGATTTTTCCCTATATTTGTATAAGACGGTATTCCCAGAGGTATTACTTGCCAAATTTCATAATTCTAGGTCAACGGAAAATACTCTATAAATTTTGATTCCCTTAAGAGTGTCGAAATATACGTTTTTTGCGGCATAAACGGCCGTATATTTTTTTACGTTAACTGAGAAATTTGATTTTTTTCACAGCTTCAAGGGACTTTGTCTGTAGACATGGGTATATGGTTTTAAATTCAACTCGATACCTCTAGGCGTTCCCGAGATAAAGGGTGTTAAGAGACAGACGGACGGACGGACAGACAACAAAGTGATCCTATAAGGGTTCCGTGTTTTTCTTTTGATGTACGGAACCCTAAAAACATGTAAAACTTATTCATAAGGGAATGTTAAAAGCAACAAATAAAATACTCACATTATATATGTCCATAAGTATCAATAATTTAGTTCAATTGTAAAGTGGTAGTAAAGTGTGCAACCCCGTACATGCATTATTTTTGAACGTATTTCAATCTATTACTTTTTTATTTACACTGCAAGTCACTTGAAATAATTTACGCACTGAAACAAAAGCACTAAAAACAAATTGTATCATTTTCAATCAAAATTATTCAGTGTAGCCTATGTTCCTAGTTGCTAATATGGAATCAAAATCATTCTCTCGTTGGAGACCTCGAAATGCAAAAAAATGTTCTGACCGTACGCAAAACCTTCACCGCGATTACCAATTGTTTATTTTAATTATTTTATGCGCGCGTTGATATGTAAATGTTTTTCGTCAAAATACAGTATACTAAACTTAAAATACACTACATCATTAACAATATTGTTGGTTTTACGTTCATTTATCGCGTTCTACACACGATAGGCTGAACACCCTGTTTACAATGATGTTTACTGACTTTTTTATCGGTTAAACAATTCTATTATAAAATAGGCGGTGAAAGTTCTATACATATTCACCTATTACTGAATGTATTCTGCATACAAAGATTTATTATTCGGCTACTAAAAACGGACCGGAAATAAAACACATATATGTATTAAATTGATATCTATGTAGAATATATTTATTATACCTCATAGTTTATGAATTATCGCTGGTCAAAGTTCTTCAGTTTCGACTGTGACTGTCTAAGAGATCATTAAAATTCTAAGGTACTAAATCTTAAATATTTAAATTTAAAGTTCCACAATCTTCAACCTTTGAATTTCAGGTAATTGTAAGCTTATAACGGAAGGAAAAAGTGAAAAATCTCGAAGTATCCTTATGGATTAAAAGTTAGGCAAAAAGTTTTTCCTAGATTTATGTAAGAACAATATTCGAATTGTCACGGGGTTTTTAACAGGACACTGTCTCTTCAATGAACACCTCAGTAGATGGAAAATGGAAAATGGGGTAGTCTCTGCTGCTTTGGAGAAAGGCCTGCACGACTGTTTCGCTGCACTGACCGGATGATGGGAACCGTTGTTGTCCGACTAGCGAGTAGAAATCTCCTGAAGACTCCACAGATCTCAGCATCGGGATCTCAACACCGGTGTTTATCTCGACACCGGTGTTTATCTCGCCACCGGTATCGCGATGAACACCGGTGTCGGTTTCGATGTCGATGTCGATGGTGCCGTTTTTTTTATTAAGGCATAAATAATAAAATAAAACTGTTAGATAATATGAGTTTATTTACTAAAAGTTAATTAGTTTTTTTAAGTAAATCAAACATTAATATCTGCAAATAAATATCACATAATAAAAGTATTTAAATTTCGACTTAGTAAAATATCGTGAACTAATTTTACTAAGCCATAAAAACTATACAAAACGAAATAAAAGTAAATAAAAATATGCACATTTCAGTTATATTTTATTAAAACTGAAATCTTTTTGTAACATGTTATTTCTTTGTCTAATTAGATGTCTTGTTCTTGGAGAAAGAGGTGGTGAATAATCTGGCCTTGGAATAAAGGGTGGTGGTATGTATGACTCCACGTTGTCATAGACTGTCTGCTCTGGATTCTTCGTTTGTATACTCGATGAAGATGGTGTAGTGTTATCTATAGAACAATTCGAGGAAAAATTAGAGTTAATTTTGATTGTACCTACATCAAGTTTCCAATTTTAGTATTTCATACATGGAATCAAAACGTTTACTTCTATTAATATAATGGAAGTAATTACGCCTCCCAGGAAGAAATTTATAAATAGAAAATCTGGTATAAAATAAAATTGTCACAAAATAAATTAATAATATCAATCAAAATAGAAATCCAGAACAATCTAAGTTTATTTTTTCCATATTTTTTTCACAATACCTTTGAGAAAATTTAATTTAAATCTATTTATTTAAATATTACCCCTACCCCTCCTAGACTCAAACTCTGGATGCGCCACTGAGCTTATATCGTCTTATAATCCTAACTCCTTGGGATATTATTAACGGGACTTAAAATGCCATAATTCCCTCTATCTTTTCGAGGTAATATCATTATACTATGGTAATATGAAATACAATAGATATATTTGAGAAATAATATAAGGTAAAAATTGACACTCATCTAACTACTCTAATATTTTTTTACATCATTAATGTCATAATATAATAATAAAACAAGAGAACAGTTTTATCGACATCCCCTGTTACCATATTTTTTTATCCAAGCCACTGAAGGTATTTTTTATATTCTTTTTGGTAAATGGTTACACTTTTAGGTGGAAGAATCGCTTGTCGTGCTTCTTCAGCTTTTTTTAACATTTCCTCCATTTTAATGCAAACATACTCGAACGTGTGCCGAATTCGTATGTAAGGCGTTTTTTTGAATGACAAAACAACAGTCAGTTTATAAAGAAGGCATTTAATGCAATAATAACCTGACAATAAACAAAGCTCCTACCAGCAGCGTTAATACAAATATCCCGGAAGATTAAAAAATGTAACATTTCTGCCGTTTTAAAATGGGACAAAGTAAGAAATAATATTACCTATGTATCACGGTAATTATAAAGTGTTATAACTCCAGCCAATTATTGTCCATCGGGTCATAGGCCTTTGGAAAAAAAAATTAACCTCGGTAATGTTCCCTTTATAATTCCCTTGATGCATATATAACTATAATAGTTGTGGTAACAGTAATTACTTAATTATTGAAATAGTATATAGTTAAGCCCAAATACTACTCACCGTTAGATTTTTTTACAACACGTTCATTCAGTGCCCTTATAAATTTAGCTGTAGGACTATGAGAAAGTTTAGCACGAAGTCCTGAGTAGAAACTACGTGGATAGGTCTCACCAATTAAGTTGCTAGTATAATCTCCATTATTTGCAAGTCTCGAAGATGTTGACGTCGAACTAAAAAATTAAAGGAAACAGAGAATGCTTTCGTATATTTAGTACTTATAGGCTTAGTGCACACATTTCAGTTGATTTTTAAAATTTCGACAGCAGCACTAGGTATGGCAGATATCAGAACTTCCCGATTCTATTTACCGACTGTATTTCATGCAGTCTCGGTTACCGTTCAGGTTGATCGCATTGAAATAATATTAAAATAGTGGCTTTGTCGTGTATTTAAGAGCTCTAGTTTTTACTAGTGCAGTTATTGAAACTATAAAATTCTCAGGTACGAAGTTTGGGTTAGTAAAAATTAAGTGAAAAAGAACCCAAATTGGGCGATACGTTATGTTCTCGCAATTTCAAATGATAATAAAATTGAAAAAATGTCAACACGAAGAAGACAGCATAATTGCCTGGTTGTTGGGTGCAATAACATTCAATACAACTCTCCCGGAACAACATTGATTCCCAGCTTTCCCACAGCGATTTGATCAAAAGCAAATATGGATTCAGGCAGTTCGACGAAATAAGTAAGTAAACAAAGTATCTATTACATACTCAACATATGAAATAGGCATATTACCTTAGGATAAAATATAATTTAATCAATACTAATAGTATACTTCTTTTTAATCAACTAGTGATTACATTTTTTATGGACGACGAATTATAATTATTATGTTCCTTTAACAAATTTCGTTACAATCTAGATAGCTCTAGTAACGTCCCGACTAGCAAAACCGGTGCATAAAACTGTGATCGCTACCGTAGTTGAAGCAGCCGGCGTATTGTTACTAAATTAATAAGTTTTATTAGCTTCAGTAATAAATTGTAATACAAGTTAGACCTTCTGATGAAATTAAAAAATCGTGTACTCGCTGTTGTTTAAACCTATAAGATCTAAGTTTAAACCCGTGTATTTGTTTAGTCGGCTGTTTTCGATATTCTCCGATGGTGGCAGCACCGGTAGAGAATGCACCAAGCCTATAGCTCGCTGCCAAATGTTTTAATATTTACAGACTAAAGTAGATATGTAAAAATTAAAGTAGTCGTCATATCACTAATAAAATATTGTAACTTACTAGCTCTCACTAGACATATGTGAATGAAGTAGCGTATCCTGAAAAAAACAAATTAGAAATTAGTTTGGAGTTTACATAATAAATTAGTAAGAGCCTTGTATTCTAATAAAAAATGCATTTTATATTAATTTTTTCCTTTAGACGTTTTGTTCCATATTTAACAATGTAAGTAATGTATTTTGTGCTCTGTTAATTTAATACACTATTATTAAATTTACTACCATTAAATTGTTTTATTAAGAGTAAAAATGACACTTTTTGTGGCGACGTTTGACGTTTGACTACAGGCGAGGCACAAAAAGTCATTTTTACTCCGAATAGAACATGCTTTTTTTTTCAAACGCCACAAATATTTTTTTTAAACAATTTCAAACGTTCCAAATATCTAATATAAAAAGATTTAAAAGTCATACCTTGTATGTAATTATATATCAAGAAACTATGGTTACGCTCATTGAAGTCAGTTTAATAATATACATAGATAAAGGAAATAAATTTAGATTGGAATGGCCGTCAAAATTTTGGGTCTAATGAATAAAAGTTAAGCAAATGCTTTTACTTAAATTTCTTGAAATAGACTTATACAATTTGTAAACAACCAACAAAGATAGTTCTATAGAAAAAGCAATTGCTTCTATTTATTCATCAGGCCCTTTGGGTCGCGACCGTTGTACGCGATCTGGCGCTGTTATAGCGGTTGCTAAGAACAACCGCAAACAAAACCAGAAATAATTTTCTCTTGTCTACATCTCTTGTCAAAACCGCTCTCATTGAAAAAATTCCGAAAAGTGTTTAAAGCGTCCATTTTCAAAGTAATTATTGCTATCTTGTGATATTTAAGTTTTATTTACTCAAACCCGTGATAAAAAAGTAGCGTTAAAAACTTAAAAAGCGGTGCTGTGAACTGCAAAACCATCGTGGATCGTGGCATAACGTCGGTTTCCAATATTTCATAGGTATTTCACATACATGTCCTTATATAAAATAAAGCTTCTTGTATGCAACACACAATATTTTTATTTATAAAATTAAAAGAAAATAATAATAAATTTGAATAAACAATATTTGGCGACATAATTCCGGAAAAAGCCGAACCGATCCGAAATTATCAAAAGCTTTGGGTCGCGACCGTTGCAAGAATAGCGCCAAATAGTGTTTACATTTTCCTTATGAGTACTTTTCAATCTAAACTTTTTTCGTTTATCTATGCGTTATGATTTTCGTACTTTTATGCCTAGGCGTTAAAATGACTTTTTTGTATTGTCGATCACGTCGCAAAAATTAATACTTTTGTCACGTTTGAAAAAAAAATTATTTGAATAGTCCTCCATACACTAGAACATCCGGCCGGCGAATTTGGCCTGTAACATACCAAAACTCCCGTATTTTGATCTACGGGCTTGGCCTGCCGATTAGATCTTTGCCCGTAGATTGGCAGTGTTTTACAAGACTGCCAATGTCTACCATATAATTATGGTCGACCGCCTTAAGACTAATGGCAACGACTGCCAAGAAAATGTACATGTAATTCCAACAGTGGTTCCAACCCTCGGTAAAGTTTGAAAACCATATGTTGAATTTTAAATGTTTTATTGAAAAATGCATTACCTACCTCTTTATAATACCGGTAAGTAAAACAGCCCATTAAAACAGCAAATACGACATTTATAATCCATAGCACATATCCACGAATTGATAAAGTCATTACAACTACCGTAGCAGTACGGACAATTGCGTCAGTTGGACTACGACCCTCATTCTAAAACAGACAACAATATTATTATACCGTGGGGTGCATCGGAAAACGGGACATCGGAAATTCCAGGTAGATTTTGAAATGGCTCTAATTAAAAAATCTCAATATATCTCCAAATCTCAATATATATCAAATATCTCCCCAGATGATTTTATGCAAAAGTTGTATTAGACTTTTTTGAGGAGGCTTTAAATTTAATACCACAGAACAGATACAAATCTGTCATGTGTTAATACAGATCTGTTCTGTGCTAATACCTTTCCGTTTTGTTCGGAATCGGCAGTTATCTGCATTTTGCAAAACTCTATCCTCAAATTTTTATTAAAATCTATAATACGGCCCAGAGAAAGCTACAATTAAAATTCGATGTCACATTTTATTTACAAGATTTGAAGGTACCAAATAGAGTAATTTTGTATAAAATAATCATGATTTCACCACTTCCGAAAAAGTTAAGCTGATTAAATGACATTTTGCTGGAAATAGTCTGTTTCGGGTATGTTCACAGCTCACTTTCTCACACAAACCTATACCGAATAAGTCAACAGTTCATAGAATAATCTAGAGATTTGAAACGAAGGCATAGTACCGTATGATAGAATAAAAACGGCGTCAACGATGGCTATGAAATGACAGGCGATGACATTTCCCATATAAATTTGCATATAAAATGACAGCGATCTTCATTTCATAGCCACCGCTGACGCCGATAATAAACAGGAAAGAAAGTAAAATCCTTGATTATGTATAAAAAACAAGGGTAAAATCATTAACTCCCGTCTACTAGGACGCAGGGAGGCAGTAGGTTGGCAGTAGGTAAAGACCAGTTCGTACAAAAATGCGCAGTAAAACAGAAAAACTAAAAAAGTCTTACCAGTACGCGGACTGTTCTAACAATTATAAATCAGTTAGCAACTCCGAAATATACAGGGTGGTTCGAACTGTATTCCAGAAACTTCGGCAGTATGTCCGAAAATACTTAGTTTCGGAGATACAGGGTGTAGAAGCTTATTTTTTATTAGATAGTAGCGTCAATATTTGGATGAAATTGGTGTTTTTTGTTTGATGAAAATTGTCAGTTTTTTGACATGAGAAATTTAATTTTGAAATTCAATGTGACTCCTATTTGCAGGGGACGCCACTTTTAAAGTAATAACTTCTTGTCCGTACCTGTATAGAACTACTGAGTGAAAAAATACATTTCCGTGTTTACATTTTACGTAAAATATATCTCTTAAACAATAAACATGTTAACTAGATAGTTATTTGACTGAAATTATAAATTTGGAAACTTTTTATTTTTTTAAATTAATAATAAATTTTTCTTCGAAAAAATAATGATAAAGCAGTTTCTGTTGAACTTTTAGCACAAAAATATTTCAAATCCACGATTTCAGTCTAATAACTATTTAGTCAACATGTTTAATACATGTCAGTGATGACTGGTATTGATAATTTAGATTTCAAATGTCCCAAGAACCATATAACTCGTAGCGATTTTTACCAAGAAACATTTTTTACTCGGTAGTTTTGTACAGATACGGTCGAAAAGTTATTACTCTTCAAACCAGTTAAAAAATATATAGGTGGTGCCCTCCACAAGTAGGAGCCATATTGACATCAAAACCAAAAATTTCTCATGTCAAAAAACTCCCAGACGCCAATTTTCATCCAAATATTGACGTTACTTCAAAAATTATTTGGAAAAATTCGTCATAAAAATGAAACTTATACACCCTGTATCTCAGAAACATTTTAAGACATATATTTATAAGAACTTATTTACTTATTTTTATCTGCACAATATGCTGCCGAAATTTCCGGAATACAGTTTGGACCACCCTGTATTTTATTTCTTACTGAATTAATATATGTTATATCGTCTCGCATGGTTACATTAACCAAAAATAGAGTTATAACTCCATTGGGACATTATTAACAGCAATTCAATTAAAATCCTTAATTCCCTCTGATTCCCTCTAAGGAAATAACCTACAAATACAATAGAGATTTTGTGTAATAATATAAAATAAAAATGGACACTCTTCTAATTACTCTAATAATTTTTAATTTTTTACATCCTTAATGTCACATATAATAAATTTACAAGAGAACAGTTTCATCGACATCCCCTGCTGCAATATTTTTCTGTCCCAGCCACTGAATGCATTTTTTATATTCTTTTTGGTAAACGGATTAACTTTTAGGTGGAAGTAACGACGCTTGTTGTGTTTCTTCAGTCTTTTTTAATATTTGCTCAATTTTAATGGAAACGAACTCGAACCTGTGCCGAATTCGTGCAAAAGGCGTTTTTTGACCAAAAAACTGAACTCGATTGACAACAACCGTCAATTGAAGAGTGGAAATACCAAAGGGGGTAAGTGCCAAATTTTTCAATATTAAGTTATTACATTAGAAACGTAATAAATACTATGCTGTATGTCCTAACAAAAGTTACAAGTGCCAAGCGAAAGCGTCTATTGTTTATGTATATCATATATATTAAAAGATATTTTAAAAGATATTTTAAAAGATATTTTAGAAGATATTTTAAAAGATATTTTAAAAGATATTTTAAAAGATATTTTAAAAGATATTTTAAAAGATATTTTAGAAGATATTTTAAAAGGTATTTTAAAAGATATTTCAAAAATTTATTAGTTTCAGTTCTACTGTGTTTTTCTCATTTATCTCGAAAAAATCATTTTGCCACTTACCGCCTTTGGTATTTCTACTCTTCAATTTATAAACAGGCCATTTAATACAATACTAACTTGGCAACAAAAAAAGTTTCTACCAGCAGCTTTAATATAAATATACCGGAAGATTAATAAATGTAACGTTATTTGTGTTGTTCTAAAATAGGGCAAAATATACTAAATTCAGTAAGAAATAAAATTATCTATGTATCACGGGAATTATAAAGTGTTAATAACCTCGGGCAATGATTGTATTGACAGAAACTTTGTCCTCGGTTATTAACACCCTTATAATTCTCGTGATACCATAAATTACTCTATAACAGATCATGAACGTTCTAAGACTTAGTGTAATAACTTACATGACTATCCTGAAATTGCTTAATATGGACATAGTTAATGGCAAATAAAATCATTAATATTATATCAATAAATGAAATGATTCCAGTTAAAATGCACCAAATGCCAACATTCTCTTTATAAAGCCGCTTGAATTTACTCAAGGTTGCTAGAAAATATAGGTATATTTATTAATAACTAAATTTTAACTAACTTTTCCTTTTTAACTACTTTTCGAAAATTCATAAAGCCCTCAAATTTGTACGATACTTACCCCACAATAAAAAACTTGAATTTAACAGAAGACACAAACTTAAACATAAATAGACTATCATAAATGCAAAGAAGGGAGTTGCAGTAATAACTAAGGGGTATTCAGCCATAGTGTTTTTAAGCGTTGCTTCAAATCCACGATCTGCAAAAAAATATTGTTATTAATATTAATAAAATCGGGTATTTCGCCACTTGCATGGTAAGAGAATCTAAAAAATAAAATAGATATTTTTTGTAAACATTTTTTGTAGGCATTTTACATAAGTATAATATATTACTACTGACGTCTTATCCATTTCAAATCCTTACCTAATTTTAATAAAGCAAAACCCTCAAAACAAAACGCATACAAGAAACGTGTCCATGAAGTGGAATCATTGTTTTGTATCTGGTTTTTGTAGAAATAAAAATTAATATTTAATTTTGTTGCAGTATATGCATATACTACAACAAAAACCCGCCTTATCCCAATTATTTTTGTGTTTTTTCTCTTTAGAAATTAAATAATAATTTTTATTTTTACAAAAACCAGAATCAAAATAATGATTCCACTTAACAGACACGTTTTTGTACAATAACGCTTGAGACATTTGTTAAAACAGATTTTGCTTATTATCTCGAAACAACGTTTTTGGGATAAGACGGTTTTTGCAACTTGACGCCTCAATTAGAAGCTCGGGAAGAATATCAAATGAACAAACAAGCATAGATAAAGGAAATAAATTTAGATTGGAATGCCCCATAGATAAATGCAACAAGTTTAGATTGGAAAGCCAGTAAAAATTTTGGGTCGCGAAATTATTTTGGGTCGCGACCGTTATGCGCGATCTATAGCGGTCGCTAAGAACAACGGCAAACAAAAACAGAAATAATTTTCTCTTGTCAAAGTCAGAATCTTCAAAAATCATAAAATCTTTCAAAAAATCTAAACCGCTATCATTAAAGAAATTCCGAAAAGTGTTTATAACGTCCATTTTCAAAGTAATTATTGCTATCTTGTGAGTTTAATTCAAGTTTTATTTACTCCAACTGGTGATAATTGTAAAAAAGTGGCATTAAAAACTTAAAAAGCTGTGCTGTGAACTGTGAACTGCAAAAACCATCTTGGATCGTGGCATAACGTCGGTTTCCAATGTTTCATAGGTATTTCATACATATCCTTATATAAAATAAAGTTTCTTGTATGCAACTTGTATTTTATTTATAAAATTAAAAGCAAATAATAATAAATTTGAATAAACAATATTTGGCGATATAATTCCGGAAAAAGCCGAACCGCTCCGAATTTTTTTTTTTGGGTCGCGACCGTTGCTAGAATAGCGCCAAATAGTGTTTATATTGTCCTTATGGGCACTTTCCAATCTAAACTTGTTTCATTTATCTATGGAATGCCCGTCAAAATTTTGGGTCGCGAACGTTGTACGCGATCTGGCGCTGCTGTAGCGGTTGCTAAGAATAACCGCAAACAAAAACAGAAATAATTGTGCGGGTTCAGGGAACACAGCGGCTGACTGTTTTTGCGTGTAAAAAGAGACCGTTTAGGGAAACCGCTTACTCAGCCACTCAGCCGCTGACCGTCCCTGAACGCGCCCATTGTCACTTGTCCATATCTCTTGTCAAAGTCAGAATCTTCACAAATTATAAAATCTTTCAAAATCTAAACCGCTCTCATGGAAAAAAATCCGAAAAGTGTTTAAAGCGTCCATTTTCAAAGTAATTATTGCTATCTTGTGAGAGTTTAATTTAAGTTTTATTTACCCAAACCCGTGATAATTGTGAAAAAGTGTTATTAAAAACTTAAAAAGCTGTACTGTGAACTATGAACTGCAAAAACCATCGTGGCATAGATAAATGCAACAAGTTTAGATTGGAAAGTGCCCATAAGGACAATGTAAACACTATTTGGCGCTATTCTTGCAACGGTCGCGACCCAAAACTTCTGAAAATTTCGGAGCGGTTCGGCTTTTTCCGGAATTATATCGCCAAATATTGTTTATTGAAATTTATTATTATTTGCTTTTAATTTTATAAATAAAATACAAGTTGCATACAAGAAACTTTATTTTATATAAGGATATGTATGAAATACCTATGAAACATTGGAAACCGACGTTATGCCACGATCCAAGATGGTTTTTGCAGTTCACAGTTCACAGCACAGCTTTTTAAGTTTTTAATGCCACTTTTTTACAATTATCACCAGTTGGAGTAAATAAAACTTGAATTAAACTCACAAGATAGCAATAATTACTTTGAAAATGGACGTTATAAACACTTTTCGGAATTTCTTTAATGAGAGCGGTTTAGATTTTGAAAGATTATTATGATTTTTGAAGATTCTGACTTTGACAAGAAAAAATTATTTCTGTTTTTGTTTGCCGTTGTTCTTAGCGACCGCTATAGCAGCGCCAGATCGCGTATAACGGTCGCGACCCAAAATAATATCGCGACCCAAAATTTTTACGGGCTTTCCAATGTTTCATAGGTTTCATACATGTCCTTATATAAAATAAAGTTTTTTGTATGCAACATACTGTATTTTATTTATAAAATTAAAAGAAAATAATAATAAATTTGAATAAATAATACCGTATGATCGAAAAAAAAACGGCGTCCAGTTGGCTTGGAAATGACGATCGATGACATTTCCCATATAATTTTACATATAAAATGACAGCGATCTTCATTTCATAGCCATCGTTAACGCCGTTTTTATTCGATCATACGGTATTTAGCGATATAATTCCGGAAAAAGCCGAACCGCTCCGAAATTATCAAAAGTTTTGGGTCGCGACCGTTGCAAGAATAGCGCCTATGATAGCGCCAAATAGTGTTTACATTGTCCTTATGAGCACTTTCCAACCTAAACTTGTTTCATTTATCTATGCAAACAAGTTGACGTACTTTTGGAAAAAACTGCATGTTCGCTTATTGAATTGCACTTGCTTTATTTTTATACAGTACTATCTTTGATTTTTTTTAAATAGAGATATAAATCAGCAATATATCTATTATTAAGATAAGAACATACCCTCTACTTCATAAATACATCTGTTTATTACATTATTTTTTACTTACGTAAATAAAAGTCATAAATTGTTCTTCCGACATCACTTTGAAAGTACTCGCTTGATTTGGAAGGTCTAATGTATCCTCTAAAGAAGCAGATTGATATTAAGCTTAGAACAAACCATGCAGCACTTTCAACCTATTATAGATATACATCGTATTAGATTTTTTCTTCAGTTATATAATTCATATTATATTACAAATTATTTTTGACACATAAGTCAATATGACATTAAATAGATTTTTTCAATGAGTAATAAGCAAAGGTAACAGAAGGTAATAAGAAATTGAACTTGAAGGTGGCCTGTTTGTGTTCCATAAAGGACCGGATTATTTTTTTCAATTAATATAGTATTTTTATATCTTTCATAACTTCAAAAGGAATTCCTAGAATCTATTGAAAATGGACAATTAGCTTCATTTTAAGAAGTAAAATTTTTGAAATAATTTTTTCTGTAAAATAAAATGGGAAAAACCTATTCATCATTTTTAAAATTTACATGGGATTTCCTATGTTCAGGTCGGCAATGCAACAGACTGTATAAAAAAGATAAGTTTCTATTTGTTTTCTTGAATGTTACTTAAAATATCAATTATATGCCCAAAATACATACCATCCCTAAAGTTACTGATACTATAATTATTATCTTGGCGAGGTTATTTGGCACTACATCTTTTAAGTCACAACTCATACTTAATTATATAAAGTATATTTATAATTAAAACTTTCTCCCGTGTTTGATACTTAGGTAAACATAAATGATTTTATTGCCTGCTTGAATAATCTCAATGCAAGTGTGATAAAGATTTCAAAATTTGTAATACACAGATATATATATTTTCAGATAAACGTCGTTATCGTAGAGATAAACTTTATTCCATATTTGTTCAATTAATTGTTTCAAAGATATTCGAAAATACTAAATATATTTATATTTATCTGGTTTGTTTTACTTTAGTAAAAACTGTTTCAAAATCAAATTTAATTTAAAACTATTATTTACAATTCTTTAAAAATCAGGATTCAATAATAATTACGGACAGTTTCACAACTGGGCCCCAGTTCTGTAACTTAGAAAACGCTAAGCGCTTTTATACACTCAGCGTATATGACGTTAATTTTCGCTGAGCGCGAACTTAACTAGCTTTCAATCCAACTTGCACTCTGGCGTCGAATTTTGTTGTGAATGAGTACACTGAAGTACATAAGATAAGCTTGCGTGCCAAAGTACGACTCGGCCAGCGAATTGATTTAGAATGTAGCTTAACGATTTGGGTATTCCATCTGACGCGCTTGACGTCTTTACTGATAGCGCTAAGCGCTTTGAAAACGGTTGCCTTAAAGGATCGTTTTGCTTATCGAACTCGAAAATCGAAAAAATTGTGATTTGGTGCGTTATCTTGCTCTTTAATGAAAATTACTACTTCTTCTATAAGTTCCTCAATAAGTAATTGATAATTTACGACTTGGCAGCTATAAATATTGTTCAATGCATCGAAAATGCTGAGAAGGGTTTTCAACATTTCCCTCGTATAATAAGAATAATGACATCCATAGAAAAATAGTTGACATAACTCAACAATAGGTTATGAAATTCACGTAACATTGACATTTTTCATTGTTTTATTCACATTTGACTATAAGCACAGAACAGATTTGTATCTGTTCTGTGTGAGTACTAAACTAAGCTGCCGACTCGTCCCGTCGCGTCGCCGTCGTCTCTCGACGAGCGGGCCGAGGTTGCCATATTTCAACCATAAAGCTCTTGCCGCGAGTAATAAACAAATTAACAACCTGTATAGCAAGTACACCAAAAATATATGTTATAATATTATTTGAAATGTATCAGTAAGTGCAATTTGTGTCTTCTTCAGAAGATCTAACCTGTATCATAATTGATTATTCACAATAATAAAACATTTTAAATAAGTAATTATCACGTCGGCTGCTTCAACTACGGTAGCGAGCATAGTTTTACCCACCTGTTTTACCAGTTATGACATAACTGGGGCTATCAAGACCGTAACAATTTTTTTAAAGGTACATAACTGTGTAATTTTAGAAGACGTTCATAAAAAAATTAAACACTAGTCGATTAAAAAGAAGTATACCATCAATATTTATTAAATTATACTTCATCTTCGTAGTATATGCCTATTTAATTTTTTGATTATGTAATGAACACTCTATTTACTCAGTTGTTTCGTCGAACTGCCTGAATCCATTTTTGCTTTTAATCAAGTCGCTGTGAGGGACCTGGGAAACTATAAAATGTTGTTCCGGGAGAGTTGTATGTTCATTTTTATTCTTCACTTCACAGACTGCTGTATGTCGCGATAACTCGAACCGTATGATTTAAAGAGAAGTTTAAAGTAAGTTTAAAGGGATGTATTTTAAAGTTTAATATATTTTGTTCTAGTGGGTCGAATATTAAAAACTGAAATAACTGAAAAATAACTGAAAGTTATTGAGATGAACCAAAAAATAAACTATCGAGGAGAGATGCACCTAGATGAATGATTTTAAAGTTAGGTACTTGCTTTTTTAAAATATTCCACAAAGTATTCCGAACTTTTACCAAAATAACAAAATTTGTGTTCCCTCGTATAATTGACAGACGGGCATTTCCATTTTTAATTTAGAAAAAGACACTAAAAAGTCAAATAATCTAGCTACAAATTGCTTAAAAGATCATCAAAATCGGTTTACTAGAACACAATATACACCCTGTATAAAACTTTAAAATACATCAAAATTTTAAGGTGCCTGTTTTTCGTTTTCGGTGAGTGTATAATAAACCTCATGTAGTTTAGATAATTTATTTAATAATAAAATTAAATTAATAACTAATTATATTTTATAGTATTATGTCATATAACGTAATTACTTCTAGGCCTTAATACACCCTTTACTCTAGGAGATCCAGGAGGTGAATAATCTGGATCAGGAATGTACGGACTATCATTATTTTTGCTAACACGACTGTGCAGTTGAGTAATGTCGGCTCCCTTAGACTCATGTAAGAATTGTGTGTTGGAATTCTGTGGGAAATCTGAAAGTGGACGACCAGAAATATTTGTAGATAGACCTAGACCGTCGCCTAAAACAATTCAGTATTTAAAATTATAGAAATAATATTAATAATTTATTTATAGGCTTGGTGCATTTCAACCGATGTTTTAAAATTCGGACAACAGCGCTCGGTATGGCAGAAATCAGAACTGTCCGGCTACTTTATTTCACGCCATTCCGTTTACCGTTAATTTTGACCCCACTGAAATAATATTGAAATCGTGGCTCCGTCATAGTCATAATATTTAAGAGTTTTGGTTTTTACTAGTGCAGTTATTGAAACGATGCACTTCTCAAGTACGAGGGATGTAACAATCTTGCGGGTAGTAGAAATTAAGTGAAAAGAACCCGAATTAGCGGCGTTGCGTTGTGTTTTGACAATTTTAAATAATAATAAAATTGCCGAAAAGATGTTAACACGAAAAGGAGGTCCGGAACAACATTGCTTCCAAGCTTTTTTACACCGATTTGACCAATAGCAAAAACGGCGAAACAAGTGAGTAAACAAGGTGTTCATTACATAATCAAAAAATTAAATAGGCATATACTACGACCATAAAATATGATCTGATCAATATTAATGGTATACTTTTTTTTAACCCACTAGTGCTTAAATTTTTTATGAACGTCTCCTAAAATTATAATTACGTACCTTTAAAAAATTTCGTTATAGCCTAAATACAGTTTTAGACTAATTATTATATAACAAATGTTTCGCGTACTCGCTATTTAAACCCGAGTATTTGTTTAGTCGGCCGTTTCGGAAGGTGGCAGCACCGGCGGAGAATGTCGTAAACAATCGGAATACACGAATACACGGGTTTAAATATCGAGTATACCAAAAAAGTTTATATAAATTGTGAAATGAATTTTATGAAAATTAAAAAAAAAATAAAAAAGTAAATATATCTTCAGAAGGTCTAACTGGTATTACAATTTCTAATTGAAGCTTATAAAACTTTTTAGATGAGTTCAACTACGGTAACGAGTATAGTTTTGCACACCGGTTCTGCTAGTGGGGACATAACATGGGCTATTTCGGCTGTAACGAAATTTTTTGAAGGTACATAATTATAATTTTAGAAGATATTCATAAAAAAATTAAGCACTAGTTGATTTAAAAAAAGAGTAGACCATTAATATTGCAAACTATGTTATTTTATCCTCTCATAGTAAATGTTTATTTAATTTTTTGATTATGTAATAGGCACTTTGTTTATTCACTTGTTTAGTCAAACTGCTTGAATTCATTTTTGCTTTTGATCAATTAGTGTGAAAAGCTGTGAAGCTATAAAATGTTGATTCGGGAGAGTTGAATATCCGGGAAAGTTGAGTTATCGAATGTTATGAAACAACCACGTAATTACGCCCTCCTTTACGCGTTAACATTTTTTCGGCAATTTTATTAACATTTGAAATTGTCAGAACAGAACGGGATGCCCAGTTCGAGTTCTATTTCACTTAATTTTTACTACCCGAAACAGCGTTACATCATACAAACCTCGCACCTGAGTGTTTTATATAGTTTCAATAACTGCACTAGCAAAAAACCTGTTAAATATTAAGTATGACAAAACCACGTTTTCAATATTATTCTAATGCGATCAACATGAGCTGTAACCGGGACTGCGCCGGTGAAAACTTCTGATTTCTGTCATATAGCGCGCTGCGGTCGGAATTTTTTGGAATCAACTGAAATGCACCAAGCCTATATGCCCATCATAATTGAATCATAACGCTATTTACCAATGTATGTGGATTTGTTAACATCCTTTATAGGTCCTATTTTAGGCCAGTTTTGGTTTGAAGGATTGGAAAGGGGATTTCTTGAAAAATTAGTGCTTTCCTTGTTAGCTTCTGTATTGTTATTGTTATTAAATTGATTACTTCCAATACGTATCTTATTAAACGAATTTGACTTATAAGTATCATCAGTGTCGTTTATAAAACCACTATTGTATTCCTCATTAGACATATTCTGCTGGAAATCATTATCTGTTTCCCATGGAGGTCTAAGACTATAAAAGAGTTTACTATTACTAATATTTTCGTTTGTAAAATGTATATAGATACTGCAGGTACGTGACAAGCGAAAAGTCTTGCAGAGTTGCCTTAAATCCCTGCCGGTATATTGCGTCTCAAAAATGGCTCACCCCTATATTTTTTTTTATTTTTTCAGATAAAAAAAACGAGATTTGGTATGTTAGTATATGACATAAATTAGGATTGATTGACACATTCAATTGTTTTTGGTCACTTCCTGTTTCACTGGAAATTACTACAACTTTTGATTTTTAAATGGCATTCTCCGTATTTTTTTACTTTATTCCTGTGAATAAGAAGACTAAGGAAGGAGCATAATGCTATCCATGTATTCATGCATGGTGGGCGGAAAAAGCACTCTAGGGTGGGGATCCTTGACAGTTCTGTTTGACGATTCATTTGACACATTTGAATTTGATTTGAAATTTTGTGGATTTGTCAGTCTTTACGGAGCTTATTTTATGTTATTTATTATTTATTCTACTACTGATAGTTGTATAAAGGTAGTAAATCTAGATGGAAATTGTGGCAGAACTTAAATTAACAGTGACACTATCGCGATTTATCGAAAAAGACTCTAAAATAGGTGGTTGTGTAGCGTGCGGTAGATCTCGGCAAAATCGATTGAAATAATGGAACAACTTTTCGCTAGTAAGTGACTATATAATATACATACGTGTAGTAAACCGATCATTTATGAAATTCACTTAAATTAACTAATTATATATTTTTTCTTGCATTTTTGCTTTTATTTACTACTTGTCAAAGATTAGATGTCAAAGAATTTAGATACGTCAATTTGACTTACCTGCTTCAGTAGCGTATCGGATGTTTATGGTTATAAATAATTATTATAACATCTATTTTTATTAGAATTTTATATTTTTATAACAATTTTAATAACTACCAACATTTATTCACAACGTAAAATAAACTAAAAAATTATTGAGTCTACCCTACATCATAGTTTTACATTTTTTAAATAAAATTAGAACGGCACTGATAAACCGGAATTTAAGTCGGCCATATTTGAGGCCCATCGCGGTGGACCTAAGATTTTTGATATGCTTCTTCCTTAGTCTTCTTATTCAAAGCTTTATTCGATAGAAAATGACATTTTGAATAGAATGACATATCATATGTCAACTTTTTATTGATTATAGAGTTATGATTAAAAATACGATTTGGGCATCTTTTAAGGGGCCAAGATAAGACGCGAGAAACATTAGACTATCAAATCTATTTTTCCATGGCTCCTTGATTAAAAATTAGATTTTTTGAATACAGCCATCGAAGCCATTGAAGATTGAAATTTAAAATGCGATTTTTTGAATGTCATTCTATTCAGAGTGTTATTTTCTATCGAATAAAGTAAAAAAATACCGAGAGTCCCATTTAAAAATCACAGTAGATATATAAACACCCGGTTTATATGGAGTGGTCAGAATTAAAATATGGATCAAGTCCAATTTTCTACTATTTTTAGATTATCGTCTTTATACGTTTATAAAATATTGATTTTTCCAGTAGAGAAATGAATCAAGTCATACTTCTTTGTAGTAATTCTTCTAGAAATTGTAATTAAGTAACATTAAAAAACTTTAACTCTCATTTTCTCCATAATTACTTTCTAGGACTTGCTTCAATTCACTTCTGAATCACTCATACAATATTTACCTTGTGTCAAATGCATCAATGTATGATTGATTATTCGTTGGTGCCTAAAAGGAAATATATTAAATTAGAGATTCAATATTTATTTATTTATTTTATTTGGGCAGTGTTAGGTCACGACTGAGTGAGCGCGGCTACCAGGGCCAAAAATGTGTAGGTCATAACTTTTTCACAATGGCTACCAACAGGGCCTATCTTACCATAAGACCCATAAGGCCCGGGCCTTGGGCCCGGTGGTCTGGGGGCCCGTTAAACGTTGTAAAATATTCATAATTTCTTGAATTTTTGAATTTTATTGGAAAAGAGGGACCGAATTTTTGCTTGGGCCTTAGGGCCCCACCAGATGAAAAATAGACCCTGGCTACCAAAGGCAGAAATAAGTAGTCTTTTTGGTAAAAAAAAGCCCTGAGACTATATGATGAGTTACTGAGTAACTCAAAAAAGGGGGACACAATAGATCTATAGGGTCGCGGTGATTAACTTCCCCCCTCCCATACAATTACATCTATACTTTTACTACATAACAGTTTAACTGCATTCTTCTTGGGTAATTTTTTTCAACTCGTTTTTTATTTGCGGAATTAATACAATCTTGTATTATTTTACAAAAATACAAATATTGATGAAAGACTAATATTACAGGAATATAATTAATGTAATATTTATATTTAAATATTCGACAAATATTTAAAACTTAAAAAAAACTTACATTTCTGTACTGGTTATAAGCTGATTTTCCTAATACAATTGCAAATATAAGGTTTATTATCCACAGAACATAACCACGTACTGCTATACTCAGGACAATTCCAAATGCAACATTTTCGGCAATGGTTCTACCACCTTCGTACTAAATTATTTATTAAAACTACATTACAAATTTTAGTAATAATAGTTTAAAAACATTTAAATCAAAAATATCGATTATAAATTATTAAATAATAAATTAAGCGGCTGCGAAAAATTTTTGCTTTCATTAATAATTATTGTCTTATAATTATCCATGTTAGGATCAATACTTACATTGATATAATCGTAAACCAATAAAGACATTAGAATTACATCAATCAAAGAAATAACTGTCGTAGTCGCTGACCATACAACATTTTTCGCCTTAGAATTGTTACCAGCTCGAAGTGTCCCTAAAAATATAATAAAGGTAAACAGAAATTGTTTGTTTGATTGAGCAAAATATACTATATTAATGAGATTAATATTTTAAAACTCTAAATAAAATATAACATTATAAAATTAAAAATTTAATATTTCTATTGATACAGTTTTGTTTAAGAAAATATAATCGACATCCAAATGAAATGCATCGGCACATTGGTGATGGATGCATGAATATATTGTTCGCGTTCACTGTGCTTTCAGATGGACCGGACCGTCCGCTACTTCGAGCAAGTACCATGAGTTTATATATGAACAATTTCACATGGTCGCGTATGCTGCGTCCGACGTCTATCTTGAAAAACACGACGGATGGTCCGTCGCGGACGCTCCGCTCCATCTGAAAGCGCTGTTAGGGAACCGCTACTCAGCCACTCAGCCACTGATCGTCCCTGAACGCGCACATTCCCTTGTATAGAAGAACCATAGCATTTCAGCCGATTTTTAAATTTTCGAGCAGCGCTCGGTACGGCAGAAATCATAATTTTCCGGCTCTGTTTTTCACGCAGTTACGATTACCTACTGTTCATGTTGATCACATTCACAGATTCCATTGAAATAATATTAAAATCGTGGCTTTGTCGTCATATATTTAAGTATTTTACTAGTACATTTATTAAAACTCTATATAAATTCTCAGTTACGTAAGTTTGTGTGATGTAAATACCCTATTTCGGGTAGGAAAAATTAAATGAACAAAGAACCCGAACTGGGCGTAGCGTTGTATTGTGACAATTTCAAATGATAATAAAATTGCCGAAAAAATGTCAACGCGATGAGGAGAGCAAAATTGCGCGGTTGATGGGTTCAATAACACTCAATACAACTCTTACAAAACAACATTGCTTCCCAGCTTTCTCACGCCGATTTGATCAAAAGCAAAAATGGATCAGGCAGTTCGACAAAATAAGAGAATAAACAAGGTGCACATTATATAATGAATGACAAAATTCAATAGGCATATGCTATGAGAGGATAAAATATAATTTGATCGATATTAATGGTATACTTTTTTTAATCAACTACTGCTTAATTTTTTTATGAACATCTAAATTATAATTATGTACTTTAAAAATGTTTATTAGTCCCAGTTATGTCCCCATTAGCAAAACCAGTGCGTAAAACTATGTATGCTCGCTACCGTAATTGAACTCATCTAAAAAGCTGTATTACCTTGAATAATAAATTATAATACAAGTTAGGCCTTCTGAAGATATCAAAATAATTATTTTTTAAAAATAATTATATAACAATTTTTAATGTACTCGCTATTTAAACCCGTGTAAAGTACAGTACGTCTGTCCGTTCTGTAGCTACGGGGTATCCGTGAGAGGGGAAACGATATTCTCTCGATGTTTTTCATAAAAAATTAGACGACGCGTCTCATCAATAAAAATTCGACAAATTTGCCATATTATATCATCTATGACAATATATATTATATATATTGTCATAGACACAGATCCAGCAGACGTACTGTACGTCTAATTACGCTCTCCTTTACGCGTTAACATTTTTTCGGCAATTTTATTAACATTTGTAAGTGTCACAACATAACACGACGCCTAGTTCGAATTCTTTTTCACTTATTTTTTACTACCCGAAAGAGCGTTACATCACACAAACCTCGTATCTGAGTGTTTTATTGTCTCAATAACTGCACAAGCAAAAACTATAATACTTAAATATTATTTTAATGCGGTCAACATGACGGCGGCTACTGATAATTTCAGATTTTTGCCGTTGAAGCGCTGTGGTCGGAATATGTTGAAATCAACCGAAATGCACCAAACCCAAGAACAGTTAACTTAATAGGACTGCTCATTCAGCCAAAAGTGTCCGCCAGGTGCATGTGAAAACTACTCGCTTTGTGACGTCATTGTAGCCCTTGTCATGGTTATTAGTCCTTATCCGGCAACCAATAATACACACACGTGCATTATTGGTTACCGAATGCAAAACGTTCATTATTTAGTTTATTTATTTAAACCTTATATGTATGCAGTATAGAAAATTAACTGTATAAATCGTATTAAATACTCGTATAATGCATTTTTAAGAACAGCAGTTCCCAGCATCACCTTTTGCAAGCATTCTTTTTAGAGTACTTCCATATTTTGCTTTAAAATAATTAATAAACAAAATCGTGGGCACTTATGTCATATGTATCATCATATGTATGCACTTTGTCACAATCCACAACACAAAATGAACGTATTTATACACTCTATAGCTCTAAAAACTTTAAAGACACCTTTTTCACATTTAAAATTGACAAAATAATTAACTCAAAACTTCTCAGCTGTTATTTTTATAAGTTTACCATAGGCAACTAATAATACACACTATCATGACAAGGCCACAAAGGCTTTGTCCTAACGGTAACTGTTCTTGGTCAAAAGCTTTGACCAAGAACAGTTACCGTTCTTGGGCTTTGACAAGGGCTACAATGACGTCACAGCAGTCAGCTGAAGCGCGGGAAGGGAAGAGGCGAACGTACGTCTTATGAGGATGAGCAATCCTATTAGTTTACCGTTCTTGCACCAAACCTATTAGAAATCTGCTTTTACAATTTAGTTACAACCTGGTTACAACAGAAATGTCATTTTCGTTGGATTTGGTCGTTACTTATTTTATCGAGAGATACGCTCGCTAGCGGTCCGTGACAAAATATTAACTTACCCCAAATCGAAAAACTTGAAACAAAAAACCATAATAGACTGAGGCCTAAATATATATACACAAAGATTATGAATCCTTCTGCATTAATGATTCGGTGGTCGTCTTCGCTGTCTAAAATAGAAATAAATCATTATGTTATATTATAACTAAGTACTATTTTTTGTCAAAAACTTCATAATGCCTATATTATAAACTGACCATAGTTATTTATGCATCAACCAAAAAGTAAAAAGGCAACAAAGTAATTCGATTTTTGAATGTCCGGAGTGCGAAAAAGCGGAAGGAGTCACGTATCGGGCTTTTCAGTCACAGAAAAGCTCATGAAAGAAAACGTCTTGCATAACCATATTCTGATGCGTGTCAAATACTCGTCAGCGAGTAATGGCAGCAATAGCAGGCAATAGTACCGTATGATCGAAAAAAAAACGGCGCGGCGTCCAGTTGGCTGGAAAATGTCGATCGATAACATTTCCCATGTAAATTTACATATAAAATGACAGCGATCGTCATTTTATAGCCATCGCTGACACCGTTTTTTTTCGATCATACGGTACCGAGAGCAAAGTTTCTAATTATTAACACTTTATAATTCCCGCGGTGCATAGATAATTTTACTTCTTACTGAATTTAGTATATTTTGTCCCATTTTAAAAAGACATGTTGCATTTATGTACCACACAGTATATTTGAACTGAACTTGTTGAGAGGTAAATATGTAAATGAAAAAAATATATACCTTTGATAAACACGTTGTAAATAGCACAGCCTATGCCTATGCTGTCACTCTGCAAATTTTCATCCTGGCATACAGTTATCGAAGATTTTATAATAACTACTGCTATACCTAAACCAAGCCACAATAATCCTTGAACCTATAAATCAAACGTATAAAGTAAGTTATAGTATAAGTAGTATAACCCACGCAATAATAAATTTATTAATTCTACATTTTTATATAGAATAACAACAAAATAAAAAATTAAGATTTTTTTGTATTATTTACATAAATACCGTATGATCGAGAAAAAAACGGCGTTAACAACAAAATAAAAAATTAAGATTTTTTTGTATTATTTACATAAATACCGTATGATCGAGAAAAAACGGCGTCCAGTTGGCTGGGAAATGACGATCGATGACATCTCCCATATAAATTTACATATAAAATGACAGCGATCTTCATTTCATAGCCATCGCTGACGCCGGTTTTTTTTCGATCATACAGTATAAAAAGTAAACTGAACTACTTCATGTTCTAAACCTCTCCTAAACCATTGACAGGAATTTTAAAGATTGTCTTAAATCAGCCCAGTTGACTGACGGTCGTAGAACGAAAGGAAAGCGCGAGAACAATCAAGAGCTTCAACTAACTATCTTATTCACCCCATGATTCTGATGTTCGAGAGTTTTTTCCGAACTGTCTACTCACTCCTATAAATGGCGATGGCCACTGTGCAAGACAGCAAAGCAAGGGGGACAGAGTATTCCAAGTTTTGGTTGAATACGAACTTACGAAGTGAAAAATTCGTAATAAATGCCCATATAAGTTCGTCATATAAATATTTGTAAATAAGTTTATTAATTAGCTATAATTGTTATATATTCTTAAGTATTCTTTAGTGTAAATAAACTTCGTTGAATAAGAATTTAAATTATCCACACGGAACCCAGGAAAAAAAATGTCCTACCTAATAAATGTTTAACCCTTCAAAAAAAGCTCTTTGCGTACCAGAGGTGAACCAATAAATTGAAATCAACTTGAAACGAGTTTTTACCATGGTACTGTATAAAACAAATTATACAATGTAAAATTTTACTCACCACGCCTAATGCTCCAGCAATTAATATAAACTGAAATATGCCACTACTGACTTTTGCCATTTTATGAATATATTATTAAATTAATACATACTAATATAATATATCCTAAAACATAATGTAATATCTTAAGGAATACAAAAACGAAAAATCGATACGATAAAAAAAATACAATTACTCATAGATCCATACATTTTTATATCAGCTATAGATAACGTAGATTAGATAACTGACATTTATTCTTAATACTATTGTATTTATATTCAATTGAATTAATAATAAATCTAATCTAATCTAATCCAATTTTTTCGTAAAATATCCTGGTAATAGTATAATAAAATAAAGAAATAATAAAAAAAAATAATCATAGAAAAACAGACTAAATTGATTTATATATCCAGGATGAGTACCAGGAGAGAATGCAGCACCCTGTATCTTATATACACAGTGGTCCGAACTGTATTCCGGAAACTTCGGCATATTCTGCAGATAAAAATGAGTAAAAAAGTTCGTATAAATCTATGTCCTTAAATGCTTAGTTTTGGAGATACAGGGTGTAGAAGTTTCATTTTTATTTCAATTTTTTCCAAATAATTTCTGAAGTAACATCAATACTTGGATGAAAATTGGTGTCTGGGAGTTTTTTTGACATGAGAAATTTGATTTTGATGTCAATATGACTCCTACTTGTAGAGGGCGCCACCTACACATTTTTTAACCGTTTTGAAGACTAATAACTTTTCGTCCGTACCTGTATAAAACTACTGAATAAAAATATACATTTACGACGTTTTTTACGTAAAAAAGGTCTCTTGGTAAAAATCGCTACGAGTAATGGTTCTCCAGATATTTGGAATCGAAATTATCAATACCTGTCAACATCGACATAAATTAAACATGTTGACCAGTTGACAGACCCTTCCTTGGGCTTCTACAAATATTTCAAAACCAATATTAGCCAAATCGGTCCAGCCGTTCTCTAGTTTTAGTGAGACTCATGAGACCAATGCGCCGAGACATGGTCTCTGCGCACTCAGTGATGATGTTTTCTCTTAGCTTCAATCTACTGTGCTCTTTGCTGTCCTCCATTCGCGAATTTCAAGTTCCAGAGCTTTACGCCCTGGGCTACTCGAGAACGGTTCTGAAAGGAGCTGTGCGCGATAGATTGGTGCCTCCATATGGCGCGGAACAGTTCTGAACTTTATGACTCAGTTGAATGGAGTGAGAGTATCGCGTTCTTAAACAGTTCAGAGCTCCACAACTGCGTGAATGGAGGACAGTATTTGGGTTAAGGATTTAATCGCAAAAACGATTGACTATCCTAGCCAAGAATCATCGTCAATAAATCTTATTATACAGGTCGTCCCCATATTCCGTGGCCATAGAACTAGTACGTATTTTTGTTGATACCGATACTATCGGTGAATGTCGGCGTCAAATAAAAATAACTCAACAGTTATCGTCGGCAAAATACCTTCTAAATTCCATCTTTCTGCTTCCTTTTCCTCACTGAAAAACTTATTGATCCTTAGAAAAAGTAAAACCTTTAACAGAGTTGTTTTTCCGTTATATCTTTCTTGGAAGTGTGTAAAATTAAGTAGGAATCTAAATAGACAATATGAGTATTAAAAATTATTATATTTTCTTACACAATCGAGTACAGCACTATACAATAAATAAAAAAATGCAGTATTTGAAATGTGCAAGAGGACAGTTTATTTAATTACCATACCATTAAGATCAAGATTTTTAAATGTTATAATCAGACTTTGATATTTAACAGTTAACAATTCTTGTGATAATTTACATTTAATTTGTTTAGCTATGAATAGCCAAAGCTTTTTAATTTTGAGACCTTCTAATTATTATAAATATGCGGATACATACAAGTAAATATTGTAACAAAACTTTAATTAGAAAAATAGAAACACATTTAAAACTTCCACAACCTAAAATATTTATAGTTTCTCTCTTATATCTTTTATATCAACTTACTGTTTCTCGCATTTTCTAACTTATCTATATTATAATGTTAACTATATACAATTTTATGAAGAAATATACTAAATTTGACGAAATTTCGCTAAAAATGATAAAAAAATGTATCTATATGAACTAAAATTATAGGACAGGGTGTGTCAAGGTAAAGAACTAAATATAAACTAAACTTACTAATAAGTGACTTATATATTCACAATTATATTTGATAAATACAAGCTTAATTCTCAACAAGGCCTTGTTTCTTTTACTTCACCATACACACCTGTATAGAAACAAATATTAAGACAAAAGAATGTACAAGACAACACTTGTCATCTTTAGACTGAAAATTTAACTGGAGAATTTTTCTTATTTGTCTCAATTTATCTACTTTTGCTAGTACTTGGATTGACCTTAGAAGTATTGTTGTCTTCTTTAGTAGAGCCATTTGTGGATTTTGGAGGTTGAGGTATAATTGTAATTTCATCGTTAATTTTCAAAGGTTTCATATCTGCATTCTAAAAAAAGATTTATGTTATATGTTATGTGATACACTATTTACTATAATTTTAGGGTGATTCACGGCGACGCGACGGTACGTTAGGCGTTTATGGAGAACCGGTGGTAGAATTTTTTACGTTATGAGAAATGAAAGTAGTTTCGAAAAATGTAATAATATACCGGGTGTTTTATTTAACTAACACCAATTTTAGTATCACCAAAGTCTAACGTACTATGGCCGTGAATCACCCTGTACATCATATTAAACTCATACTGGGGTCAATTCTCAAATGTCGATTTTTGAGCTGCGAAATCGATAATACGCGTGGATATTTCTCGATCAAGTTAATAGTAAAATAAAAATATAACTTTCAGAAAAAAATTAATAGTAATAAAAGGTAAAAAAACTGGTGGCTCTCATAAAAAATTAGTGTTGCAAAAAAAATACCGTATGATAAAAACAACGGCGTTTAGAAATGACAATCGATGACATTCCCCATATAATTTTACATATAAAATGACGGCGATCTTCATTTAGCCATCACAGCCATCGCTGACGCCGTTTTTTTCTCGATCATACGGTACTTTATACAGGTTGTTAACTGGACAGTTTCTTATAGGGGAACAGAATGGCAACACTGCCTATTGAGAACGCATGCACTTATAGGGTTTTCAGCCGACTCGTCTCGTCGCGTCATATACCGACGAGCGGGCCGAGGTTGCCATATTTGAACCATAAAGCTCTTGCCGCGAGTAATAAAAAAATTAACAACCTGTATACAAAATATACTTTCATACAATTTCCAAATATTTGTATATCAATGTGTTGTGTCGGTGTTTCAAATATAATTTTGAGTGAAATAAATCCAATAAGTTGCAATATAAGTCGCCAATTACCAACATTTTTTTTTAATTCCCTCACCAGTATAGTAGCAATATATTGTCATTAACGAAAGCTCATGAAGCGAACAAAGCCGCTTTCTATATATTTTAAATAGATATATTTTTTAACAAATAATTACTTTTGCTGCTGAAGGTGATCCACTTGAGGTAGATTTTTTGTCCATAACACGTTTAGCAACTACACTATGAGCTGAATAAACATGATTTTCAAATTGTTTGTACATTCCAAAAGTAGCAGTACAAACAGTGCATTTATATGATAAATGAGCTGGTTTTAACGTCATATTGTGATCCCTGGCAACATGGTTTAATAGTTTCCATTGATACACCTAAAATTAAGAAGACATATTATTATAAGCTATATCAAATATTTTAAAGTCTGTTTCTTAATGAGACGCCTCTCCATCTCTTTCAATGACAGATTATGATTACTCTTAATAAGACACACAAATAAGTTATTTTTAGTTAATCAATTAATAACGTTAGGCAAGATGAATGGGCTGTCACTTAACCACTTACTTAGTAGTAGTAGTAGTAACTTTTAAGTAAATAAATGAGTATAAACGTACCCTTCCACATACTGGACACCTTCCAGAATCTTTACTCTTATTTGCAGCATCTTGCATACTAGATGTTACTAAACCATGCGATCCTAATAGATGTCTTTCCAAACCCTAAACAAAACAGTTTATATATAAATCGTTAATCAAATTTTTATTACACATACCTGATCAGTAAAAAACCTAAACTGACATTTCTGGCAATTTAAAGGGGGTCGGTTGTATATCATTTTTGGATGTATTTTAATTTTATGTATCCATTGCATATGATTACGAAGTTGTTCCAAATCCTGTAAATAAAGTAAATTAATTTAAAAATATAAAGTAAGTTTATTTTCCATATGAAAAATTTAAGTGCGCATTTAAGGGTGACATCTTTCGGTGGAAAAAGGAGGTGCACCATCTCTTAGGAACGTGAGCAAACTCGGATATGATAGAAAATATATTTCTGGAAGAAAAAAGAATCCTTTAATTGAGAATGGAAATTACTAGAAATATCCGGGTATCTAGGGTATTTAAAGATCAAGCGCGCGAACTCAAGAGACAGTTTTTATAATAAACGGATTGTGGATTTAATGGTAAATTAACCCGAAATCGGACAAAGCGTTGTATTAATAATTATTAGCGTGTTATATTTAATTACTTTATTGGTGATTATAGCTGTAGAATAAATTAGTGTAAGTATTTTATCTTGTGTTTTAAGTTAAGAACGCAAGGAATCCGTAACAATTGGTATCAAAAGTGGCATTAACTTGAAAAAAAGTATCTTCGATAAATGGCGAGTAGCGCGGCGAGGTGAACTACTCCACTGTTACCCGGTCACTGTATGTTATAAAAGTAACGGGCGGGAAGGCCGGAACAGGTATGTTTCTAAATACTAGTCGATGTCAATACGTCCGCTCTCAACGCGCGATGGCGGCTTTACCCGATCACAGTATGTTATGACACAGGTGGAGCAGTCGGAATAGGTATTTGGAACTATCCATCCAAGAACGGCATAGGAACCGTTCAGTTAGTACCATCTCTAGTTAGTAGCTTACCTTAATATATCCATCGCAAATTTCGCATATAACAAAAGAGTTCTTAGAGTTTGTATCTCCAGGCTTAGAAGTCACAGAAGGAGAAGCTGTAGTCCCCCTTGGCAAAGGAGTAATTGAAATACTAGGAGTGTTGTTTGTCTTCTTCCCCTGTGCAGTACCAGCCTGAAAAATTGACAGAACAATATAATAAATAATGTGTAGAAGTATCACTCATTTTCAATAGATCTTTAAGGTCGCAGTGGTTAATCCCCCCTCTCACTCATTCTACGTTCTCACTCATCACTCATTTTGTTTTTTTATAACTCTTTTAGAAATATTTATATATATAAAACAAATTATTTTGCTTAACTGACATATAATTAGCTTCATACTAATAACACCAAAGTATGACGTTTAATAATTTTACAAAGTTTTGATACAAACAAAAACAGATTTTCTCAGCATAAACTGCCAGTGTGCCTTAAGGTTTTAAGTTATTTTTATATTGAGTAAAAATAATTTTAAATGGTGTAATTTAAAATTGGAGACGTAATTTTTTGGTAATAGATTTGTGTGCCTGGAAACGTTCTATCCTGTTTTATCTGTTATCTTTCTATAATTAATTATATAATTCTATAATTAAATTGTTAATTTTAGGTTTAAGTTTTAACGCGCTGTCATTCTCGCCAACACTCGCTGTTTTACATAAACCAATGTGTGATGAGGATTTAGATCAATGTATGAATGAATCATTGTATATCTCATATTTTAATATCTTTGTTCATATTTTAATATCTTTGTACATTCCTCATTTATATCAAATTAAAGCTATTTTTTTCTGTGTATGATGTTATAAAGCTGCTTACGAAAAAGTGTCCGCCAATAGGGGTATCTAGCTTTTAAAAATGCTCTATCAAAGATAGACTGCAACAGAGCATTTTCTCACAATTTTAGAAGTCGTCTTCAAAATAGTTCCTTCTCTCGATAGACAGACTTTACGATTTTAGATTCATTTCAAGACTTAACATTTAAGGTTCAACTATGTTACAGATGACAGGAAACCATATTAAAACCATAAAAAACTAATTATCTAGAACAGTTATACCTAGATATTTATGTACGAGCTCAAAACTTTACCAGACGCTCGTGATTTCTACTATTTTCCTAATTTACTCACTTGAAAGACTTGATTTCCACTTAGCTGGTAACTTGTAGGAACTAAAACGGAGCCACCAGTTTGTTGCTTGAAAATCATCCCTTGAGGTCTAATTGCTGGTTGAGATTTCAGATTTGGACCTAATGAGGGTCTGCCACGACCTCTATTAAGGGCCGAATTTTGCGTTCCTTGTATTTGCATCTGAAATTATATTAAAATTAACTTCTTTTTTATCATCATAACCCAAAGTATAGCAAATTCAGATAACCTTAATTTAAAGATGTTTCCAGTTTGATACCGTATAATATAAAAAAAAAACAGTGTCCAGTTGGCTTGGAAATGATGATCAATGACATTCCCCATATAATTTTACATATAAAATGACAGCGATCTTCATTTCATAGCGATCGCTGACGCAATTTTTTTTCGATCTTATTATATAACGAGTTCTGTGAGTTATTTTTACCACTTACGCATATGTAAATACCGACCCAAGATCAAGACTTGCTAACGCGGTTATTACATAACTTACTCACATAATTCGTTACATAACTTACTCACATACAGGTTGTTTCAAAAAACATCTGCCATCTCTCGTGGGGAGATTCCTCACGTAAAAATAAGGTTTATTTTTCATATCAACATAGGTCCGATTCTCCTTTGTTTCGTAGCTACAGGGTGTTAAAATCTTAATATTTTTTCAATTTATTATAATTTTCTTCTATGTACTTTTAGCTTTTCAAATGAAATTTTGAGGGTAAATGTTACTATAAATGCGACATATTTCAAAGCCAAAAAAATGTAAACATATTCACCAGGGACGTGCATATGGGTTATCACTGGAATATTTTTCTAAAAAAAGTTAAAAAGTTACAGGATGTTAAAACTTTTTAAAATTAAGATTTTTGTAATTATCTTAAATACCATTATTTTTTTATTTTAAATTGCTGTATGATGGACTAATAGTAATAATATTTAATAATAAATTAGGTATAATACATAATTTATTAATTTTATTTTAATTTTAATTTTATTAATTGTGATTAATAATAAAACTGCGTTATCTCATCAAGGAGGCCAAATGCGACAAAATATCAAGAGATAACATTGGCATTAAACGACCTACACAATTTTGATATCAAAAGAAAAGTCAGTGGCGCACATGTTTTTTTTTGAAAAATATTCCAGTGATAACTCATATGCACGTCCCTGATGAATTTATCGACACTTTTTTAGCATTAAAATATGTGGCACTTATAGTAACGTTTACCCCCAAAATTTCATTTGAAGCGCTAAAAGTACTTGGAAGAAAATTATAATAAATCGAAAGATTATTAAGACTTTAACACCCTGTAGCTACGAAACAAAGCAGAATCGGATCTATGTTGATATGAAAAATAAATCTTATTTTTACCTGAAGAATCTCCCTCCGGGAGATGGCACATGTTTTTTGAAACACCCTGTAAAATTACTGTTAAAATAGTATGACATAACTTACCTTAGACAAGAGCTGATATTGTTGTCCTTTGTTAGCTAAAGTCTGGTAAGCAGCTACTGTTGCATTTAGTCCAGTTGCTCTCATTTTAGGCATTCTTGGGATTTTAGCTGGGGGCTCCCAATCTGCTGGAGGCTCGAGATTTCTATCTGGTTTAAATTTGCGCGCGCATACTACTAAATGACGTGACAATTTGCCTTTTTGATTGTCCTCGAAAGGACACGAAGGACACTGATGGAAGGCTGGAGCTCGTTCCAGATGACCTAAAAATGTATATAGTCTGTTGCATCGCCGACCTGAACATAGGAAATCCTATGCAAATTTGAAAAATGTCACTGTCAAAGATTTTGTCGTTGGACAGACTATAGTACTTATTACTGTAAGGGATTTTACAAACCTCTCACGGCATGTTCAGCTTCCATATGAAATAAAATATCATGAGGACTTCTAACTTCATATGAACAAAAATTACATTTATAGACAAAGTTTTTCATGTGGGGTGTTTCCAAATGATAAGCCATCGCCAACTTCGATTCGGATTTAAAATTACAAAATTCACACTTTTTGACTTCCATTCTAAAAATAAATTTAATGCTTTAATGATGTTTTATATCGCTAACCAGGAAAAGAAATTGAAGCCAAATTTTTGAGATAGAGTTATACAAAATCCACATAAGTCGGTCCTTTTGATTCAACATCTTTGAACTACGTAAGCGTGGAAAGTGCTTCGCGATTAGTTGATTTATTTTCATACTAACACATACAAGTAGTTTTCAGAGTTTCCATCTACTACGTAAATCAAGCGTCTTGCTATTCACGCCTTCATGGTGGGTTCATGCTTCCGACCTTAGCCCGAACACTAACATTAGTCCTAACCCCAAGAATATGAATCAATGTTAAAGAACGCTAAGATCTTAACATTAGCCTTAAGCCGGAGTCTTATGCATCCGAAATCCGATTACACGACGATCCGAGGGTGCTCCTATTGGTCGAAATATTTTGACACCAATATTTATCCGATATTTTTAACTAATCGTCTGACGTCGTATAAAGTTAAATTTTGTTTAACTTTTGTACGATATCGTGTATTTTTTCAACTCACTTTTTTTGAAAATATTGGTTTTTAAAAACAAGTTTAGTGGGAAGTGGGCAATTTCGGGATATTTGGCGAGGAAGTTATTTTTATAAGTGTGTCTCCAATAAAACATGACATGAATATCTATTCAATGCAGTAGAAAAATGTCAAAACTGTCAAATTTCGGAACGAACTTTCGGATGTATGTGACAGGTTTTTTTTATTTCACAGGATAACTTTAAATTTCGGATGTCGTACCATCGGATTTCGGATGCATGAGACTCCGGTTTTAGTCCTAACAGGTTGGGATATTTTATATTCTTAGGGCTAATGCTAATTCAAAACTAAATCGCGCATACTCAAAGCTAAGGGTTTTAAGAATTCTTGAAATAATATCGACATGTTGAATTTGAGGGTTTATAAATATTAATAAATAATGTATTTTTTAGTCTAGAAATTATTAATGTAAAAACTAGTTTTTTTATTATTAGAAATTTTAAAAATAATTGTGAATTTAGGTTAGTTCAAAACATATGTTTAATATGAGCGCAAGCGCTTACGAGAATATTGATTATTTCCTTAAGACAAGTATAGACTTATGCAAGATTGATATTCCCATTTCATCTGTTTGGCTTCACTTTCCACGCATTGTGTACATGGGCTATTTACCATATATTCTTACACAGGGTGGATCTTAAATAAGTGCAAATATTTTCAGGGCTGGTAGATCTCGATAAAAGAAACATATTTTCTCTTTAGCATTTTTTAAATAAGTCCAAAATAACCGAGTTATTTTACTTCGAAAATTTCCAAGAAAATAATTCTTTTCTGGGTTTTCTTTCTTGTAAATTTGATCTATTACACCTATGTTGCCATATCATCAAAAAATTATGGTTTTTAATTAAAAACTAAAAAAATTTCTAAAATTTTTTTCAAAAAATTCCAATTTTTTTTTCGCGAAAAAACCTCATAGTCGTGTTTCTGGGGTCGAAATATAATACTCCTAAAAATATTTGCACAAGACTCACCCTGTATGTATATGTATATGCCGCCATACCACGACCAAAAAATTACACATGGTCGCCATATCGAGCTCAATTGGGAACACTTAAATTCCAATTTCACCAGTGCACTGATAATAAAATTTAAATATTTTCTGATATAGGTGTATAATATTATAATTGAGTGTTGGAATCTTTGGTATTACAGCAGCAAAATAAAACTTATTATTATATCACAATAAACCAAACCCCTTTACTTTTAAACAGTGGACGGGCGTTTTAATAACGCATCATCAGCAGATGATTAAAACTAAACTAATATTTACAAATTGAGCGTTTATGTAGGCGCTCAGTTGCTACCGACTAAACATGACAAAAACTAACCAAGTGAGTCAAAACCAACCGAGCATAATAATTAATTTGTTGTAATTTGAAACTTGTTTGATTAATTTTAACATCAATACAATTATTTTTATCAACAATATGTTGAGCAAGGTAAGAGTTTATATCTTATCCGAGCCATATGTTCCTTAAATCTAGTTAATATTCATCAACGTATTTTTGATTATAATCTTTACATGAAATTTCATAAATACCCAACCTTTGTAGAGGAGGTGTTTTATCTTTAGGATTGTCTAATAGTTGTTGTAATTCATTATTAGCGCTATACACAAGCTTATAATTTTTTAATTTTCCAGAACGTCAATTATTCCGTCTAAAATTCGTAAAAATTTTAGGGCAATCAATGTTGGCATAGTAATTTAGGACTCAACATGGCAACGACTATGTAGATTGATTTTTTATGTGGTGAATGTATTGGCGTTAGCGGTTCATATTTAATATACCGGGTGGTGCATCGGCGTTGAAAACATAGGAAATCCCATGCAAATTTTGAACTGTCCAAGTATTGGCTCCTCTATTGATTCTACAGCGAAGTCGTAAATAGAGTTTTTAAAGGTCTGGGTATGCTGAAAACACATGCCAAATTGAACAATTTTGTGCAAGCCGTTTTTAACTAATTTAGGAACAGCTGCATCTATTTTTAAATGAAATCTGAACAGGTAACAATGCAAAACCAGGGAATGGCAAACATAGCTTAAGTCGTCAATTTATAATTTTGCCAATGTCAAATTATATTTTCTAAACGCTTGGTATATTTTTTGCCTAAACATTTAGGCTTTTCCCTAATTTGAACAAGTATTAAGTTACAAAAACGCATATCAAGCACACTGACTGTAGGTAGTATAACATAGTATCGTAGACAGTACAACAAATTTCAATCAATCATAGGTTGACGACTTAAGATATGTGAACTTAAGGAATGTTAAATTAGTTAAAAACGGCGTGTGCGAAATTGTTCAAATTTGGCATATGTATACAACATACGCAGATCTTTAGTAAACCTATTTATGACTTTGCTGTAAAATCAACAGGGGAGCCAATATTTGGACGGTTCAAAATTTGCATGGGATTTCCTATGTTTCCAACGTCTGTGTTCCATTCTAATACCCACCTGAAATGTTCATTATTTTCCTTGCTCATTTCAATATTTTTCATTAAAGAAGCAATGGTTTTATTTGTTTCTGGGTTAGAGCCTTGTTCGCGTTCTCGCTTACGTTTCTGCTGTTTTAATAAATCAGACTGGACATATTCTTGAACCATATTAATACCAATTTGAATAAAAAAATTGCCTGAAACAGATTTTTCAGAAAAAGTTTACTAACACTACTTCAATTAAATTAAATTAAACAAATAGGATACCTAAAGGACTCTCAAAGTATGAATAAGACTTTTTAACCTCTGCTTCGGTTTTTTCTTCTTCACTTTCACTACTAGAAGTTGCTTTATCATCATCATCTAAAGAATTGTAAAATTAATTTTTCTTTCCAAAATTCAAAGTATGCAGATAAAAATTACCTTTTGCTTTGATGTCCAACTCCTTTTGGTCTTCATTAGAGCTCTTCTCTTTTTTTCCTTTTTTGTTATCTTGTATTTGTTTTTTTAAATCACTGATAAGATCCTTTAATGCTTTTACAGGAGGTTTTTCATAAACGTAGGGAACTAAAATTTTGGAATTTATTTGACAAATATTATATACAGGGCGTCCCAATATTCCATAGATACAGAACTACATACTACGTATTTTTGGAATCAAAATAAGTTCATTGGATACAACTTAGCTCTTTGCAAAAGTGCTTTGTGTGTCAATTAGAGGGCATCAAACTTAACAATCTCATGTTTTAAGATATTTTAAGAACCGATTTGAATGAGACACTTGTGTTTTACTAAGCGCTTTAACATTTGACTTTCATAAAATTTAAGAAAAAGTATAGGACGGGTGAAAACCCACCCCTTCATAAATTTTAGTAAAATATTTTCCAACTTCACCGACGACTGATTTTTCTTTCGTAAAATGATCCTTCTAATATTTGCTATATTTTTATCTCTTGTAAAAAACCGCGCCTATTTCTTGAAAATAAAATGTTTTTGGAAGCGGAATTACAAAAAATATTTCTTGTAATGGAAAGTTATGTTTTCGCCTTACCAATGGAGCTACAGCTGCTTTGGTAACCAGGCTATAGCTAGGCATTACTTAGTTCCTCCGCAAAAACATTAAAGTATGGTTATGATTAATGCCATTCGGACGTATTGCGCAAGCGCAAAGCTTTCCGGCATTGTATTGTTCTTAATATCTTAAAAAATGCTTATTTTAAAATTTAATGCCCTCTAAGGGACAAAGGAAGTACTTTTGTATAGTTAAATTGCGTCCAATGAAATTTATGTAATAAATAATTTCAACAGAATTATTCTAACTGTAAGCACGGTAATACGTATAAGATTAAGAAATTATAAGGTGGGAAAATTTGCAGTTCTAAAGGGTGTTTTTTGCAAAAATCCCTCATAGCTTTGTGGATAGAAATATACCACCCCTAAAAATATTTACTTATTTAAGACTCACCCTGTATTACCAAAACTAGTGAAAGAAAAATTAACGAATTAGTATAAATATGATATATATTACCAATAAATGATGGTGCCTCGACAACAAACATATCGTCTGTTAAGGTAGGCAAGAGTGGTGCTGTTGGCATAACAGATGGAGAACTTTTCCCAGATACGTGAGTAGAATTTACAGGTATTGGAGTTATTGTTGCTCTCATATTATTAGGGGGATATAAACTCTGTGCTGGAACGGCCAAAGGTAAAATATTAGTAAAACCTGAGGAGGAAACTGACTGGGTGTTTTTATTAACTGGAATGGGACCATGGCCTGAAAAAAAATTGAGTATAACTAATTTAATTTACAACAATATACATTTTTATCTATTAGAAGAGAATAAAACTACTATAAGAATAAAATAAACTGAGTGGTTTTTACATGATGATGGTCTTATACAAAACCAGCACAACTCAAAAAAATGCTTTTTTGAGATTTCCGGTGCTTCATATTTGGAATTTTTTAGGCATAAAGGAACTTTTTTATTTTCAAACCCAATCGGATTTGAAAATAAAAAAATCAATTCTTGCATATTAAAGTAGGTTAAATTCCAAATATGATGCATCCGAAGTCACAATAAAGCATTTTTTAGGGTTGTGCCAGTATTGCATAAATCCATCGATGAGATCCCACAACTTTTTGTAGCGGAAGAATTGCGTTATGAGACGTTTTACATGCATTTTTTACATCCTATATTTTTTATAGGATTATTTGCTATCTTGTTATGTTCTAAGCTATTTATTAAGCAATTGTACCTATACTTTTAACACGTATGTGTTCAACCTTCTAGGTGTGTATTAAGAGAAATAAATAAATAAATAATTGTAATCCTTGCCTGATAAAATCGAATTGGTATCAATAATAACTAAGGTTGGTTCCTTTTTTCCATTTGTATTTGTATTTGGACTTGATTTATTTGCTATCTCCACTAGCCGTTTAGTATCTTTAACAACAATCGTTGACTGGGGCGCAAGAGAACCTTTTTTGCTTGATGTGCGCTCTACAGTCACCTGATCTGAAACAGCTGTAAAGAAGAAATTTTAATAATACATATATTATGCAACATATAATATAAATTATTCATCATTTTTAAAATTTACATGGGATTTAATATGTTCAGGTTTAAGATGCCACAAACGGCATTTTTGTGGCTTTAAAAAAGTTGTGGCTTTATTTATAGTCTCTAAAACTTAAGCTACTAAGTTCATAACTACCTAAAGGATCTTGTGGCAACACTTCCTCAATATCTGACTCTTCAGATTCAGCCTTATTTAATGTTGGAGGAGGCGTATCTTCTTTATCAATTTCAACATAGCTTCTATTTTTATTAAGATTCCTAGAACTCCGTCTTGGGGCCACGACTTCCTTAACTTTTTCTGGTTTTTTCTTTTCGGGACTCTCTACAAGATTGATCACTTCAGTAGTGCCATTTGTTTTTGGAGAATCAAGAATCAAAACATCACCTAAAATAGCTTACAAAATGTATATTTTTGTCGATAATATATTGTAAGTAACAATATGAAAATCAAATATAACAACGTAAGATATCAACGGAATTATTTTTTTAACCCCATGAAAATTTAGATTTAGGTTCTACAGTCGGATAAAAAAATCGCAACGAAGAAATTTTTCGTCAAATTTAACGTGTCATATTTTTTTTATTTTTGGCCCTATTTTTATGATTTGTTAACAAACTGTATATAAATACATCAGCTTTAATTCGTAAATTCAGTTTTTTATATACTTTACCATTTGGCATATTATACAGGATTAATCGAGGGGTTGTTTTTTGCCCTAAAAAACACCCTGTGAAATAATTTTGTGAGTAAATTTTATCACAAACTCAGTATCACAAAATGTAGTATCTCAAAGCCAATTTCAATATTATTTTAATGCGATCAACATTAATTGCAACCGAGATGGCGTGAAATACAGAGCGAAAACTTGTGATTACTGCCGTTCGAGCGCTGCGGTCCGAATTTTTTGAAATCAACTGATAAGATGATAAGTATTAAATACCAAATTCCGTTTATATACAGGGTGTCTCAAAAAACATGTGCCATCTTTCGTGGGGAGATTCCTCACGTAAAAATAAGACTTATTTTTCATATCAACATAGGTCTGATTCTACTTTGTTTCGTAGCTACAGGGTGTTAAAGTCTTAATAATCTTTCGATTTATTATAATTTTCTTCCAAGTACTCTTAGTTATTTGAATGAAATTTTGGGGGTAAAAGTTACTATCTAAAAAAGTGTCAATAATTTCATCAGAGACGTGCATATGGGTTATCACTAGAATATTATTCAAGAAAAAAACATGTGCGCCACTGACTTTTTTCCTTTTGATATCAAAATTGTGTAGGCCGTTTAATGCTAATTAAAAGTTATCTCTTGATCCCAATTCTAATTCGGCCTCCTTGATGAGATAAACGCACTTTTATTAATCACAATTAATAAATTTAAAATAAAAACAAAGTTAATAAATTATATATATTTTACCTAATCAGTTTTTTTAAATATTGCTATTAGACTTGGAACAAGGCAAATTAATAAAATTGCGTTTATCTCATCAAGGAGGCTGAAATCGACAAAATATCAAGAGACAACTTTTAATTGGCATTAAACTGCTTACACTATTTTGCTAACAAGAGAAAAAAAAGTTCTAGGTCAACGGAAAATACCCTATAAATTTTAATTCCCTTGAGCGTGTCAAAATATACGTTTTTTGCGGCATAAACGGCCGTATCTTTTTTAACGTTAACTTAGAAGTTTGATTTTTTTACAGCTGCGCTGAATATATAGTTGTAATTTCAACTCGACGCGTTCCCGAGATGCAGAGGTTTGTCAGACGGACGAACGGACAACAAAGTGATCCTATAAGGGTTCCGTTTTTTCCTTTGGACGTACGTAAAATCTAAGATGGCAGACACTTCCACTTTAAATCAGTATTTTCAAAAATTAGCTACATATAACTGACTGTCTAAGTCTAGGTTACCTTCATCTTCACTATTTAATTCAATAGTTTCTTCGTTTTTTTCTCTTGAATTTTTATCATCTTCCTCATCAACGTCATGTATTTCTTGAGCAGTACTTTCAGCACTGGTTATCCTTTCATCTATACCATTTTCGGATATATCATTTTTAGAACTGCATTTACTATCTCTTCCATCTTGCCTTGATTCCTAAATCAAATATATAACAAAAGTTTAAAACTGATACAGAACCAAAAAATTAAACATACATTGTCATCTTCATCTTCCTCATGCAGTTCTTTAATACCATCTCTGCTATTTTCAGTTGAAATGGAATCCTGAGTTATCAGATTATTACTTTCAGACATGCTACTCCTATAACAAAAATCATTCTATGAGCATATATATTCTTTTTATTTTTAAATAAAAATATTTTTTACTATATCTAGGTTTACACATACGAAATACAGTATACTGTTTCAAAAAAAAACTGACTATTATGTTTTTTCTTAATTATGTTAAAATATTGTGGTCGACTCGATATATCCATATATCCTAAACCAATAATAGAAACCCTAGTGAATCAAGGTATTGACAGGCCTTACATAGAAAGTCTCGCCAATATACTATATAATGATATATAAAACAACCCCAGAATTCCTAACTAGCAAAGAAGTACAATAGGGAAATGCAATATCCCCAAAGCTGTTTACAGCAACACTAGAAGAAATCTTCCGTGAAGTAGACTGGACCAACAAAGGATTAAAAATAGATGAAGAATATCTTAACCATCTAAGATTCACTGATGACATAGTCCTAATTGTCAATAATCCTGAAGAACTACAAACACAAATTAACGAACTAAATACAGCCATCAATAAAGTAGGTCTCAAAATGAATTTAGCAAAAACTAAAGTAATATATAACAAACTAGTAAACAGAAAAGACATTCTAATAAATAACACAAAACTGGAAATAGTAGAAGAATACATAATTTGGGACAACTAATGCACTGCTCGGGATCTCTACTACCAGAAATCAACCGAAGAAAGAATGACGATAATAATAATATTGAAAATGTTGTTGGAAATGACGAAAAAAATTCTGTGAAAGTTTGAGCTCTTAATATCAATATTAAGAAGTACCACATGGGAAATTTCAATTTTCCATTTGATTAACATAGCAAACTTTTTTTCAACTTTAGAACTCTTTAACGAGTTTTTAGACTGGTTTTAAAGCAACATAGTCATGTAGAGAATTGAACGCTTTACAACAAAAGGTCCCTCATAATTTTATTTTTTATTGATTCCAAACATCTTTTCAATTTTTTGATCCAACTGTTAACTTAATGTGAAAATTGCATAGGACAATTTTTGTGGAGCTTTCTTTAAGGTATCTATATAGAAGTTATACCATATTTTATACAGGTCGTAAGTTATTTGCATTAAGCTGATTTTATTGTTTAAAATTAATTATACTGTGTGTAAATTAATTAGAATAAAATAATAATTTTCAGGTTAAAAATCTATAATTCACACAATATAATTATCTTTAAACAATAAACCTACGAATATTTAAAAAAAAATCAGTTTAATGCAAATAAATTAGGACCTGTACAAAATATAAAAAACTTTTATAGAGATAACTTATAAATTCTCATAAAGTTGACAGTTACTTCAAAAATTTGAAAAATGTTAAAATGTATCAATACAACTTTAACCTTGAATAACTTTGAAACCAACAAATGTATTAAAAAAATATTAGAGACCTTTTTTGTAGAACGTTCAATTCTCAACAAGAATATGTTTCAACCAAACAAGTCCGAAAAACTTGTTAAAGAGTTAAAAAATTCTAAATTTAAAGAAAAATCCCATATTAAAAGTCCGAATCATATGGAACTTTATTTTATATATTGGCTTACGTGAAATTTGACTTTTGTTATAGTTTATGTGCTTTGAGTTAAATTAAAAATGACATAAGAAAATTTACTCCTCGGGTATGTCTTAAATTTGACATTTAGTGTAATAAATGGCCAAATTTCGAAAAACATCATTTCAAAAAGTTGTTTCTTTTTTATTTTTATGTAAATACCTATGTCAATTTTCAGCCATCTAGATGAAACAATTTTTTTTTGTCATTTGTAATCAATAGCTGCCGATTCTCGTGATAGAACCAAAAATAACTTAGAGGAACCAGTTTGTCATTCAAATATTTATCTAGTACTCATATAATTATTAGTTAAAAGTTTTGAATGAATTAATAGTTTTTTAAGAAAAGTTAAATTTTGTTGTTAAAAATTAGGCAAAAAGTGATGTAATGTATAATAACTTCCACGTTTATGGAAATAGCATCACAAAATTCATATTGGTACGTGCTGGACACTTCTTTGCACCATACTAAATGTGAAAATGTATTTTTTATAGCCTAATTATAGAATTGTTGGGTTAGATATTGCTGATATTGATATATTATAACAAGAGTTAACTTAGAACAATGAAGCATTGATTGACTGAGTATGAGCCAAAAAGTGTCATGTTATTATATAACATTATGTTGGCCCGATGACATATAACCAATTCTTATTGGATAAGTAACAAGCTATTAAATAGAGTAGTTATATCAAAAATGCAATTTCATGACCTGTTGAGTTACACTTGTTTTTAATCAAACAATATCTGCACAATGAAAAAGTTTTTGTTTTTTATATTTGTAAATAGGGCAACTTTATATAATATAACCATCAGATTTTAATTTAAAGTGAAACTATATTTCATTATAGGTAATTCTGAAAATAAATCAAGAGAAGGTGTTTTTTACTTCACTTAGTTGGAAAATACCATTTCCCCCCCCCCCCAATGATTGTTTTAATTACATACTTGAATCTACAATTCTGAATACATATACAACTAAATACCTCACCTGCTCTCTTCATCATTTTTTTGGCTACTTAAATTACTATTTTCTATGTTCTCATCATTTTGTGGAATACTGCTATTTGTATTAGTACTATTTTCTTCAACTTTTTCACTACCAAAACCAGAGTTTTCACTGTCTTTACTCTTTATTTCTTCGCTTCCATGACTCTCTTGACTAAATCAATAAACTCATGTTAAATAAAACAGCTAATTACAATAATACAAAATTTTACCTGTCGTCATCTGCAACATCTGCATTTTCTAGATTACTACTTTCATTTTTGTCATCCACACTAGTTACTATTTGCTTTAGATCAACGCTTTTTAATTCTTTATCAGTTTCCTCCACTTCTATATTACTATCTTTGGTTATATCCCCATTTAAAAGTATACCTTTAAAAGAAACAATTTATTAATAATAATAAATCTTCTACTTCTTCTTGTTTCACGATGACCACGCGCCTTTCGACGGCCAGTCAAAGAATATTAAATAAAAATATGTACACAAACCTTCTTCTTTTGGATGGACATCAACTTCTCCCATTTCTTCCCTTTCTGCCATAATATATATGGATATATTTAATGGATCTATAAAGTAATAAACAACAGTTATATATCACAGATACCAAGTTAAATTAGTATATAGTGTGGAATGTTTAATAGTAAAAAAATAAGTTCATAACAAACTCCAACAAAAATTCTAAATTTAATTAAGGACATGCCAAGATTAGAATACTGGAAATATATTTTTCCTGCATATAAAATGTGATAAAGTAGCTTTGTTTATAACCTCAAAACAAATCTCCAAAGAACATTGAAATTGAAACCCAAATGGACCTTTTATGACAAAAGTTGCTTTTCTTTAGACATTAGACGGGCAAATAAAAGTGTACCTGACAGTTAAAATACGGATACCCCACCACTGTATTTACTTGAAAATGATAACAAAATCCCAACACCGAGTTCTACGCCACTGGAGGAGAAACCCGACCCTGTTTCGGCTGTTTCATCAATTTATTCATAGAGAATATAAAAATTGTAAGCGAGCTACCATTTTTCATAAAAATTGTAAAAATTTACCGTAAAATAGTTTTGAATATTTGAATTCCCGCCACGACACATGGGTTATCACAGAAGAGAAACACAAAACATCTGTACGTCGAATCCCGAGCTGATTCCGAATAATCGTAAATAGCCGAACAAACCTTTACCGACCCGCGCTATTCAAATGGATGTACAATAAATTTGCTCCAGAAGGCTTTGTAAGACTGAAAACTGAGAAATTTCATGTGAAAATAATGGTACATTAATAAAAATAGCAGTAGAAAAATCGCAATCACGTCGTTATCCACTGGCAACGCACTAAACTGCCAATATGGCGTCTAACGGTACGTCACGTGACCAAATAGTGACGTCTCCTCTCTCTTTTCGTTCCGTTCCATCCCAGAATTTTTTTTCTTAAAGTAAGCAAGGAATGAATTTTAGAAATTTACAACAAACATCTTTATAGAATAAACTAGCTTTTTCCGGCGACTTTCCCACGACCCGTCCGCATAAAATTCGAATGTTTTATACATTCCTTTTATGATTGGAACAAAAAAAAGGGCATTTCGAATTTCATGTCATTTTACTGTAAACTATTGAATCCTAACAGAGTTCATTTTAATCTGAAAAATACATAGCCATCTCAAATAGTCCCAATCTGTTCTCACATGTCTCTCCTGTACGGGTCGTTCACTCAAATTCAAACATGTGCAGAAATATGATATCATATAGTATTTCATCCCTCAATTTTTCTTTACCTCTTACTCCCGCTAAAACATTGATCAAATTTTTAAGTCAATTCCGTTGTAGAGTTTGGAATACACTTTTTATTTCACTCTATTTCTACTTACAATTAATTTTAAAGTGATGATTCTGACTGAAAACGCAATTTTATTTTATAAAATTCGGCGGTTTTATGCAAAAAAGTCCAATATCGAAATTTTGGCGTTTTACTTGTTACATATATAATATGGCAGTTCGATGATCCACCTTTTTAGCCCAAATGGAACCATATGATTTTTACGGAACGGAATTCGAAATTTTGGCCAAAACACGTTTTTCGTGTTATAATAACATCGCAGTAAAATTTCTACATAGGACCTTTTGCCATAAAACCACCGAATTACTAATCCTGCTAGAACCGATTTTATAATTGTATACATTTTCATCCCTAATATAGCTAGATATTCTGTACTAATATATAACGCCCTTAAGCTATAAATTTTTAAAAATCGATTTTTATAGTATCTATACTTACTTAGGAACCTTGTACAAAATTTCATACTTCTAGAACCGAAAATTTCACTCCTAATTTTATCCTACGAATTTCCAAAAATCGCTTTTGAATACTCACTTTCATAACTTAAAAGAGATGACATATCTCTGCAAAAGTTGATACTACTATAGGATAGGTTTTAAAAAGCTTTTATAGAAAAAAAATAAAATATTCAATTATGTCACCTAAGAAACCTGTAATTTTTCATACCTACTTCTAAAAGCGATTTTAGCAAAATTTAGTCCAAACTTATACCTTTAATTTTACCTCTCTACTTTCATCCCTTAAGAACCTCAGTTGAGAATTTCATATTTGACATTTAATTTATAGAAAATTTGATCCCTAGTTGTGATCCTTATGCGTGCATTTCCTAAAATCGCTTCTCAGTGTTCAATTAGGCCGCTCAAGAAGTGCAAAATGTCATATTTTCTCTGTGCAGATTTTATTTTTTTATACCTACAATATTTACCCTCTCGTTTCACCCCCTTTTATGATGCGAATTTCTAGAAATTGCTCCTTAGTGCTCAATTACGTCATGCAAGAAACATCTGTGCAAAAGTTAATATGTTTAGAGGTAATTTGAACAATTTTTTTACAAAGTTTTACCCCTAATTTTACCCTTTCACGGGATTAATTCTCAAAAATAGTTTCTGAGTGCCCACTTTCGTCACTTAAGGTAGTTCTGTGCAAATGTTCATACTCGTACAAGACTGGTTTACAAAATAGTATATACCAGTTTCCACCATGGATTCACCGCCTTATAGGAGATACGAATTTCCGAAAATTATTTCTTAGTGTTCAATTACTCCACGCTACAGAACTTTTGTGCAAAATTTCATACTCCTAGAACAGATTTTATTTTTCTCTTATACAAAAGCGCCTTGCCTGGCTTTATGGATGGTGCCAGGATTTTGGGATAAAAATGGCGCCCTAAAAGGCATATTTTACATTACTTTTTATTTGAGCCACCCCTAAAATAAATTCCTGTGTTCGCATCAGTCAGTTGGACCCTTGGTTGGACGTTGCTTGTGCCACAAAATAGGAATCAAGTTGATTCCTATTTTGTGCTTGTGCGATGAAAAAGATAGGATATAAAGAAAATCGGATATAAGACTTTAATATGTAATGATCAAATGAAGATTGTTTGGGCTTTAATAACTAATATTTTCCAATATTGTGGGATTCAAAACAGAAATTTCATTTTTTAAAAACTAAAATAGAAAATGCTTTTTTAATGGCCGTTTTTCCAGCATTTATTAAGGTTACTTTAAGTTAAGAGTGCAGCTTTGAATTTGAATTCATTTGTAACTTTTTAAATTCGCCTGAATTCGCTTGTCATTTTCAAAGCTCCACTTAACTTAAAGTAACCTTAATAAGTGCTAGGAAACGGCCCCCTAATTATTTTTAAAAAATTGCTTCCAATTTAGAATAATTATAATTATTAAATAACTCTCTAAACTCCCTTCAGATATTTATCAAAGGCGGACTGTGCAGACCAGTTTGCGCAGTTTAACATGCACTACAGCCTGTCTCCCACACGCCATTTTATAGTTTTATAGTAGTTACAGTTTTATCAGTTTATCTATAATGAACTGAGTGACGCACTCACTTTAGCACATTTTTTTCTGAGTGAAAATGGCGTCCCGGGATACAGTTCTGTCTTGGATTTTACTCGCTCGTGCAATAAAGAAAAAGCAGAAAAACAACAGTTATATAGTTAATAGAAGAAAATTGACCAAAGATTGGCTATATTTAAAGGAAATCATTATTCCCATGTCAATTTGTTTGCTGATTTAAAAGCTGGAAAACTAAGAATGGACAGGACACATAACTTACTTAGAACTATTGAAACTGATTTGTTCGAAAAATTACCACAGTATATGATGCGCATCATGCATGTACAGAAGAACTTTCTACTATTTTTGAGCGACGTCTTGCCTTGCGGTGAATGAGATAAGTGTCGCTTTAAGTTGCTAAACTAACTAGTTTTGACACTTACGTTCGTGGGTGCTCTGCACCCACTGTTTTCCTCTCGTGGGTACTGGAGCACCCGAGCACCCACGCGAGTTGACTATCATTCATATAAAAGTACCTATAATAAGGTGCATTTAGACTAGACTTGAGCTCGCACGAGCTGAGCATACGCGAACGGCTTATTTTATTTACGCACTCGCCTCTGTTTAATTTAAAAACTTTTCTTCAAAAAATTGTTCTTCGAAAAATTTTTGTGAATTTTTTTTTTGAAGAATGAAGTAATCCACATGTTCGCGAACTGCAGAGTTGTGTTAGTGAAAACAATGGACGACCAATAAATAGCCGCGGCTGCCTTCACTTTTATATGTTCATAGTTTAATTAAAAAGAAGAACAATCGAACACATCGTCGCTGGTGACAAACCCAATTTTGGGGATGAAAACGAAAATAAATTAAATAATACCACCCAAACACACACGCAAAACAAATTACCGGTCAAACTGAGCGTTCGCGGACACATAAGAGTCTAAACGCACCTTTAGATAGATAAAAATAGAACAGAAGGATACCATTGGGGATGGTCTTAAACTTAGATTAAGAATAAAAATATCTTATAGGGCACGCATATTTTTGTCCGTACTTTTCTTCGCATGACGTGAGCACTAGGGGTTCAGAACCGGGAAATACTGGTCTCGAAAGTACCGGGAAATCCCGGTGACGAAGATACTGGGAACTCCGGTTCTTTTGAGCCATCGCAGAACCGGGACTCGGCACTCAAAATCGCGGTACTTTCGGGACTTAATACAGCAATAATTAAAAAAATATTTTTGTTACGTGGGGAATCATTTGATACTTTCTAGCAGTCGAAATCAAACTCTTCTAAAATAAGTAGTGATATATGCTATTATTTCTAAATTGTTCCTAAGTAGTTTCTTTTTTCTTTTGAAGTTGCCATAAATGTTTATTACATATACATATTTTTTTATTACATATTTTTTAATTTAGTATGAATGTTGTTCAATGTATTATTAGTTATTACAAGGTTATCACGTGTAATCGAAAAAAAAACGGCGGCAAGGACGGCTGGGGATAATGACAATCGATCATAATTTTGGCGAGGTTGATCTCTAGACGGCATTTACTAAAAATTGATATAAAACTAGTCAAAAATTAACACTAATTATAGAAAGATTAAAAAAGGATAGAATGTTTGCATACAGACACACAAATCCGAGGGGTAGGTCCACTTGAGTAAAAAATGTACATGTTCTGCCAAAATATCATTCTACAGCCAAGCGACTGCTAATGACTGCGAAGAAGACTGCCTATGGACTGCTATATATAAGTCGACTGCTGTAAAACTGGATGTCAATGACTGCCAGCAGTTTAATAAAATAAGGTAGAAATAAATATCTAATAGACAATCTAAAAATAGCCCTCTCCGTTAATATCAACTTTAGAGGAAAAATGATAAGAAAACAATTTTTAAAATTTAATTCTCTACAAAAACCATCTCTTTAGTTTTCCGAAAGAACTTATACAAATGGAGATATTTGAAAAAGCCAAAAAAATCCAAGATGGCGGCCGTTTTTTTTAAACTTCCTCCACTGGGACCGAACGGGACTTTTGAGGGGTAAATAAAAGATCATATCTACACATTCCCGCTGAGATTGGTTGGTTACTAATTTTTTCTACCTCAACCTCCAGACTCCAAATTGACCGGGCTAATGTTATTTTCTTCGCTTGCGTTCATATTAACTACCGTATGATCGAGAAAAAACGGCGTCAACGATGGCTATGAAATGAAGATCGCTGTCATTTTATATGGGAAATGTCATTGATCATTTCCCAGCCAACTGGACGCCGTTTTTTTTCGATCATCACATTATACTTAATAAAATTTTACATTATTTTGAGTAAAAAACTAATTACTTTATTGAATTTACTTTTGAAAACCAACCTTACTTGGTAATTGCCGAATTGCACCATTTCTATGTGCACCATCTTTGAACAAGGATTAGCTAGTACCGAAAAGTACCAAGAAAACCGGGAAATCCCGAAGGTGTGGTACCGAAATTCTCGGTTCCGAAAATGAGCTCCGGTTCTGAAAACCAAACCATTTTACTTGTCTAAACGAAAACCCTAGTCCCTGGTGAGCGCAGATGATCCCACAGGATAGGATGTAATAAATAGTTAATTATTTTATGGATGTAATATTGTGATGTCATGTAACGAATATCGATTTTTTAGCCGGCTCCGAAATCTCAAATCCCCTCCATAGTCACGAGTCTGAGGTCACTACTCACCGATATCGAAGTATCGATATCATCCTTACCGATATTTAGTGATATCGATCTGTGATATCGATGTTTCTTCAAACATTGCCATCTCTACCTGCAACCAATAGAGAAATAAGAGAGGGAAGACGCTAAAATATGTATTTCTGTAAAATAACAATTGGACCTGGGGGCCGGACAAACTGTACTACTTCAACAGGACGGGGTTTGTGCAATATACAAGGCTTGTATGCAAATAGGGTTGCGCCAGGTTGCGCTTTTGGGCGACATTTCAACACATACATATATAGTGCAACCAGGGTTGTTAAGTAGTTTATGAAGCAAAAAACTACGCCAAAAACTACGCGTAGTTTTTTGTATTAACTACGTTTTAAAAATGTAAAAACTACCTTCAAAAACTACACAAAAACTACACAAAAACTGCGTTAAAAACTACCTACAAAAATATAGCAAAACATAAACAATTTAGATTTTAAACAAGAATCGAGCCAAGTTCTTATCATGGAAGTATGAAGTTATATTATATTTGTATAAGTTAAACAACATCAGAAAAAAAGACAATTTTTTTTTCAACAAAAGTGTATTTTCTACGAAATACAAAGTAACATTGAACACAAAATAAATTATAAATTCTTATGGAGAAATTCTCCATATACATTCTCCAGGAGAATATATGATTTTTTACATCTAAAGGCACAAATGTTTTTAGGTTATGTTTTCACTGTTATTTAAAAAAACTACATTAGTTACATAAACTACACATTTACTACTCGACATTTAAAAAACTACGGGTGAAATGTAGTAAATGTAGCTTATTAATTACTACGTGTAGTTTAACAACTCTGTGCGACACGGCTCTAAAAAATCTGGCAACCCTGTTCTGTGGTTTAGTATCAGAAACTCGCTCTGATTAACATATCACCAAATACGTTTAAATTTAAACGTATTTGCATATCACAGTAGCAAGTAGCAAGCAGTAGCATAAATAATGTACAGGTTATGGAATTACGAGGCTTAAATTTATTACAACCTTAGATTAAGAATAAAATTACAACATAACGGACATACATTTAGTAGATTAATGCAAAAAGGATTAATGTTGGTAAAGGTGTACCTCTCTGGTGTACCTTAATGATTAGTGCAAGACAAATTTTAATCATGTTAATTATGTTTACTTTTGTTCTTTCGTTTATTATTTAAAGTTTAACCTTAAATAACCCGGCCCTGGTGAAGTAGTTTCCTTTGCCCCGCCCTCAGGTCCCCGTTTTTATTTTACTGTTTTACAGAAATAGGTATTGTTACGCCTCTTCGTTCTTATTTCTCCATGGTTTGTTATTTGACGTTTGTGTCTAGAGGTCACCTTGAGACCAATCATCAATTTTTAAAGTTTGTTTTTTCCAAATATTGTCAGGTAATTATTTTAAATAATTTAAAATAAGTAACCCTTTGAAGTAACCTACGAAGAAAATTTGTTATTCTTTGTTCAATTAATTTCTGTATTCTTATAAAGTAGTATAAAGTTATATAATATTGTTACAAACTTTATATTAAGCAAAATAATTTTTCTAGTCAACATGACGGAAAAAGCGGGTGCGAAATTTATAGAAAGAGGTGCCCATAAAGGCAAAGGCATTGCCGTATTTACAAGTGGTGGTGATTCGCAGGTATGTTTTTAGCTCTACTATCATATCTATTATCCTATATGAAATGACAACATGTATGTTGCTGAATTTGTCATTAATTTTAACAGTTTACTTATCGGATTTGCTGAAGCTATTATATGAAATTTTGTGAATTATTTTTTGTTTATATACATAGATTCTTTGTAGTGCATACTCGCACAATTAGGAGAATGGGACATGGGTACAATATACACTTAGTTAACATCAATTTTTCAAACCTTTGGCTCAATTTTTATATATTTTTTTTATGAATTGTACCTTGATTCTTCATGAATACTGACGACTTATCAGAGATAAACATGAAATACCCAAGTCAATGTATATTTGTGGTTCTATAAAGCTTAGAAATGTCATATCTGCTAGTGCTCATTTTGTCGGGTTTAAAAAAAAACGCGCCTATACCTAAATTTAAATATGTTTTTTCTATTTCTTAACCAAGGAAGAAAAAACAACTAGGTATATCATCATCATTTTCATTTTCAGCTTATTCAACCAATTTCCAATTATGGTGTAGCTTCCCTTACATATTTATATACCCTCTTTGTAGTTGGGCCCATTGTTGTCTATTGTTGGCTATGCGGGCCCAAGTTATCCCTCCTAATTTTCTAATATCATGGTCCCATCTCATTTTCGAGGGCTCTTAATTCCTCGTGGGTACCATGTTGTCATTTTTGTGGTGCATTTGTTGTCCGTCTATATTGCCACTTGAGGGATGACTCACTCTTTGGATGACATCTATTAGCTGGGTCTTTTTTGTTAAATCCACTCTATTCTTTTACAGTCTCTCTTGGTTATTCCCAGCATATTTTGTTCCATTGACGTGCGAACTGCAGTTTCTTTATGATGTCCATTTTAAGTGTCCAGGTTTCGGATGCATAGGTCATCACTGGTAGTACATATTGGTCAAATGTTTTCTTCTTTAGATAAAGTGGCATTCTAGATTTGAATATGATTGAGTTTCTTCCATAAGTATTCCATGCTAACTTAATTCTTCTGTTGATTTCTGGTAGTAGAGATCCGGAGCTGTGTATTAGTTGTCCCAAATATATGTATGTATGTATTCTTTTACTATTTCCAGTGTTGTGTTATTTATTAGAATGTCTTTTCTGTCCGCTAGTTCGTTGTACATTACTTTAGTTTTTGCTAACTTGCTAACTTAAGTTCACTAGGTATATAAATTAACTCAAATATTTCATGTCTATTTCTGTGGCAAGGAAGAAACAAATGGGTACATAAATGAAATAATTTATTAAGTTGCACAAGCACCAAAGCTAACTACAACTAGCTAACTAACTACAAAAATTCAGCTATAGGGATTTTGTGCTGATGCAACAAAATTCGCTAGAGCTGAATTTTTGTAGTTTGTGTAGGTCCATATTAACATACTAAAACTAAAAAAAAATAACATATTAAAACTAAATGTGCAATTTTTTAGTATTTGCTAAATGTCTCCAATACGGCCATCTTTGGTAAGATTACAGTATGTACACTACTGAAATGAAGATAATATATCTAAGCTAAATATAATCTACAGTGTGTCCACGGATTGACTCCCAAAACTTTTTTATTCGTGGGTTTATGAAAAAAAGTTATTCTTCATAAAAACTCCTGCTTGAGCTTAAACGACCAACAGGCATATTAATTTTACAAATGTATATACCGAGTGTTAAAAAGTTTAAAAAATATGGAAAACGCTAAGAACAAAGTACTTGTATATGTAAAAAACGATGAAAAGTTATTAATAAAAGTTCTAGGGATTGAAAAACTACACCACGTTACCAAATTTTATCTCACTACCTAAATGTACAGGGATTGGTAAAATATTCCTCTCCATATAAAATACCACTTCCTGTAAATTAACTTAATTTTTTTTAATAACTTTTAAATCCTTGTTTACCTTTATGCAATTTCATTACATCTCTTTTTAAATTAACCATTGGAGGCTATAAAATAAAACTCGTACACGATTAATTATTAAACTTTTTTTTTAGAAAACGAATGAAAAATAGAAAAAATATTGTTGAAAACAAATAATAGATAATAAAGGCAGGTTGTCAATTTAAAAAAAAATATTCGAAAGTTTCTCCACCAACCTCTTCGCATCGTTGAACTTTTTTAATAAACGCCCTATATGCGTTTCGTATTTCTTGCAACGGGATATTTTGAATCACTTGTCTAATTCTGGTTTTTAAATTATCAAGATCAGGTTCCAAATGAGTTGCATACACTTTCTGGGTAAGGTAGCCCCATAAAACGAATGAAATGTTAATTTAAAGAGGAAAGTAATGAAATTTGCGTAAAGGTAAACAAGGATTTAAAAGTTATTAAAAAAAAATAAAGTTAATTTAGGGTAAATGGTATTTTATATGGAGAGAAATCTTTTACCAATCCCTGTCAATTAGGTAGTGAGATAAAATTTGGTAACTTGGTGTAGTTTTTCAATCCCTAGAACTTTTATTAATAACTTCATCGTATTTTTACATATACAAGTACTTTGTTATTAGCGTTTTCCATATTTTTTAAACTTTTTAACACTCGGTATATACATTTGTAAAAATAATATGCCTGTTGGTCGTTTAAGCTCAAGCAGGAGTTTTTATGAAGAATAACTTTTTTTCATAAACCCACTAATAAAAAAGTTTTCCCTCTTTGGGAGTCAATCCGTGGACACACTGTATAACAGCGGTAGTGAAATGAGTAACCTAATTATGAAAAATAATGTTCCAACCCTAGATGCAACATTTGTCGTAAACGCCTACTTGTGCGGTTTGAAATTTGGATCCTAAATCCCGTATTACCGCATAGAAAAAATGCATCAATCCAACTTTTATCTCTTTTTAATACATTTGATTTTTCATTAAGGCGTCTACATCACTGTCTTGCACATTAAAATCCAGACCACGCTTTTACGATGACCCGAACGGAATAATATATATATATTATATATTTTTTTTTGTAAAAATTCTTAATAATACATAATTATAAATCTACACAGTGCACTTTGAAACTAATTATCTTGCCTGTGTATTTACGGATTTTTTTTAAAGAAGTAATGGCCTTATAATTTATAATATTATTACATGTTGTCTTTTATAATATTTATATTTAGGGCTAGAAAATATATATTCTTTTAGGGATTATATTATTTTAGGGAATGAATGCAGCAGTAAGGGCAGTTGTTCGTATGGGAATATACCTCGGCTGTAAAGTATATTTTATTAAAGAAGGTTATCAAGGTAAATATTTGTTTACTATAGTCATACAACCGATGTTATGCATACAAAACCTATTTGTGCCTGACAAGTGTTATGAGACATTATTTGTTTATAGACTATTTCCCATTTTTCAGATTTTGCTACATAATTTCATAGCTTTGGCTCATTTTTATATTATATTTTTGTACTCACTTATTCTAATGATAATATGGTTACGTCAGTTGGGAGTTGGAATCTTTGGTGTTACAACAGCAAAATAAAACACTAAAGGTACTTTTAGACGGTCAGTTTAGGTTTCTGTTCAGTTTCAGTTCAGTTATCCGTTCAGTTCAAAAATAACGGCCTATTTAGACAATCAGTTGAGTTTTCATTATTGTCGTGCACAGGGCAGAAGTGCAGTGAAGAAGAAACCAAGAAAGAAAAGAAGTAAATGGAGCAAAAACTGGCTTTTAAAGACAATATCATACTATCATAGTGACAGTATCACTGTATCATGTAAATTTAATGAATGAACTTCACTTTGAACCTTCTGATTTTTCAAACTATGAGAGAATGCTATAGATCGAATGAGGATGCTTATAGAGAATTGCTGCATTTAGTGACCACAAGTATAAAAAAAAAACAATTGTCACACTAAAGACTAAGTGCAACTGTAAGAGTTTTGGCAACTGGGAGTTCTTAACAAGGCCTTAAATTTCCTACAGTAATTTAAGACCTCTTAATCAGCTCCTTTTTATTATCTGGTTGTCCCATACGGTCGAAAAAACGGCGTCATAGACGGCTCGAGAATGACAATCGATGACAGTCATTACTTGGCCCCCTACTCTTCTTTATTTTTTAATGGCGCTTGCTGACAGTTAGTCTTAAGAAGGTTGTAGTTTATATTTATATTGAGTAAAAATTATTTTTAAACGGTGTAGTTAAAATTAAAAAAAACATATTTCTTAGAAATGTTCTATCCTTTTTTAACCATTCTATAACTAATATTTTGGCAAGATTTATGTGAATTTCTAGTAAATGATGGGTATCTAGACATTAAGCTCGCAAAAACTATCATCGATTGTCATTCCGTAGCCGTCTTTGACGCTGTTTTTCTCGATTTCTTCAACAATTTCTCTTTTGTTACTGTTATGGTAATGCGGGTTCGTATTCTCCGCAAGCATTGGTATTTTTCATGAAGCTCAATAAATTCGATTAGAAAGTCGTGTTTGGACATTGTGCAAGATATATGTCTTATTGCTATTGCGAAAATTGACACATGAACTGACAGGGTTTGGTCTTTTTACACATCATTTTTACTGACAACTTATACAAAAACTTTGGAAAATCCATCGAGCCACGGCTCCGTTTCACTTTTTCATGATTTTCAATTTTTTGTGTTTAGACATACCATAACTGACAACTGAATTGAAACTGAACGTAAACCTGAACTGACCTTCTAAAAGTACCTTAATTCTTCACAATACACTAAAACACTTTAGACGCGCGTTTCCCTAACCATGTTAGCATCATTAGCAGATAATTAAAACTAAACTAATATTTACAGATATCTTGTAGATATTAGTTTAGTTTTAATACTCAATAAACATGGTTAGCGAAAGGCGCGTTCAAGTAATGTCTTTTGGTGTATTGTAGTGATTTAGTATTTTATTTTTCCAATGATATGGGTCTGTTTTATAAATAAAAATAGGTATATGAATATTTTTGATGTTTGATTTGTTTATTTAGTCATGTTTCATTTAATAGGTGATACGATGAACGATTAGGTCTGTAAAAATTATAATTGAAAATCATTAATTTTTTAATTTATAATATTTTATAATAGTTTCTGTACTATTTCACACGTGGATAAAACACCTTGTATATTATGGCTTAAATTAATGCATGCAGTTTTAATCCAGCTTTATCTATGCTTAATAAATAATTTTTACAACCATAATTAAAATTAGATGATGTCCATTCAAGACGATGTCAAAGCAGCGAAAAACAAATAGTGCTCAATAACGTCGGCAATTTAAAAAAGAGGTTGTTTAATTCCTGGTCCTAAACCTGCGAAGATCATTTCATCGTTTTATTAAAAAAAACTTAACTTTAGCATCTCGCGATATAATATTTGAACATTTGTTTAAAATGTATGCTACTATATTATCCTATTAGACCTTACCAAAAAAGTTACATCTTTCTCATCAGCATAATGTGTTTTTGTCACAGGGATGGTAGATGGCGAGGATAATATTGTGGAAGCAAATTGGTCCTCAGTAAGCTGTATTATTCACAAAGGTGGCACTATTATTGGTTCAGCTAGATGTCAGGATTTCAGGTACTTGATATATTTAGAGCATTTAATCTTACATACACCAACAATATCCAACCAACTACAGTATGTTCAATACCTACTGGCTGCATAATATCAGTTTGCTTTTTTTATCAAAAAAGTATATATGTATGTACTAAAAGTATATAAAAAACTATATACCTAGGCCAGCTCAGCCTTTGTGGATCTGAATCAAAACGAAAAGGAACAAAAAAGTTTCTTTTTTTGTAATATATTACTACAGTTTAGTCTGTGGTTTAGTGTTCTTCTGCCAAGGACATTACAGCAAGAATTTATCCCTCAGATGCAAAAAAACGCGATGAAAAATGTTTAGTTGCGTTTTGTTGCATCTGAGTGTATAATCGGATTTGGAACAACTTTTTCCCGCTTAATTTTTTCAATTTAGTACGAATTTTATTAGCTTCTCGATTGTATGGGATATTTTTTGTCTTTTATATTAGAGAACGTCAAGGAAGATTGAAAGCTGCGCGCAATCTTGTAGAAAAAGGGATTACAAATTTAGTAGTAATTGGTGGAGATGGCTCACTGACTGGTGCTGATTTATTTCGTCAAGAATGGTCATCTCTCTTAGATGAACTTCTATCAACTGGAAAAATTAATGCTGATCAAAGAAAAAAATACACATCTTTACAAATTGCTGGATTAGTGGGATCTATTGACAATGATTTTTGTGGTACTGATATGACCATTGGCACAGATAGCGCTTTGCACAGGTAGGTTTCTATACAGGGTGGTCCATATTGTATTCGGATAACTGATGTAGAATATTCTTCAGATAAATATAAGTAAAAAGTTCATATTAAATTATGTCCTAAAATGCTTCGTTTACAGGGTGTGGAAGTTTCATTGAGTGAAAATTAGTGTCTGGATGTTTTTTGACATGAAAAGTTCATTCCGATGTCAGTATTTCGCTGTCAGTATGACTTCTACTGCATATTTTATAGCTGTTTTGAAGAGTAATAACTTTTTTTCCATACCTGTATTACACTACTGAGTGAAAAAATATGCACTTCAGTTATTTTTTACGTAAAAAAGAATTCTTGGTAAAAATCGCTATGAGTAGTGGTTCTCAAGATATTTGGAATCGAAATAGTCAGTATGTGTGAATGTGTTGAGTGGATAGTTATTAGTCTGAAATATTAACTTTGAAATGTTTTTGTGTCAGTGATTCAACAGAAACTGTCTTATAGCACTTTTTTCTAGACAAATTCATGATTAACTTAAAAAAAATCAAGTTTCCAAATTTATCATTTCATTCATAATAACTATCTAGTCAACATGTTTATTTGATGTTATCAATGACATGTATTGACTATTTCCATTCCAAATATCGGGAAAACGGTTTCCGTAGCGATTTTTATCAAGATATATTTTTACGTAAAAAAATACGGAAAAGTATATTTTTTCACTCAGTGGTTTTATACAGGTATGGACGAAAAATTATTACTCTTCAAATAAGTTAACATGTAGGTTATCATGATACAAGGACGGTTAGATAAGTTATTACGCATGTAGTGGGCGGAGCTTAACAGAAAATTACTATCCGGGTGACGTCATGCGCGCAGAGAACCGATTTGCCACCACCAGGGATCTTCTGAGAGAAGATATTGCGCATGTAGTAGGCGGAGCTTAACAGAAAATTGTTACCCGGATGACGTCATGCGCGCGGAGAACAGATTTGCGACCGCCAAGGATCTAATCTAACCCTTATTGTATCATGGTAGGTTTATGTATGGTGCCCTCTACAACTGGGAGTCATATTGACATCGAAATCCTTCATGTTCCTCATGTCAAGAATCACTCAGACGCTTATTTTCATCCAAATATCGACGTTAGTTCAGAAATTATTTGGAAAAAACCGAAATAAAAATGAAACCTGTATCTCAGAAATGAAGCATTTTAGGACATAAATTTATACAAACTTTTTTATTTATTTTTATCTGCAGAAAATGCTACCGAAGTTTTGCTAATACATTTCGGACCACCCTGCAGTTCAGCCTGATCTGTTATTCCAATAACGAATTATTATTGTTTTACAGAATTATTGAAGCTATTGATGCCATTGTTTCCACTGCTTACTCACATCAACGGACATTTATTATGGAGGTCATGGGTCGCCACTGTGGGTAAGAAATCATTTTAAGATAAATTTATGTTGTCTACTGTTTTTTCCTGAGGTGTAATTATGTAAATGACTTTGTTCAGGTATCTAGCAGTTGTTTCTGCATTAACTTGCGAAGCTGACTATGTTTTTGTTCCGGAATCACCGCCACCAGAGGATTGGCAAAAAAAACTATGTGATAAATTATTGCAGGTTATTACTTGTGGTAAATCATGCACGTAGTGTTATTAAATTAATCAATCATTGAGTATTTATCTTTGAGATATTAACAGTAAATATTTTTAAACCTGGTGGATATTATTTTGAAGCTCAGGGAAATTGATAATCGTTTATTTTTTATAAACTATATACCGTGTGGTGCATTAGAACACAGGACATAGGAAATCCCATGTAAATTTTGAAAAGGTCAAATATTCTCACCAGATGATTTTATGCAGAAGGAGTATTAGACTTTTTTGAAGAGGCGTTAAAGTTGTACTTTCGCCTAGAATTTCCTTTAATTCGGAATCGGCATTTAAATGTTATTTGCCAAAATCTGCCTTCAAATTAGTAAAATTTATACGATGTACTTAAACAGCCGTTAAACGGTAGCCTACTAAAATGCCGTTAATAGATATTGTGACGTCGTTCATGTCGGCGGAAAGTAACGCCTAGCTATAAGCATTTTGCAAGAGCACCTGTGGCTCCGTGGCTGAGGCTATCGCTTCGTGAGCGAATGGTCCGTGGTTCAAATCTCACGCCGACCAAAATTTTTTATATTTTTTTTTGCTTATAGCGTAATCTTATTGCATTGGTTTCATTATTTTTGGTTGGATTGGTTTAGTTATTTGGCGGGTTGGTTAGCGTGGTTATTTGGAGGGTGTTAATTCATTGGTTAGTTGGTTATTTGGTGGGGTTGGTTGGTTTTTACTAATTTATATTTGTTTTTATATTTATATATTTTATCAGTGTCGAGGTTAGTTGCGTTGGTTAAGTTGGTTATTTGGTGGGGTGGATAGCGTTGGTTAGTCCTTATAAAATTCCTATATTTCATAAAGCCGTCAAGTGCGTCACATCAACGACGTCATACCTATTAACGGCATTTTAGTAAGCTACCGCCAAATTTATATTACGGCTCAGATAAAGCTACAATTAAAATACCACCAAAAATATATATAGCCAGTATATTGGCTATTATCCAAAATAAATTAAAAGAAAAAAATCAGTAGTCCTTATACATTTTATTTCAATGTCAGTTTGACTCCTATTTATAGGGGGCGTCGAAATAGAGCGGAATCGAAATAGTCAATACATGTCATCATTGACAAAAATTAAACATGTTGACTAGATAGTCATTAGACCAAAATAATAAATTTGAAATGTTTTTGCCAAAGATTTAATAGCAACTCTTTTATCATATTTTTTTCTAGAAAAATTTATGATTAATTTATAGAAATTAAAAGTTTTCAAATTCATAATTTCAGTCAAATCACTATGTAGTGAACATGTTTATTTTTGTCAATGACATGTATTGACTATTTCCATTCCAAATATCTTGAGAACGGTAGTTCGTACCGGTTTTTACGTAAAAAATTACGATATTTAAGATGTATATTTTTTCCGACGAGAAGTTATTACTCTTCAAAACAGTTAAGAAACATGTAGGTGGCGCCCCCTATAAGTTGGAGTCATACTGATACTGAAATCGATTTTTTCATGTCAAAAAGCATCCAGATACCAATTTTCATCCAAATATCGACTATGGTTCAGAAATTATTCGGATAAAAAACCGAAATAAAAATGAAACTTCTACACCGTGTATCTCTGAAATGAGGCATTTTAGGACATGGATTTATACAAACTTTTTAGTTGTTTTTATCTGTAGAATATGCTGTCGAAGTTTTCCGGATACAATTCGACCTACCCTGTATTTTAAGAATTCTTATTCAAATCCAACACAACATATCCAACCAGGTTTAACGATTTTTTGCCTAATCATTAAATTTATTTTTGTGTTGTTGCTAGACCACCTTGATATTTCAAATGGTATATTTATTGATATCCCTTAGTTTTAACTTACGCATCCGTATTGATTTTAGAGTTTTAACGAATCATTTGCACTGTTATTTGTCATAACTTTTCAACATTGTTTTATGTAATAGGGTTGGGAGACTGTAATTACTAAATCATGTTTTATATTTGCCTATTTTTAAATATATCTAACTAATCTAGTGATTGTACTTTTGAGATCTGTGAACCCTAGAGTACGAATGTGGATATAATTCACGCATTTTCAGGGGGTTCACGGATATTTACGGTTCGTTTCCCGTTTAAACTCGGCATTTTTATCTACTTAAAAGAATTCGCGTCAGCGAAACGTGAACGCTCTCCATATACAAGGCACACTGTACATTTGTACTGTGTACAACCAGTAAACTGGAGTTGCAACTTCTGGAACTTTACCAAGAAGAACTTGTACCGTATGATCCAAAAAAAAAAACGGCGTTAAGTTGGCTTGGAAATGAATATCAATGACAGCCCCATATAATTTTATCTACATATAAAATGACAGCGATCTTCATTTCATAGTCATTGCCTAAGCCGATTTTTTTTCCATCATATTGTACTTAATATGGAATATCAAATATAAATATTACAAGAATAAAAATAAGTGCAATGCTTGGCTTTGGATTAGTGGTTCAACAGGAATTGCTTTTCAGCCTTGAAAAAGAAACGTTACTCTACTTTCTAGTTATTGAAACTATAATGGAAATGGTGACATATTGTTTATTTAGTGATCGTTCAACGTTACGTCATATACTCTCTCTTTCACTTGACAACCAGATGAAAGAAATTGATGACTTCATTACGGCATTTCGTAAATTATTACAGATTGTTTTTAATAATTGTCATTGTCATTTGATTTGGGGTCATACTTTTATAGACGGATATTGATTACGGTCAAAATTTGCTTTTAGTAATTGTCATTGTCATTTGATTTAGGGTTATAATTTTATTGACGGACATCGATTAATGTCAAAATAAAAATTTGATTGGGCTGTCAAACAAGTTCTAATTATGACTTTTTAATTTTTAATTTGACATTCAATTTTTTTTATTACTAAAATGCATTGCAGATTTAGCTAAAATGAAGTTGAAGTTCTCATCGCAAAGTTTATTGTTTATTTTACGCGAGAAAAGATACAATATTATATGCTTATAATAAATATTAAATAATTATATTATTGTATAAAATCTATAAAATCTAAGTTTTTTATAAGTTTATTTTTAAAATAGATTCGATTTACCTGGAAAAAACTGGCATATGCGCCTAAAATTATAAATTTAAAGACAATTAAAATTAATAAAGCCTAATATAGCTACATGAATGTAATAAATATGGAACTCAGTCAATTAATAATTTCAGAACGTACTTAAAATTTTCTAAACAATATTAACTGATATTAGACACACCCTAAAAAGCATATTTGACAAATAATGCTGACTTAACGATGAACGATCGCTGAGCAATCTATATTCATATTTCTAATGGTCAGGTGAAAGTTTTTTAAAGCATTATTTTTCGGAAAATTTAGCAAGTTCTTTAAATTGTACTTACAGTGTGATGAAAGCGATTCTGAGCATTATTTTCCTATAAAGAAATATACCAGGACTGTAATTAGCTAATGTATTCCGCTGTATTCCGATGTTCGCTAACTCCGATGTTCTACTCAAGCAAATGTCCAATATGAGGTCGGTTTCTTGATTTTTGAAGAGCCGCCAGTACATTTTCCATTTTTCGCGAACAACTGTTTAGGATATCTTCACATTCAATCGTAAAAACGAAAATTAACGTTCGACACGGGAATCCTCTATATCCTACTGACTGCGCCAAATAACTCTGGAACACTCAGAATTACTTTAAAAATTATTTATAATAAGAGAATCGTTTTAATACATGTATATTGTATGGTTGTTGATAATTAACTGACTAGCTTTAAGGAATTACAATAAAAAGTAAAAAAAGTATCGATCAGCATAATCGGCCTGGTGGAAACTGATGTCTTCATTTATATGGAAATCAGGTGATATATTTTACTGTTATCTTGGACAAAAAATACGGTGTGTTGCATCGTCGACCTCAAGGAAATCCTACGTAAATTTTGAAAATGTCAAATATTATCTCCCCAAATAATTTTATGCAAAAATTCTATCAGGCTTTTTTGAAAAGGCGTTAAAGTTGTACTTTCACCTCGATTTAGTTTCGGAATCGGCCTTTAAATGTTGTTTCTACACAAATCTATCTTGTTAACAAAAATCTACCTTTATTAGTAAAATTTTAATACGGCTCAGAGAAAGCTACAATTAAAATTCCAGCAAAAATATGATTTTATTATTCATACAAACTTTGGCATTGTCAAATTCGATGTTTACAAGAATATGTGTGATTTGGAAAGGCTGGTTATTTTTTTATAATGATTATATACAAAAAAAAATTGAATTGAAAATATTCGTGGTGGATTTGTTTGCTATTGATTTCTCAATCACTCTCATGGTCTCGCTCGTATCAAATACATCCACAATAATTCAAAGATTAATCGAAATATTTGTATCTCAAGGAACTTTTATTATTTTTAGTAAGTAACTACGTTAGTTAAATTATTGTAAGCCTGTGATAAATGTATCTGTTTTTTAGTTAATGAAGGGTTTAAAAAACTCTACTAATTAATAAAATGTTCAAATAATTTCTTTTTCACAGCCACAGCCAACGAAAGATCAGAGACCTGGCAGGTCAATTAATGGTGTGATATAGCCCAATTTTGTTTCCTTTTTTCAAATATTCTATAATTATAAGGGAATGTTCAACCATCCATTGGAAACCAGATCTGATATTCATGGACGACTTCTTCTATAAAGCCAAATTTCTTCTTGTAATAATTAATAATCTCAAGTGCCCGAAAAATAATACTTTAGTCTTTCCCTACTAAAACTTAAGTTATTTGAACTTTATATTGAAATTGACTCAAGTCATTTTGATTTTAGAAATTACTTAAGACTTAAATTTTTTAAAACTGACTTGTTGCAGCTCTTACGGGAGCTAATATTTTTATTTTCTTCAACACGAAGGAGAATATTCAAATCATTGTGTTCTTCCTGTTCATTATTTTGATACCTAGGATATTATTTGTGTTGTATAGACAAATAATACTTTCACTTTTCCCAGAACAACGTAAATAATACTATTAAAATAACAATAATGGACTATACAACCTAACTATTCGGCTACAACCGTGCTCTTTTATACAATGTTACAGACTGACTGACTCAGGATGTATCGATCCATTCTTAATCATCGCACCGACTGCGCAAAGTCCCACTGATAGTCCGGGTACAGGTGACCAGAATTTGCATTTACCACATTTGGTATACACTATCGGACAAAAGTAGAGCAACAAAGTTCACTTTTATTCATGTTTGAATAAAAAAAATTATTAGGTTGTGATTTTCGGCTATATTTACTAACATACTATCTTTACACTAAAAGTAATATTTTACAAAATTTTGGTGTACCTTTAATCAGTTTAAAAATGGTAAATAATAATGATTATATAAAAATTGATGACAAAAGTAGAGCAACAAATTGTATTCAACAGATTTTATTGTGTCTTATTTCAACCAAAAATATTTAACACATTTAAGAACAATAATAATTGAAAGTAATACATTAGTAATTGATAGAATATCCATTATTATTAATAACTTGCTGACAACGGCGCGGCATTGCAGCAATCAACTTCTGAATGACATTTTCGGGAAGATTTATCCAAACTTCATTAATTTTATATATCAAGGATTGTTTATTTGGAAACATTGGGTACGAATACGACTTTCTACTTCTTCCCAGAGATTTTCAATGGGGTTAAGGTCTGGGGATTGTGCTGGCCATTGCAAAACTCGAACGTCATTTTCCCTAAACCACTGTTGAACATTCTGCATAAGGAAGCATAACATTCTGCATGATATAGTCTGTGAAGCGAATAACTTTGAATTTGACAGTTCCCGCGGGCTTTTCTAGTGTTAATTTTATTAGGTTAGCAACTTGCGGCCCTGCTGACGCAATGCCGTCTCTAATAGAACAGCCTCACTTGAATATGGCTGAAATCGCACTCCATAGTCAATGTAGATAGTTTTAGTGTTAAATAATTTAAAAAAACATGTGGTCATCTTTTGACAAGTTTATATTAGTTTATTAATTGTAGTAAACATTATGTGGTGTGTGGTGTGAATATTTTATATCTAATTTTTTGGATTATATTCGACACTATTTTTTTCATATGACACAACACTGATGAAGGCTATAATGTTACCCGAAACGTTTTTTTTAAACCAAATAAAAATAATGAAAAACCAAATGAAAACTTAATCAGCGTTTTTCCCGAACTTAAATCCCAAGAAAATCAAAAATTTTAGAATAATTTTACATATAAAATGACAGCGATTTATTTCATAGCCATCGCTGACGCCTTTTTTTCTATGATATTGTATTAATTGCAAATATAATTTTTCGAACATTGATAATTGCAAAATATACATATAAATTTTGTGAATGCAAATAATAATACATCACTATTAGTAGATATTGAATGTTTTTTGTTAATTTGTTAAGATCGATTTTCAAAACCCAAAATTTAAAATATATTTTACATTTTATCCATTATCTGATCTATTGTAAAACATTTGCTGCATTTGTGTGGTTCATAGTTTATTTGCCAAAGTATTTATTACTATAAATAGGTATATGTATTGTATTAATTAACTGTATATTATGTATATTTCATGTAAACTATATCATTTTTAAAATACAATATTTATGAATGAACATGTATCAATAACAATGTATCATGAATACATGTTTTCCATGTATTCTACAACATATTTATTAATCCGTAGTATCTAACCAGCGTGACGTCATCAATCTCGCTCCGAGGCTGTTCTATTAGCGACGGCATTGGTCTGATATTTAGAAATGTCAAAAGCTGATGACATTTTATTTTTGGCAATTATGACATTTTGTGTTGATTTTTGCAAGAAGAGGAAGAACTGTCACTTGTTTTATTATTTTCCTTTTCTATTTCACGAAAGTAAAAAAAGTTACCTATCTGATTCGTTCAGGCTATGGAGTGTAGAGGTAAGGAGAAATAACTCCGTGCATTAAAAAATGGTCAAAAAAAGGGAAGAATTAGGATGGCGCTGCTGTAGCAAGATTCTAAAATTTAAGACATGCGCCGAACATTTTAGAACAGATGATTCAAGACATAAAATTTTGACGTGAAGCAAACGCGAAGCCGCGGGTTAAAAAAAAATACAATTTTATTTTCATGTTGCATGAAATAAATTACAGATTTTTATTCAGCAGCAATACACTAGGCCCTTTTTTATTGTTTCTCATAACTTATTTCGCAAATGTCATTCAAGACGACGAAAAAATATTCTTATCGTTTTAGCTTAAAATTAATGGTAATTATAATTAAGACAAATTTTATTTAAAGTAATGATTGGTGATGGGTTTAAAATAAATATAATGCAGCTTTAAAATAACTTCATATCTACATTTATTTAGTATAAAAGTAAGTCAATATGTGGTTTTATTATTGATTATTCAGATATCAGAGCCTCTTTTTATTGTTTCTCATAAGTTATTTCGTAAATCTCATTCAAGATGAAAAAGCTTTAGTTTAAAATTAATGTTAATTATAATTAGAAAAACTTTATTAAAAGTTTAATTGATGATATGGGATTTAAATAAATATAATGCAGGTCAAAAATAACGTAACACATTTTCTGTAGTATAAAAATTAAGCCAATATAATATAATTTTATACTGTACAAGTATTTATTTACGTTTTGCTCCATCGTAGTTGCCATTCATTCAAAATAGTGGATTTTAAATGTTCGATAGTCGGATGGCTTAACTACCTTAATATCAACTACTTCTAGACAAGAATCGTTGTGCAGTATTATCTTCTTTTTTCACTCCCAGCTATTCCAACATGGCTTGGGACGTGAAATAATAATAATAATTTTATAGCCCTTCCAGATGCTCATGTCTTCCTAGTTCACCCAATAGAATCGTTTCTCGCAGCTTCCTTCCAAGTTGGTAGTTGCTATTCATTCAGAATAGTGGATTTTAAATATATTTGGTAGTCGGATGGTTTAACTATCATAACTATAACTACTTTTAATAATTCTTTTTCTCAATTCTTTGCACTATAATTTGCATCCCACGTATTGTAATATTTTCCTTTGAATTTCGTTTCCTATTGTTCCATGGCTTGAGACGTAATGTTATAGCCCTTCCAGATCCTCATGTATATGTCCCTTTTTCTTGTAGTCCACCCAATAGAACCTTTCTCTTAGCTTCCTCTCAAGTTGGTTCATTAAGAATAGTGGATTTTAAATATGTTTTGTATTCGGATGGTTTAACTACTGTAACATCATAAATAAATTGTATACCAACACATAATGGCCAAACTTCAACAGACTTTAATATTCATAAGCCTCATCAGAAGAAAATATTTTTTGATCCAAAGTTTCTTTTTCATTATTAGAATAAATTACCTGCAATTTGTTAATTCATTACAACATTGAATAAAAGATGCAAAGTGTTTATACATACTATAATAGATAAATCTTCATTTTAAATTATGTGATAGATCTGCTTGCTTGTAGGATCTAGACTCATAAACTCAATAATTTCTTTTATTGATATAACCAATAAAGTGGTAATGATGAAATTTTGTTTTTGATTTGAGCAGTAGGGTCCATTATTTCCATTATTTGATGCTGTTATTGCTCTACAAAATGTTGATCTTTATCAAGGGATGTTTATGTGTATAATATTATTATTTATGTGTATAATAATACTGTATGATCGAAAAAACACGGCGTCCAGTGGGCTTGGAAATGAACATCTCGATGACATTCTCCATATCATTTTACATATAAAATGACAGCAATCTTCATTTCATAGGCATCGCTGACGCCGTTTTTTATTCGATCGATCAAATTGTACTTACGTGTGTAATATTCATTTAATGGTTCCTGTTTTAGTTGCTGGTGTTCATATTTTGGTTTTTTATTGTGTTGTTGCTCTACAAAATGTTAATATTTATGTGTATAACATTACTCTTTCTGTGTATAATAATATTGTATGATCGAATAAAAACGGCGTCAGCGATGGCTATGAAATGAAGATCGCTGTCATTTTATATGTAAAAATTTATATAGAATACCATCGATCGTCATGTCCAAGCCAACTGGACGCTTTTATTCGATCATACGGTACTTATGTGTATAATATTCATTTAATGGTGCCCTTCTTGCTTGTTGCTGTTGTGGCAATTCAGAATTTAAATTAACCTGAGACAGTAGGTAGAGCTTCATCCTCCAATATTTTCCTATGTAAATACTGAAGTGGACAGTATTTGATGACAATTTTATCACAAACTTTAACATCTTGTTCTTTAAAATGAAACTGCCATACCTTATCTGTAGATTTCAAAGCAATATCTAAATGTTTTTTTTTGACCATCACTGTAATCTAATTCTTGTCTGAAAATCAATACCTAATATTATCCTGATGATTTTGATTTTTGATAGATTATTAAAATACAGCACTTACAGTTAACTATATTTTGAAAGTACCTACAATTTTATGTATTTCCTACTTTTACTTGTTTTAAAAAATGCCAACAATTTGTACATATCTGTCAAACTTTAAAAATCATTAAAAAATAAATTTTATTTAGGTTGTAACTTTATAAAAGGATTGTAAAAATATACTTTGTAACATGTATGTCAATAATCTTACGAAAAATGTTTACTACACTTTTGATTGACTCTAATTCTTTACATATAATACAAATAATACAATACTGAATTATATTATGTATTTTACATACCGTAGGCTTTGCCTTTGCTCTTTATTTTTCCATCAGCTATTCAATCCAACTTCGCACCACACACACTTTAACCATTGTTAAATAATAAATAAAGCACAAAAATATTGATAAACAATAATTATTTCATATTCAAAAACTCTGTCTGAAAAATAAAACAAAATTTTTTTGGGTAATGTTTGGTTATATTTATTTTTATTCTCTTATCTATGGTTACTTTTCATTTTTTAGAATCATGCGTTTTTAGCGCCACTGTGGTTATTTGGCGAACCCTTATTCTTCCCATTTTGTGACCACTTTTTCAATAAAAGTCCCGTAAGAGTTGTTTCTCCTTACCTCTACACTCCATAGTTCAGGCACTCAGTTTAAAGAATATCAGTAACTTTTTTGACAGAGGGATTTTATATTTGACATGTTGGTAAAAAATAACGGTAAATTCAAAGTTATTCATTTTATAGACTATATCCCTATAAACAAATCGGTCCATCGTGTCATTAATAAAGTGTATAGGGCCTATCCCATTCTATGAGAACCAACCCCATAAAAATACACTGCCTTTACCGTGTTTAATTGTAGGTGTTACGTATTTAGGATTAAAGCTTGTATTGATTGGTCGCCTCACACGTCTCATTCCATCAGAATTGAATATTTTGTAACGTGTTTCATCACTGAATAGAACTTTTTCCAGTCATTGACGATCCAGTTTAAATGCCGACTTGCCAACCTTGCTGCTCTATTTCTTTCCGAAACTAACGGCTTTTTAGCTGGACGTCTACTAAATAACTTTGCGTCTACTACTTCTTTGTACTGTTCGTATACCAACCGTAATTTCTGGAATTTCGGCAATAATTCTAGGTGCGGACTTCCAAGGATCATTTTGAGCAATTCTTTTGATGCGTCTGTCTGTCATTACCTTTGGTCATTACTGTTGTTTTCTTTGGCCTTCCCGATTTTGGCAACTTTTCTAAGTATCCCCTGTCATTATACGATGAAATTACTTTAGATACACTGTTCCGGGGTAACATAAACTGTCTTGAAATATCGGCTTATTTGTTACCTTCCATGAATGCATTCACAACTCTTTGCTTCAAGTCTTTTGAAATTGGAATTCCTCTTGGCATGACTAATCCAGCATAGAAATGTTAAAAAAAACATAAAATAAACCTCGCACAATTATTTTAGCCTTTACTTTTGCTAAAACCCTTCTTTGGAATGAATTATGTTGCTCTACTTTTGAGGCGTTACTATTAAGCATTTAAAACTAAATGTCAAAATAAATTCATTTGTTTTGTTAGTAAAAATTCTTGCTGTCATGGATACTCATAGCCTACTTCGTAGTTTTTAAATTTATTGTATTTGTATACTTTATCATGCATGTATAATTAAAAAATCGCGATTTGCAAATATTTCTCGAAGTGTTGCTCTACTTTTGTCCGATACTGTAGGTCTGTTTGGAATACTGAAATGCGAACATATCCGACACAGCGCGGAGGCTATTTCCAGCAAAATGCGATTTAATCAGTTTAATTTTTTCAGTTTAGTTTTTTTGTGAAAATCATAATTATTACAAAATTACTATATTTGATACCTTCAAATTTTTGTAAACAAAATGTGACTTCGAATTTGACAATGACAAATCATAATTTTACTTGTAGCTTTCTCTGGGCCTTATTATAAATTTTACCAATAGGAAGGTATGGTTTGGGTTGGTTTGATTGAATGACGATTCCGAATAAAACGAAGTTCTAGACGAATGTACCAACTTTAACGCCTCTTTAAAAAAGTCTGATAATACTTTTGCATAAAATCATCTGTGGAGATAATATTTTTTTTCAAAATTTACATGGGATTTTCTATGTCCCGTTTTGCGATGCACCACACGGGGTTATACTAAGGGCTGGCAAAGGTTAGTCTTGGGTCGAGATTTCCGTATGTAAGAAGAGTATAATGCGTTTTGTAATGTACCGAACAAAGAGTGAACAGTAAACAGGTTGCCAAACGCATGAAATAAACCGAGAAACTGTGCACATATTGCTATAGCAGATTTGTCGCACTCGAGCGGCCGACCCAATCAGTACTTCTGTCAGTACTTATAGGGAAAGTGGAATTGAGTTGGCGTTCGACAGTGGTCGCGTTATTAGAACTCTGAATTCAAAAATTGATATCTCGAAATCTGTTAGAAATAAATTGATTGTAGTTTTTTCATAAACTTTCTTAATATTTCTGCCATATTTTCTTCGCAGACAATATATGAAAATCTTTATAAATAAAAAAGTTACAGGATTGCTGAAAATTTCTATGCACTAAATAAGTTAATGGATGGGTTGTTTAAAATTTTTGAATGGAAAAAACAACCTTATCGAATTTTTCCTTATTTAAAATATTGTAAAAGATCCGATCTTTAAAATAAAAAAAAGTTTCAATATCTAAAGTGGTTCTTAAGTTATGGCGCGTTATCTGTTAAAAAGTTAAGTTTTTGACTGACGTTTTCTCGTTATAAAAAAATGGATAGACACCCTAACGATATCCTTATAATTCGATTTCAGATGCTCAGAAACATATCTAATAATTTTATCTAGTTATCTTTTCGAAAAAAAGTTTAATAATAAGCGGTGTGCGATCGTGATTTTACTTTACTTGATAGGGAAAGGCATACCGGCAACGCCGCAACAGCAGACCGTCGCATTTCTCTCACTCCGACTTAATAAGATCCCTATGCGATTTACTTCCACACATGTAAATACCGACCCAGAAGTAACAGTTGTCAGCACATAAAGTCAACGCTGCTGCCAGATTTTGGTACGTTTTACGGTATAACGTGCGTGACGACGTACCAGAAGTACTACTACCGTTTTATTGTTAGCGTTAGTTATTTATTTAAATTATAGTTTATGTAATATAAATAAATAAAAAATAAATTAAAAAATATAATTTTTTATTTAGTATGTATATTTTTTTATTAATATTACTTCTCAACTCGTGTATAACTAATCGAACTAAATTTATGTTTAAAAAATTTTTAAAAAAATGTTTTAAAAATTTTTAAAATACCTGCATCATATTGTGTTTATATAATTATTTGGTTATCTTTTATTCATTTTATTAACAATATTTTCCGGTTTGGTTAGACAGTAGACAACATTTTATGTGATTATAACAAAAATTTATATTATTTATGAATATATTCCAGTTATTTAGCACTGGTGGCTGCTCTAACTAGTGAAGCGGATTATGTTTTTATACCGGAAGATCCTGCTGAAATTGAATGGCCGAAAAAACTTTGTGAAAAATTAATGCAGGTATTAATATACTCTTTTCTTCAGAATAAGTATTAGAATCGATATGTGATTTTTGTGTTGGGTTAAGCCAACATAATTTTTTATAAACTAATATATATTTTTTTTAAATTCTGCTAGTAATAAAAAGAGAGACCACGTCCAAAGGTATAAAAACATAACTGCTCGGAAGTTTTAAACTATTTACCATATTAACAAGCCACATATTTCAATATCATAGATTCTTTCAATTTTATTAACATGGCAAATGGTTTAAAACTTCCGTGCAATTATTTTTTGATATTTTTGGACGTGGTCTCTCTTTTAAAAAATATTCCGTTGAAATTGGTGATAGAAATAATTAATAAAAATTGGCCAATAATCAAACAACACACATCAACATCAAAGAACAATTTTCTATCATTAATTAGATTTTTAATCAATAACGCTTACTTTTCGTTTAACAATAGTTTTTATAAACAAGTTTTCGGTACACCAATTAGCCCGACTTTAGCTCTAATAATTTTAGATAATTTATTAACCGATATTTTACCAACACCTCCCTTCAAAATCCATTTATACAGGGTGGCCCGAATTGTATTCGGGAAACTTCGGTAGAATATTCTACAGTTGAAAGTTGGTTGAAAGTAAGTAAAACAAAAGTTCATATAAATTTGTCCTTCGTTTCGGAAATTTTATTTTTATTTCTATCAGAACTAATGTCGATATTTAGATGAATTGGCGTCGGGGTGTTTTTCGACATTAGAAATTTGGTTTTGGGGTCAATATGACTCCTACTTGTAGGAGGCGCCACTTACAGATTTTTAACTGGTTTGAAGAGTAACAACTTTGCGTCTGTATCTGTATAAAACTACTGAGTGAAAAAGTATACATTCCCGCCATTTTTTCCTAAAAAAGATCTCTCGATAAAAATTGTTACGAGTTAAGCTTGATTTTCATGCATCCGTTATACGTTGATACGATGGTCCGACTGTGCTCTGATTGGTCATAGCGTTTTCGCGCCACTTTTCATCCGTAAATATTTTACTTCAGCCCGTCAACGGGCTCGTTCATACGATAACGGACGTTTTGACACTTTTTTGGCAAATTTAATATAACCTTAATAAAAAATGTAAGTAAAATAGCAAAATCGTTATGGAAACGAAAATATAAAATAACACCAACGTATATCCGATGAACGGAGGCATGAAAATGCAATAAATTTAAAAACTGCGTTATTTTCTAACCAATCAAAGTCTTTAAATTCTACCAATAAAATTAATATCGTATCAACGTATCGTCGGACAACGGATGCATGAAAATCAAGCTTTACCATTCTCAAGATATTTGGAATGTAAATTATCAATATATGTCATCATTGACAACAAATAAACATGTTGACTAGATATAGTTCATATCAAATAAAATTTTAGTCATGTGATTAAGCTTGACCGACACAGCGTTGCCCACTTTTACATATTTTCTTTGAATCAAAATCTTTTAGGAAACAAAAATAAACTAATTTTAAATATATAAACAGTTTTTATTTATATCAACAAAACTCACCTTGCACTTAAGGGACATAAAGAGCCATTACTACCGCTTTCCCGTTCAAAATATTCTAATAAAGTTGCAATAAGGTTTTTACGGCTATTAAGCTATCTTGTACACTTCGCACTACAAGAGGTTCTAAAAAGAACAATGTTCGACAGCAAGGTCTGCTAGTAAACATTTTTAAGCTTAAAGTATCACAACACTATTTATTTAAACCAAAAACTCGTAATACAAAACTAAAGTGACAAAACGAATGACAATGTCACGAAATAAATAAATAAATGTGGCAATTTGAATTTGTTTACAGCAGAGCTACCACGTGAATCCCCAGCGCGAAATTTAAATTCTAGTTAGTCAGCCCGGCGCCGAATATATCGATGGTTGGCAACAATGAATTTAAAAATCGCGCCCTCGATTACGTAACTAAAAGTTTAATTGATATCAAATATAGATATTTGACTGAAATTATAAATTTGGGAACTTTCTATTAGTTTTTAATTAATCATATTTTTTTTCTAGAAGAATTATGACGAAACAGTTTCTGTTGCACTTTTGGCACAAAGACATTTCAAATTTAGTATTTCAGTCTAATTACTATTTTGTCAACACGTTGAGTTTTGTTATTCAATTCCAGATATCTCGAGAACCATTACTCATAGCGATTTTTACCAAAAGACCTTTTTAACGTGAAAAATGGCGAAAAGGTATATTTTTGTACTATTCTATACGGACGAGAAGTTATTACTCTTCAAACGATGAAACTGTATCTCTTTTAAAAACATTGTATCTCCGAAACTAGTCACAATAGGCCCTCGTGGCCGCAGTGGAAGGTCCCACCTGGGATCCGCTCTTAGTAAATACAATATGATCGAATAAAAACGGCGTCCAGTTGGCTTGGAAATTGACGATCGATGACGTTCCCATATAATTTTACATATAAAATGACAGCGATCTTCATTTCATTGTCATCGCTGACGCCGTTTTTTTTATTATATTGTTCAAATACAATCTCCGAAACTATGCATTTTAGGACATACATTTATACAAACTCTTTTTTATCTTATTTTTATCTTCAGAATATCCTGCCGATGTTTCCGCGATTACAATTGTATTCGGACCACCCTGTATATAAATATTCGGGTGATGTAATATGTTGTATTCAGTACGTCTGTCCGTTCTGTAACTACGGGGTATCCGTGAGAGGGGAAACGATATTCTCTCGATGTTTTTCGTAAAAAATTAGACGACGCGTCCCATCAATAAAAATTCGACAAATTTGCAAGTAGCCAATAAAATGAGTGGGCGGAGCGATTTGCGGTGACGTACTCGTCAAGTCAACGTATAAAATATATTGTTGTTTATTTAAATGTTTTTTGTCCGCATTCCTTTCATAGACACAGCTCTAGCAGACGTACTGTACCTATATAATATTCAATACCATCAGACAAAGTGTCATTAACCTTAGACTATTTCAATTCTTTCAATCAACATCTCGAGGGCTAAAAGGGATTTCGTATTTACGAAAAACGAATTTTACCGGAGCCAATAAAAACTTCGTACAACTTCCGTTACGGGAAAGATTATATGGAGAACTGTTTTTCCCGCGTAATTATACGAAAATAGTGAAAAATACATCACTCCCGTAGATGGATTATATTATTCTTCTTCTAAAGAAAATAAAAATCTCAATTTGGTCAAAGTTGCACTTACGAGGCCCTGCCTTTTAGTCCTCGATATACAATTTACGATAGAGCAAGAAACGGAAATGGGAGTTTCGTTCATAGATACAAAAGTTATCAGAAAAGTGCTGCAATGTGTCTACAAGAAGCACGTACATCAAGAAAATTCACTAGATGTTCTCTCGGATATGAATCTCCAGGGGTGAAATATATCAGCTGATTTCAATATTCCCATATAATGATCCTGCTGACCAGTACTTTTTACTTTGCGTTGTAATTCCATTACGTTAGGTAGTTGATTGTCAACCATCATCCTTAAAAGCGTCCAGCGTCCTTAAAATCTGAATTTATTCTTAGGGTTTGTCAGTCAAGGACTAAATGAAATAAAACAATACTGTTGTGCCAAGGTTTCCTGGTATTTTCTAGTGATGGGAAAAACCGATTAATTTCAATAATCGGGTACTCGAATTTTAAGCGATTGCAATAACCGAGAGATCGCTCGAGCGAAATATCACTCGTATTTTAAACGGTTTTTCGTCCGTCGCTTGTTGTAAGTACTCGTTAACGCCAAGCAGTAAGTTGCGTGCGCAGGGCACATATTCTTTCGGTGATGAATGGCAAGTAGCAAGCGACGAGCGATTCTCTTGATTGCTTGATTTAGTTTATTTCAAAGCATTGTCGATGTAGGTCGTAAAATTTTGTCCCTCATATACGCAACGGATAAATATATATACGGCGTCGTATAAATTTGCTACCTTCGGAAAATTCGCTCGGCTTTTTATCGAGTATGTCACATTAAAATCGGATTTCAATTTATTTCATTCCAGAATCGCTTGCTTTCGTCGCTTGTAACTCGTCACTTGCATTGCTCATTCATAATCGAGCGATGTCGATTATTTCCATAATCGAGTACTCGAGCGAATTTTTGCTCGAGTTATCCCATCACTAGTATTTTCATTATGACTTCTTCAAGGCGCTCAATTATTACTGAACATAATCAGAAAATGTGTATAAAAAATATTGGTATAGTATCAATATTTGGAATTAATTCTAAATAATGAGGCAATCAAGTTATGTCCTTGACCGACAAACACTTAGAAAAAATCTAGTCTCGCTTTTTGAAATGTTAAAAAAAGTTGATCTAGAGTATTGTTACTGGAATATTTATTATTTTATTATATAATATTCTTGCTATTGAGAAGCTTCTCTCGTAGTATACGTTTAGGGTTGTCTGTGAGCGCATACTTGTACTATTACGAACCACTTAGACACGATATTAATTAATGAAAAATTGTAAAGATGTATACCCAAAATCCCGGGATTAAAAAAATTACAATCTTGAGAGATCGCCTTTTTAACCTAGTTGACTGGGTAATTAAACAAACTTGATATCATTTTTTTTTGTTGGGAGTATTATTAATATAATTGAGTTATGTACAGGGTGTCCCAAATTCGAGCCTCATAATTAGGATCTCGGAAACTAGAAGAGATACGTGGTTGGTTAAATTGACGCAAAATAATAAAGAATCCAGGGCCATAAGAAAAGAAAGTTGATCATGGCAGCTGAAAGGCGAAACCTCGGTTTGAAAATATGATAACGCCATCTTGTACAAAAAAAGTACCATATGATCGAATAAAAACGGCGTCAAAATCATTTACTAAAAATTGATATAAAACTTAACATTGATCATAGAAAGATTAATTACTATTTTCAAAAAATTATTTCTTATGGAATTTTAAACTACCTACACTATTTAAAAATCATTTTTACCCACTAAAACATAAATTACAAACTTCTTAAGGCCAACTGGCAGTAAGCGCCATTATAAATAAAGAAGAGTATTCGCCAAGTAATGATAATCTCTAGGGCTTGACCTCGCTAAATTGCTCCACTATAAAAAGTTGTGGGATCTCATGTAAAACCAAGTCAGTTTATTTTATTTAGTCTCTTTTTATGGACCTATTCAACAATTTTGATATAAATTGTTAGTATCAATATTAGTCATCTTTATTCCAATAATAATTATAATGACTTGGCAATTGCATGCACGGCACCATAATTATAAAAAAGAATAATCTACTATTTCGATTACTAAGTAAATCTAATAAATGGTGCACTTAAGAATAAAGTTTTTTTAATTACTATAGAATATCATATCGTGCAATTGCCAAGTCATTATAGTTATTATTGAAATAAAGATGACTAATATTGATACTAACAATTTATATCAAAATTGTTGAATAGGTGCTTAAAGAGAGACTAAATAAAATAAACTGACTTGGTTTTACATGAGATCCCACCAGTGGCGCATCTAGAGATTGAGTCTGGGAGGGGTAGTGTGAATATTCAAAAAAGTACCAAATTTGAATTAAATTTTTGCTGGAAGGTATTGTAACTGTGGAAAAAAATCTACTTGGATTGGTTTGGATATTCTGTTTTAATTTGTATTATTAACTTTTTTGTAACAATTTTATTTTATACCAAATTTTATCTTATTAATTAATTTCTTTTTTCTTAGGGTTCATAGTTTCATAGTTGTCGATTTTCGAAAGAAATCAGTACATGTATATTATTTCGTATATTTTTCATTTTATTGATTTTATGGAAAGCATCAGTTCATTAAAATGTTGTATCCTATATTTATTATTTATCGTATGGCTGCACATGACATAAAATGCATAAAAGTGTATAAAAACTATTCCAATTCACAAACAAACATTTAAATTGTATATATAGTCAATTGAGGCGTCAGTTGCCATCAGGAAATCGTCAAAGTTTCCCTCATATGCTGTATTTGGGCATTCCATCACCATATGTAGAATGGTTTGTTTTTCCGCTCCGCAGTCACACCTCGCAGATTGCGCCCTACCCCATTTGTGTAATGAGTCCGCGCATATGCCATGGTTGGTGCGTATTCTGTTCAGTGATGTCCATATTTTACGGGGCTGTTCGAAGGCAGGAGGTTTCATTCTTATGCACGGAAGATTTCTGCCTTGCGGGGGGCGGTTGTCTGTCCAACATCGTTCCCAAGAGTCTATGGGGTCAAACTGTGACGTGTGCAGTTCTCTTCCAGTTCTTATAGGTGGTCTTCTGGATCGTAATCTGTTTCTGCATGCTTTATCCGTATCCTGGTGTATGGGAAGTTGAGGGTTGCCTTGTATACGTTTATATTCTCGGAGAAGCGCTGCCTTGCGCCGGAAATCTGGAGGAGGTATATGGCTCAATATTGTATCCTATGTTATAGGGCTTGTTTCTCTCTACAATTTCCTGTTTCACAATGTACCGTTTGTGTCCGGGAAGGGATCATAATTTCATAGTTGTCGATTTTCGAAAGAAATCAGTACATGTATATTATTTCGTATATTTTTCATTTTATTGATTTTATGGAAAGCACTGTTCATTATAATGTTGTATCCTATGTTATAGGGCTTGTTTCTCTCTACAATTTCCTGTTTCACAATGTACCGTTTGTGTCCGGGAAGGGATCATAATTTCATAGTTGTCGATTTTCGAAAGAAGTCAGTACATGTATATCATTTCGTATATTTTTCATTTTATTGATTTTATGGAAAGCACTGTTCATTAAAATGTTGTATCCTACGTTATAGGGCTTGTTTCTCTCTACAATTTCCTGTTTCACAATGTACCGTTCGTGTCGGGGAAGGGATCATAGTTTCATAGTTGTCGATTTTCGAAAGAAATATGTAATGTATATTATTTCGTATATTTTTCATTTTATTGATTTTATGGAAAAAAATGTTCATTAAAATGTTGTATCCTATGTTATAGGGATCCCACAACTTTTTATAGCGGAGGAATTGTGTTGCGAGACTTGGCATTTTTTTACATTCTATGTTTTTGATGGAATCTTATTTCTTTTTGTATGTTATCCTTCTATTTTTTTTCGGGTCATTCAAAATAATATTAAAGAAGTTCTATAATTCATAAACTTTGAATTATCGTATATAATTAATTAAGTCAGATAATATCAATTGAATTAATGCTAGTTGTCTAACTACTTGTATTTCCGAATTTCATTATAACTCAAATATCAACTTTAAAAATGTTCAATTTATATTTTACCAATGCTTATTCAAAATTATTTTTGTCATTTTTACACATATTTTATTATTTACCTCGAAAACTATAAGAGATAAATCCGTGAATTATTGTTTAAGAATTTTAATATTTTACAATCAGAATATTAACGAAAATAAAATAAAAAAAATTATGCCCCGATGCAGCCAGAATTCGGCCTTCCGAACTAGCGGAATACTTTGCCACCGCGCTATCAAGCCTTGTCGACGCCTAGCATTTAACATATTAAACTAAAAAAATAAATAGGGACTTCATTACAAGTTAAAGTAAAGTAAAGATTTCAAGTTAACGTCTCCTTTTTGCTGCCAGGGTTAATCTGGGCGCGGTCCTCGGCCATATCATGGTCAATGGCCTACTGACTTGGCAAGTGTCTAAATCGACTCTTACTCACGAGATATCCGATCTCATCCGGCCTCGAACGGGCGTGAATGAGCAGTGTGTGTCAATAGATTTTACACTTTTGCCTTGGACAACAGCATGATACAGAGTTTCGAACCGGTCACCCGTCCATCGAGTAGTATCGCCTTACGTCGCTTAACTTCGGTGTTCTAATGGGAACCGGCGTTTCGACGTAGCCGTTGCCCTTTACAAGTTAAAGTCTGGAAGAAAAAAATCATAATCCTTGAATTATTGTTGGTACATTAATATACAATAAATAGGAGACCGCTCCGATTAATTCTAGTTTTCTGTCTTTTTCTCGACTGGAAAGCAAGTTACCGGTAGCTAGACAGCTAACTTTTAATCCATAAGGATATTTCGAGATTTTTAATTTTTTCCTTTGGTTATAAGCTTAAAGCTACCTAAAATTCTAAATTTGGAGTTTGTGACACATCTAGAAGTACATTGGAATTTTCATTCAATGTCGAAATTACAGAAATTTGACAAGCGATAATTCATAAACTATGAGGGATAATTACTAGATGTTTTAGTAACCTAGCCAGCTACAGTATGTCTTCAAGTGTAGTGAAAATTAATATTCTTGCTTTATCCACAACGAAGTTACAGAGTGGTCAAAAGTGCCGCTAATACCTTCGAGAAAAGGATGGTACGGCTGTGCTCGACTTGGCGGGGGCACTGCCGCCCTGCCCCCAGATTTTGTTATATCTATTCAAATGGAGTCAATCGACAAAAATAAAATAAAAATGAATTCGGGAATATTCGTTTTTTTTTCAAATATCTTCGGAAGTATTCAGAATGTTTAATCCTTTAACGTGGTGTTTGGACTAGCATGAAATTCTGCAAATTTGCATCGATTTAACCGACCTCGTCTCTCTTCAAGTTTGTGAGATCCTAATAATAAGGCTCGAATTCAGGACACCCTGTATAACGTAAGTCAAATCATAAGTCTAATTGGAACTTAATAATTTAATTTCAGGAACGTAATGTAGGGCAAAGGTTAAATATTATAATTATAGCTGAAGGAGCTATCGATCGAAATGGACAACCTATTACAGCAGAACAAATTAAAAAAGTGGTTGTGGACAATTTACATCAAGATACAAGAATAACGGTATTAGGTCATGTACAGAGAGGTGGAAATCCATCTGCATTTGATAGAATTTTGGTAAGATTTTTGATGTGAGCCTATTAAAATTTTTATGTTCATTCAAGGTATACAGGGTGAATCAACGATATAGAAACGTATAACAATTTTTTTATTAGTTATGAATGAAATGTTATGTTTATTTTTTATTTCTTACTGAATTAATATAAGCTTATATCTCGTCTGGGTTACGCTAACCATAAATAGAGTCATAACTCCCTTGGGATATTATTAACGGGAATTAAGATGCCATAATTCCCTCTACCTTTTATAGCTAACAGCCATGAAATACAATAGAGATTTTGAGTTATAATATAAAATTAAAATGGACTTTCATCTACCTACTCTAATAATTTATTTACATCATTAATATCACATATAATACAGAACAGCATTTCATCGACATCCCCTGCTGAAATATTTTTCTCTCCCAGCGACTGAAGTTATTTTTTATATTCCTTTTGGTAAATGGATTCACGTTTCGGTGGAAGTAACGCTTGTGCTTCTTCAGCTTTTTTTATATTTCCTCCATTTTAATGGAAACGTACTCAAACATGTGCCGAATTCGTGCGAAAGGCGTTTTCTTTACAAAAAACTGAACTCGATTGACAACAACCGTCAATTTATAAACAGGTCATTTAATACAATAGCAACTTGGCAACAAACAAAGCTCCTCCAGCAGCGTAATACAAATATACCGGAAGATTAATAAATGCAACATTTTTGCCGCTTTAAAATGGCACAAAATATACTAAATTCAGTAAGAAATATAAAATTATCTATATACCACGGGAATTAATAAGTGTTAGTAACCTCGGGCAGTTATTGTCCATAGAATCTTTGCCCTCGGTAATTATCACCCTTATAATTTTCTTGATATATAAATAACTATTTTAAGAAACTTTAATATACACCTTGTTAGTATAATTAATATATCCATGTTACTGAAGGCAGTATTGTATAGTAATCGGATGTCTAGTCATTTATTTTTTTTGTCATGTCTAGTTTAATTTTTAATTCATCTTAATTTTGTTAATATAGGGTTCACGAATGGGAGCAGAGGCTGTAATGGCATTAATGGAAACTGACGATAATAGTGAGGCATGTGTTATTTCTCTGGATGGTAATCAAGCTGTTCGTTTGCCTTTGATGGAATGTGTTAAACGGACTAAAGCAGTAGCCCAGGTAATATATTTTTGGTGCTTATTTTATAAATATCGAAAAAGGCAATAATGTATATATAAATATAAGAAATTAAAGAACAATGGGGGGGGGGGTAGTACAGAAAGATTATAAGTGCATTTTAATTAGTTTTGAGTAATTATCATTGATAATATTCAGAAAATTCTGTGATATTCCTGTAGCAGTTTTATTACCTTTAATTAAATTTAATACATAACTTTATTGGACAACATAAATTTTGATTTTTTTATACAAGGTAATTCAAATTTCCTATAGATGGGTTTATATAAATCCGTCATCTCTTGTTGTTTTTAACTAGCCTTATTGGTTTATTTTAAAAAAATGACAGATTATAATATTTCAATATGATTGCAGTGACGGATGAATGACGCACGGACGCAGATGCGTATGCACTCGACTTTTTGAAATTTTGATTTTTGAAATGTCTCAACTCATTGTTAACTTAAAGACTATTATTTGTGTCAATAGTGAGTGTTTTGGAAAATGATAAATATAAGCGATATTGCTATTGCATTTTGGTTTGTTACACATAATAAGTTTTTTTTGTGTTTTTGTTTGTCAGGTGGAAGAAAAATCGAGAGAAAATTAAGAAGAAACAAAAAAAAACTTTTTCAATCAAATGTTGAACGTAATGAAATTGAAAAAATAGTACAAAGTAATAATAATGTTGATTAAATTTTATTTATATAGATAATATCACTGATAACTTTGCGGCATTATTGTCATACTACATTACTAAAACCAAAGCAGGAACAGGGATAGGAGTATTTAGGCCGAAAACTAAATACTTCCAACCAACCTGGTAACCAAATTAAAGTGGAGAACTCAAGAATCTGTAAGACTCCGTCCGTAATCTGGAATGAGAATCCTCCAACGGTCTAAGAAGAAGAAATTTCTCAGAACTTACGACCGAGAAAAATCAAAGATTTTTTTTTATTTAACTAAGCACAATCTTCAGATTGTCACGGGGTTTTGAATGTTGATTAAATTTTATTTATATAGATAGTATCACTGATAACTTTACGGCATTATTGTCATAGTACATTACTAAAACCAAAGCAGAAACAGGGATAGGAGTATTTAGGCCGAAAACTAAATACTTCAAACCAATCTGGTAACCAACTTAAAGCGGAACTCAAGAATCTGGAAGACTCCGTCCGTAATCTGGGATGAGAATCCTCAAAGATTTTTTTTATTTAACTAAGCACAATCTTCAGATTGTCACGGGGTTTTAACAGGACACTGTCTCCTCAACACACACCTCAGTAGATGGAAACTAAGAAACAACGGCGAATATAGATTCTGTGGGGAAAATGGGCAAACACCTGAACACTTCATCACAGAGTGCGCCGAGACGACAAACATTCGTGCCATGAAGTTTGGTATGACAGATATCAAAGATGGAGAACTAGGTTAGGTTAGGTTGCTGGGGTTTGGGATCATGTTTGATCCCTCACTCGGAGGCCTTGGGCCCATTGCGACATCCCTGTATTGTTATACCAAACCTTCCTCGCATTCTTTCTTTGCGTTAAAGCACTTCCAGCTCTTGCCACATTGCCCATTGCCCCCCTGTATTGTTATACCAAACCTTCCTCTCATTCTTTCTTTGCGTTAAAGCACTTCCAGCTCTTACCACATTGCTGTGGTCTGGCACCCAGCACAGAGTAGGCACTCCGCCCTGACGCAGCCAGGACAGTGCTTCTCGGCATTCCATCACAGTTTTCGATCTCACTGATTGCATGGTGATGCTTCTTAAAGCGCCCAAGCTGTCAGAGTATATCCCTATATCCCCTATTGGTCTATCAGCAATTTTCTCTCGTATACAATTAGCCGCTTCCTTTATGGCGTAAACCTCTGCTTGTAGAACATTACAGCCATCCGATAGCCTTAAAGATCGTCGGATGTCTAGTTCCTCTGAGAAGATGCCTATACCTGTGCCTCCTGAAGCTGCGGAAGCATCTGTGTAGATTGCTATCTCTTGAGTGTTTATTACTCGGTTGCTTTCCCATTCTTTTCTTGTCGGGATGCGAATCCTTATCTTTTCTCCAAAATCATGTTTGGTGAGCGTATAGTCCGTTTTCTGGTCTAGCAGATGTGGACTCGTGTTCACCATGATTTTCCCTGTCTCTGGCAATATCCTCGAGTAACCGTAGTTGGCCTGGTTCCACAGATTGGATTCCCTTAATCTTAGGGCACCCTTAGCGGGCAGATCCTTCACGAGCCAGTCGATTGATTGCAAGTCCAGGATTGCTTCTAACGCAGCTTGCGCTGTGTTGTTCCTTGCTCCAGTTGTGCTTAGAGCTGCTAATCGCTGTACTTTTGTGAGGAGATGGAGAACTAACATCTGTGGAACTGTCTCAGATACTGGTTTGTCAAAGCCCTGTGACTGTTTGATGGGTTATAACTCATTATAACTCAAGAAAGGGGGACACAATAGATCCGTAAGGTCGGGCGGTGATTAACCCCCCTCTCCCAATACATTCTACACTATTTTTTTTGGTTTATTACATTTGCTATTATTTCCATCCTGTATTTAATTAAAAAAAAATAATATATCTTTTATTATATTGTATATACAGGGTGTCTCACAAATAAGTGCAAGTATTTTAAGGGGTGGTAGATCTCGGTAAAAGAAACATATTTTCTCTTTAGCGTTTTTTAAATAAGTCCAAAATAACGGAGTTATTTTACTTTGAAAATTTAAAAAAAAAATGATTTTTTGCTAAAATTTTGAGAACCGCTGGATCTTTTCTGCATTTTCTTTCTTGTAAATTTAATCTAATACCTATGTTGCCATATTATCAAGAAATTATGATTTTTAACTAAAAACTAAAAAAAATTCCAAAAATTTTTTCAAATTCGAATTTTCAAATAAAAATTTTCGCGAAAAATACCTCATAGGCGGGTTTCTGGGGTTGAACTATACTACCAGTGAAAATACTTGCACTTTCTGGGACACCCTGTATACTTTTATATATTTTATGTATTGTCTGTTAGGAATACAAAGGGAATACAGGTTTTTTTATGATTAATTTTGATATATATATTTTTTAGGCAATGGCAGACAAGCAATGGGAAAAAGCAGTGGAATTAAGAGGTAAATCATTTATGCGGAATTTGGAAACCTATAAACTTCTAACACGTTTGAAGCCACCTAAAAGTGCTTTTAATGAACAGGGGCACGGAAAGGTAATTATTTCAAGTTCAATAACTCGAACATATTGTGGAAATTATTTCTATATCAGCAGTTCAGGGCAAAAATTCTTATATAATTTTATTATATACGGTGGTCCGAATTTTATTCGGGAAATTTAAGACAGTATAGCAGGTGCGTCTCAAAAGTGGCTCACCTCTATAACTTTTTTATTTTTTAGATAAAAAAAACGAAATTTGGTATGTTAGTATCTGACATAAATTAGGATTGATTGATGTATTCAATTGTTTTTGGTCACTTTCTGTTTTACGGGAAATTGAATAGATTTTTTCTACAAAAAAAATGATGAAACATTGTGCCAAAGTTTCTGTTGAATCTCTGGCACAAAAATATTTTAAATTAATGATTTTAGTTCAACAACTTCATGACATGTATTGATAATTTGATTCCAAATATCTCGAGAGCCGTATCGATTTACTACCTTTATCACTACTCATAACGATTTTTATCAATAGACCTTTTTTACGTAAAAAATGGAATTTTATATGTTATCACTCAGTGGTTTTATGCAGGTACGGGCGAAAAGTTGTTACTCTTCAATTAAAAAATATATATGTAGGTGGCGCCCTCACAAGTAGGAGTCATATTGACATCGAAATAAAATTTTTCCTGTCAAAAAACTCTCAGTCACCAATTGTTATCCTAATATCGACGTTAGTTCAGAAATTATTTGGAAAAAATCGAAATAAAAAGGAAGCTTCTACACCGTGTATTTCGGAATCGAAGCGTTTGAGAACATAAAGTTATACAAACTATTTTACTTCTTTTTATCTGCAGAATATTCTGCCGAAAATTCCCCAATACGATTCGGACTATCCTGTATACCTATAACTGCTAGAAATAGTTTTCCATTTTATGTATACTTATATAGTGGTTGTGTTTCTTTATGTTGCAAATTATTATTAATTTAACTAATTTTCTTATTTGCATGGAATTTTTTAAAGGGACAGAAGCTAGAAAAGGTAAATCGGTATAATTTATTCTTATTCTTGCTTTAATGGTAATTAGTTAATAGTTTCAGCAATTTCTGTCTTAAGGATTGACATAAAATATCTTCAAAATTGACATATGTCCAAAATTATTGCATATCGATAAACAGACCATCTTAGTAGTTTTAGAATTAAATATGCAGTGTGTAGGTATTAGACAGTTTATAATGACTTGTCAAAGCACCATAATTATAAAAGAATAACCTACCATCTCGATTACTACATAAATCTAAACAGTCCCCTTAAAAATAAAGTTTTTATAATTAGATTAAATTTGCTACCTGCAATGTATGTAGAAAATTCGCTCGGCTTTTTATCGAGTATGTCACATTAAAATCGGATTTCAATTTATTTCATTCTAGGATCGCTTGCGTTCGTCGCTTGTAGCTCGTTCCTTGCATCGCTCATTCATAATCGAGCGATATCGGTTATGTCAATAATCGAGTACTCGAGCGAATTTTCGCTTGAGTTATCCCATCACTATTATAATTATTACAAAAATAAAGATGACTAATATTGATCCTAACAATGTACAACAAAATTGTTGAATAGGTGCTTAAAGAGAGACTAAATAAAATAAACTGACTTGGTTTTACATGAGATCTCACAGCTTTTTAAAGAAGGAAGGAGCGTGTTGCGAGACTTGGCATTTTTTTACATTCTGTGTCTTTGATGGGATTCTTTTTACTAAAAACATTTTAAGTTTTATGGACTACTTTCTATAGTATCATAATTCCCTTAATAATTTCTTTCGATATTACTTTTATAAATTTAATGTGGAATCTCTGGAATAATAGGTATCAATTCCCAGTTTTCAAATTAAAAAAAAAACTGTTTCACAAAACAGGCAACGGCCCAGCTACGTCGAAACACCGGTTCCCATTAGAACACCGAAGTCAAGCGACGTAAGGCGATACTAGTGGATGGACGGGTGACCCGGTTCGAAACTCTGTATCGTGCTGTTGTTGACACACACTGCTCATTCACGCCTGTTCGAGGCCGGATGAGATCGGATATCTCGTGAGTAAGAGTCGATTTATTTTTATATGGCCGAGGACCGCGGTTCGGATTCCGCGTAAACAAAGTAGACCCCGTCCAGATTAGCCCTGGCAGCAAAAATGTGACGTTAACTGAAATCTTTACTTCCTTTACTTTACTTTTTTCACAAAACAATTTTGAAATACAAATGTACCATTTACGTTACGTACGTCAATATACTATAACGCAACGACAGACGTTACGTAAGTGTCTGCGTTACGTGTTGAGAGATATGTATACGTATTGTGCCATGTTTTAACTGTCTATTTTTTGCATGTTTTGCACGGGAAACAAAGTATGATAAGAAATGTTTATTTATATTTTATTTGAATTTTTTTGGAAAAAGATTCTTGCCGTGGGGATTAGTAGTATTTTAGCTATTCTGCATTCTCATCGCGCTATTATCGTATAAAAATGCCATGAAATCGTATTTCCTACTTTAACAAAAGTCGAATAGTAACTTTTTTACAAAGTCTATTACAAAATAAACTGGCAAAAATTGTAGGCGTTAATCAAAGTGATGTTTCAAGAATTAATAAAAAGTTTCGCGAAATCAATGATGTTCAGCACCGACCAGGAAGAGGTCGGAAAACGCTTACTACTGCAGCACAAGATCGTCAGTTGTCAATAATTGCTAGAAGGAATCCATTAGTAGTACAACGAGCGCTTTATGTAGAGAGCTTGCACAGCTTGGAGGAGTTATTGTATCAAGAGAAAACTGTACCACGTCGATTAAGATCTGTTAGTTAACATCCATAGGCGGGCACCTTTGCGTTGGTTTGATTACGTTGGCAAAAACGTACACGGGTACAATGGGCACAGGAAATAGTTGAGAATACAAAGAATGAATGTCTGGAGAGCTCCGTGAAAATAACCCAGATTAGCTGTAGCTCAGCCCCGCGGCCGTGTCCCATTTCAAGGGGGTAGTGTTACCACATGAAGTTGAAAATGACAATTCCAATCCAGTCAATATACAGAGAGGAGTAAGACAGGGATGTGTGCTTCGTTATTTAATGTTTATTCGGAGCCGATTTTTCGGGAAGCTTTCTCTTCAACAGATTGCGGCATTAAGGTCAACGGCGAAGTCATTAACAACATTAGATTTGCCAATGACACAGTTCTTATTGCCGACTCTGATACTGGTCTCCAGAGTTTAGTGGAACGACTTGAAGGCTCCTGTAAGAAATACGGGATGAAGATCAATTCTTCTAAAACTAAAGTCATGGTATTTGGAAAGAACCAAAATGTACCAATTCCTATTAAAATAGAGGGCAATACCTTAGAACAGGTCTACAAGTTCAAATATTTGGGGTCCTGCATAGTTAAAACCTTGAACAACGACGTGGAAATAAAAACCAGAATAGAACAAGCGAGAAATGCATTTTTAAAAATGAAGAACGTGTTCCAGAACCCCAGATTGGACCTTGAGTTGAGAACTAGGCTCGTTAAGTGTTATGTTTGGTCAATCCTATTATACGGAGCAGAAACATGGACACTGAAAGTTCAAGAGATGAATCGCCTCGAATCGTTCGAAACATGGATATATCGAAGAATGCTTCAAATTCCATGGACAGCCCATATCACAAATACCGAAGTCTACAACAGAATAGGCAGAGAAAGAGAATTGCTTAATATAATAAAAATAAGAAAAACATCATACTTAGAGCATTGAGAAATGAAAAATACCACGTCTTACAATTAATATAGTTAAGGGTAAGATTGAAGGAAAGAGAGGTCTCGGCAGGAAGAAACTATCTTGGTTGAGAAAGATCGGAAACTGGACTCACCTAACTTTTGAAGAACTCATAAGGAAAGCCGATAATCGTGAAGATTTTGCCAATGTAATCGCCAACCTCCACGAAAGAGACGGCACGTAAAGAAGAAGAAGTGTAATATTTTGGGCTGGGATAATGAGCGGCGCTCATTATTTGTTATTGACGGAACAATGACAGAACGGGTTTATATTCAGAAGGTGTTAAATCCAATTGTGCGTTTATTCCGAGGAGCAGTTTTTGTTTTTGTTGATGACAATGCACTACCACACCGAACAATGGAAGTGCAACACTTTTGTGACGAATAGGGAATAACGTGTTTACGATGGCCTACTAATTCACAGATATGAACACATTCAGGTATGAACGTAATAGAACATGCTTGGGACATCCTAAAATCAAGAATAAAGAAACGAAATAACCCATCCTTAACTTTACGAGAAGCACACTACTTTACGCTTTTTGCAGCAATCGAAGAATGGGAACATTTTCCACAGGTCTACCTAGGTAATCTGATAGGTAGCAAGTCAAACCATCTGAGAGAGTGCATTATTGCCCGAGGAGGAAATACAGACTATTCATTTCAATACTTTTCTTAATTCTTTGTTTTTTACAGTTTGAATTTGATTTTAATTTTTAAACTTTATAAAGAAAATTTAGTTGTAATGAAAGTGTATAATACAGAAATAGCTTTTTCATGTGGTCTAAACTAAGTCATGATGGACTTTATAAATTAATATTTCGTGGAACGTCTTTTGATTTTACCAAACAGTCATATGCAATAATTTTGGACATATGTGTATATATTTTGAGGTACTCTTCTCTCGTTCATTCCTTATATTTAATTTGACATATTTATTATAATTTTCATTTGTAATATAACTTATGACACCTATGACACAATAATTTGGCATACTTTTATTAGATAGTATACAAATAATTAATAATGAAAACATGAATTAATTAAAGCACTTGAATCGCTCACCATTCTAATGAATATATTTTATGGACTTCCCATTTTAGCACTATCTTTCACAATCTGTAACAATTCTTTATTAAAGCTAAAAGGTGCACATTTTAATCTCTTTTATAATAATTGTAGCGTCCTACCTTATGGTGTTCGGTAAGTGCTTATTTTATTATTATTTATTACAATAAATACACTTTTCTAAACAAGCTTCTTTTTTTACTTTAACGCAATATTTTTCTTTATTAAATTTTACTAGGTAATAACGAGTATACCATTTTCGTGTTTTATTGGGTTTCTCGTTTATGAGTAGAGATACAAAGATGCGATTTTAACATCATTGATTTTTTGTATTATTTATGAAGATATGTATATAGCATAGTATATTTTTAGAAAGTTCATAATAAGACAAATAAAATAAAAAATAATATATAGGGTGTCCTATTAAAAAAAACATAAGTTTGAGTAATTTTTCGAAAATGACAGTTCTCAGCGAGAAACTAGTTATACCCCTGGATTCTACATGAAAAACTCTATGGAACCCAGTTTTCGCCTTTTCGATAAGTTGTAGGATAACCGAGATACGGGGGAAGTCGAAAAATGCAAAATTCGTTCTATATTTTAGGAACTAAGAGGGCTAGGACTAATCTGTATGTAGCATCTTTAATTTTGTAAAAAAGTAGTACAGTGGCGTGAAAACCACATCTTTGTGTCTCTACTTCTAAGCGAGAAACCCCATAAAACACACGAAAATGGGACACCCTGTACATACATAATTCATTCAAGAAAAATCGTAGCAGTCAATGGTAGTAAAGTTGTCCTTTGATTACTTCCTATTATTTCTTTATTTTTTTTTAGAAATGTTAAGTTGTGACAGTATTCTTAGTATGCTTTCTGTGCTTTGATGTTTATTTAGCTAGATTTACTCTTGTTACTTTTAAAATAGGAAGGTTATACCGTGGGTGTAATGCACATTGGAGCACCGGCTTGTGGCATGAATGCAGCTGTTCGGTCTTTTGTACGAAATTGTATTTACCGAGGAGACACTGTTTTTGGCATCCATGACGGAATTGAAGGACTGATAGCTGGCAATATAAAGCATATGGGCAAGTAAAAAAGTACAGTCTGTTCAATGATCGTTCAACGTTACGTCATCATTATTTGTCAAATATGCGTTTTATGGTGTAGTAGGTATCTGAGATCAATGAACTTATTTTGATTCCAAAAATACGTAGTAGTTCTATGTCCACAGAATATTGGGACACCCTGTATATGACGTGACGTTGAACGATAGCTGAACAAACAATAATAAGATGACGATGTAATATCGGAATAATATTATAGGATGGTCTGATGTAACGGGATGGGTATCTCATGGTGGGGCGTATTTAGGTACTAAACGTACCCTTCCAGGTAATCGAATGGGATTAATTGCTTCTCGATTAGAAGAATTTGGTATACAAGCATTGTTAATCATTGGTGGATTTGAGGTAAATATTTTTTTTCAAGCGGCACAAAAGTATTAATTTTTGCGACGTGATTGACAATATAAAAAAGTAATTTTAAGCCTAGTCATAAAAGTAAAGCAGTTTTAAGCCTAAGCAAAAAAATACGAAAATATAGTATTAAACTTACATAAAGCGTCAGATTCAGCGAATGTAACCATAGTTTCTCGATAAATAATTGCTTTCAAGATATTACTTACGTTTGAAATTGTTTAAACAATTTTTAATGGCGTTTGAAAAAATAGTATGTTTTCTATATTCAGAGTAGAAATGACTTTTTATGCCTCGCCTGTAATGTCAAACGTACATTACAAACGTCACCAGAAAAATTAGCTTTTTTACTCAAATAAAACAATACTATTGTAATGAGGTAAATATTTGTTGAACTAATTAATAATCTTTGTAATGTTAATATGTAAATGCTCTTTTATAAACGTATGTTGGAATGAATCTATACAAAGTACATACAGGGTGTCCCAGAAATAAGTGCAAGTATTTTAAGGGGTGGTAGATCTTGATCAAAGAAACATATTTTCTCTTCATCGATTTTGAAATAAGTCCAAAATAACGGAGTTATTTTACTTTGAAAATTAAAAAAAATGATTTGCTTAAATTTTGAGAACCACTGGATCTTTTCTGGATTTTCTTTCTTGTAAATTTAATATAATACCTATGTTGCCATATTATCGAGAAATTATGTTTTTTTTTCACTAAAAACCAAATAAATTTCCAAAAAATTTTTCAAAAAATTTCGAATTTTCTAAAAAAAATTTTGCGAAAAAAAAACTCAGGTATGTTTCTGGGGTTGAACTATACTACCAGTTAAAATACTTGCACTTATTTCTGGGACACCCAGTAACTGGGACCATGTAATAATAACATTTTTAATATCAAATATGATCTTAGATGTGTTTTCTAATTTTTTTAAGTGTATAGTACAAACATTTCTGACATATTTTATTAATATTAGGCCTTCCAAGCTGGACTACAATTTACAGAACATCGGGACGAACATCACGCTTTTCGTATTCCTATAATGGTAATTCCTAGTACCATTTCGAATAATGTACCAGGAACTGAATTTTCACTCGGATGTGACACTGCACTAAATGAAATTACGGAAATATGCGATAGGATCAGACAGTCGGCTCAGGGAACCAAAAGAAGAGTTTTTGTTATTGAAACCATGGGAGGATATTGTGGGTAAGAATAGAACTGAAAATTCTAAAGCCGCGTACAGACTTGAGCGAGCACGAATGTGTTAAGGCGATAAACATACACATATTTTTTGCGACAGTTGCAGTGGGCCTAAAGCATAGATAAGAGAAGTAAAACAGTAACAGTGGCCTTATTTTCATGCGTCCGTTATCCTACTATACGATGGTCCGACGGTGCTCTGATTGGTCATAGCGTTTTTGCGCCACTTTTTATCCGTAAATTTTTTGACAAATTTAATCTAACCGTAATAAAAATATAATAGTACAAGAGCTAGCAACGTCAGGAAAACGAGAATTTTAAGAAAGCTGGTTCTTTAATGTAACTTTTTCTATGCTCTCCTGTGCTCTCCTGACCAAAGTGCGGACCGTCTGGCTGCCGGTACTACTCGGTTCACTACTTTGTATCCCATCTGTACAGGGTATCCCATTTTCGACTGGTTTATGGGATTTCTCGTTTATGAGTAGAGATACAATGATGCGATTTTCACATTACTTTGCTACTTTTTTTATGAAACTAAATATGCTACACACATGTTTGTCCTAGCCTCCTTAGTTCTTGAAATACAGGGCTAATTTGTGGTGCGCAGTAGTGAACAGCTGTTGAATACAGACAAGATGCGCAATAATGCAATATGATAAGAATAAAATAAGATGCGCAGTAGCAAACCCAACGTCTACCGGCAGCCAGACTTCAGGAAAGCATATCAAAAGATATATTTAAGAACCAGCTTTCTTAAAATTCTCGCTCGAAAACGTTGCTAGCTCTTATTAGACTATAAGTAAACCAGCGAAATCCTTATGGAAATGAAAATATAAAATGACACCAATCACAACCAAATCGTATATCCGATGAACGGAGGCATAAATGCAATGAATTTAAAAACTGCGTAATTTTCTAACCAACTGAAGTCTTTAAATTTAACCAATAAAATTAATATCGTATCATCGGATAACGGATGCATGAAAATCAAGCTTTAGTGTATGTATTTATTTAAGTGGCAAATAAAAACAAGTAATAATTAAAATAAGGATGTATCATTGTTTTCATATTCTAGGTATCTTGCCACTTTAGCTGGATTAGCGGGAGGTGCCGATGCCGCCTATATTTATGAAGAAAAATTCACAATTAAGGACCTACAACAAGATGTTTACCACATGGCAACGAAAATGTCAGAAGGAGTTCAACGTGGCTTAATTTTAAGAAATGAAAAAGCTTCTGAAAATTATAATACGGAGTTTATATACCGGCTGTATTCTGAAGAAGGAAAAGGATTGTTCAGTGCTAGAATGAATGTATTAGGTAAAGTTGACTTAATTCTTTCAAGGTAATTCCCATAAGTGCTGTGATTTCTTTTCATATATATTCACCCATTTATAGATCGTACCAAATAAATTTTTAGTCACGTGATTAAGCTACGATTAAGGCACAACATTGCCGACTTTTACATATTTTCTTTTAATCAAAATAGTTTACGAAACAAAAATGAATTAATTATAAACATATACAACGAAACTTACCTTCCTAACAGCACTTAAAGAGTCTTTACTAAGCTTTCCCGTTCAAAATATTCTAATAAGGTTGCGATGAGATTTTTACAACGGCTGTTAAGCTGATTCGGCATTTTGTACACTTCACACTTCGGACTGCAATACAGGACTACTGCATAGGAGTACTTTACAGGACAATTTCTAGACCTTGTACCGTAAACCTATCTACGCGCGCGACGACAGGTGTCGAACGCTTACTACTTCATACTAATGTCACCTGACAAAAGTTTGGTAGTCAGTTTCAAAAGTTTTAAACCTCAACATGAGATAATGGATTTATAATTTCAGTTTTTCCGTGATTCGTCACACAAAGATTAAACAAATTATGGGGATGATCTGTTAACAATTATTGTTAAATATTCCTAACAAGGAAACTATTAAATTTAAATTAAAATATTAGAGTTTCCAGTGATTTTATTTGAATGTCTCATTTTTTAACTAAATATGGCGTGTCGCATTTTGGTTTGGTTAGGTTGCCAATTGATCCTAATAAGATTAAGATTCTTTATTTTAGGTCACATGCAGCAAGGGGGGTGTCCTACACCTTTTGATCGAAACTTAGGTACAAAAATGGCTGCTAAGGCGGTGGATTGGATGGTATGCCAGCTTAAAAATAACTCAGATCACGAAGGAAAAATCAGTTGTACAGATCCCAATACAGCATGTCTTCTAGGCATCGTTAAACGACAATACAAGTGTACAAGTTTTCAAGCTTTAAAAGATCAAACCAACTTTGAGTGAGTATAATTATTTATTTTATTTTTGATTGATAGTTAATGGGCGTTACGTTCCGAGTATGATTTACGTATTAAATTACAGAGTTATTCTTTAACTGGGAGCTAAGTTTCGTCCCAGAATTTTATATATTGTGTTTCAGTGCTTTTCTACTAATGGATTACCTCTTTCTATATACCGTAATGATATAGCAAAGAAAAAAAAATTACGGTATGCGGTCTGTTAAAACAAAACTAGTGTTTTAATTTAATAAAACTATATTTTCTCAACGTTTAGTCACAGGTTTAGTTAACTTCATCAGGAGCAAACGCTACAATTAAAAAAACGATAAGTGCAAGTCGGAACTCGCTCACCGAGAGTCCCGTACAAATTTACAGATACATATTATAAATTTTAATAGTTCAGGAACCGAGTCTCGCAGTTTTCCGAGTTTTTTTCCGGAATTAAGTTTCAAGAACCTATAATTATTTATACGAAATTGTTGCTATATTAACAGTTCAATACTAACAAAGCTGTTTTTTCAACATAATGTTGCGAAACCATCCCGGCTTTAATATGACCTAGAAGAGCCTGGAAATTCGAGAACACAGCGGCTAAACATCACCCTGAACCGCCCAAAACATTCTGGGCTTTCTGTCGCACTCGTATAAATGCAGAGACCGGTGCGCAAGGGACAGACTTGTATGTATCGATTGTTTATGATGTTCTCCGATGGTGGCAGCACCGGCGGAGAATGCACCAAGCCTATACCCCACATGACACGGTTCAACCACACGGTTGACAACTCAATTCAAAATTTGGATCGCCGTTCCTTGCATAAAGACCCTGCTTTTTTGACTTAATTAAAAATTTACGGTTTTCAGATTTTTTTCTAATGTACAAAGTAATAAAAGTTTAAAAAATCTACTGAAATATTTGGTCACCCATACAATAATGGCCGCGCATACAGTTCCTTAACCTCGATGATTGATCACGCACTTTAAATAAATACTATATTTTTTATGATATAATTACAAATGTATGGTTTGCAGATTTTTCTCTATACTTGTAGTATGACACAGGATAACTTGCCATATTTCATAGTTCTAGATCAACAGGAAATACGCTATAAATTTTAATTCCCTTGCGAGTATCGAAATATACGTTTTGTTTGCGGCATAAACGGCCGTATATTTTTTACATTAACTTAGAAGTTCATCTCATAGCTTCAAGGGACCTTATCAACTCGATACCTCCACGCGTTTCCGAGGTAAATAGTTCCTTGTTAGATAGACGGATGGACGGACGGACACCAAAGTGATCCTATAAGGGTTCCGTTTTTTCGTTTTGAGATACAGAACCCTAAAAAATACACATTCTTGAATCCATTGCAACACCAAAAAATAGTCTGGCCATAAATGATAAAGACATCAATAATGATATCAAAATTTACTTTTCAGTGTTATAATTTTAATTTTTAATACCTTTTAATATGTCATGACGACATCAATGTATGACATGTTTTGATTGTATTGTGTATATTGCTATTTTTTTAAAAGTAATATCGAAGGATATAAAAAACATTAACTGCAATAATAATAGGAAGTACCTTCTCTTTAAGATCAGCTAATCATTTAAACCATATTTTGTATCTATTTTAACTTTTAAATTTCAAGCAAAAATATTAATATTTTGTAGCCAACGTGTACCAAAAGATCAATGGTGGCTAAAATTAAGAGCATTACTACGTATTCTGTCAAAACATTATTCAGGCTCTGAAGACGAAGGGATGTATATGTCTATCGAAGACAAGCTTGCTGACGTTAATATCCAATTTATTTTAATATGAATATTATACTTATTTTTAATAATTTATAGGTTTATCTAGAGGATGAATACCACTGATATATGAAGGTTATAATTAAATATTTTTATAAAGAAGATGATAGAAAAACATTCAAAATTTTAATATTTTTTAGATATAGGTATAATATTTTTAATTTAATTTCCATATTTTATAACTACATTTTATTTGGATCTTACTTAATAAATTTATTTATACATAATTATTAATTATTTGAAAATAAAACTTTTTAATCTTAATTGAATGTTGTAGCTATAATTTAGTAAGTATCATATATTCAGTGGAATGTAGAATGTATGGGAGGGGGGTTAATCGCCGCGACCTTACACATTATTGTTACAATTTATAAAGGTTAGTTCTCCATCTGCGATATCAGTGGTACCAAACTTCATGGCACGAATGATTTGTCATCTCTGCGCACTCAGTGATGAGATGTTCTGGTGTTTCCCCACAGAATCTGCATTTGCCGTTTTTTCTTAGCTTCAATCTACCGAGGCGGTCGTTGAGGAGACAGTGTCCTGTTAAAAACCCCGTGACAATCCGAAGATTGTTCTTACTTAAATCAAGGAAAAACTTTGATTTTTCTCGGTCGTAAGTTCTGAGAAATTTTTTCGAGCGTTTTAGACCGTTGGGAGATTCCATTCCAGGTTACGGATGGAGTCTTTCAGGTTTTTGAGTTCCGCTTTGAGATTGTTTTCATTTGGGAAGCAGAACAGTTCTGGTGCAGTTAGCAGAGAAGTTTTTCTTAAATTAGTTAAATTTGGCACGTGTATTCAGCATAGTTAAACCTAACCTTTAAAAAACTATTTACGACTTCGCTGTAAAATCAACAGGGGAGCCAACATTCGGACAGTTCAAAATTTGCATGTGATTTCCTGTTTCCAACGAGAATGCACCACTCGGTATAGTACATTCGTTACAGTTTGCTAGTGATAATAGCTGTTTTCAAAATCGACATTAGTTTATGTACTTAAATTTAAATTTATAGCGATTTTTTAGCGGTTTACTTTTAACTTACCTACACTAGTTTAATAAGTAAGTGTTTATTATTTTATCAAGAAAAATGAAGAAATATCTGGTGACGGAAAGAATGGATATAGTATTTGGATAAAAAATAATATATATATTAAGTGTAGCATGTCGTTGTACTCAGGAGACCGAATTCTTTCGAAACCTAAAATAAAAAAATGCAGGTCTGTATTAAAAAAAAATTAAAAAAATTATGTATCTTTCATACTATTAGCTTATATGAAAATCAAAAAATACTTTCAAGTAGCCCTAATAAAGGGTTATACAAGGGTTAAACTTGCTACATACAGATTCGTCCTAGCTCTTTTAATTCCTGAAATACAGGGCGGGATTCGAGAATTTTGCATTTTTCGACCCCCTTTGGATCTTGGTTATCTTATAATTTTCCTAAAAGGTGAAAACTGAGTCTCATAGAGTTTTTCATGTAAAATACAATGGCTTTTTTAAACTAGGTTGATTTATGTTATAAAGTTAAATAATGCATGGAATAATGAGTGTAATATATTTTTAGAGAAAGCTCATAACAAGACAAATAAAATTAAAAAAAATAATATATAGGGCGTCCCATTTAAAGAGAAACAATAAGTTTGGCTCATATTTCAAAAATTACAGCTTCCTGCGAAAAATTAGTTACACCACTGGATTTCATATGAAAAACTCTATAGGACTCTTTACTTTACTTTTTTACCTTTTCTATAAGTTATAAGATAACTGAGATATGAAGGGGGTCGTAAAAGTTAAACTTTTTAAATTCGCCCTGTATGTCAGGAATTAAGAGGGCTAGGACAAATCTGTGTGTAGAATGTTTATATTTTGTATTTCTACTTATAAACGAGAAACCTTGTAAAATACACGAAAATGGGACAGGGACACCCTGTACATATGTAGCACGTTAAATGAACAACTATATTTATCGTATTTTTATTCCTGTACTCAAGTCTATTTCTTCATATGTCAGAAACTAATCAAAAATAAATAACATTTTAGGCACAGAATTCCAAAAGAAGAATGGTGGCTTAAGTTGAGACCTTTACTTCGTATTTTATCCAAACATGATTCAACATATGAAGAGGAAGGCATGTACATGTCCATAGAAGATAAGTATACTCAAGATGCAGTCATTTAAAGACGAATTACCGGAATTTTGTAGTCTTGAATAAGAGCTTCTTATTGCTAAATAAAGTAGATAGTATAAGACGAATATACAGAGAAACCTTGAAAATAGATGTTAAATTATAAAGCTTCGTTATACAAAATATTGTCTAGCACTAATGCTAAGACATTCAGTCATCATAAGACGCCTATACGTCTTTTTTGTATTGACAATTATAAGTCAATGCATTTAAATATTAAAATGTGTGTATTATGCAGTGTGATTTATTATTTATATAATCATATTATCAATAATATAATCGTTCTAAATCGAAAGGAAATATATACAGGGTGAATCAACAATATTATTATACCTCAAACTATTAGATTTTGTAATATTAATAATTTTTAATTAATAATTTTAAATTAATTAATATACCAAATGTAGCAATTGATCCTGAATCACCCTGTATTGTGATTTCCTTCTGCTCTAGAGTTGTGACTTTTTAGTTGACATTTTATCTTTCTATTTTACAATTTAAATAATGCGTGTTATTTTAATGTGTAATTCGGTTATTTATTATTAGATAAATTAACATTAATTGTAATAATATACATAATAAGTATTGTACATTATATTTATGTGTATTTCAATTTTTAGAAATACTAATAGTACTGATAGGAATGAAAAAGTAATATATTTAAATCAAGAAATTGTAATAAAGACATAAAGTGGAAATAAAGTGTTTAGTTACAAGAACAGATTGTAATTTATTTCATTTTATTTTACCTACTAAAAATTCAATATGATCGAAAAAAATGGCGTTAGCGATGGCTATGAAATCAAGATCGTTGTCATTTTATATGAAAAATTATATGGGGAACCTTATCGATTTCCATTTCCAAGCCACGGAACGCCATTTTTTTTTCGATCATACCGTACTATTAAATTTAATTGTATTTTTACGTTTACGAATAAAACAAATTTGCAAAATAAAATACTAATTCGCCACAATACACTAAAACACTTTACTTTTGCACTGGACGTGCGTTTCGCTAACCATGTTAATATCATCAGCAGATGATTGTGGGTAAGTATTAAGTTCATAGACTTAGAATAAAATATAGACTGAGCATCTCATTCATAAATAGCTGGAAGATGCGGACAGACAACGTCTTGTTATTGTTGTGTTATTGTTTTTGGCTCTAACGAGTGCGACACGAGCGATAGATAGGCTGTCTCCGTCGTAACGGTCGTTTCCTGACGGCTCTGCCGCCCAACGCAACACTGTCTTTTTGTTTCTTCAGTGCACCTGCACTCTCCGTATCATAGGCGGGTATTTTTTTTTTTTATTTTAATGAAGCTATAATTCAATTAAAAATATCCCCGTATTTAAACTTTTTTATATTATTAAGATTTAGGATAAAGAAAATAGTTTAATATAAAGCAAAGTTTAGGACTTGCAGAAAAATACGTCTTAGAGTCTAAAAACGATAAAAATAATAAAGTACGTGTTATAGAAGAAATTTTAATAATCGAAATTATTTAATTTTTGAAATTGATGATAAATTATTAATTTAATAAAATATTAATTTTAGTCAAACATTTACAACTCTAATATTAATCAAAACAGGATCTATTCTATAGATATAATAGAACAGAAAGAGAAAAAACTTTATAATTGTTTAATTTTTTTTTCCGGTAAAAGTGATGTCTTATTATGTAAATTAGAAAAAACAGGAATCTGTTCCATTAAAGCAAGCTTTTAGGAAGTGAATAAAATGAAAACTACATTTATTTAACTCGTTACTGTCTTTATTATAGAGTAAGTATAATAATGGTAATGGTGACTATACTTTATTCAATGGAAATATGCACCAAATTCAAACAAATATAAAAGGCATGAGTATAAACAGTATTACTACAGTAATATTGAACATTGGTTCAAAAATATTACATTAATATAATACAATATTACTGTAGGTATTACTGTCAACGTGCAAGCTTGTTTGAAGCTTGATGTATTTGTATGCGCTTGGTACATCTTGGCGTTGGAAAATGTATAGAAAATTATTAAGAAAAACTAGTACGTAATGGGGGATATCTTGATATACAGAGTGGTCGGAATTGTATTCAGGAAACTTTGGCAGCATAATCTGCAAATAAAATCAGTAAAAAAAATAGTATAAATTTATGTCCTAAAATGCTTCGTTTCAGAGATACAGAGTGTAGAAATTTCATTTTTATTTCGCTTTTTTCCAAATAATTTATGAAGAATGTATTGATTAATTCGTTTCCAAATATCTTGAGAACTATACTTGTGGCGAGTGTCAACAAGAGACCTTATTAAGTAAAAAACGTTGGAAATGTAAATTTTTCTCAGTAGTTTTATATAGATACAGACAAAAAGTATTACTCTTCAAATAACTTAAAAAATATGTAGGTGGCGCCCCCTATTAGTAAAAGTCAAATTGACATCTAAATCTAATTTTTCATGTCAAAAAACTCCCAAACGCCAATTTTCGTCCAAATATTGACGTCACTTCAGAAATTATTTGGAAAAAAATCGAAATAAAAATGAAACTTCTACACCCTGTATCTCCGAAACGAAGCATTTTAAAAACTTACAAGTTCATTTTTTTAGAAAGCCAATGCAACATTTCTGAGTTTCAAATAAAGATAAAAAACAGTAAAACATATAATAATAATATGTAAATTATTTTCTTGGATACATACATATATGGCAAATAATAACAGATTGTTTTATTAAAGATTTACGTTTTGGTTAATTCTAAAACTATCTTCAGATTATATGTGATATTACTTAAGTGATATTACATTATAAAAGAAAAAATGAAAATTATACCTTATAATCGAAAAAAAACGGCGTCAGCGATGGCTATGAAATGAAGATCGCTGTCATTTTATATGTAAAATTATATGGAGTATGTATCGATGGTTTTTTCCAAGCCAACTGGACGCCGTTTTTTTCGATCATACGGTATTACAAATTAATAATAGATTAACAGTCGAGAAAAAAAAAGAAAAAACTCTAGGTAAGTACTGGATAAATTTTAAAATGGCATATTTATTTTATCTTTGTTTAATATAAAAAAAACGAAATATCTACCTGGTTTACATAACCCTGTATAATTTGTGAAATAATAATGGACAAAAATGCAAGCGGTAAGAAAAATATTTACAAAAAATATGTACTTGTTTACATTTCTGGACCATTGTTCGTCATTTTTGTTATCATAATGGTGACCCTATCATAAAAACGTAGTTATTTCTATACCTGATGTGAAACTATAGGGAAAAAGTAATGTTTGTAAAATATTTTAGTCTTGAAAAAAAATAAGGAATGTTTGGTATTTTAAAATGTTTGGTAGCTTGTAATTTTTTCGACTTTCTCGATTGTTTATAGTTTATAATAAGCCTTAAAAATTGTTGTTTCATAATGGAATATCATTCTGGAATTCCTGTATGTTATTTTAGATTCTAAGGATGGTTTTAGAATAAAAAGAAACACATTTTTCATAAAAAAAAGCATTAAATTAACCAATGCCCAAGAAAATAATGTGTCTACTTCTTATGTACTTAATAATGTATCTACTCGTTATATTAATAACGAGGTTAGTAAGAACCTTTACGTAAATGATAAATATAAAAAATACAGATTTTCCAGGGTTTATAATTTACTAAATTATTATCTAAATAAGCGCCTTTCTACAACGCCACTGACGCCAAAATAGTAAATTTGACTTACCTGTGGAATGTTGTTCCAGGACTTAAATAGTCCAATTTCTTACAAATTTGGCACTGACGAACCATGTTTTATAGTTTTTAAATAAAAGTAATCAAAATAAACACTAAACCGACACTACACACTAAGAAAATCGAATCCAAAAAATACAAAATCAAAACATCCAATAAAACAATAAAATAGCCATGGAGAAACTGTGACAACAAGGTTTTACGACACGTGCTTTACTCTCTTACTATGGCTCTTCTACTACGAGAGGAATAAAAGAATGAACAGGCGACCCGGCGATTGATAGGTGTTGCCAAATTGTAAAGAATTTGTCATTTTTAAATGGTCTCGACTTATAATTTAGTAGTATAGGGACTATTTAATACATCTTTTCTACTATTAAACACTATTAAAATACAGTTTTAATATCTCAATATATGTGTATAACAACAAAAAAAAAAAAATATTAATAATATTTTAGACGTGACAACATAGGCTGGAGGCGAAAGACTCAGACGGCCGAGGTCAGCTGCACCCAGGAGTAAACATGTTTACAAAAATTAATATTGGACCGCGCTTAAATGTAAATAGTGTAGTCTATATTTTATTCTAAGTCTATGATTAAGTTAATGTTGGTATGGATGATGGGCTGCCTCCTTCACTGTGGCAGCTCTATATGGCTCTGCTACATATGAAGTTGCAATTTGCCAGCGCATTAGTTTTGATTGTAGGCCGTCTGCAAGTAATAAGTATACTTAAACGCAAGTGAATTTCTCACTGCGCAAGCGTACCTGTCAAACTATACGTTTACGCATATAATTATAAATATAAGAAAAAGTGTCATGTCATAATGATAAATCGTGGAAACAGTGTGGCTGCCTGGAGAAGTAATTTTTTGACAGCGGCTCCAACTTTATTTCCGTTTTTTTTTAATAACGAGCTCCCTTTCAGGTTTAAATTTTTACTCTTTCTGGTAATAAAAAACAACAAAATTATTCAAAAATATTTATTTAAAATTTTGAACAGCGTAAATATGTAAATCAAAACAATTAAAGAGGGAAAATATATACTGTTGTTTCAATATCAATATTTAAAAGATATGCGGTATTAAAGAGAATTAGTAAAGTCCAGTACAATGACTTAATCTCGAAATTAGTGGAATAAATTAGTGGTTTCAATTACACTTTATACTTCATTAGAATGTCTAAAAAAGACTAGATATCCTAACAGCTTGCGGCTGTCAATTATATACATACAGGTTGTTAATTTGTTTATTACGCGCGGCAAGAGCTTTATGGTTGAAATATGGCAACCTCGGCCCGCTCGTCGATAGACGACGGGACGAGTCGGCAGAAAACCCTATAAGTGCATGCATTCTCAATAGGCAGTGTTGCCATTCTGTTCCCCTATAAGTAACTGTCCAGTTAACAATCTCTGTAGAAAGCCTAATAATTAACTTATAAAACAATAAACATTTGATTTATAACCACAATTTCAGATGAAAATTAAAGGCGGATGAAAACTAAAGGCAAAAATGACATTACCCCCAAATTTTGAAGTATAATTAATGGCAAAAGTTAGTAGTTTGTGAACTTTTTCTACTAATTTAAAGTTACTATCACTAACTTTGACGTTCTGAATGCTTACATTGACATTAGAGGAACAAATTTCTACGCTAATTGAAATCAACTAATTTATTCCATTAATTTCGAGGTTCTCAATGAAGCTTTATAGAAACTTAATAATAAAATATCTTCACAGCTTCTATTTTGTTTTCTAAATGTACATTAAAATATAAGGTAGTAAAGTGGCTAGCTTAATAAAAAAATATATGAGAAATATATACGACATGAAAAATATATGTATATGAGAAAATATGTAGTTCTATCATTAGTAACGTTTCATAATTTTTGTTTTAAAATCAAAAGGTCCTGGTGTTACGCCATCCGCTACACCCATTCCGGGAGGATGTTCTGGTACCATAAAGAAATTATAATTTTGAAGTAATGCGGCAGTAAAGAGAAATATATTTGCGCGAGCTAGTGATTCTCCCATGCACCTAAAAATAAATTTGGAATAATAGTTAAATAGTAGTTGTAATAAGTGTCGCCCCCTTTTTGTAAAGGACAAGCCAAAAAAGGAGATTGGGTTTTCTTACAGCCTAAACTATCATTGTTATTTATAGTATATGTCTTACTGAATTAATGTAAGCTTATATCATCATGGTTACGCTAACCATATACAGTTCATACCAAATTAACTTTAATCACGTAATTAAGCTTGACCGGCACAGCGTTACCCACTTTTATATAATTTCTTTTAATCAAAATATTTTAGGAAACAATAATAAATTAATTATAAATACATAAACGTTATTATTTACATCAACAAAAACGTTCTTAACTGCACTTAAGCGACATAAAGGGCAATTACTACCGCTTTACTGTTCAAAATATTCTAATAAAGTTGCGATGAGTTTTTTACGGCTATTAAGCTATCTTTTTCACATTTCGCACTAAAAGGGGTCCTAAAAAAACAATATTCGACTGCAAGGTCTGCTAGTAAACATTTTCAAGCTTAAAGCATCTTAACAATATTTATTTAAACCAAAAACTCGTAATACAAAACTAAAGTGTCAAAACGAATGGCAATGTGAAGAAATAAATAAATAAATGCGGCATTGACATTTTTTACAGCAGAGCTACCACCTGAACCCCAGCGCGAAATTTAAATTCCAGTTAGTCAGCACGGCGCGGCGTTGAATATGTCTCCATGGTTGGCAACAATGAATTTAAAAATCGCGCCCTTGATTACGTAACTAAAAGTTTAATTGATATGAAATATATATAGTCACGATTCCCTTGGGACATCATTAACGGGAATTAAAATGCTATAATTCCCTTTATAGGTAACAATCATGAAATATAAATATGATTTTAAGTAATAATATAAAACGAAAATGGACACTCGTCTAACTAATAATTTATTTACATCATTAGTGTCACATACAATAAATTTAAAAGAGATCAGTCCTCTGCTACAATATTTTTCTGTATCATGCACTAAAGGTATTCTATTCCATTATATTCTTTTTGGTAAATGGGTTCACTTTTGTATGGAAATAACGCTTGTCGTGCTTCTTCAACTTGTCTTTAATATATCCTCTGCTTTAATGGAAACGTACTCAAACGTGTGCCGAATTCATGCGACAGGCGTTTTTTTTTACAAAAACTGAACTCACTGAATTCGATAGACAACAACTGACGTCAATTATAAATAACAGGACATTTAATAGTCTAAGAGCTATTAACGTTTTCGAGAAAGTATTTTAAGACGTCTGGCTCTTTGATATATCTTTTACTATGCTCTCTGGAATAGCATGCGGCCCGTCTGGCTGCCGATACCCGTTGCGTTTACTACTGCGCATCGGAAGAAGATCTGGATATAAATTCTAGTATTGAATATAAATCGAACATGTCTCCATAGCGCAGTGCGTAGAGTTTCCGACCACGAACCGATGATTCAGAGTTCGAATCCGGGTCAGGTCAAAGACTTTTTTATTTTATTTTCGTTTATATTCTGATAGTAAAGTATTAAATAATTCTGGATTTATAGGACTAATAAAAATAGAGGATCTTCTTTCAATGCGCAGTAGGGAACGCAACGTTTACCGGCAGCCAGACGGGCCGCATGCTATTCTAGAGAGCATAGTAAAATATGAGTAAAATACCTGTTTTTTTCGACGTTGCTAGCTCTCGTACTATAATACAATAGTAACCTGGTAACAATCAAAGTTCTTACCAGCAGCGTTAATACATAAACTGGAAGATTAATAAATGCAATATTTGTGTCGTTTTAAAATGGTATAAAGTATACTAAATTCAGTAAGAAATAAACTTATCTCTGTACCACGTGAAATATAAAGTGTTATAACTTAGGACATTATTTTACCCTCTCTATACACTTTCGGGACAGAAACTTTGGTCTCGGTAATTAATACCTTTATTATTTATTGATACGTAAATAACTATTCTAAACAAAGTTCTAAACAGAAAAACATTGTCATTGTTTAGCTTTTTACCGTTTTATACATTTTTCTTCCCAACATGACTGTTGATGATTTTATAAAATTAACCACAAAATATTGACAGGTCTATAAATTAACGCATTTATTTGTTACGTATGTTATTATTATTACATACCTCCTTTTCCCTAAGCCAAAAGGAATAAAATTGTCTGGTATTGAAAGTTTATCTTTTCCTAGAAACCGCTCGGGAACAAAACATTCTGGATTTTTGAATCCAGAGTCGGGGCCCATCATACATCCATGTAAATTAGCTGCAATGACAGTATTCTGAAATAAAATATGCAAGGAACAAACCTAATATATGGTCCTGGGCAAAAACATATACGGTCCTGGACACTTTATCTCCGTGGCCTGTATTTTAATGCATGCGACAAAGTGGTATGCAAAGTGGTAAATATAAATGTCCGAATGACAGACAGAGAGACAAAATAAAAAGCGGCATACACTGTTGCCGGTTTTTATGTGTGTAAGTAGGGATATGTTCATTTTATAGGCATCGGCTGTCGCGGTTTCGATCATATTGTACTTACTTTCGGAACATTAAATCCTGCGATTTTAGTATCCTTCAATGCCCTATGCGGTACTGTAATTGCTCTACCTCCAAACATTCTTAGGGACTCCGATACTATACTCTCCATATAAGGCATCCTGAAATACATTTAAATGTTAATATTTATAAAAATACCCATGTGTTATCAGTAGCGACTGATTCGTTACTTTAGTCTATCCTCTAGGGTAGGTAGCCGACCTCTTAATACGTCATCAATCTCCAGCTGTGCTTTTCTTTGAATGTCCTGATTCAAAATTAAGTGTTGAAAACAGAATTTCAGCGTATTGTTCGTTGTTTCTGATCCCGCCATAAACATGTCCATACATATGGCAAGTAATTGAGCTTCTGTAAACGACGTACCTAAAATATTAATTTACCTCGTAGTATATATACATACTCGTACATAGTAATATTCTGAACCATTTTTTGTATGTCTTTGTGGAACTATAAAGGATTTTTCTCAAAATGTGTCATTTCTCGTGGGGAGATTCCTCTGTAACTTCAGAACTATGTAAAAATAAGATTTATTTTTTATATCAACATAAGTCCGATTCTGCTTTGTTTCGTAGCTACAGGGGGTTACTACAGTTACTAACTACAGTTAAGTTTTATTTTTTTTTTCGATTTAATAGAAATTTCTTCTAGGTGCTTTTAGCACTCGAATGCAATTTTAAGGGTAAAAGTTACTATCAGTGTTACATATTTTAGTACCAAAAAAGTGTCAGGAATATTTTCCCGAAACACATGTGTGCCACTGACTTTTCTCTTGTTAACAAAATTGTGTAGGTCGTTTAATGTCGATCAAAAGTTGTATCTTGATATTTTGTCAATTTCGATCTCCTTAAGATGAGATAAACGCAATTTTATTAATCACACTAAAAATAAAATTAATAAATTATTTATTTAATCTAATTGACTATTAATTTTTTTCAAAATTTATAACATTGATGTTCGATGTTCGGTGCTATCTACAGTAAATTCAAAAAAAATAGTGGTATTTGAGATAATTACAAAGGACATATTATTCTGTCAAAGTTTTAACATTCTGCACCTTTAAAGCTTACAGTTGAGGGTTGAAACCTTTGGTGTTACACAGCAAAATAAAATTACACTAAATCACCACAATACACCAAAACACTTTTACTTTTACACTGGACGCGCGTTTCGCTAACCATGTTAGCATCATCAGCAGATGATTATAAACTCAGAGTACTAGTTTATAATCATCTGCTGATGATGCTAACATGGTTAGCGAAACGCGCGTCCAGTGTAAAAGTAAAAGTGTTTTGGTGTATTGTGGTGATTTAGTGTAATTTTATTTTACCTTTAAAGCTTATGTATTTCCGCACCCACGTTTATAGGAACTTTTTTTCGTATATTTTGATGATGAATCAATAAGCACTTATTTAACACTTTGGGCAGTTAATAAACATTCTTACCGTTTTCTATTGAATTCAACTGTGCAAGGTAAGTATCCATTAGGTTTGTCGGGTCTGTGTTTAAGTTGAGAATTCTCTTGTGACATTGCAGTTCATTTCTTAAAAAATTCCAAACACTAATATGGGCATCAATATAGCATTTATAACCGGACATCTCAGGGGATATGTATTTTAAAAAAGGAAAATGGCTATAACAGATAAATAAAAAAAAACAGCGTATATAAAACAATATACATAAAATATATAATAGAATAATAGTTATTTAGTATGTGTCGACCGAATTATAAGGGTGTTAATTACCGAGGGCGAATTTTCGGGACAAAAGTTGCCCGAGGTTATTAACACTTTATAATTCCCGTGATACATAGATAATTTTATTTCTTACTGAATTTAGTATATTTTGTCCCATTTTAAAACGACATAAATGTTGCATTTATTAATTTTCCGGAATATTTTTATTAACGCTGCTGGTAGGAACTTTTAGTCTAAGAGCTAGCAACGTTTTCGAGAAAGTATTTTAAGACGTCTGGCTCTTTGATATATCTTTTACTATGCTCTCTAGAACAGCATGCGGCCCGTCTGGCTGCCGATATCCGTTGCGTTCACTACTGCGCATCGGAAGAAGGTCCTATATTTTTTATTAATTTAGTCCTATAAATTCTAGTAGTTGAATAGTAGTCAGACAGCGTATCATAGCGCAGTGAGTTTTCCGACCACGCGATGATTCCAGTTGAACCGGGTCAGGCAAAGACTTTTTATTTTATTTTCGTTTATATTCTGATAGTAAAGTATTAAATAATTCTGGTAATTTAAAAAAAAAACAAATATTTAATACTTTACTATCAGAATATAAATGAAAATAAAATAAAAAAGTCTTTGCCCTGACCCGGATTCGAACTCTGAATCATCGGTTCGTGGTCGGAAACTCTACACACTGCGCTATGGAGACATGTTCGATTTATATTTAATACTAGAATTTAAACGACTAATAAAAATATAGGGTCTTCTTTCAATGCGCAGTAGGGAACGCAACGTTTACCGGCAGCCAGACGGGCCGCATGCTGTTCTAGAGATCATAATAAAAGATATATCAAAAAAACGTCTTAAAATACTTGTTTTTCCGACGTTGCTAGCTCTCGTACTATTTAGTTTGTTGCCAGGTTACTATTGTATTAAATGACCTGTTTGTAAACTGACGGTTGTTATCAGTCGAGTTTAGTTTTGTGTCAAAAAAACGCATTTTGTACTAATTCGGCACACGTTCGAGTAGGTAAGTTCCGATTAAAATGGACGAAATATTAAAAAAAACTGAATAAGCTAAAAAAGACCTTCAGTGGCTGGGACAGAAAAATATTATAGCAAGGGATGTCGATGAAACTATTCTCTTGTAAATTTATTATGTGACATTAATGATGTAAATAAATTATTAGAGTAGTTCGATGAGTGTGCATTTTCATTTTATATTATTACTCAAAATCTCTATTGTATTTCATGGTTATTGCCTTTAGAAAAAAAAAATAAAAAAATCTTAATCATCGGCAGATGCTAACATGGGAAACGTGCGTCCAGTGCAATAGTAAAAGTGTTTTGGTGTATTGTGGTGATTTAGTGTTTTATTTTGACTTATAAAAGGCGGAGGAAAGTATGGCATCTTTCCCGTTAATAATGTCCCAAAGGAGTTATTACTCTATTTATGGTTATCGTAACCACGACGATATAAGCTTATATTAATTCAGTAAGCAATAAAATAACATTTACCAGGATTTTCTAAATAATTTCTAAATTTATTACCTAAACGGAGCGCCTGTCATATGGATTGTTTTAAAGAGTTTAGTTAATATGTTCTGAAGTTCCACCATATATCGGTCTTCATAGCCATAACGTTTTCCCGAAATCAGTTTCCATAAGGTGTTCAGAATACCAACATTAAAAAAATTTCTTATATCACAAATTATGTATCCTACAAATAACGAGGGGATATATTCTCGGAATGAACAGCTGATGCTAATGTCTAGTCCGTTATTGGTATAGTTATCCGATAATTCAAAATCCACGTTTGCGCACTACGCTTTTGCTCGCCTAACTGAACGACTTAAGCAAATTCCTTCAGAAGATTTATACACCCATTCACCGGCTTGATTTCACAGAATGCAGGCGATATACTTTTTATAAATATAAGGTGGTACCAAACTTCATGATGAGGTGTTCTGGTGTTTCCCCATTTGTGATTAAAAAAACCGTGACAATCCGAAATTGTTCTTCCTTCCTGTTGTGAAGTGGACCGGCGAAGTGGACAATAGTGGTACTTATGATGAGAAAAGTATTGAGCTACTAATTACAAAAATTTATGCTAACTTTGTTAAACAGTTAGAAGACCAAATTGATAAGAAACTGGACAAACTTAAACAGACATTTTCTGATGGCAAATTTTTCTTAAAAAAATAATTTTTAAATATAAAAACTGTTTAAAAAAAATTACCAGAATTGTTATAATATAATTTAAGAGCTTAAAATAGAAAGTTGATGTGCTTACCACTGTTACTTATTGCCTCTTCTAGAGAATCGCTTAGATATTTAATTTCTTCTTGTAAGATAAAAGTCATATTATTACTTCCATATCCAAACTTTCTCAAATGTTTTACAATAAAACGTTTTTGTTCTTGCCAGACCTCTTCATCAGTTAAAAGAATACCTAAAATAATATTTTATCACTAACTAAATGTTAATTGATATTATTTTTATTTTATGTGATATTTTCTAAATCTAAAAAAAATATAAAGGCTTATTAGTAACTATTAGGAAAACCCAGATATGCAAAAGAAACTTTAAAAATATGGTTTTCCTCAAAAGATTTACAAGATATTGACAATATAGAAATAAAAATAAGGGATAAATAAATATTGAAACAAAATAAACTACTGAATGAAAACATTTTTTACGTAAAAATGCTCTCTTGGTCAAAGTGGCTACGCAACCATTCTCAAGATATTTGAAATGGAAATTATCATTATAGGTAATCACTGACGATCAACTATTGAACATGTTGACTAGATACTTATTTGACTCAAATGATAATTTTTTTTAAATAAATAAACTTTTTTTGTAACTAATGATAAATTTTCCTAGAAAAATGATTATTATGAGAAAACTTTCGAGTTTCTGTTTAACCTTCGCAATAAAAAAATTCTAGATTTATTATTCCAGTCTAACAGCGTTTTCAGATGGAGCGGAGCGTCCGCGACTTCGAGCAAGTACCATGAGTTTATATGAACGATTTCACATGGGTCGCGTATGCTCCGTCCGGATGAGCTATATTGAAAAAACATCCGCGCGGACGCTGCGCGCGTACGGTCCGCTCCATCTGAAAGCGCTGTAATACTATCTAGTAAAAATGTTTACTTTTTGTCAATGATATGTATTCATTATTTCGATTCCAAATATTTTCAGAACCATTATTTGTTGCGCACTCTGTAGTTTTATACGTACGGACGAAAAGTTATTAACTGGTAAAAGGTTTTTAACTGGTATCCAAACCAAATTTCTCATGTCAAAAAATACCAATTTTCATGCAAATATCGACTTCAGTTCAGAAATTAAAATTTGATGAATAAAATGTCCTTGTAGACTTTGTAGATACGCAGATCCGAAACTAAGCATTTTAAATGTTAAGACATGAGTTAATACGACCTTTACTATTTTTTTTTCCTTTATAATACAATACGGTCTTTACTACTTATTTTTATCTGCAGAATATGCTACCGAACTTTCTCGAATACAGTTCGGACCACCCTGTGTATACATAACATTATATTAAATGCAGTGCATTTCATACCTAATCTTTTACCCCAAGTTCTTAAATTATAGTATAATCCTATTGGTCGTCCAATAAAATCATCTGATGTAGAAAATTCCTTGATTATATGAGGTCCATATATTATTATAATTGGATCCTTTCCAACCTGAAATTATTATATTTAGAATTGTTATTATTACAATCCAAGTAAAATAAAATAGATTTAACCGTTAATTGCTGACTTGGAGTATGGGAGACCCCGCTGCCACTTTAGCGCACGATTAATCACACCACAAATGTTTCTGCGGGGTGTTGCTTGGTTAGGTACAGTTAGGTACTACCAAAAGTTGGCCAGCACCGATTTTTCATTTTCGAAATATTGAAGTCGCGGTGTCTGACTCCGTGTCAGCATTGAAAGTTTTTAATAACATTGCAACTCAAGACGGTGCATTCGACCGTTCGAGGTTTTGATGATATGTAATGCATGTGTATAGATAATATGTAATGGTACAATGAGGTATATACAGCGACCACTTAACCGATAGTGAGTAAGAATTTGAACGAGAAAACGGAAGATAAAGCTGATGCTGATACAATAAAAGTTAGACATACAGCGTCCGGCAAGAGTGCGTCGGACATCTGTACCTCCTAGAAAAAAAAATTGGGAATTTTGTTTAAGTACAAACTGAAAGTAGGTATTAGCCTGTATTAGTTATAGTATACCTAATCTGTGGTATTAGCAGGTATTTTAGGAAAATATTTTAACTTCTATAGGGTGATTTAAAAAAGTGTGAGTGGATCCGGATGATTTTTTTAAATGGACCCTCTGTATATTATTGCATTTTTGGCTTCCTTTCAGATCACTTTACATAATCTTAAGATATGAGTAAATATATTTCGATAGTTTCAGAGATATTAATAAATAAATAAAAAATATATATTTTTCAACCTTTCTTAAAAAAAAATTGTTAAAAAGACAAGAACTGTCCTGAGATTAAAACTACTCTAGGTATTTACTTTAGATGGTCTGTACTTACTTTGCTATAAATATGGTAATCGTAAATAGTACAGGATGTTCAAAATTCTACACCAAACTTTCTAAAATATAAAATATTTTTTCTGTTTTTTTAAACCGAACACACTGTATATTATTTTTTCATAGATGGAGAATTAAAAAATTAATATTTTTTGTATTTAGAGTATTTTAAAATTTTAAACGGTTTCGCAGATATTCGCAGTTTTATATTTCATATGTCTTTATCTACAGTTAATTTTTATTAAAGCCACCTATAAAATAATATATAGGGTGTCCCACTTAAAAAATAAAGAAAACTTATTTTATATTTTAGAAAGTTTAGCGTAGAATTTGGGACACCCTGTATGATTTAAATTATGATATTCATGCAAAGTAAGTATAGAGCATCTAAAATAAATACCTAGTATAGTTTTGATTTCAGGACAGTTCTTGTATTTGTAATAATTTTTAGAGAAGGTTAAAAAATATATAATTTGTATTTATTTATTAATCTAATCCGAAATTATCGAAATATATTTACTCATATTTTAGGTTTATGTAAAGTAATCTAAAAAGAAGTCAAAAATTCAATAATATACAGTGTTCCATTTAAAAAAAATCATCCCGATCCACTCACACTTTTTTGAGCCAACCCTAGAGAAGATAAAATATTTTCCTGAAATCCATCCTCGTAGGATTGCACTTAAACAAAATTCTCACCAACCAAAATTTCTCTACAACCAAAATTCTCAAGTTTTTTATTCTAGGAGATACAGATGCCCGACGCACTTTTGCCGGACCCAATCAATAATCTTCTTTTGTTTTACGTTTAGTTAATTAATATAATTAGCTATTACAATTATTAAAAAGGATATTACGTTTTACCTTTAAACCCAAAACAGGTCCAAAGTTTTTGCTCATTTCTGCTGTAGCTTCGGTAAGTGATTTATTTATAGATTTTTTATTTAAAACTTGTAAAAGTATACTTCCTAATGGAACCCATCGTGGTCCGGGAGGGAAATTTTTTGGTTTCTCTGTATTTATGTAGATCAGGGCAACTATGAATAAAAATAGAACGAACCATAGCATATCTGAAAAAAGTGTTAAGGTTCATACTATGTACTTTTTATATTTAAAGCATATACGTGTATGTACAGGGTGTGCCAAATTGGGTACTTTTGAAGCGAAACCCCCTTTGTAAAGGAAATAGACGAAAACTAGTATGAGTATCTGAAACTCAATTTTTATCAAAAACATGACGATAAAAACCGCACATCGATATCTGTTTCAGAGTTATATAGGGTGTTTCTCAAAATTGGCCCACCCCTATAATTTTTTTTAGATAAATGAACAAGATTTGGTACGTTAGTATACACATAACATATACATAAATCCGAAGTGATTGATGGGGGGTATTCAGTTGTTTTCGGTCACTTCCTGTTTCACCGGAAATTGAATAAACTTTTGATTTTTGAATGGCACTTTCGGTATTTTTTACTTTATTCAATAGAAAATGACACTCTGGATAGAATGACATATCATATGTTAACTCTTGACATTTTCGCTTAAAAAATCGTATTTTTAATTTCAATCTAGAGTGCCACGACTGTGTTAAAAACACTAATTTTTAATCAAGGAGCCTCGAAAAAATATATTCGGTAGTCTAATGCTTTTCGTGTCTTGTCCTGACCGGTTACAAGGTGCCCAAATCGTATTTTTAAGCAAATCTCAATTTTTTCAAATGGAACGAGTGTGGCTCATTGGCGTATTTGAAAAAAGCATTTTTTACGAATAACACACACATGCAGTGGCAGGTCAAAATTCTACGTTAAAATATGCTTTCGAAATATTTTCATAGAAACACAAAATTTTCTATAGTTAAAGAGTTACCGCGGGTTTTTAAAAATGCACAATTTTCGAAAAACACTCTGTAACTCTGAAGCCGTAACAGATTTAGATGTGCGGGTTTTACTATTAAGATTTTTATGAAAATTGAGCTCCAGACACCGACATTAGTTTTTTGTCTATCTCCTTTAGAATATGCGAGTTTAGAGTTTGTCTTTAAAAGTGTCCAATTTGGCCCACCCTGTACAAACAGTATTTACCAACCTGGTTGTTAATTTCACTAATTTCACAAGCACTGGGAGATTACAACTAAGTTCGCGTTAGTTGTTTAATGAAAAGGAAAGGTATTAAACTCTCGATCAGAGATAAGAGAAAGTTTGCCTTATTTGATAATATATTTATTTACTGGCAATTAAAACTTCATTGATTTTATGTATAAGTATAATGGGTGTCAACATAAAATTCTCCGTTATTACGTACAGTATGTCATACATACAGAAAAGACGTGCATATTCTATAAAAATAATTTGTTTGCTTTTAAATTGTTAATCCCCGTTTATAATTTTCCAAATTTCCATAGCGTTTTAGAGAAAATTAAAAAAATGAAAATACGATTAAATATTGTTTGCTATACTAAAATGTTCAGAAGCACAAAATTTATTTAGATCAACCTTAAGAAAAGTGTGTTACTTATAGGAAAGAGTGATACTTCAGTAGGAAATATGAAATATGAAAATTAGTTAGACATCTCTCAAAGAATGAAAACGAAATGATTTTGTCAGTGAAACGCGTTTTGATTTTAGGACTTTCAACTTCATCATAATATGAGATAAATTTAGATTGGAATTCCCGGCTTCCCGCCAAAATTTGTAATTGTTTTGGATCGCGTACGTTGTAGGGCGCTGCTATAGCGGTTGGAAAGAACACATAATATACAGGGTGGTCCGAACTGTATTCCGGAAACTTCGGCAGCATATTCTGCAAATAAAAATAAGTAAAAAAGTTCGTATAAATGTATATCCTGAAATGTTTAGTTTTGGAGATACAGGGTGTAGAAGTTTTATTTTCATTTCGATTTTTTCCAAATGATTTCTGAATTAATATCAATATTTGGATGAAAATTGGTGCCTGGGAGTTTTTTGACACGACAAATTTGATTTTGGTGTCAATATGACTCCTATCTGTAGGGGAGCGCGACCTACATGTGTTTTAACTGTTTTGAAGAGTACCTAATAACTTTTCGTCCGTACCTGAATATTTATTCAGGTAAAGTAAACTCAGAGGAACTCAGTAAATTTTTACTGAGTGAAAAAATATACATTTCCGTGATTTTTTACGTAAAAATGTCTTTTGGTGAAAATCGCTGTGAGCAACCGTTCTCAAGTTATTTAGAATAGACTGAGTCAATATATGTCATTATTGACAAAAAATAAACAATATGCATGTGTTGAGTAGATATAGAAATTTTAAAATATTTTCCGATGCACGTCATCAATCACATCGAAATTGACACTAAAGCCTATAAACCTGAGTAAATAAAATTTTAGCAAAAATGTTTAAATTTGTTGACTAAATTAAAATACCAAGCAGCTCTTCATTATACTTTATAGAGCAAATGATTGTAACAGATATTTTATTTAGATTAAAGCTGCAAAAATTAGTTTTAACCGATTTTTATTATCGCCTTGTTGGTCACATTGCGCCATATTCAGCAATGTTGTCGTGTATTATTTGACAATTATCCTAGTGTCAGTCATTATTTTGTATAATATCGTGTTATTGAATTTTTGGAAGTAATTCTCGTTTTTTGTCGTTTTTTATAGTTTTTTTTCTTAAATTGTACTTTTAAGTACAAAAAGTTATTTTAAGAACTAAATTTTCGATATTTTTTACTAAATTTTTTGAAATGGTGGATTGAAAATATGCCGAAGCCTTTAAACAGTAGAAGCAAAGCGCTTGTAGCTTCCCTGATAAAATATTTTGAGCGCGAACGTGACAATAAAGGTTCTTTATTACTCTTGAATGCAGCCAGAGAAGTAAGATTGATTGTTAAGTACATTATACCAATTTCAAGTTATTTCTACTTATTTCAGTTTGTAGCGGGTAGCTGCTGTCTTAAAAAAAATATATAAAAATTATATACTAAATATATTGTTTGTCACTTTTAAATTAAGATTCATCTCATAAATCTATCACAATCTGGCAGCGCTGTCGCCATCGCTTGTCACTCAAAGTTGATGACGTGCATCGGAAAATGTTTTAAAATTTCTATAGTTATATTTGACTGAAATGTTAAATTTTAGAACTTTTTTTTTAAATTAATCATAGATTTGTATGCGAAAAAATGATGATAAAACAGTTTTTGTTAAACTTGTGACACAAAAACATTTTAAATTTATGATTTCAGTCTAATAACTATTTAGTCAACATGTTTAATTTATGTCAATGATGACAGGTATTGATAATTTTGATTCCAAATATCCATTGAACCATTACTCGTAAAGATTTTTACCAAGAGACCTTTTTTACGTAAAACACGTCATAAATGTATATTTTTTACTCAGTATTTTTTTACAGATACGGACTCCAATTTTCATCCTAATATTGACGATACTTCATAAATTATTCGGAGAAAATCGAAATAAAAATGAAACTTCTACACCCTGTATTTCCAAAACTAAGCATTGTAGGACATACATTTATACTAACTTTTTTACTTATTTTTATCTGCAGAATATGCAGCGGAAGTTTCCGGAATACAGCTCGGACCACCCTGTATAGCTAAAGTAGCTATTGTATATATATTCTGTGCTAAGAACAAGTAAAGCCGGACTTTGACGAGTCGTGTACTTGGCAAGTACACCAACATTTGCGTACTTGGCAAGTATGCCATCTTTGTAAAGAACATTTTTTTCATTTGTAATCAACAACAAGCTTGGCGCTCACGCAGCGCGGTGAGTGAAAAATAATTGCACAAGTACACCACTCACACGACATAGAAAGTATATGCCAATAAAAAAATGTTTGTCAAGTACACGAGTCGGCGGGGCCCGGTATTTGACACTCTTGTATAACTTATGTTACAAATATTGCACGGGAATAAATAAAACAAAAGGTATATAAAACAAAATATTTTAGTATTAATAATTTCAATAATTTACAAACACTTACTGAATTTTAAATATGTACTCTGTTTTACGACACGCGCATGGAGGATGTCATCTGCCTTTTTTCTGCCACCATCTGTCGAAATCTTCCCTGAGTCGTAAAACAGAGTTAAAATTCTTTACAATAATTTCTTTACTATTCTGCTCCCTATACCTTAAGATGTCTAATTTTTTATGCATTTAATTATTGTTTCTTTAGAGTATTTGAGTTAGGGGTTTTGTATAAAATAATAGGTTTTTTTGAGAAAGCTGAAGTTTGTACTATTACAGATGAAGAACCAATAAGCGCACTGGACACTGAAGAAATAGGTGCTGTAGTACTGCTAACTGTCCCGCTACTGATTTTTGGTGATTGCTAAAAATAAGATGACATAAAAAATTATTTACCAACTTATATTTAGCGTGAGCAGCTTACTGGTGATGTTGGTTGCTGATGTTGATGTAGAATACCCAGTCGAGCCATAAACAATTGTTCAGACACTCTTTTCAGTTCTTGTTGCTGTCGATCTATGATCGCTTTAAGTTGTACTTGTTTGCGTTGTAGATCCGCTTGCACCTCATATTGAGTAGAGGTTACTGATGGGATATCAGTGCTCTAAAAAACAAATCGACATACTTTATGCTCTAAAAGATTGTTTTGATTACCTGTTTTAAACCGGCCGCCTATACAGGGTGAGTCTTAAACAAGTGCAAATATTTTTAGGGGTAGTATATTTCGACCCAAGAAACACAATTTTTTCGCGAAAAAAAAATTAAAAATTTGAATTTTTTTAAAAAAAATTTGGAAATTTTTTTAGTATTTAGTTAAAGAAAAATATTTTCTTGATAATATAGTAATATAGGTAGTAGATTAAATTTACAACAAGGAAAACCCAGAAAAGATCCAATGGTTGATTCTCAAAGCTAAAAAATATATATTTTTTTGTTGAGAAATTTTCAAAGTAAAATAACTCGGTTATTTTGGACTTATTTGAAAAACGGTAAAGAGAGAATATGTGTCTTTTATCGAGATTTATCATCCCTGAAAATATTTGCACTTATTTACACTTATTTAAGACTCACCCTCTATATGTTAACAAGTTAAATAAAGCATTTTGTTAAGACAATTAAAATAAGAATATAATGTACAGGGCATCCTATAAAAAAACATAAGTTTGGGTCATATTACAAAATTAACAGATTGCAGCAAAGATCTATAAATAATACAAACCATTGACTGTGTTATATCAGAAAGTCTTGAAGTCGGTGAATCGGCAGACATAGACGTACAAGTACAGTCCGGCTCTTCTTTAGAGATAGGTCTGGGCTGATAATATAAATGTTGGACTACAGTTGACTCTGCCTCTGAAGATGACTGGTCTGGTTCCATGTAGTCATGTTTCTTTTGTATAACGACATCATGATAACTATAAAAAATATAAATTTAATAATGTCTATACCTAAACTATAAAAAAAAAACATTATCTGAATAATTTTTACTTCACGTGGTTGAAATTAAGAATATTAATAAATGAAGTATTGGAGAAAATGTAAAATAATAATAATAATAGCATTCACTTAAGGTATGTTGACCTGGTTTTGCACTGTTACATGATCAGTTTCAATTTAAAAATAGATTTTTCTTAAGTTACTTAAAATTGGTTTGTCCAAAATTGTTTAAATATGACACCTGTATTCAGTATGTGCAGACCTTCAAAAATCTATTTACGACTTGAGTGTAAAATCAACAAGGGAGTCAATATTTGGATAGTTGAAAATTTGCATGAGATTTCCTATGTTTTCAACGACGATATAATAAACACCAATAACAAATGTAAACCTGAAATAAATATACCTAATTACCCGATGTGTGCATACTATAAATTCCGGTTTTGAGTTCCATTGATGGTAGGTGATATAGAATCTTGTTTGCAACCATATCCACTGTTGTCCCTTAGTAAGAAATCTGTAGCAGCAAGATGTACCTTCACCTTTTCGCATTAAGGACTGATGACAACGAACCAATTTTTCAATATCATCCATGTGGTAATATTCATAGCCTGAAGTGCCTAGAAGCTCGAACGGTAAGTACCTATAGAGATGTGAATATATTTCTTACCTCTGTAACAATGGCATGAAATAAAGTGTCAAAAATACTGTATGATCGAAAAAACGGCATCCAGCTGGCTTGGAAATGACGATAGATGACCGTCCCCATATAATTTTACATATAAAATGACAGCGATCTTCATTTCATCGGTGGCTATGAAATGAAGATCGCTGTGATTTGTTGACGCAGTTTTTTTCGATCATATTGTATATCTTACATAGGTGTAATTTACATTTTTTTTTGTAGAGTTACCAGTACTCAAAGCTGCAGGCTCACAGAAAACTTAAGTCTTTTTTTTTAATTTAAATCGTTTTAATGACTTAAGGTCATTTGGTTTGGGTCATTTTTCGAAAGCTGACTTATAGTATTTAAAATTTAAGTAATTTTCAAAATTATTTGTGATTTAAATCTTTATTCCGAAATTATTAAAAAAGAATTATGTAATTAAAAAAGGCTTAAAATTTTTAAATGATTTCCATTTTGTACCCCAGACTTGGTGGTTTAATTTCGTAGGAACAATTTTTCTGGAATTTTTATAAGTCGGATATTTAAATCTATTTCGTTGTTAAATACTAGATACCATTTGTTTGCAATGAAAATGATAACGGTGTAGAATGATTGCCTTTCACGCTCTCTATTATTTTATTTTACCTCTTAATTTTGCAAACTCTTGCTAATTAAAAACAGCAGTAGATTATGAATTAAAGAAAACCTATAGATTTTAGAAAACTAGTTAGAATAACCCCATGACAATGCAACTCCCAGTGGACGATATGCCAAGAACGTACAACTTTGACAAACATGTCAATGTAGTATTGAGCAATAAGAAAGATTGGAAGAGCGAAACGCTTGCCCAGCAGTTAAAAGACCATACCATAACTTGGTATACTGATGCTTCCAAAACCAATACGGGAACAGGGATCGGAGTGTTTGGGCCGAGAGCTAATTACTCCGAACCAATGGGCACTTACCCTAGTATCCTACAGGCAGAAATCTACGCTATCGAGAGATGCGTACAACTTATCTTAGATAGGAACTATCGGAAACAAGAAATAGCCATCTTATCGATAGTCAAGCAGCGTTAAAGGCGATCAACTCAGTATCAATCAATTCGAAATTGGTCAAAGAATGCATAGAGAAGCTGAATAAATTAGGCAAAGAAAACAAAGTCCTCCTACACTGGGTGCCTGCTCACCAAGGGATAGAAGGCAATGAAAAAGCAAATAATCTAGCTAGGAAAGCAGCGAACACTCCACTAACTGAACCAGAACCGTTCTGCTTTCCAAGTGGTAACCAACTCAAGGCGGAACTCAAGAACTTGGAAGATTCCATCCGCAACCTGGAATGGAAATTTTCCAATGGTCTAAGACACTCGAAGAAGTTTCTGAGGGCTTATGATCAAGAAAAATCACAGATCTTCCTGGGTCTGAGTAAGAACAATCTTCGGATTGTCACGGGGTTTTTAACAGGACACTGTCTCCTCAACGAAGACCTCAGTAGATTGAAACTAAGAAGAAACGGCGAATGCAGATTCTGTGGGGAAGATGGGGAAACACCAGTACACCTCGTCACTGAGTGCGCCGAGACGACAACCATTCGTGTCATGAATTTTGGTACGACTGATATTGGAGATGGAGAACTACCCTCTATAAAACCGTCCCAGATACTGGCTTTTGTCAAAGCCCTGGGACTGTATGATGAGTTATGATTCAAGAAAGGGGGACACAATGGATCTGTAAGGTCGAAGTGATTAACCCCCCTCCCACTCATTCTAAAAAAAATTCTAAACCCCATGGCAATGTATAAAGCCAATTGATATTTACAATACTTTTACCATCGTAATTACTCAAAGCTGCCATTGTTCGTCGAATATTATATGCAGTGTTTTTCAAATTTAATGGAATAATGAACAACTTTAGACCTGAGACCTGAGTGTATGGTTTTAATTTCTACTCGATATCTTCACGCGTTCCCGAGATAAAGAATGACATATCTACATAAAGGTCTTGAAGACAAACGGACGGACGATCCTATATAGGTTCCGTATTTCTCTTTTGAGATATGGAACCCTAAAAATTACTCTAAAGAAACTATTATATTAAATAAAATGTCATTTAATGTTAATTAAATAAAAATGTTCTAAGAATTACCCTATAATTGCAGGAGCTCGATGATCTAAGAACAAGAATTTCCATTCGAAGCTATGTCTGGATATAAATTCTGGTTTTCGGGAGTCAACTAACAGCATTTCTTTTAGTAGCATAGGGGTTTGCAATTTGCCAGTACCAATAAAGACTAAACTGAAACGTACGAATAATTATTAATAACTTAAAAAATACTATTAGAAATAGAGCACAAAACACTATTAAAAATTTATTATTAATTAGTACACTTTACAAATAGCTATGCTATAACAGTAATTAAAAGTTAAGCAAATACAAAACAATAAAACACATATAGAATACAAACAGTCATATCACAAGAGGAAAAACTTTTTTTAAACATGAAAAAAATCAACGACATGAAAATATGTTGAAATTTAAAAAATCACAGAAAACCTGATTTTGTCAGACTAATTCATGGTTATGAAATGAAGATCGCTCTCATTTTATATGTGAAATTATATGAGGATGATGAAATTATATGTTATATATCCGATCGTCATTTCCAAACGAACTGAACACCGTTTTTATTTCGATAATACGGTATTTTTTTTATTCTATCCGGTAGTTTTACCTCTTATCTGGAATTCTGGAATTTCCATGGAGTTCGTTGTCCATATGCATTTCTTCTTTGTTAAACTCTGTAAGATAGACATCGATTTAGCAGTTTGTTTATAAATAAGATTTATTATAATTTCCGTTATGTTATATATAATCTAAAAAAATACTCAATATATACAGGGTGTTTTCAAAAACATGTGCTGTCTCTCGTGGGGAGAAAGAGGAGATTCAGTAAAAATAAGATTACAAACCAGCATACGTCCAATTATGCCTGAGCACCCTCTTTACTATTCGATATTCGACCTCGACTTACTTCGGGTTATTTCGCGAATAGTGTAGTGGCCATTTAATATAGTTATTGTATTATTTTTTGTAGAATAATGACATTATATAGAATAAGCATAAAAAATAATAGGAGAAATATTTGAATTATAATACTTACTAAAATCTCCAACAAAATGCACCAATTCATGACAAGTTCTTTCTTGAAATTTTAACCTTCTTCTTAAATGACATGTAATAGAAACATTGATTCCCTCCTTAGAGGATCTAACTAGTAATTTACATAGATCGCTATACTCTTCGTCTGTTACAAGTTCATGAATTGTCATAGATAATATATCATTCTAAAATACAAATAAAGAATAAATCGTGAGCGTACAGCGAAAATCCACTAAGTCACATTTTTGGTTGAAGAAGTCCAATTTCGGCATCCTTATAATCTAAGGATGCCGACTTAATGGGTTTTTCATGTTAAAGACCGTGAAAAACTGGATATAGTGGTGTGTTTAATCCAATTCAACCAGAAATGTGACTTAGTGGATTTTCGCTGTACGCCCACGAAATGCAATATAAGTATAGTTTGTTTCGTCCCTCGTTCAACATGACGTCATATATTGTCGACCTAAATTTTGATTACGATTACCATTTGTAGCAAAGTTAAGTACATACCATAAAGTAAATACCTAATATAGTTTTGATTTCAGGACAGTTCTTGTATTTTTAATATTGTTTTAAGAAAGGCTGAAAAATACAGGTTGTTAACTCGACAGTTACTTATAGGGGAACAGAATGGCAACACTGCCTATTGAGACCGCATGTACTTATAGGGTTTTCTGCCGACTCGTCCCGTCGCGTCGTCTATCGACGAGCGGGCCGAGGTTGCCATATTTCAACCATAAAGCTCTTGCCGCGAGTAATAAACAAATTAACAACCTGTATATATTTTTTATTTATTTATTAATATCTCTAAAACTATCGAAATATATTTACTCACATGTTAGGATTATTTAAAGAGATCTGAAAGGAAGCCAAAAATGCAATAATATACATGGTGTTCCATTTAAAAAAATCATCCCAAATTTTTAGCCATCCTATAGAAGTAATAAAAAATATTTTCCTGAAATATATATAAGGATATATATATATCCTAGTACATACAGTACGTCTGTCCGTTCTATAACTACGGGGTATCCGTGAGAGGGGAAACGATATTCTCTCGATGTTTCGTCGGTACAAATTTACGATATCTGCCATAGGACCGATCGGTAACTATTACAACAACGATTAATACATTTTTACTATATACAAATACTTATCGAGAGCTGTCGTAACTTACCGATACCGACGATTTTACAGAATAGCGCCCCTGGTGTTGCCACGAGAGACCCGTCCACGCTTCGCAAATTTGGGATGTCTCGCGCTCGTCTCGCTCTTGTGACGCAAGAGCGAGTTGTACGCATCTGAAGGTGGGAGATAGTATCGATCGTTTGCGTGCATTCTTTTCAACGACCGTTAGTCAACTAATCTGCTTGTGCGACAATTATATAAAATATGACTTACTGATAAATATCCTAATAAAGAAGTTATATTCTCCGACACATAGTAAATATGACCCGTTGTGGAAAATACAATGATAAATCCATCTACTGCTTCCAATACTAAATGGGTAAATTCTTCGTAATTTAAGAATGTCGGTTTCCAATTAGTCTCTGCCCCATTACCTCTTGTTCTAACTACGAATTCTGAAAAAATCATACGTACACTCACCGGCAGGAAAAACGAACACTACTGAGTTGAACATTTTAATAGTGATGGGATAACTCGAGCGAAAATTCTCTCAAGTGCTCGATTATTGAAATAACCAACATCGCTCGATTATGAACAAGCGATGCAAGTGACGAGTTACGAGCGACGAAAGCAAGCGATCCTAGAATGAAATAAATTGAAATCCGATTTTAATGTGACATACTCGATACAAAGCCGAGCGAATTTTCTACATACATTGCAGGTATCAAATTTATACGACGTTATCCGTTGCGTATCTGAGTGACAAAATTTTACGACCTATATATCGACAATGCTTTAAAGTAAACTAAATCAAGCGAATTACTCATTACTTGTCGCTCGTTGCTTGCTACTTGCCATTCATCACCGAAAGAATTAGTGATGGGATATCCCGAGCGAAGATTCGCTCAAGTATTCGATTATTGAAATAACCGACATCGCTCGATTATGAACTAGCGATGCAATTGACGAGTTACGAGCGACGAACAAGGGATCGTAGAATGAAATAAATTGAAATCCAATTTTAATGTGACATATTCGATAAAAAGCCGAGCGAATTTTCTACAAATATTACAGGTAGCATATTTACACGACGTTATCCGTTGCGTATCTGAGTGACAAAATTTTACGACCTATATATCGAAAATGCTTTAAAATAAATTAAATCAAGCGAATTACTCATTACTTGTCGCTCGTTGCTTGCTACTTGCCATTCATCACCGAAAGAATTAGTGATGGGATAACCCGAGCGAAGATTCGCTCAAGTACTCAATTATTGAAATAACTGACATCGCTCGAATATAAACGTGCGATGCAATTGACGAGTTACGAGCGACGAACAAGCGATCGTAGAATGAAATAAATTGAAATCCGATTTTAATGTGACATATTCGATAAAAAGCCGAGCGAATTTTCTACAAATATTGCAGGTAGCAAATTTACACGACGTTATCCGTTGCGTATCTGAGTGACAATTTTCTTCCCCTAGGAGATGCAAGACCTTGTCGTTGGTGGGGAAGCTCCTGGTCAGGTGCTGAGGGGAATCACCTCTAGCACTTGGCTTGGTCTAAGAAGCATCTCACTCATTGTCTTGTCTCTGGCTGTAGTGGCCAGGGAATTGCACCAAGACATTTAAACCAGGCACCTTCTACTGTCTGTGGTCAAGTCTCGCGGGTAGAGGGTGTGGGGAGGTCTTGGCTTAACCGCCTGGACCAAGAGGAGACAACCTCACCAAAAACCTAAATCCTACGATGGCGGGGCCAGGTCAAAGGGATGCGTGGCTAGATAGAGGACTAGCCATTACTGGTCTCAACCTTGGGGCATCAGGGGGCACCCCATTGTATTTACCCCTTACTTCTACATGCGGGGCTCTGTAGAAGTGGACTGACTATCCCTAGCGACTCGTGGGAACACTATGAGATCTAGTAATAACAATAATAAAAACACCACCGGAGAAGCTGTGGGGAAACCCCCTAGCGACACTGGGAACAGGAACAATGAAAATTCCAAGGGGCCAAACCCCCCAAAGAGAACTACTGGAGAGGTAGCTGACACTTGCGCGGGACCATCCTGCGCTAGTGGCACTCAAGCTACCACCTCCTTTAGCAAGGGTCGGGAGCTTACCTCTAAACCCAACAGGCGATACAGACTACCGTTTCGTCTACCTGGCCTGGGTCAACCAGGCGGGTTGGACGATCCGCTGAGAGTGGGTCTTAGCGGAGCAGAAGCACGGAGATACCTCCGACTGCTCCACGCAGGACTTGCTCCAGAGGAAGCAAAAAGAGAAAGTACTCTCCAAAAGGGGAGGGTAAAGGAACCAAGAAACAGGCTGGCGCATCTCCACCAAAGGGCAAAAGAGGGAGCGAAAACCTTTCACCTCTGCTCCGGCAAGAAGAGAAAAAACCAGGATGGAAAGACATCTAACACCGAGAGGCAAGCAGGGACATATCACCAGCTTTGCCTCTATTGCTGGACAAGTGAAAATGGCGGTGCTACCAAAGGATTACCCAGAGGTTGTACTGACCACCGATCAGAAAACGGCTCTAGAAGAGGCGATACTGGACGAAGTAGTGGCGATTGGAGAGCAACACAACGACCGACAAAATGTGGGTCAAATGCGATTTGCGGGGATTCACTTTCGGGTGGGCATGCTCCTCATAGACTGTGTATCTCCAGAATCGGCGGATTGGCTGATAGAAACGGCACCTAAACTTAAGAATTGGCAGGGGCCGGGACTGGTTGCTCTGAAGGGAGAAAACATCCCTAAGGAGGCGACCATCACGGTCTTTTTGCCGAGGAGCAAAGGGAAAGACACCACCTACCTGCTGAACCTTTATCCAGGGTCAGAACTCCGATGTAAGGACGTCGTGTTGGCGAATCATCAACTCGAGGGGAGGAGAGGCCACGGCCAAGTCCTCACAATAGGAATTGACCTCAAATCCAAGGAGGCAATAGAGAAAGAGGGATACATTCTTTATTATAGATTCGGGACAACACCGGTATCCAGGTCTAAGAAGAGACCAAGCTAAACAGGTAGAGAAAATGGAGACAGATCCTCCAGCCTCTACCTCACAGGTACACCTCAGCCGGAGACAAGCTCCTCGACTGTGAAGGGCACGGAGGGCCAAACCCCAACCGTGGAAGGGTGTATATCCTCGGAGAAGGTTGATGCGCCACTTCTCGGAGGAGGAACTTCCGTTGTCAGAGGAGGATGAGGGAAATACCCTATCCTCTCTACAACGGGAGAATCCTCACACACCCCAGTAACCTAAACCAGGTCCAAAGTCCTACTCCAGCCCCTCTTCCCACCCCGAACTTATCCTATACTAAAAACGCTGAGAAAGTAGTTGACAACCATATTGGAGAAAATCATCTAAAGGTTAAACCACTGCATGATAGTCAGCATGCATATAGAACGGGCAGATCCACAGAAACTGCTCTGTACCAATTAACGGAGCTAATACAGACAAGTCTGGATAGCAAAGAAACAGCAATTTGTGCCTTCTTGGATATTGCGGGGGCGTTTGACAATATACCACATAAGGTGGTCAGGCGATCTCTAGAAACAAGAGGGGTGAACAGAACTATTATTCGCTGGTTTTGGGAAATGCTGTCAACACGAACAGCAGAGGCTCAGATGGGCACCAAAACTGTAGCTGTTAAAACAACGCAAGGAACTCCACAAGGTGGAGTAACCTCCCCTTTGCTGTGGAGCTTGGTGGTGGATGAACTACTAGATGAATTAACTCTAGCGGGAATACACTGCATTGGGTATGCAGATGACATAGTCATGATCGCTCGGGGGAAACATGAAGGCACCTTGTGTGATATTATCCAAAGAGGACTCCGTATCACTGAGAGATGGTGTAGGACTGTCGGGCTGAGTATCAACTCAGACAAAACCGCGATAGTGCCATTCACCAGAAGGCGAAGTCTGAAAAACTTGAAAAGAATCCAACTAGATGGAAAGGAAATACTGCCAACACAGGAAGTTAAATACCTGGGAATAACCCTGGACAGTAAACTCCTGTGGAACAGGCATATTAAGAACACTACCAGCAAAGCCATAAAGGCTCTCATGATATGCAGAAGACTGGCCGGAAATAGATGGGGCTGCTCCCCTAACATTTTGCGCTGGATGTATACCATGATAGTAAGACCCATGATTACTTATGGAGCAGTTGCCTGGTACACAAAACTAGAGCAACGGACGGCAAGGCTAAACTTGTGCAAAGTCCAGAGACTAGCATGCGTTTGTATCACAGGAGCCATGAAAACCTGTCCAACAGCAGCAATGGAGGTCATTCTAGATCTAACACCACTGCACATTGTCATTGGTAGAGATGCCCATGCGACAATGATTAGAATGGTCACTAACGGAATTAGAACTGGGAGAATTGTCAGATCAGGGGCTTGGAACACCCTCAAAAAGGAAATACCACTCCTGAAACTCCCAGTGGACGAATGCCAAGAACGTACAACTTTGAGAAACATCTCAATGTAGTATTGATCAATAAAAAGGATTGGAAGAGCGAAACGCTTGCCCAGCAGTTAAAAGACCATAACTTGGTATACTGATGCTTCCAAAACCAATACGGGAACAGGGATCGGAGTGTTTGGGCCGAGAGCTAAATACTCCGAACCAATGGGCACTTACCCTAGTATCCTACAGGCTATAATCTACGCTATCGAAAGATGCGTACAACTTATCTTTGATAGGAACTATCGGAAACAAGAAATAGCCATCTTGTCTGATAGTCAAGCAGCGTTAAAAGCGATCAACTCAGTATCAATCAATTCGAAATTGGTCAAACAATGCATAGAGAAGCTGAATAAATTAGGCAAAGAAAACAAAGTCCTCCTACTCTGGGTGCCTGCTCACCAAGGGATAGAAGGCAATGAAAAAGCAAATAATCTAGCTAGGAAAGGAGCGAACACTCCACTAACTGGACCAGAACCGTTCTGCTTTCCAAGTGGTAACCAACTCAAGGCGGAACTCAAGAACTTGGAAGATTCCATCCGCAACCTGGAATGGAAATTTTGCAACGGTCTAAGACACTCGAAGAAGTTTCTGAGGGCTTATGATCAAGAAAAATCACAGATCTTCCTGGGTTTAAGTAAGAACAATCTTCGGATTGTCACGGGGTTTTAACAGGACACTGTCTCCTCAATGAACACCTCAGTAGATTGAAACTAAGAAGAAACGGCGAATGCAGATTCTGTGGGGAAGATGGGGAAACACCAGTACACCTCATCACTGAGTGCGCCGAGACGACAACCATTCGTGCCATGAATTTTGGTACGACTGATATTGGAGATGGAGAACTACCCTCTATAAAACCGTCCCAGATACTCGCTTTTGTCAAAGCCCTGGGACTGTATGATGAGTTATGACTCAAGAAAGGGGGACACAATGGATCTGTAAGGTCGCAGTGATTAACCCCCCTCCCACTCATTCTAAATTCTAAAAATTCTAAAAGACAAAATTTTACGACCTATATATCGACAATGCTTTAAAATAAACTAAATCAAGCGAATTACTCATTACTTGTCGCTCGTCGCTTGCTAATTGCCATTCATCACCGAACGAATTAGTGATGGTATAACCCAAGCGAAAATTCGCTCAAGTACTCGATTATTGAAATATCCGACATCGCTCGATTATGAACGAGCGATGCAAGTGACGAGTTACGAGCGACGAACAAGCGATCCTAGAATGAAATAAATTGAAATCCGATTTTAATTTGACATACTCGATAAAAAGTATTGCAGGTAGGAAATTTATACGACGTTATCTGTTGCGTATCTGAGTGGCAAAATTTTACAACCTACTTGTCGATATAGGTTGTAATGCTTTGAAATAAACTAAATCAAGCGAATCACTTGTCGCTTGCTACTTGCCATTCATCACCGAAAGAATATGTGCTCTGGGCGCTTACTACGCAACTTACTGCTTGGCGTTACGAGTACAACAAGTAACAAGAGACGGGCAAAAACCGTATTTTTCAATACGAGCGATATTTCGCTCGAGCGATCGCTCGATTATTGAAATCGCTTGAAACTTTAGTACTCGATTATTGAAATTAATCGGTTTTTCCCATCACTAGAAAGAGTATGTGCTCTGCGCACGCAACTTGCTGCTTGGCGTTGCGAGTTGCGTGTACAACAAGCGACGGGCGAAAACCCGTACTTTTAAATACGAGTGAAAATTCGCTCGAGCGATCGCTCGATTATTGAAATCGCTTGAAACTTGAGTACTCGATTACTGAAATTATTCGGTTTTTCCCATTACAACATTTATTGCGGTTTGACTATCGGATAAGATGCCTATTTCTTATTTCCGATAGATCCTATCTAAGATAAGTTTTACGCATCTTTGATAGCGTAGATTTGTGTCTGAAGGATGCTGGGGTAGGTACCCAATAGTTCTGAGTATTTAGTTTTCAGCGTAAATACTCCTATCCCTGTCCCTGATTTCGTTTTTGAATGTAGTTCTAATTACCTAGCCGCGATAGCTAGGGAGTCTTCAGTAAAATGTGATGAAAATGTAGCAACAATATTTAAATTATTAAATGTAATGCTGCATAACTTACCTTTATGATTCTTTAAGTATGAAATGGTCGATTTTAAAACAGTGGATTTGTCCATTTTTCTCTCATTCGCCGAAACTATACAGCTCAGTTCTTTTACTAAAACATTAAATTGGTCTCTTCTTTTTTTTTCGCTTAAATTCCGAGATTTCCTAAAATAATTCATAATTTATATGAAATATGTTTGCATTACTAGTAACAATGCTATTAACAAACTAATAAGCATTTAAATATTAGTTAAATTGCTGTTCTATTAACATATTCTGATCGCTGTTCTGTAAAATAAAAGTTTATTCCAAAATTTGTGTTTTTTTTAAATACATCTTTCTGAGACTGAATCATAACTCGCGTCGTCCAGTTCGGGTTCTTTTTCACATAATTTTTACTACTCGAAACAGCGTTATAGCACACAAACTTCGTATCTGAGAGTTTTATTATAATTTCAATAACTGCACTAGTAAAAACCGAAACACTTAAATATTATGACCTTGATCCACAATCTCAATATTATTTCAATGCAATCAACATGAACGATAACAGGGCCGGTGTGAAATAAAATTAGTTGGGCAGTTCTGATTTCTGCCGTATCGAGCACTACTGTCGGAAATTTTAAAAATCGGTTGAAATACCCCAACATTACATGTGTTACATGAAGCACAAACTCAATAAAAAAAATAAAATAAACTCAACTCTAATCAAACTTTTTTTCTATCTTTCTGCAAAATTAATTGTAGTTATTGACTACCAAATATTTATTAGTTCAATATTTGTATTAATTTTTAAATTAGAAGTATATGTACCTTTTTGTGTCCCTTTCATCTGAATCATCGTCCATTGTATCACTAAAGAAAAATTGTATTAGATAACTCTAACACTATTTAAAATGTTGTTGTTATAGGTTACTATTAACACTATTAATACACACTAAAATTCCAATGGTCTCTTCCCAGTGTCATAGATAAACTCCTCATCATATTGTTAGATTCTATTTTAAATATATGAATTTGGCGCTCTTTTTAATTATTTGGTTGCTCACGCATGTGCGCCTAAAAGGCGGGACGCGAACGACAGTGAAGGAATAGCGTCGCCGCGGCAGTCACTGCTTGACATTAACCGGGAATTCAAAAGAATTTAACAATATAGAACTTTTTTAATTTATTGGCTCAGGTGAAATTTGACTTGGACAAAGCAGAAACTTGACTTGTTTCTGCTTTGATTTATATTAAAAATCACGCCCAGACGAAAATTTCGCCTGCTGCTCTTGGGTTATTGATCAAATTTGACATTTAAAGTAATAAATGGCTAAAAAATGTTTTTTTTGCCGAATTTGGAAAAATGTTGTCTCATTTTTTTTTAACAATTTTTTTTGTCATTTTTAATGTAGGTACCCCTGTACAAATATGAATTTCATGATGCCATCTCGATAAATGAGAATGAGTTATTCATATTTTTCGCATCTCTTTAGCCTATGTTTTACAACTAAGTTTATTTTTCTTTAAAAAAAGTATTAATTATTGATAACATTTAATAATTATATTTAACACATTTAATAAATACCGTATGATCGAATAAAAACGGCGTCAGCGATGGCTATGAAATGAAGATCCCTGTCATTTTATATGTAAAATTATATGGGAAATGTCATCGATCGTCATTTCCAAGCCAACTGGACGCCATTTTTTTCGATCATACGGTATAATTATTGATTACAACTAAATAGATCACTAGATACATACCGTATGATCGAAAAAAACGGCGTCCAGTTAGCTTGGAAATGACGATCAATGACATTTTCCATATAATTTTACATATAAAATGACAGCGATCTTCATTTCATAGCCATCGCTGCGCCGTTTTTATTCGAGCATACGGTATTAATACTACGGGAACCTGCTTTAAAAATTACGAATTTTTATTTTTCATTTATATATGGCTGAAAACCGGTGTACTTTAACAAAATTAAAAAAAAAACTCTCTCAAATATATTTTTTTTTCAAAATTCGGCCAATAAAACCGTTTTTTGGCCACTAATTTTTCTAAATGTCAAATTTGGCAAATCAATAAATCCAATATGATGCGGACTTTATCTGTGACACTGTATATACGGAATATGCTATTGGTGACACTGTATATATACAGGGTGAGTCTTAAATAAGTGCATATATTTTAGAGGTGGTCTATTTCGACCCCAGAAACACGGGGCTATGATGTTTTATTTGAGAAAAAAAATATTGAAAATTCGGTGTTTTTCTTAAATTTTTAGTTAAAAAAACATGACATCTTCTTTATTATGGCAACATATCATGTATATAGGTAATAAATTAAATTTACAAAAAAGAAAACCCAGAAAAAAATCCAGTGGTTCTGAAAATATGAGCAAAAATCATTTTTTTTTTATTTTTCAGAGTAAAATTATTAACTCGTTTATTTTGGACTTATTTGAAAAACCACAAAGAAAAAATATGTTTAATCATTTTTTTTTTCAGAGTAAAATATTAACTCGTTTAGTGTGGACTTATTTGGAAAAAGACAAAGAAAAAAATGTTTCTTTTGTCGAGATATATATACCAGCCCCTGAAAATATTTGCACTTATTTAAGACTCGCCCTGTAATATATGGAATATTTTGATTGATTTAATAATTAATTAACAAATAAAATAAAATGATTTAGAATCTAATAATATATTAACCATACTTACTCAGAGAAAGTGTAAAATTTATATTTTTTATAAGATACGTTCATTCTGTTTATTCCTTAAAGTATATATCTATAACACCATCACGCAAAATAACACTATAATTTCTTCATACAAAAATATATAAATATAAATAATTAAATCATAGATAAAAAACCTTAAATAAAATGATCAAATCTGGAGAAGCTGATCTAATACTAAATTAAATACAATATCTATAGCTATATTTACGCCACACGATTTAGCCAGGAGACATTTTATCGATTGCTTTGTGTCGATGTTCTATTGAAACCGTAACATTAGATTTTAAAATGCTATTTAATATGGAAATTTTGAAAATAATTGATATATAACATTTTTGTACGAAAGGGTTGAATCTTAATATCTATTATAAATTATACATATATTAAACTAGCTGTTGCCCGCGACTTTATCTGCATAAAATTGGAATATCTGGCATATTGCATATAGTTGTTTAAGTTGGAATTGGAATCTCTGGCATATTGCATAAAGTTGCTTATCAAGGGTACTATCTTTTTCCCGCGACTTCGTCTGCGTAAAATTCGAATTTCTTCATTCAACATTCCCTTTATAGCTGGGACTAACGACAAAATAGGCATTTCGAGTTTCACATATTGTAAATTTAAAAAATGAACAAAAAGTATATTTAATATTAAATTGGGGGTCTGGTAAACATTAAGTACCTCAGAATTTCGCAATTTTTATTTTTTTAGTCGAATGCTCTATTGCTATAGAACAGTTTAAAAGAAAAAAATCCTTGGATGAAGCACTTTTGAACCAAAAAAATGAATTTAAAAGTGTCTAAAATGCTAACCAATCTATCACAGTAAATTATTAAAATATAAAAACCAAACCGCAACGGCCCAGCTACGTCGAAACACCGGTTCCCATTAGAACACCGAAGTTAAGCGACGTAAGGCGATGCTAGTGGATGACGGGTGACCGGTTCGAAACTTTGCATCGTGCTGTTGTCCAAAAGGGAAAAGCGTAAAATCTATTGATACACACTGCTCATTCACGCCGGTTCAAGGCCGGATGAGATCGGATATCTCATGAGTAAGAGTTAATTTAGACACTTCCTAAGTCGGTAGGCCATTGACCATGATATGGCCGAGGACCGCGGTTCGGATTCCGCGTAAACAAGTAGGTCCCGTCCAGTTTAGCCATTGCAGCAGAAAGGAGACGTTAACTTGAACCTCACAGAAAAACCAAACCACCCTCCACAAAGTAAAGCTAATCAAAGCAACTCAAATCCTAACCAATCTAATAATATTTTTGCAAAATCACAGTTAATTATTAAAATATAAAAACCACAGCTTAACACCCTCCACAAAGAAAAGCTAACCAAAGCCACCCAAATGCTCAAAAAAAACTGTATGATCCAACAAATTTTTTGTCTTAATATGCTCTATTTACAGTAATCTTTCTAAGAAAACAAAGAAAAATGTGAAATTCCGAGGTACCTAAAGTTTACTAGAACCGAAAATAGTACCCTATAGTACCTAATCAAGCATCTGTTCTCACGTGTCTCCTGTATGGGTTGTTCACACAAGTACCAATATTCAGCATGTAAAGCTGTGATCTAAAGGGCGGTTTACACGCTACGAGAAATGCTAGCAATTAATCGTAACGATCGAATTGTTTCGATTTATCGTTAGGTATAAACAGGACATTGTAGCGATTTATTGGAATTGGAGTTGGATTGGATGATTGTTCCAGCAGATGTACTGTACATCTGCTACATCTGCTACATCTGAATTTTGAAAGGAGTAATTACAGTACATCTGCTGAATCTGTGTCTATGAAAGGAATGCGGACAAAAAACATTTAAATAAACAGCAATATGTTTTATACGTCGATTTGACGAGTGCGTCACCGCAAATCGCTCCGCCCACTCACTTTATTGGCTACTTGCAAATTTGTCAAATTTTTATTTATGGGACGCGTCGTCTAATTTTTTACGAAAAACATCGAGAAAATATCGCTTCCCCTCTCACGGATACCCCGGAGCTACAGAACGGACAGACGTACTGTAGCAAATTTTTAAGCAAAAGTTTTTCCCGCATTCAACCTCTTTTTTTGTCTCAAATGTACCTAATGAATTATCATATAGATTCCTGTTTTTCTCAATGCAGAAAAAAATTTCATTATTTTTCAGGCAGAGAAAAATAGTTATTTTTGTATCTAGTGCGCGAAGTGCTACTTTGGTGAGTGATACTTGAATTTTTTAACGAGGCGTAGCCGAGTTGAAAAATTAGTCGAGATCACCAAAGTAGTTCGCGCACGAGTTGCAAACAACATTTTTTCTACAAACGTTAAAATCGGGATATCCCTAAAAATGATTATTATTATATTATTGCTTAATTTCGAATGAACATGTCACTGTAACTATGGAAATAAATTGGAAACAATAATAATACAGTACGTCTGTCCGTTCTGTAGCTACGGGGTATCCGTGAGAGGGGAAACGATATTCTGTCGATGTTTTTCGTAAAAAATTAGACGACGCGTCCCATCAATAAAACTTCGACAAATTTGCAAGTAGCCAATAAAATGAGTGGGCGGAGCGATTTGCGGTGACGTACTCATCAAGTCGACGTATAAAATATATTGCTGTTTATTTAAATGTTTTTGTCCGCATTCCTTTCATAGACACAGATTCAGCAGATGTACTGTAATTACTCCTTTCAAAATTATACATTAGTGCTCGCTCTGGTGCTCGCGCTTTTAATAATTTTCTGATGATGGACATTTCAAGTAAGTGATGATGAACTTAAGCAATACCCCGCCTAATATATAATAGATAGCGAACTCGGCAATTTCGAGTTTATTGCCAGAAAAGTCCAAACGTCAGTATTCTGGTATTTATTATATGGTCAGTATGAGAAGACGTATGAACAATTCAAGACTGGTCTACAGCGAATGGGGCTAATAATATATCTGAAAACCTGCTATTGGCGTATTTTGCTGAGAAATCCAAAAAGGTGAAGTCTTCGATGTTGTGGGCCGTATATTACCTAAAAAAAACCATATAATTTACGTGCAGTGTGCGAAATAGGCATTTCGCGCATTACTTCGCGCACCGTGTCATGGTAACGTAGGAAAATGAAAAAAAGCGTCACTTCGCTAGACTTCGCTATCAATTCGCGAACCTTGTAATTTTTTGACGTTTGTAGAAAAAATATTTTTTATAATTTTTGTGCTTCTGAAACCAGCTGTATTGTTATACTATTTCGTCCCATTGCTGCCAAAAGTCACTAACTTACTTTTTATTACTTCCGAGAAAAACGCGTCTAAAGATGAATTGCATTGCATAAAAATGTTATAGTTAGTAACTATTCGGTATTAAAATACAACATAAATAGCCAGAAATCGTAGTTAATGACTTTTTCAATCGATTCTCCGCTTCAAAATACAGTTAGTGATTGAATTTTCAGGTTCGGAAAAATGTTAGTTAGTGACTTTTGGCAGCAATAGGACGATTTGTATCATGGTAAGTACAGTAGTGGCGTATCTAGAGATTGACTCTGGGAGGAGTAGTGGTAATATTTAATTAAAGTATAGTAAGTTTAAATTAAATTTGCTCAAAGGTATCGTGATTATGGAAAAAATGGATTTGTCTGGCTTCTCTATTTTGGTTGGTATTATTAATTTAATAATAGGTACTAACAAAAAACAAAAATAGTAACCGGTCCAAATATTTTATCTTATTTATAGATTTCTTGCAGGGAGGGGTAATTGCCGCAGTCAAACGCAGCCAAACGCAGCTACTACAAAATTATAGATAAAAAAATAAAAATTAGTTATTTGAGGAATAGTTACTATACTCTGTTTTTTTTCTCAGGTAAGATTTCGACAGACGATGACAGAAGAAAAGCAGATGACGTCCCATACCAATCTATTTATTTTACTAAAAAAAGTTTCTAATAATTTTTAAGTTATCTATGGATGGGTTTAAATATAAATCCGTCATGCGTCGTGTTTTGCTGTTTTTAACCAGTTTTATTGGTTTATTTAAAAAATGACAGATCGTATTTCAATTTTATTGGTTTGACGCGGTTTGACGGAACGATGAACGACAAACGAACGCCGATGCGTATGAACTCGCCTTTAGATTTTTGTCATTTTTTACGCTTGTCAAAGTCTTGCCAAATTATAGATTATAATTTTGTGTCAACTTTTGTTAAATACCCTGCGTTTTGGAAGATGATGCATTTTGATTCGTATTATTACGTGTTTTTTTGTCTTTTGAAGTCAAGTGGAGGAAAAATCCAGTGAAAATTAACTGTAGACCCAGAGCACAGTTTATGGTTAATACACGCTGCCCAGGCAGAAAGTCTTATACACCAATGAAGTTGCCATCGATAAAGTTTGTATACCATTTCGTCGTAGATAAGTGCATCTCGTGTATAAGGATCAAACTAAACGCATACTAAAAACTGGAGTAGCTATAAAATATCGACATCACACGATAGGTAAATAATGGATTTTAGTACTGCAGAAAAATAATGTCAAAAGGTACTGGTTTAAAAAAATTAAGATTAAAGTTAATTAATCAACCTGTGAGGTATAAAATTTGGTAAGTGTTATTATTAAAATAGTTTGTTTTATTTATGTTGTTTTATTTATTCCTGCGGAATATTACAAATTTGTATTTGTGCATAAGTTATATTGATAAATATAACCATAAATGCGGGAAGTTTCATAAAGCTTGAAAGTAAGAACTAGTTCTTTTTTATATTTTTTGGTATGTGGTGTCTTGTTTTTGTTTGTTTTGTATTAACACATACCGTTTTTCATTAAATAAAATAATTCGATTACAGTTTTTTAGTTTTATACAGTTTTTTTCACAATATTTTGAAGTTACTTGTCAGTCAAATTTTAAATACATATATTAATTTCCTGCTATGCGTTCCAGTTGTACCAACTTATTTCTTTGTAAAATAAAATAAACTACTTTGAAATTAAAATTACAGTCACATCTATCACTGTCAAGGATCTTCTCGTTGGACAGACTATAGAATTTTTATAGAACATTATAAGGGTAATTAGGAATTACGAGGCATAAGTTTACTACAGCGTGACGGACCTATGATGGCGGCGACACGGGCGACATACATTTAGTGGATTAATTAGCTCAAGGCAAATTTTAATCATTACCTGCCCATACACAGAAATCTTGAGGCCGAGCCTTTCACCCAAAATACATAACGGAAATATGTTAGCGGACTTTGTCTTTCTCGGTATTTATCCACAGTATTTATCCTTCTTTCATTATTGGAAGTTCTCCTTACTCCGGTCCTGTCCAATTAGTCTCCTTTTACCCCGCCCCCTGGATGTAGAATAATAAAAAAAAATTGGAAGGAGCCAAGGAGCATATCGTATATCAAAAATCTTAGATCGACCCATAGACAACCTAGAATCACACCTAGAATGCTCGACTTTAATGTAATTCTATGGTTCGACTTAAAAAGTACCACAGATGCACATTTTCAATTGAATATGCACAATTTTAAGGTTGCCCGATGCACAGTCGAAAATTTTTAAGGAACAACCCTGCTGTCATCCTGCTGCAAAGCTTATCTATGGTGAATGCTTCTCATTTTCTTTTCGTGACGTCTTTATATTTATTTCCTTCTATGTTTATTTCTTTGCATTTATTATTTTATGGTTATCCTGATCTTGTTTTAATAAATATTTATTGTTCTAGACATTCACAGTTTAATCGAGTACCAAGAATCAAACTGTGGGTACTAAAGTATGTTTCAAATTTGTTTAAGTGAATGTATTTATAAAAGAGTGGTTTTAGTATTTGATTTTATAATCTTTTTGCTCATTGTGAAGGGTCTGTAAATCCGTTCTGGGTAATACCCCGTTCTGTTCATAGGTTCTGCGTATGTATGTAATGTATGTAGGAATATTATTATTTATGCATATTTATAGGTTTTCAATATTTGTCGTTTTCGTTTTTAGTGTTTGCCTTCCTGTCATAGTCCTGTATATTCTGGATACCAAAATTTAGTAAAGAATGTATTAAGTTATTGGATATAGGTATGAATAAATAAATGGTTGCAATAAGCCTAAATATAAACATTTCTACATATTTTTGAAACTGTTAAATTGTTGACAAAGGCGAAAAAGAAATCTTAACTTAATGCTTCATTTACACTATCCGGTTAGTAATTTTTTTTTTGGTTTATGAAAAGGGGATTTAGACCCTTAGATAATTTGCGCAAACTGCCAAATTGTAGGCAATAGGTCTTAAGACATAAAATATTATTAATTTGTGCAGTTCAAAAATATGGCTTCTGTTAAATTTGTTTTAGATAATTTTGAGGTCAAACTTTATTTTATTTATTGAATTTGTCTTTTACATGCTGGGTGAGTTTTTTAAGATAGATATAATATATGTTTATATAATACTGGTTTCAGAAATATTGATTTAGTTTAATGAGAAATAATTTTAAATGAATTGATTGAACTGTACAGATCATTTCCATATAAGCTCAAGAGTTTACGTTTGACAAATTACAGGATTGATGTCAATGGAAAAAGAGATGTTTGCATAAAAAAAATTGCATACAGCTTGTAGAAAATTCCATTAAGAGAAAACGTTGCCAAAAAAACAACGTTGCCAAAAAAACAACAAGTTATCTTTATTTTAATTGTGGAAACTAAAAATGTAATAATATACAGAGGTTCCATTTAAAGAATGTGACTTTGGTACTTTTTATTTATTTGGAACACTCTATACCTGTTGAAAATAATTTAAATTGTAGCTCTAGTAGTCCTCCAACAATTCAATTCCATAACCAATGTGTCGAATAGCATGAACACCCTGTATACATTTATTCTTTTTTGTTTTAGGTAATAACGGAAGCAACATATTTTCTATCATATTGGAAATAAAGGTTTTGGTGCTAGTACAATACCAATAATTAATACAGAATGAAATATTTGTGCCACCCTTGTGTATGAAGATAACTACCCCTAAAGTTTAGATTTAGTGGTTTGTTGTTTCGACTATATATTTTTAAATTTAATCTAAATTAAGAAAAATGGTGGGGCCTTCTTCACAAATTAGCAAATTTCTTTTATTACTTCTTATGTTGATTCTAATTTATTATACAATGATGGATTTTTATTTGTATATCCGCATAAAAAACTATCCTATTAATAGAATAGCCCAAAGAGAAAACATGACTGATGTGAAATACAGTGATGTTACATGGATAAATTGTAATATAAACCCCCTTTGCGAAGTTACAGTCAAAGCTCTTCTGCTAGATCATACAAATTATTATTTATTTGCACCACTGGTAACTATAGCTGATAATGGTTTAAATATTTCTTCTATCAGCTTTATAACTCCAAATGCTATTAGTTATTTTCATGTATTAATAGCTGTAATCAGTGCAAAATGTGTGTCTAGCGACAATTTGCCATATAGACGAATAGGTGTTGTACTTTTTGAGCTGCGTACATGGTTAGATGACCTAGATGGACATGTCGCTCGTGTGCGGAAGCACATAAAAGGCGAACATTCAGAAATAGGTACCGCTGGATATTATATTGATGGTATATGTGATGCTATAGGGTGTACAGCTCTTATACTAGGAATATTAATATTCTTTAAAAATAACCCACCTCGTAGAGGGTACATGCAATTACCTACTTCTAACGAAACCAAAGAGAATACATACTGTACTAAAGTTGCTATGAAGAAAGTTTATAAAAAACTTGGTTGTTTTACCTTACAGTTAATTATAAGTTCTACAGCTTGGAATCGGTATATTGCTCTCTATCAAGATTTGTTAGAAAGAGATAATGTAAATGACGTTGAATTTACTAAACAAAAGATTGTAATAACTAGTTCATTTTTTTATACGGTTTGTTGGTTATGGCGGATAGTAAATATTCACAATATGCTGCACTGTCTACTTTTAGCAATTTTTTGTGATAAGTTATGGGAGTTCTTATGTTATGTACAATATATTGGTTATGGATTGTTATTTTCCTTAGTATGTATTACAGAAGTTCACTTTATTGATGCTAAAAGCTATATTTTTAATAGATTAACTGATGTTGAAGAAGGAATGTTGAAAATTCAGTAATTTCAAAAATATGGTGTTATAGTAAATTTAACTGTGTTAAAACTACTATGTACTTTGTGTCACTACTAAATACTCGATCATATATCAGTCTAACTGTTATTACTTTAACTACATATTGGATTCAAACAATTATTGTAGAGATTGTTCTGGGCACATATACTCAAAGTGGTTTGCTATGACCTTATTTAAAGTGGCATTATTTAAAGCATCGTGCTGGGCCACTCTACTTAGATAAATACATTTTTTTATTTAGATTAATAAAGGGATCCTATCAACTGAAGATCGAACACGGTTATTTGGGTCAGCAGCAAACACACTTGCCACTTAGCCATAACTGGCCAGTCAATCACATTTGTACCTTTTTAATTGCCTATCATTAACAAAGTTCAAAGGTAAGTCCTTGCTATCATTTTTTACAGTTCCACGAACAAATCATATTGGACGGTAGATTTTAGAATTTCAATGTAATTAAAAATATATATCGAAATATACGTGTATATATATATATAGTGGTATTGTCCTATAGTTGTCTAGATCTTAAAGCATCCTACAATCCCCAGTCCTCAGGGCTCTCTTCCTGAGTACGTAAGTCCAATGTATCCTCACTTCCCTTGTTTTTTATATTCTTAGTTTTCTTTTTTTGCTTTGTAAAATACACATTTTTGTATTGTTAAACGTAACGTAGTTTATGTTCACTGTTTCAGTTAATAATATAGAGTATAGAAAAGAAAGTGTGCTTATTTTGTAGTTAAATTGTCTACGCCAAATATTTACCTTTGAAAGGGTATAACGCGGGTACCGCTTAAATTCTTGTCCAGCCACCAAGTAAAATATTAAAGGATAGATATAGAATTTCAGTGCATTTCCCACATAAGTCTATACGGCCTACACACGTAACGATTTATCGTGCTGCGCGTTGTACTGCAGATCGTAAAGAAAATCGTACGGCTTGCAGTAGAGCCATTTTTTGCACACACGATGCAACACATTGTACTGCCGCAGTTCAGATTATTCACTTTTCGTCGAGAAGGGCTACCGTTATGGCAAGAATTTCAAAGAAGAAAGCTGCCGTGCTTGTAGCTGCGGTATTGCTGATAGATGAAGATGATGAACAAAAAGCGAAAATGGTGTAAAAAGTTGCTGGAGAGAAAGAAATATTCACATATGAGGTTGGTAAAAGTGCTGGAAAAAGAAGAATCTCTTAATTTTAAAAACTATTTATGAATGGATTCTGATGCGTTTACGTGTTTGATGGTTTTAGTTTGTAATAAAATTGCGGCGCTGCGGCAGGGAATACACTCCACAGGTTCAGACTTGCGTTCAAACCCCACCCCAGACCCGACCCGTTGATGCGATATTTTACGGAAGCTCCGTACTGCAAAAGATTTGACGACTACATACTGCAAACCATGCAATTTCCCTACACACGCTACGATTTATCGTTAATGCGGCAGTTTCGATGGATATCGTAACTGCATGCAGTACGATAGATCGTTACGTGTGTAGGCCGTTTATCCTTGGGTTGTAGGAAGTTTTCTGCGCTTGCTCGACCTGTGAGCTCTTTGGTTGGACAGTTCCAAATTATGTGTTTTATTTTATTGGAAATTTCGATTAAACACTTTCAAATCATTGACTAAAAGTTGGAAGCTTTTTGTTAAATATTCTGAAATAAATTAAGTTTAAGATTGTAACATTATGTGTATATATTTATAAATTCGGGTATTTAATCGTATCCAACACGTTCTATGCAACGCTTTTGGGTGTGTCCATTAAAAAAATCAATATGGCGTTGTATCTGTAAAACTTACGTTATGAAAAAAAATTAAGTAGAAAATCGGCATCCTTGCGTAAAATTACATTAATAGACCTTTTTACTAACTCTAAATAGAAAACACGGAAATTGTAAATTGAGTGAGACACTTAAAATTATGTTCCCTGTACATATTTAAAGTTTATACAAAATCAAGGTACAAACAAATTAAATATAATTTGCATTGTTGCATTATAAATAATCTTTTAAAAGTAATAGAGATTAAAACACAAGCAAAAATACATAATAGAAAGAAAAACATTAATGGCGCCTGCCTAAGTGAAAACCATGAGAAAACTAAAAATGTATAATACGTATTGCCTATATTTTAGGAACAAAAATGGATAACCCCTACTAGACGCCATTCGACCAATAGGAAAATAGCCTTTCAGCGCATATTGGCATTTGCGCCATGTTTAGATTAGTACTTCCATTTCTTAAACAAAGATGAACTTATGTCCTCAAACCATACAAACTCGATTTTCAGTTCTTCAATATTGAGACATAAATACTTTCACTGTTTATATACGGAGGCTGCGGTATACACTATGTATTATTATTATTTTTAAATTTTAATAATATTACTTTTAAATGTATTGGAAGAAAATGAAGTTACATCAGAGGCCATCTTGTAAAGTACATGGATATAAAGAACTATGTTGTTAAAAAACGTATTGCAGAAGTAAAGCTATTAACAAGAACCACATTATTCAATTATTTCTTATTATTGCCACCAAAAACTAACAGAACAACTCCTGTCTAAAGCTTTTACATGATGCCACCAGTTAATAGGCAGAAAAAGCATATCGCCAGGTTCTAAAAGACATTTGTACATTTTTGCATTCTTAAATTCTGGAAATTTAATAAAATCAGGTTTAAGAGGATCCACTTGGGCAGAGTTTGACAGCATGTTTCCTTGATAAGGATATAGATACTTTGAATCTTCTACTGAATATAAAATCACCTGTTTTGTGCCAAAGACCTATAAAAATACCTTATAAATACTTATGAGATTTACAGAAAATTTATTACTTGAGCCAAAATATTGTTCTTGGGATCTTGATGCAAAGGTGATAGAGTTTCTTTTGGGCCTAACCATATATTAATATCTGGATCAGTTGCCTTCTCATAATTTAAACTACAACAACAATACTCCGGTATCTGTATATCGTCCTTAAGTTCAATAATCTGGAATACACACATCTACATTTTTTTATTTGAAAATTAGTAATATAGGCCAGTAAAATGAGGGCGCTCAATATTGAACTGGTATTATAGAAGAATAGGACTACATACTACTACAGTTCATACCAAATAAACTTTTAGCCACGTCATTAAGCTTGACCGGCACAGCCTTGCCCACTTAGTCAGTTAGTCAGCACGGCGCCGAATATATCCATGGTTAGCAACAATGAACTTAAAAATCGCAAGGTTAATCACGTGACTAAAAGTTTATTTGGTATGAACTGTATCTACTATGCCTTGTAGCTTGTAGTCCTATTCTCTTCTATAATACTACTTCATAACATATTTCATACAGAGTTGGAAATAATGGGAGGGTACCTCTGTTGAGGCACCGAAGAGCATATGGCAAGTTTTGGAATATTTTTATTCTTGGCATGTACATGACCAAATTTATAATTTCGCATACATGTTAAGCCCCAAACTTGATGCTCTGTAATTTAGTGGTATTATTTAAAGCATCTTGCTGGCCACTCTACTTAGATAAATACATTTTTTTATTTAGATTAATAAAAGGACCCTATCAACTGAACTGTTTGTCTATGGTATGAACTGTATCTGCTATCAGCCCAAAACTTGATGCTCTGTAAATTTAGTGGTATTATTTAAAGCATCTTGCTGGCCACTCTACTTAGATAAATACATTTTTTTATTTAGATTAGATTAATAAAAGGACCCTATCAACTGAACTGTTAGTCTATGGTATGAACTGTATCTACTATGCCTTGTAGCTTGTAGTCCTATTCTTCTATACTACTACATAATAACATATTTCATACAGAGTTGGAAATAATGGGAGGGTACTTCTCTTGAGGCAAAGAAGAGCATATGGCAAGTTTTGGAATATTTTTATTCTTGGCATGTACGTGACCAAATTTATAATTTCGCATACATGTTAAGCCCCAAACTTGATGCTCTGTAAATTTAGTGGTATTATTTAAAGCATCTTGCTGGCCACTCTACTTAGATAAATACATTTTTTTATTTAGATTAATAAAAGGACCCTATCAACTGAACTGTTTGTCTATGGTATGAACTGTATCTACTATGCCTTGTAGCTTGTAGTCCTGTTCTTCTATACTACTACATAATAACATATTTCATACAGAGTGGGAAATATTGGGGGTACCCTCTCTTGAGGCACCGAAGAGCATATGGCAAGTTTTGGAATATTTTTATTCTTGGCATGTACGTGACCAAATTTATAATTTCGCATACATGTTAAGCCTAAAACTTGATGCTCTGTAAATTTAGTGGTATTATTTAAAGCATCTTGCTGGCCACTCTACTTAGATAAATACATTTTTTTATTTAGATTAGATTAATAAAAGGACCCTATCAAATGAACTGTTAGTCTATGGTATGAACTGTATCTACTATGCCTTGTAGCTTGTAGTCCTATTCTTCTATACTACTACATAATAACATATTTCATACAGAGTTGGAAATAATGGGAGGGTATTTCTCTTGAGGCAAAGAAGAGCATATGGCAAGTTTTGGAATATTTTTATTCTTGGCATGTACGTGACAAATTTATAATTTCGCATACATGTTAAGCCCCAAACTTGATGCTCTGAAATTTAGTGGTATTATTTAAAGCATCTTGCTGGCCACTCTACTTAGATAAATACATTTTTTTATTTAGATTAACAAAAGGACCCTATCAACTGAACTGTTTGTCTATGGTATGAACTGTATCTACTATGCCTTGTAGCTTGTAGTCCTGTTCTTCTATACTACTACATAATAACATATTTCATACAGAGTGGGAAATATTGGGGGGTACCTCTCTTGAGGCACCGAAGAGCATATGGCAAGTTTTGGAATATTTTTATTCTTGGCATGTACGTGACCAAATTTATAATTTCGCATACATGTTAAGCCTAAAACTTGATGCTCTGTAAATTTAGTGGTATTATTTAAAGCATCTTGCTGGCCACTCTACTTAGATAAATACATTTTTTTTATTTAGATTAGATTAATAAAAGGACCCTATCAAATGAACTGTTAGTCTATGGTATGAACTGTATCTACTATGCCTTGTAGCTTGTAGTCCTATTCTTCTATACTACTACATAATAACATATTTCATACAGAGTTGGAAATAAAGGGAGGGTATTTCTCTTGAGGCAAAGAAGAGCATATGGCAAGTTTTGGAATATTTTTATTCTTGGCATGTACGTGACCAAATTTATAATTTCGCATACATGTTAAGCCCCAAACTTGATGCTCTGTAAATTTAGTGGTATTATTTAAAGCATCTTGCTGGCCACTCTACTTAGATAAATACATTTTTTTATTTAGATTAACAAAAGGACCCTATCAACTGAACTGTTTGTCTATGGTATGAACTGTATCTACTATGCCTTGTAGCTTGTAGTCCTGTTCTTCTATACTACTACATAATAACATATTTCATACAGAGTGGAAATATTGGGGGTACCTCTCTTGAGGCACCGAAGAGCATATGGCAAGTTTTGGAATATTTTTATTCTTGGCATGTACGTGACCAAATTTATAATTTCGCATACATGTTAAGCCCCAAACTTGATGCTCTGTAAATTTAGTGGTATTATTTAAAGCATCTTGCTGGCCACTCTACTTAGATAAATACATTTTTTTATTTAGATTAACAAAAGGACCCTATCAACTGAACTGTTTGTCTATGGTATGAACTGTATCTACTATGCCTTGTAGCTTGTAGTCCTGTTCTTCTATACTACTACATAATAACATATTTCATACAGAGTGGGAAATATTGGGGGTACCTCTCTTGAGGCAATCAAGAGCATATGGCAAGTTTTGGAATATTTTTATTCTTGGCATGTAATGCGTGACCAAATTTATAATTTCGCATACATGTTAAGCCTAAAACTTGATGCTCTGTAAATTTAGTGGTATTATTTAAAAGCATCTTGCTGGCCACTCTACTTAGATAAATACATTTTTTTATTTAGATTAGATTAATAAAAGGACCCTATCAACTGAACTGTTAGTCTATGGTATGAACTGTATCTACTATGCCTTGTAGCTTGTAGTCCTATTCTTCTATACTACTACATAATAACATATTTCATACAGAGTTGGAAATAATGGGAGGGTACTTCTCTTGAGGCAAAGAAGAGCATATGGCAAGTTTTGGAATATTTTTATTCTTGGCATGTACGTGACCAAATTTATAATTTCGCATACATGGTAAGCCCCAAACTTGATGCTCTGTAAATTTAGTGGTATTATTTAAAGCATCTTGTTGGCCACTCTACTTAGATAAATACATTTTTTTATTTAGATTAATAAAAGGACCCTATCAACTGAACTATTTGTCTATGGTATGAACTGTATCTACTATGCCTTGTAGTTTGTAGTCCTGTTCTTCTATACTACTACATAATAACATATTTCATACAGAGTGGAAAATATTGGGGGGTACCTCTCTTGAGGCACCGAAGAGCATATGGCAAGTTTTGGAATATTTTTATTCTTGGCATGTATGTGACCAAATTTATAATTTCGCATACATGTTAAGCTCAAAACTTGATGCTCTGTAAATTTAGTGGCATTATTTAAAGCATCTTGCTGGCCATTCTACTTAGATAAATACATTTTTTTATTTAGATTAATAAAAGGACCCTATCAACTGAACTGTTGCTCTGTAAATTTAGTTGTATTTTTTCTATTAGAACTCATTTACATAAAAATTAAATATTTGCTAAAACACAACGTTTCAGAACTATAGGCGAAAATCTGAAAAAAATGTTCCAATATTTTTGAACTATCTTTTGGACCTCCTGAGTTGCGCGGCGGTCGATAAAACTTCTATATCAACCTAGCCAAACAAACCAATCAAAATAATAAATAGTCTTCCAATGCTTTTTTTGAAATAATTTCTCTTAATTTGAATGGTCTAATACATCTCACCTGATCCAATAAATTGTGTTGAGCTAGATATCCAACTTCTCTATTTTCACTTAAAAGATAGTTTTCAATAAACTCTTTTATAGTCATTAATTTTTGTGACCAATTTTTATCTGTATAATGAGATCCAATTTCTATTGGCACAGTACGGGCACCAGCTAAATTAAGAAAGTACTGTATATTTGACCACTTCTTTAATGCACTCCAATGTTTTATACAACCTAAAATTATATAACATTACTAGATAACACAGTTAACTTCATACCACGTTATAGAGATGTGGTGTAAACTGTAAAGTCTTAAAATAAGGGTAAAAAAGGCATTTAACTTTTTAATATAAATGAACCTAGCTTAAAAAGAGTATTATTATCTATTAAATATAGTTTAACCATCGTGTTAAACATTTCATTGTGTTATCTTAATAAATTGCACTAAAAATGAACTCGTGTTGCTTTTAGATGACACCCAACTTTTAGATAACACAAAAAAAATATCAAATTGGGTAGGTCGTATTATGGCACCAGCCTAAAAGTCCCCAGATCTACTAGCCCACCGGGAATCTCCAGGTATCCCAGTGGGTTCATCCATACAGGAGAAAGAAAAGAATAATACCTTTTAATTTTACTGGAAGTTGTTGGTAGAAGTACTGATTAGCAAAAAATTCTAAAGATGGCATAAATTCCTCTTGAACTATGCATCCTTTGATTTTGTCAAACAATTCTTTTTCCATATCAATATTGATGTTGTTTTCATATATTTCTATACATGCTGAATTTTCTGGAAGTGGTTTTTCGTTTTCCTTACTATATAATGCAGACTGTAAAATCTGTGCACATTTTGCTAATAACTCATTATTTTCCTCTACAGGGGCGCCTAGTAGCAAACCCATATCAACAGTTTTTATTAAGTTTTTGAGTATTTCATTTGAAAACTTATCACATTTATGAACGATACATACTAATTTAAGATAAGTGGCAATTGTAAAATTCTTTCTAAGTGTTATTGGAACTTCACTCCAATGACCTAAAATATAAATTAATAAATAAAACACCTCTAGCAACTATTGATATTAACCTGTATTTAACTCGTCATTTAAATAATCCAATATACTGGTAATCGTAAATAGTGCCAAATTAGAAATTTTTTTATTGTAACTAGGTTTTTCTGAGCACAATTTAAAGTAATTAAAAAATGTAGAAAATACATGTCCATTAATAGATATTTTCTCGATTTCAAGTGATTTAGGAAATATGTTTATTAATTCTTTTATTAAATCACACATTATCACAATCACTATCACCAGATGATCACCATAATATATATAAATATAAAAATATAAAAGATTAACTCCATAAACCTAAAACTTGCTTAGAACTCTTGAAAACTATTTAAAACTAGAGGTGGGTTGTGAAATCGCAGTCCGCTACTTTGTCACAGCTCCACTAACGTCGCAGTATGTGACTGCTCCAGTTCCAAGAAAATCGCAGTGACATTTCGGAGCAGTTTACAAGTTTAGGACATCTGCGCTCGTGAGTAGCAATAGGAGCAATAGCAGGCAATAGTGTAAATTCTGAATTTATTATTAAATTAATTATAATTAATTGGTAATTTAATTTGTTAAATAGGGTATTTTGAGGCTACTCTATGATTTTGATGGATTTCCTGTGGATTTCTCGGAATATATCGTAAATCTATCCGTAACCGCGAAGGTTACTGCCAGGGTTCGGAAAACTACATGCTACTTTTAAAAACTACATAAACTACATTACATGTAGTTAATGTAGTTTATGTAGAGGGTGTAGTTTATGTAACCTATGTAGGTAACTTTCAAATATCAAAGGTTTGAGGTGAGGTTATAATAAGTTGCAGCTTTAAAAACACATAATGTATTTAAAAACAGAAAATATGGCTTTAAATATAATATTTACATCATATTATCTCTATTACACACACCTTACAAAGGAAAATTCATAATATTCATAAATAACATTAATTTAACTAATTAACATTATTAACGTAGTTTTGATGGATTAATAGGCGGAAAAGACATGGTTGAAAATTACACACGTAATTTAATCTGGGTAAAATTACGTCTTGATTAACTACTTCAAACCCTGGTTGCCAGACGTTATATAGGTTGCCAGCACGTACCACACACGTACGTGCATCCTGTCCGTTCTGTAGCTTCCCAGGGTATCCGTGAGGGAAACGATGTTTCTCTCGATGTCTTTCGTAAAAATTAGACGACGCGTCCATATTAAAATTCGACAAATTTGCAAGTAGCCAATAAGATAATTGGGCGGAGCGATTTGCGATGACGTACTCGTCAAGTCGACGTATAAAATATATTGCGCTTTCCATTTTATTTAAATGTTTTGTCCGTTTCCTTTCGCGAGCACAGATCCAGCAGATATGCTATGCAAACAATCGGCACGACAACTCTGCTCCAGATTCCATTGTTTAAAAAGTTCTGCAAAATTTGACGACGCTATCTCGTTTGAAGTCAGGGCCGGATTAAAACGTAGTAAAAAATTCTCAGAAAATAAATCATTGATAGACAGGGTCGTACATAAAAAATCGCTGTATTCAAGGTGAAGCCTGAATTTAATTACACAATACTTTTGTCCAAACAAAATGAATAAATTTAGCGCATACTTCTCGAAAAGTAAATAGAAAAACAATTAAATATTTCACTGAGAGAATGAGCAAATTAAAATTAAAAACATGCAACTAACAAAAAAACATGCCAGGAGTTACAAACCAAAAGAATTAAAAAAGAAATACCAATAAAATATTTTATTGAACAATATAAAGCTACACGTACAAATTATGCCCATCAATGGGCGTAGCAAATTTTATTAATATTATTTGCGGACCCATTGCCGTGTGAACTCGGCCTTGAAGCAGCCACTCGGCGCGACTCATATCGCCGCGACGTTCGAAGAACGCCGCTAAGAATTTTTGAGATATGTCTGGACTGTCTGTTTCTCTCATATATAAGCCGATGCCAGAGATATGGAAGTGGTTTGGTTTGGTTTGGTTTGGTTTGGTTTGTTGAAGATCCCTTCTATTTCTCTGGCCGATGCCCGAAACCTGGAAAGGGGCCAAGGAATAAATAACCGATCGAGCGCGTGCAATTACAATCGCCGCTAATTTAAAATAAAACTCTGTGAATAAATAATTAGATAAATTGTAAATGAGTTATAAATAGTTCTTTAAGTCTTTTAATCGTTATTGTTTTTGTTAATTAGTGTTAAATAAATTGTGTTTAAATAAATTGTGATTTTCTATCCACACGGAACCGACGAAAAACGTAACAATATTCAAATTTCACAAATTAACAAATCGACAATTTTTTTTTGAGAAACTTCTATTTTTTCATGGCAGGAAACAAAGTAGGTACCGTATTTTATCTGATTTCAGGGAAATGGTGTGTTTTTAAATTTAAAATTTACAGAACACAACTTCTGTACCTTCTGTGAGCCCCTTGTTATATCTTCAAATCAGTCTTCTCTAGGCTGCAGTACCATGTTCTTACCCTAAAATGTATTGTTAACTTATTTTCGATATACTCATTTTATTTACTTTTATAATTATATTTAAATTAATAATATAATGATTTTTAAATTTAATTTTTAATGTCTAGATACAACATTAAATTTTATCCAATTTTATTTAACATTAAATCTTACTAATATTAAAGATTGTTAAGATTTTTAATTAGATCTTCCTATTTAGCTGATTTTAGCTATGTCCTAATATGTATACTACTGTTTTTTTTTCACAACTAAAATATGTTAAAATAATTAATCATTAGGGAGTTTTCGTTGCTTACAAATTGCAATGCCGGTTAACGCTTGACACTTAACAACGCTTAACAATTGACAACTTTGACATTTCAATTTCGATTATCGTATATCGTAACCGCTAGCTGCCGATATTTTACGGACGTTAGCCAAAGCCGTTAACATAGCGGTACGCATGCGCACTAACGCAGTAGAAACACAACATTGAAAAATACAGATCTAACCTAACCTCATTCTATTTTGTTTATGTTTTGATTATTTATTTTATCTGTGTTAAACTCGTTGGGAATTCTTAGTGCTTCAACTAATCGAGGAATGTCTTTTTTTTCAAAGCGGAAGTTAGCTTTGCACTCTTGGTCAGATAATATTTCTAGGTTGAACTCCCCATAAAGTTCTGCTCGATATTCGATGTTGTTTTCAAACCCTTCCAACAGCATAGCATCCTCCAAATCCAATTCATCACTAGAGTCCAATAAAATTAAATTGTCCATCCTATATAGCGATACCCAATAAAGTCATATAAAGCACTTTCAAATCAAACAACAATACAAAAACCAAAAATCATAACAATGGAATCAAGTCACCATTGGAATTATTTTCAGTAGAAAACAAATATGTGCTTTTCAGTGTTTTTTTGTCAATATAATATACCGTATGATAGAAAAAACGGCGTCCAGTTGGCTGGGAAATGACGATTAAGGACATTTCCCATATAAAATGACAGCGATCTTCATTTCATAGTCATCGCTGACGCTATTTTTTTTCAATCATAGTACGCGGTATATTATTTATATCAAGGATTTATATTATTATTTTAATATTTCGCACAACACGTGAACGCTTATTATGTATTTTCATAGTCAATAAAATTAAATAGAAATAAAACTCTAGATTCCTATAATTAATCTAATTGCTCTAGATTATTATGCTACGTTTAAAAAGGGCTTTATTAAAAATTCTGGAAATTATATGTCCAAGTTTTCCTTTTTTTTTTAATTTTTAAATGCTGTAGCTCCATGTCATGTTCATAATAGGTTTTTTTAACATTCCATCAAAACTACGGAGGCCTTAAAAGGCCTTTTAGCCTCCGTAATTAAAATTGTAGAATCAGCGTCAGCAACATTAACAGTTTTACCTTGTGTAATTCTGCTTATACACATATTGCATTAATTTTTCTGCTACTTTAAGATTTCTCTATTCTTAGACCTAATTTATGTGATTTTCTTAGCTGTAATATGATTTATAAAACATATTTTTCCTAATGGAAGGATGGAATAGGATATGCAAAATTAAGATATTTTAACATTTATTTTCCAGACAAAGCATAAGATTAAGACATAATAAATATTATAAGAAAGATCTTAATATAAATCACAAACTAAAGTCTTAATTTGGTCTTGTATAAACACAGGTATAAAACTAATAAGATCAAAACTCAACCTTCACCATATTGTCAAGATTTGGCATTATAGGAAACAAGAAATTGCTGTAAATTAAGAAAAGAATATCAAAGTACACGATATTAAATACTGTAATGTATTCTACGATACAAACCATCTCCCTTCTAAAGAGAAAAAGATAAAACATAAAGCTTATTTTAGACTTATCACCACAACTCTTCGATAAAATATGTGTCTAAAATTGCTATTAATCCACTAACTTGATATTTTTAAGAAATTATGATACCAACATTATAATCAAAGTATAAAAAAATACAATTATCCTTAAGAAAACAGTAATAACGAGAAAAAAACGGATTACTAGTGGGTTAATTCACGCTGTGTTTAGATTTTACGACACTGACCTTCCGGAACACGACGTCACCACTAATAGAGCGTCTAGAGCGTACTGTCACAGGTACTGTGTCACTGTGTGTTGTCGCTGGAAAAAACTACGACGACTACGACACTGGTTACTTTCTGTGATGGAAATATGGATGGAAACGAGAAGTGTCTAGCCCTAGCAGTCAACTTTTAAGCTTGACCAATCAGGTTGGTTAGCGTCACAGGTTAGCGTGGTTATTTGAAGTGTGTTAATCTGGTGTTAATTCATTTGTGTTTGTCAAAAAATCTAACGTGATTGGTCGGGCTTAATAGTTACTAGTGTTGGGAAAATTCGAATTAAATAATACGACTAATTCGATAGTAAATTAAAACTAACTAATTCGAATTATCTTTTTCGATATAATCGAGATAAAAATTAGTAGTATTTTATATTATATCTGTGGTAACCGAATTACAAATGAACATAAAACAATATGAACGAATACGAATATTAGTATGGAGTCTAAAAGGAGGAGGCGAATCGAACGCAAAAATTTTGGGCCCAGATTTCATGATCTAAATGAAGTTCGAAGATCGCCGTTAGGGGCGCTTGTGATGATAGGGAATTAGTTACCTGCTAGGGGCTGAACGGTGCCTTCTATTAAAAGATCAGCCTACGGGCGAGATATATGACGTCACGCTAGTTAGATATAACGGATTAATAAATATGTTGTAGAATAGATGGAAAACATAATTATTCCTCAGATTTTTGGTTTGTATTTTAAAAATGATATAGTTTACATGAAATATACATAATATACAGTTAATAACTACAACATATATACCTATTTATAGTAATAAATACTTTGGCAAATAAACTATGAACCATACAAATGCAGCAAATGTTTTACGATGTACAAATAGTGTATAGGTACATAACATAATGGGTAAAATGTAAATATATTTTAAATTTTGGGGTTTGAAAATCGATCTAATTTAACAAAAAACATTCAATATCTAATAATAGTGATGTATTATTATTTGCATTCACAAAATTTATATGTATATCTTGCAAGTATCAATCTTCGAAAAATTATATTTACAAATAATACAATGTTATCTAAAAAAAGGCGTCAGCGATGGCTATGAAATGAAGATCGTTGGCATTTTATATGTAAAATTATTCTAAAACTTTTTATTTTCTTGGGATTTTTAGGTTCGGGAAAAACGCCGATTTAAGTTTTCATTTGGGTTTTCATTATTTTTATTTGGTTTAAGAAAACGTTTCGGCTAACTATAGCCTTCATCAGTGTTGTGTCATATGAAAAAAATAGTGTCGAATATAATCCAAAAAATTACATATACAATATAATTCACACCTCATAATGTTTACTGCAATTAATAAACTAATATAAACTTATCAAATATTAAATTATTATAATTACAGCAATTAATAAACTAATATAAACTTATCAAATATATAGCCGAAACGTTTTTTTTAAACCAAATAAAAATAATGAAAAACCAAATGAAAACTTAATCATCGTTTTTCCCGAACCTAAATCCCAAGAAAATCAAAAAATTTAGAATATTTAGAAACAAGGTTCAAGAATATCAAATTTTCCAAGATTGTAAAATTCTAGTTAATTATTTTATGTGTACAGTTATTTAGGGAATGTCATCGATGTTCATGTCCAAGCCAACTAGACGCCGATTTTTTTCGATGATACGGTATAATTCTTACATAAAATGTAAATAACATTAGACCAATTAAAACAAAGAAATATTAATTTCTTGGTATTTTTAGTAACACCTTTATTCTTAAAACTTAATTTTGTATTATGCAAATATACCAATTTTATTGTTATTTTATTCATATTGTATTCAGCCATCACTTAAATATTTGATATTAATTTGGTATTATAAATAATCAACTCTATTCATTAAAAATTACTGCACAAATATATGTTATGCTTGACATACATTATATATTATCAAACAAAAACACATTCTTCTTTTAAACTGTATCAGTCTTGTCTTTACAAAAATCTTTTTTAAAATTTGAACTCAAAATAATAATCTTTTTCATGATCTTTAATATACTTATTCTTTATTTTTCCCTAGATCATAATACCTACTTACGTGTTTGAATCTATCGAAGCTGAACCAACAACACTTGGAGTGGAGATTCCACAATATGAATAAAATAAACATAATTGTCCAGTTTTCATTAATACCATCATGAGAGAATATTATTTTTAAATTTACTAAAGATATTTTCAATAGAATTCTCTTGATTTATAACTCGTACCCACTTTTCTTGCTCTTCCGGACACTTTAGGCTGCCTATATAATAACTATCCTTAGTAACTATCCTTTCCACCAAGGAACACAACAAAGATGAGGCATAGCACCAAAAACACACCTCCCACTTAAGCTTTATTGATGAATTGTTAGAGTCTTAAAAACACACACAAAAATCACGATAAGTAAAAATGTATGGGCACTTTTAGGTTAAATCACTTACACAACGTGTAATTTTTTAAAATTTCTATTATGCAGAAACCGATAGTGACCATATATCACAATAATAGTTTATCACTTCAACACCAAAATAATTAGTTTTTTGCACTACAATAATAAATAATACCAAAAATCAAAGAGTTAAAACCAAAAATCAACCGACAAAATATGAAACGGAATCTAACCCAATATCTAAGTATGTACAGCTGATGAAGTAAACAAAAGTCCGCCCCCAGGCTGATCTTTTAATAGAAGGCACTGGGCTAGATAGGCTAGATACAAGTATGGAAACGCAAATGGCGGCGTGCGCGAGGATATGCGCGTAGCGTTCCCGCCAAAGCGAGTTGACCTGCCGATTGGTTATAGCTCTGCTCTGGTGCTGTGCTCTGGTTATAGGTTCTGATAGTGTGGTCTGTGAACGTTGATTGATTTCTTATCCAACACTCCGTCACTTCTGAAAATTGGAAAAACCAGAGGGAAAAAGTACTGGAAGCTGCTGTTCTTGGAGATATAAATGGAGCAGACATAAAAGATGCTATTTTACCTAAATATTTTAAATAATAGAGTAAACGCCATTGAATATCGACCTGATTTTTACGGATATTTTAACTTATACAGGTTGTTAATTTGTTTATTACTCGTGGCAAGAGCTTTATGGTTGAAATATGACAACCTCGGCCCGCTCGTCGATAGACGACGCGACGGGACGAGTCGGCAGAAAACCCTATAAGTGTACTCAATAGGCAGTGTTGCCATTCTGTTCCCCTATAAGTAACTGTCCAGTTAACAACCTGTATACTAATATACCATACGATCAAATAAAAAGGACGTCAGAATGGCTATGAAATAAAGATCGCTGTCATTTCATATGTAAAATTATATGGGAAATGATCGCTGACGTCGTTTTTTTTCGGTCGTATGGTACATGAGTGGTCCATAAGTAAGATGTTTTACTGAATTTTAGATGTACTAAAGGTACGGACACAAAGAGAGCTGGTTATGAGCGCTTATTACCAGCGCCTATATAGTCGTCTCAATAGTACACAATGAACGTAAAAAGTAAGCGTCAATAATTAAATGCGCTTTTAAACACACCCGCATACAGAAAAAAATTGTTGATTTTTTACCGGAACGAATTTTTAATTCTTGGTCGCTTGTTGTCTGGGTTAGGTTGTTGGCTCTGGCGCTGGTTTTCTATGGAAATTATTGGAAATAATTGGAAATAAACGCTGATTAACCAGCGTTCTTTGTGTGCGTACCCTTAAAAAGAAGACTTTATAACTAGACCAAACTATAGAGACTAGCAGACTAGCACATGCCTTAAACATACATCAAAACAAATTATATTGTATGTTCCTGACCGTATTATACAGGATCCGCCAATAGTGCGTCGGGCATCTGTAGCTCATGGAATAAAAAACTTAAGAATTTTGTTTAAGTGCAGACCTAAAGTATGTACTAGGATGTATTTCAGGAAAATATTTTAACTTCTATAGGGTGGCTCAAAAAGTATGAGTGGATCGGGATGATTTCTTTAAATGGAACACCCTGTATAATATTGCATTTTTGGCTTCCTTTCAGATCACTTTACATAATCCTAAGACATGAGTAAATATATTTCGATAATTTCAGAGATATTAATAAATAAATAAAAATTATATATTTTTCAGCCTTTCTTAAAAAAAATTATTAATAAGACAAGAACTGTCCTGAAATCAAAACTATATATTTTTACATTAGATGGTCTGTACTTGCTTTGCTATAAATATGGAAATCGTAAATCATACAGGATGTTCAAAATTCTACGCCAAACTTTCTAAAATATAAAATATTTTTTCTTTGTTTTTTTAAATGATATAATATGTAATATTATTTTTTCAATGGATGGAGAATTAAAAAATAAACATTTTTTGCATTTAGAGTATTTCAAAATTTTTAAACGGTTTTGCAGATATTCCCGAGTTTGTATTTCATATGGCAGTTTCCACAGTAAATTTTTATCAAAGCTACCCAATGATTTTTCTCTCGTATTTTACCACTGAAAGCGCCATATGGAAATAATACTGCGCGTATCCGGAAAACTATTAAAGATTTTGAAATACTTTAAATACAAAAAATGTTCATTTTTTAATTCTCCATCAAACAAAAAAATAATATACAGGGTGTTCCATTTAAAAAAAAACCAAGTAAAATGATTTTATGTTTTTGAAAGTTTGGCGTAAAATATTGAACATCCTGTATGAATTACGATTACCATATTTATAGCAAAGTAAGAATAGACCATCTAAAGTAAATATCTAATATAATTTTGATTTCAGAACAGCTCTTGTATTTTTAATATTTTTTTTTAAGAAGGGTTGAAAAATATATATTTTTGATTTATTTTTTAATATCTCTGAAACATCGAAATATATTTACTCATATCTTAGGATCATGTAAAATTTTCTGAAAGGAAGCCAAAAATGCAATAATATACAGAGTGTTCCATTTAAAAAAAATCATCCAGATCCACTCACACTTTTTTGAGCCACCCTATAGAAGTTAAAATATTTTCCGGAAATACATCCTGGTACATACAGTACGTCTGTTCGTTCTGTAGCTACGGAGTATCCGTAAGAGGGAAAACGATATTCTCTCGATGTTTTTCGTAAAAAAACAGACGACGCGTCCCATCAATAAAAATTCAACAAATTTGCCAGTAGCCAATAAAATGAGTGGGCGGAGCGATTTGCGGTGACGCACTCGTCAAATCGACGTATAATATATATTGCTGTTTATTTAAATGTTTTTTGTCCGCATTCCTTTCATAGACACAGATCCAGCAGATGTACTGTAATTGACAGCGATCATACGGTATAAGTAATCAGGAAATCCAATAATATACCCCCAATGGGTAATATAAGAAAATTTATATTAAAATTAAAAAATATAGATACTTAAATTGAATTTTGGCTGTCTTGACGGTAATTATGTTGATTTAAGTCATTTTGCCGTCTTAACTCGCAGATCATATAATGATTTAAATAAAGAATATAGACGTAAGTCATAAAAACGACTTAAATTGCATATTGATTTAAGTTTTTACTAAAATGATTTGACTATATAATCATTTTCGTAAAGACTTAAATCATCAATTCATTGAAGATAGCCTTGTTTATATAATCAAGGAAGATAGATTCAATGAAGTCAAATAATTAAGATTTAAGTTTTTTTGAAAATGATTTTTCGCAACTTTGTTCTCGAGGTGGGTATAAATAACTTAGATGTATTAATGTTGCAAAACATACTATATTACATAATTGATGTAGTTAAAGTCAAATCAATATTAATCTATTCGTAGTTAAATCTGCGGCCACCATCGAAGCGGAATCCGTAAGCGGCAGCATTCTTTGAGTCGACCAGGGCCGGATTGCGATGTTTGTAGAAACTGCCGTGAGAATGTGCTGCTCTAGAAGAACCTCCTTCTTCGCCTCTGGGATAAAATGCTTCGAAGGTACCCTTCGGTGATATCACTGTCTTAATTTCGGGATCGGTAGGATCGTAACAGCCGGCCAGGAACAAACAGGCCAGCCATACCAGCATAGAGAAAACGTACATTATGGTGTAGCGCAGAAGACTTTTAGAACGTAAAGGAAAATTATATCCTAATAACTTTCGTTTTTTATCGTTCGTACTCTCTCTTTTGTCTTGCGTAACGGTGCACCGAGGCGAAAGTGTTTTACCAATTCGCGTTTTACGTTTTAATTTTGTGTGATCAGTTTTAATTTAATCGACAATGAAGACAGATTTCGCGTTCTGTAAGATTCAGCTACGTCGGATTTAAAAAAAATATACCGAAACAAGAATAGACCACTAAAATAAAACGGTTAATTTTCAGAATAACTACAAATATAAAAATATGTTTTTTTTATAAAAATTCATCCATTTTGTAGTATCACGTATTTGTAGTGTGTCGGGCAGCTGTAGCTCTTAGAATAAACAACCTGGAAATCTACATACATATATAAAATGCTAATGTTTATCTGTGTCGTCTCTACTGAAGTAACGACTTGCTCTAGAAAGTTGCCTTTTTTACTAAAAGATAGCTAATTGGCTCTTCTAAAAACTGTCATCGCCGGATTTTTTGTTTTTCATTTAATTAAAAAATAAGAATAAAAAGTATTTCTTTCCTGATGTCGTGGCAGATGCGCCAGGCTTCAACTAGTTTTGTATAAGTGCAAACCTAAAATATGTACTAGGATGTATATCAGGAAAATATTTTAACTTCTATTTCTTCGGTAGTCAACTTCGTCTAAAGGCGCATTCTCGCGACTCGTCTACACTTGGCAAGTATTTTTTTATTGGCATATAGGGTCTGGTGGGAATGCGGCGTAGTTCCTATAATAAATAACTTGGAAATTTTGTATAGATGCCCGACGCACCATGTAGACCCTGTATACCAATTACAAATGTTTGTCAAGTACACGAGTCGTGAGAATGCGCCATAACTTCTATTTCTTCGGTTCTCTTCTATAGGGTAGCTCAAAAAAAAATGTGAGTGGATTGGGATGATTTTTTTAATGGAACACCCTGTATATTATTGCTTATTGCATTTTTGACTTCCTTTCAGATCATTTTATGTGATCCTAAGATATGTGTAAATATATTCAATAGTTTCAGAGATATCAATAAATAAATAAAAAATATATATTTTTCAGTCTTTCTTAAAGATATTATTAAAAATACAAGAACTGTCCTGAAATCAAAAATATATTAGTTATTTACTTTAGATGGTCTGTACTTACTTTGCCATAAATATGGTAATGGTAAATCATACAAGATGTTCAATATTCTACGCCAAACTCTCCAAAATATAAAATAATTTTTCTTGTTTTTTTAAATGGAACATTCTGTACATTATTTTTTCAGTGTATGATATGATTACAATATTTATAGCAAAGAAAGTACAGACCATCAAAAGTAAATACTTAATATAGTTTTGATTTCAGGACAGTTCTTGTATTTTTAATAATTTTTTGAAGGAAGGCTGAAAAATGTATATTTTTGTTTATTTACTAATATCTCTGAAACTATCGAAATATATTCACTCATATGTCAGGATCATGTAGAGTGTGAAAGGAAGCCAAAAATGCAATAATATACAGAGTGTCCCATTCAAAAAAAATCATCCCGATCCACTCACATTTTTTTGAGCCACCCTATAGAAGTTAAAATATTTTTCTGAAATACATCCTCGTACATGCTTTAGGTTTGTACTTTTTTTTCTTTGCACTTTTTCGTCTTTCGGGCTACATAACGTCGGAGAGTCACCTGATTCGCTTGAAAGACAAACAGACTCACTATGCACACGTAACACGACAAATAAATAATCAACAACGTTTTAAAAAGAAATGCTGCTATTAAAAATGTATCATAAAAATATATAAAAATCTGATTTAGATCTTTTTAACGACTTAAGTCTTTTTCTAAAAAACCTTTTAAAATATTATTCGAAATAAACATTTAAATCAAAAAATTACTTAAATTTTAAGTTTTAAGTCAGCTTTCGAAAAATGACTTAAAATCAAATGACTGAAGTCATATTAAAATGATTTAAATAAAAAATGACTTAAGTTTTTTGTGAGCTTGCAGTTCTGGAGGAAGGACACTTTCTGACATTTTCTGAAGAAAAAAGTGCGGATTATCCATAAATACCGCTAGAATCTTACGGGTTCGGAGAGCGAAACGGGGTGCTGGCTGGTATATTAATAATTCATACATAAATATATCAAATTTTTGCAAATTTCTGAGTAGAAATATGAAAATAGATATTTAAATATTAAGGTTTGCAAAAAAACGAATTACCTATAATTTACATTGACCTACCAGCTATTTTTATTAAGAGAAAATCGGCATAACTTTAAAAGCACATACCATTCTACTCGAGTGCTCAGAAATATTGTTGTTATTACTGGGTTCCGTATGGATAATTTAAAGTCTTATTTAGTTAACAGAGTTTATTTACACTAAAGAATACAACAATAAACTATGTAAAAAACTAAATATTAAATGAGATAATACCGTATGATCGAAAAAAACGGCGTGCAAAATGGCTGAGAAATCACGATCAATGACATTTCCCATATAAATTTACATACAAAATGATCTTCATTTCATAGCCATCGCTGACGCCGTTTTTATTTCGATCATACGGAAGAATGATTTTTAAATTTTCCTTGCTATGTTAACGTATTCCACAGGGCGTTTCAAACTTTCACCAAAATATCAACATTTTGTTTTCCCTCGTATAATTGACAGATGGGAACTTTCATTGTTAATTTAGAAATAGATACTAGAAAGTCAAATAATTTAGTTACAAATTGCTTAAAAAATCATCAAAATCGGCCAACTAGAACAAAATTTAATAAACTTTAGTGCACATCAAAATTTCCAGGTGTTATTTATTATAGAATTATTTCTATTCACCATTATGTCAAGAAATAATATAGTAAAGATTGTTTGGCCCAAGTTTTACTTAAATATTCTGTAAAATTTGGTTTGTTTAGAAAATGGAGATATTCGATAGTCTGTAATGTAATTCAAAATTCCATTTTAAGCTTTTTTTCTATCGAATAAAGTAAAAAAAAATATCAAGGATACTGTTAAATAATCAAAAGTTGTAGTTATTTCAGGTGAAACAAAAAGTGATAGAAAATAATTGAATACGTCAATTTGACGTCAATTAATTCTGATTTATGTCATTTGTATGGTTATTTGTTCAACATTTTGGATAATCTTCTCATGATTTTACCTGACCCTTGCATGTATATGTTACGCTCAATAGTCGAATTCGGGCAATGCCCGAAAAAAATACGCAAATCTAGTTTTAAGCAAGGAATATTTCCCAAACCCGAAAAACCAACTAACCAATAAATTAACACCCTCCAAATAACCACGGTAACCCAATCGCCAAATAACTAAACCAATCCAACCAAAAAGATTGAAATCAATGCAATCAAATCACACTATAAGCAAAAAAAAAAAATTTTTGGTTTGGGAAATATTCTTTGCTCAAAACTAGATTTGCTTATTTTTCTCGGGCATTGCCCGAATTCGACTATTAAGCGTAATATATGTATATACCCATTTAATTGCATTATCCAAATTTCTTTATACTTGTGGTTTGAGTTTAGACATTATTGTGTATTGGTTCATCTGCTTAATAGTCTATATTTTAAATTTTAGATTTCTTATTGTTATTAATTACAGTCAAAGCCCTGGGACTGGATGATGAGTTATAACTCAAGAAAGGGGGATACAATAAATCTATAAGGTTGCGGTGGTTAACTTCCGCCTTCCATAGATTTACATCTACATCTAGTCTGTTGATATATACAGTTTTAGATCATCTGCATATAATAATTATTTTGTATTGAAATCAATGTCATTATAAAGTTTACATGAATTAAGTTTATTAATGAAATAAATAAAACTTCTAGAAAATTAACAGAAATATATTTTATTGGGTATAATTTGCTATCAGGTAAATAAGTTAAAATATTTTGAAAGCACATACTTTATTTATTTAGCCAAATTAACCCAAAATATTAGCAATTGATACAACATGTTTGAAAAAAAAACGGCGTCAGCGATGGCTATTAAATGAAGACCGTTGTTATTTTATATGGGGAATGACATTGATGTTCATTTCCAAGCCAACTGCCTGCCGTTTTTTTTTTCGTTCATACGGCATCTAGTGCAGCCTGAAATTTAAAGTTTATTTTATAGGAAAAAAACCAGTTTCTAGAATATAGTAAAAATTGTTTAAATTTTCTTTATTTTTAACTTTTTTATATATTTATATCCTTTGTTAGAGGTAAGAAAATTTAAATTTATGTGAAGTTAATAAAAATAGTGTATAATATGTATAATACTTTTTGTACTGGTTTTATTGTAAAAATATCACAAAAAAAGAAATTTTGGAAACATGAAATCAATAATTATAAATAAAATTAGGACCTAATAATCTACCAATTGTTTCCATCCCATTTAAAAGGTTTTCCTCCATGACTATGCCCACCACCTCCACCGCCTCCATGATGGATAGTTTTGTACACTTTTTCGTAATGGTGGTGAGTATGATGATATTCAGGTACAATGATCTTCACATGCTCATGACTAAAAATTTAATGTTTTTCAGCTCTATTTGTAGTAAATATGGTACAGGATGGTCCGAATTGTATTCGGGAAACTCTGGCAGCATATTCTGCAGATAAAAATAATTAAAAAGTTCCTATAAATTTATGTCCTATAATGCTTCGTTTCGGACTTACAGGGTGTAGAAGTTTCATTCTTATTTCGATTTCTTCCAAATAATTTCTGTACTAACAGCGATATTTGGATGAAATTTGGTGCCTAGGTATTTTTTGACATAATGCCGGGTCCAGACCAAGCGGGTTACGACAAAATTGCGACAAATCCAATACATTTCTGCGACATTTTTGTCGCCTTGGTCTGGACCCGGCAAAATAAATTCTATTTCGTTATCAATATGACTCCTACTTGTAGGGGGCGCCACCTACATGTTTTTGAAGAGTAATAACTTTACCGTCCTTACCTGTATTAACATACTGAGTGAAAAAATATACATTTCTGACAGGTTTTACGTAAAAAAGGTCTCTTTGAAAAATGCTCTACGAGTAATGGTTGAAATAATAAATCTGGATTTTTTTGTGTCAAATTTCAACAGAAACAGGACTTTCAGATGGAGCGGAGCGTCCGCGCGGACCGTCCGCGAGTTCCATGAGTTTAAATGAACAATTTTACATGGGTCGCGTATGCTCCGTCCGGATGATTTCGTCTGACGGCTATCTTGAAAAAACAAGTAGCACAAAAACAGCGCGTACGCTCCGCTCCATCTGAAAGCGCTGTAGCTGTTATCATAATTATTTCTAGAAAAATTTATCATTATTTTAAAAACAATAAAAAGTCACCCAGTATGAAAAATCTAGTCAACAAGAACGGTCGCTCGTAGCTATTTTTATCAACAAACCTTTGTTGCGTATAAAACTGCGAAAATGTAGATTTTTTCACTCAGTAGCTTAATACAGGTTACGACAAGTTATTACTCTTCAAAAAACAGTTAAGAAATATGTAGTTGGCGCCTCCTACAAGTATGAGTCATATTGACATCGAAATAAATTGTATCATGTCAAGAAACACCAATTTTGATCCAAATATCATTCACAGTCATTAATTCAGAAATTATTTTGAAAAAATCTAAATAAAAATAAAACTTCTACACCCTGTATTTTTTAGGACATACATTTATACGAACTTTTTTAATCTTTTATTTTTATCTGCAGAATATACTACTGAAGTTTCCCGGATACAATTCGGACGACCGAAAAGCAAAAAGCACACCCTAAACACTATCATTAAAAATAATTTTTGAAAAACATTTTAGGAAAAAAATGTATATTTTTATTATTCATAACTAAAAATGAAATAGTAAAATTTAAAATGAACAATCTGCTTCATTTTCGTGGGTTTTTAACTTAGTTCTTAACGTATAATACACAAGTTTTCTTTCGGGAAGAGAAAAAAACCCTAGTTTAAGGGTAAAAAACCTAATAGTAATTCGAATGTCTGTAGATATTAATCGCAAAAAAATAAAAATATGAAATGAAACTTACCCTCCACCACCTCCTGCTTTAACAAACATTGCACATATTAAGGAAGTCACGTAAAATAACAACTAAAATAATAAAAAAAATTACAAAAAAACGTTCATTAATGGAGTTATTAAAATGCTGTCTTACCAAAGAGAACCAATTCATTTTCAATCAAAATCAAATCAGATACTACAACATATTCGTAACTTTAGTTGTGTTTTATATAACGAGGAAATGTTCGTTGTCAAATCTAGGTGGAGGGTGTTACATGAACAACCCAAATATACATCGGGCATGTTCATATAACACATCGATTCCAATTCTGATTTAAAATGACCAGTCGAAGAAACTATGTTATTATTTCCGCCATGTGATAACCGATGCGAAAGAGAATAGTAAAATGCGTTCTAAATTGAGTTTAATAGACCACTTTCATTCGGCAGCATATATGTATACGGTGGCTTATTAGTGCGAGGAAGTCCAATATCGTAGATTGGTGCGTTCTACGCTGGTGCTGCCACCATCGGAGAATACTGTAAATAGCAAACATAAGCAAATTCCGGGTGCGTCTCAAAAGTTGCTCACTTGCACACAAATTTTTATTTTGCACACAATTTTTATTTTTATTACACCCTCGGTATTTTTTTGCTTTATTCAATAGAAAATGACATTCTGACTAGAATGACATATCATATGTCAACTTTTGATATTTGCGGATATGGTTTATTTGAAATTGTAACATATGGTTTATAACGACAATTTGACTCGAAATACCAAGTGTGTAGTACCAAATTATTCGTAAAAATATTTTTTTTTTCAAATATGCTAACGAGCCACCCTCGTTTCATTTGAAAAAATTGAGATATGATTAAAAATATGTTTTGAGCATTTTCTAACTGGGCAGGACAAGACATTAAAAACATTAGACGATCAAATCTATTTTTCATAGGCTCCTTGATTAAAAATTAGTGTTTATAACACAGCCATGGCACTCTAGATTGAAATTTAAAATGCGATTTTTTGTAAGAGAAAATGTCAAAAGTTGACATATGATATGATGTATGATATGATGTCATTCTATGCAGAGTGCCATTTTCTATCGAATGAAGTAAAAATATACATAGGGTACCATTTAAAAATCAAAAGTTATAGTCATTTCCGGCGAAACAGGAAGTGATCAAGAACAATTGAATATGTCAGTCAATCCTAATTTATGTCATACCAAATTTCTTTTTTTTTATCTGAAAAAATAAAAAAGTTATAGGGGTAATCCACTTTTGAGATGCACCCGGTATACGGGTTTAAATAGAGAGTACACGAAAAATTTGTAATACAATTATTTTTAAAGTGTTGAGAAGTATAATTTGTAAAAATTTTATTAAAAATAAAAAGATAAATATTTTGATGAAGGTCTAACTTGTATTAAAATTTATTATTCCAGCAAATAAAACTTTTTAGATGAGTTTAGTTGGGATATAACTGGGGCTTTTAGGCTATACAATTTTTTTATGTGTTTAAATTATAATTTTAGAAGATGTTCATAATAACATTAAGCACTAGTTGATTTAAAAAAAGTGCCTATACTATTAATATTCGATGTTGAGATTGACCTACATGTTGATTGGTAGCATAAAAATAAACAAATATAAAACCACATGGTATACCAACAGTCTTTATTTGAAATAAATAATATACCTATAATAAAAATTGTACATTCTTTTGCTTAAGGATATAGAACAAGAACTGCAACTAAATTATTATTTGGATATTTAGAACCTACTTAAATTTTAACTACACATAATTTTAAAAGTTTGAAATTATAATTATTAATATCATATAACGTAGGTATTAATTATAAAATATTTTGTAAATTTTATTTCAGTATTTTTTAATTTTTTTTAATGCCAGAAATAATCATTTGATTTCTATTTTTTATATTATTTTAACAAATTATTTGTAAAATACAATCTTACTTATAATCTATAATTTTACAAAAATAAATATAGATATTCTAAAAAACTACTTTAACGCATATTTCAGGCTGACCGACAACTTAACATTTCTGAGTTAATCATGATAATTTTCGGTGTGCTAAATTTAATAGTTAGTTTAGTGCAAAAACAATATTTATTTTCTTTGATAAAACTATACAGGGTGGTTTGAATTATTGTATTTTGGAGCATATTCTGCAGATAAAAATACGTCAAAAGTTCGTATACATATATTTATGTCCTAAAATTTTTCGTTTCGGAAATACAGGTTGTAGAATTTGATTTGTACTGCGGCTTTACAAATAATTGTAACACCAAACCAAACCAACTCTTCATTCACCGTGTATAGTTTTAGTCAGCGTATGTATGTGGCACCCCCAACAATTAAGAGTCATACTGACATCGAAATGGAATTTCTTATGTCAAAGAAAAACAGGCACCAATTTTTATTGAAATATTGGCGTTAGCTCAGAAATTATTGGGAAAAAATGGAAATATAGAACAATTGAAAATGAAAAACAAACTTCTACACCCTGTATCTCCGGAGCATTTTAGGACATACGTTTATACGATATTTTTACTTATTTTTATCTGCACAATATACTGCTGCAGTTTCCGGAATACAATTCGGACAACACTGTGTACTTAGTACTAACTAAATTAAAAATGTAGTAATTAATTTTTGTTAATTGCTAGTAAACTGACTGAAATAAAACGAAAACTGTTATTTCCTCTTTATCTTCTGCGTTTTTGCTGTGGAATAGGGGATGGCTGTTGCACGAACTGAGCTTTTCTACTGATCAAATCACTGTCATATGAATATTCCTGACTCACTGGACACAAACAGGGCACTAATTGAACGTTCTGAACTGTAGCTGGTGCTAAGTGCGCAGGAAGTGGTACTTGCAAAGGTACATATGGTAGTGGTGGAGGAACATACTGTCTATAATAATCTGGGGCTTGATATAGTACCCTTGGTTTGCTGAAAATAAAACAAACATATTTTTAATTCAACTAAAACGATTGTTCAATACTAAATTATAACTAGATTATTTCAAAAAAAGTCTTTCGATACTTTCCAGCGGTCGAAATCAAACACATCGAAATAAGTAGTGATGGTACCTATTTCTTACTGTTCTCACTTCTATTCTCTTTTGAAGTTGCTATAAAGTTTATTAGCAATTATTGAAACTCAAAACATAATAATTTTTATTTAGTATAATGTTGTGCAATGCATTAGTTATACCAAACTATTGAAAAAAAAAAATCGGTGTCAAAGACGGCTGGGGTATGACAATCGATGATAACTGTACTCTTCTATATTATTTAATAGCGCTTACTGCCAGTTGAACTTAAGGATATTGTAATGAGTGTAAATTATTCTTATATTGAGTAAAAACGATTTTAAGTGGCGTTGTTCAAAATTCGACAAAAAATTATTTTCTTGAACTAGATTTGTGTGTCTGGAAACGTTCTATCCTTTTCTAATCGTTCTCTAGTTAGTGTTAATTTTGACAAGTTTCATGTCCATCGTAAATGGCGCCTAGAGATCGACCGTGTCAAAATTTTATTGATTGTCATTCCCCACCCGTCTTCGACGCCGGTTTTTTGATGTTATGTTTTTATAGGCATTAACATTTTTGTACATAATTAAAAAATGTAAGGCATTGTTACAAATTTAGTTAAGTTCGTTTATGCTGTTTGATGTGAACTTTAAGTTACCTATGTGTATTCTTCGCTTATGTTTGTGTTTGTGTTCATGTTAATTTGCTCATGACTGAATACTTAATAAAATTTGATGTTATTTTCATTAAAAAACTCAGTTTTTTATCGAATTTACTTTTGAAAACCATGCCTTGCTTGCTGATTGACGACTGCACCCCCATCGTGGAATAAAAATTAACAAGTACCGAAAGTACCGAGAACACCGGGAAAATCCGAGACAAAATAATTACTTGAGCCCTACAAATGTAATTTTTGGTAAAAAAAACTGATACTGTTTAAAAGATGGTTAAACTTAGTACAGAACATCACACACAGAACACTTAAAACTTAAAGAACACTTAAAACACCAAAAAGCATAAAATACATACAATACGTGGTCTATCAGAATAAGCGTATTTGTAGCCACTTTTGGTTAAACCAAAATGCTAGGACACTTAAAAAAACTAATATAGGACATAGTTACGTGGATTATACTTACACTTCGAAAAGGTAAAAAAAAATAACGTTGGATCAAATGCACATAAGAAATAAGTAAACAAAAAGGAAATTTTTGTTTGTCTACGACATCAGTTTGATTATTAATGTCAATCTTATTTTAAATTGAGTCAACTACAATCAATCAACGTATTTTTGGTTATTTAATCAACAGCATGACTGTTGAAATTGTCGAACTGGTAGCCGAAGGTTTTTTCTGCTCCAAAGAGCGGCATGACAGGGCACAACCTGTCTATTCATATAATTAATTTTTTAAAATATTTGACCACATACGTAGAATAAAGATTTAAATAAGAAAAATTCGTCTCTAGGACTTGTTGACAAGTCTTTTGTAACATTGTCTTTTATAAAATTCAGTTTTTTTTGCAATACATGTCGTATTTTAAGGTAAATTAAATATAGGTGTCACATTTTTATTGCTTTCTAGCCCTTGATAGTTTGTCACCCAGAGTAAGGGGACTTTATTTTCTTTACCTACTTTGTTCAAGTTCTGTAGGCATTCTTTGACCAACTTCGAATTGATGGGTACTGAGTTGATCGCATTTAATGCTGCTTGACTATCGAATAAGATGGTAATTTCTTGTTTCCAATATAGTTCCTATCTAAGATAAGTTGTATACGCATTTTTCGATATCGATAGGGTAGATTTCTGCCTGAAGGATATTACATGAGGTAGGTGCCTATTGGTTCGGAGTATTTAGTTTTCGACCCAAATACTCCTATCCCTGCTCCTGCTTTGGTTTTGTGTGGAAGCATCAGTGTACCACGTTATGGTATGGTTCTGCTGAGCAAATTTTTCCTTCTTCCAATTCTTTTTATTGCTCAATACGTATTACAATACAAGTTGTACATTCATGATATGTTATCTACTGGGTGTTGAAGAAGTGCAATTTATATTTTCTACTTTTATCCAAAACAGCATAATAACTTAAACAGTTTCCTAATATATATTATTGTGCACTTTACGAATTTAATAACAAACCATTTCTTAACATTAATAAAATTTACTCCCATGCAAGACCTTAATATTTACATTTACTAATGTCAATTATAAAACAAAAAATATAATCTCCGAAAATAGTAACTTAAATACAAAACATATTTTTATTTCTTCAAAGGAACCGCTTCTAAGGTACTTCACCTTTTTATAACACTATCAAAATGCCTCGAATTTCTTCGTAAAAATAAATTTATTATAAAACACTCTTAAGTGCATTCTGTAAATTTCAGGAAAACGGTGCCGCTACCTTCATTAACGATAATTTTATTAAATTCTTAAGTTAGGTAATTTATGTAAATAAAAAAATACTTACGAAGTTTGTGGTTCTTCGGCATTAAACCAGAAGGCAGATGCTTTTGTTGATAGGGCACAAACAACAGCTAGAATAATCTGAAATAATTAATGCATATAGTTATTTCTTCTACAAAGCTCTTTTAAGGAAATTATGTTAAGTAATTCTGTTCGGTAAGAACTATGGAATTAATGTTTGATATTTACATTTAATTTTAATTAACTCATTATATTTATTTGTTACTACATTAATGTTAGCTTATGTCGTCTTGGTTACGCATCTATTACTAACCATAAATAGAATCATAACTCCCTTTGGACATTATTAACGGGAATTAAGATGCCATAATTCCCTCTACCATTTATAGGTAATAACCATGAAATACCATAGAGATTGGGAGTAATAATATAAAATGAAAATGGACACTCGTCTAACTACCCTAATAAAATATTTACATCATTAATGCCACATATGTATAATAAATTTACAAGAGAACAGTTTCATCGACATCCCATGATAGAATATTTTTCTGTCCTGACTACTGAAGGTATTTTTTTATTCCTTTTGGTAAATGGATTCACTTAAGGTGGAAGTAACGCTTGTCGTGTTCTTCAGCTTTTTTTAATATTTCCTCCATTTTAATGGAAACGAAACGAATTCGTGCGAAAAGCGTTTCTTGACATAAAACTGAACTTAGGTACCAACAGCGTTAATACAAATTTACCGGAAGATTAATTTCATTTTATAATAATTTATTAAATAATAAAATTGTGCATTTGACATACAGTGTCACAGATAAAGTCTGCATCATATTTTTTTTTATTTATTGATTGAGAAATTTGACTTTGACGATAGTTTCTGCTTTGATTTAGATGAAAAATGACATAAAAATTTACTCTGTTGCCTTAGAGTATCTGTCAAATTTGACACTTAAAGTAATAAATGGCTAAAACATGAGATTCCTCGCCAAATTTCGAGAAACTTTAATTTTGCATACCTAAACGTAGATACCAATTTTCAGCTATCTAGACGAAACATATTTTTCGTCGTTTTTAACCAATAGCAGCCGGTTCTCGTGATAGAAGCAACGATAATTGACAGGAGCCCGTTTATCATTCAAATATTTATCTAGTACCGTAAAATGGGGTGAATAGAAACATAGTGGTGAATAGAAACAAAATTTCTGAAAAAAATCAAATCACGATTAAAAATATTCAAAGTAAAGAGAGTCGACATATCTAATTTTTCTATCATTGGTAATACACAATAAAATGTAAAAACTATATTTTTATCTGTGGCAGCACTGTTTCTGTCAATCAACTGATCAATAAATGTGAGATCGATTTATCACCTATTTTGTATGGCGCGAAAACTTTATAAATAAAATATTTATTTTTAAAGTAATACATAAGCTGGTACATGTAAGTTGTCATATTATATGTATTGTTAATTATTATTAAACCTACTTAAATATGTAATAATTTACTGTTTCTAATCACCTTGTTGGAAATAGAATAGAAAAAAACATTAACATCAATGTGTGTTTCTATTCTCCCGAATAGCAGATGAATAGAAACACAAATGTTATTTTTATTTAATATTTATATGCATATTTTTCAAAAATCAAATTATATGTATACGCAAAGAACAAACAAAGACCCATGTTTTAAAATATTCGGGAAAATAATACCACATTTTTTTCAACCGGTATATCGCTAATAGCCTACGAAACTGTTTCTATTCACCCCATTTTACGGTACTCATATAGTTAGTTCATTGTTTTGAATAAATTAATAGTTTTCAAGAAGACGAAACAATGAAGTCATAAAAAATGTCTATACCTCTCTGTGGCGGATTCATCTATTAATTAATTTATTCATGAATAAAGTCATGTATTGCGGTGGTCAAAACAGCACAATATATAGTGGTTGGAAGCTCGTGTTGTACACGAGGAATCTTATTGGGAAAAGCGTAGATCAAAAAAAAACTTTTTTTTATAGCAAACAATAATAACATCTTTAGCAACCTGCAACCTGGACTTATTCACAGGTGAATGCCTGGCTGTAGTATAAAAGCTCAGTAGTTTTTTATGAATTAGATTAGTTTATATCTGATCAAAACGTTGTGTAAGTCAAAATAAATAAAGATAATGGAATATACGAATTTCTTTTGGTTTCAGTACTGAGTACTGAATCATTGTCTACCACCATTCAAAGAAGCTCAGTGTCGTATCACAATTTCAAATTTAGGGAATAAAGAAAAAAAAAACAAATAAGTGCAAGTAGTATAGTTGAACCCCAGGAACACGCCTATAAGGTTTTTTTCGCGAAAAAGAAATTTTGAAAATTTCTTAGGATTTTTTTTAGTTTTTAGTTAAAAACATAATTTGTTGATAATATGGCAACATAGGTATTAGATTAAATTTACAAGAAAGAAAATGCAGAAAAGATCCAGTGGTTCTCAAAATTTTAGAAAAAAATCATTTTTTTGGGAATTTTCAAAGTAAAATAACTCCGTTATTTTGGACTTATTTGAAAAACGATAAAGAGAAAATATGTTTCTTTTATCGAGATCTACCACCCCTTAAAATACTTGCACTTATTTCTGGGACACCCTGTATATTTGTGTAATGATTTTTTTTCTCACAGTACACGGTACCTACAGTGATATCGGTAAAATCTCAAATTATAGTACTATATAGATTCTATTATATTTTTTTGTAAATGACCCTAACCAAATAAATTGATGGTTTTATTAAAAAAAAATGATCCATGGTCATGTCAAGTAAATTATACGTATTTACGCGGCTATATCAATAATATAAACGACTGTAGAATAATGGTAGCGGAGATTAACGCTAAGTATATCTTTGAGTATCATCTGTCAATGATGCCTGGTACCACATGGGGTCTGGCGGACCAAGCACAATACACCGATTTAAAATGTTAGAAAGAGATACAATGCAGTAACTGGCAGGTAATTAGTAATTTGAAGGCACTATTACTTTTCAAAGGTTCTATGATATCTCTTAGCTGGCTGTGTGATTTATGTATGTTTTTGATAATATATAATCAACATTAAACGAGATATGATAAGTATGAAAGTTTATCCAAGTATGTCAATATGCATTTTAATATATCGTGTGGTGTATCTGAACACGTGACATAAGAAATCCCATGTAAATTTTCAAAAGGTCAAATATCTCCCCAGATGAGTTTATGCAAAAGTTGTACCTATTAGACTTATTTGAACAGAGGTTGTACTGGAAGTTGTACTTTCGCCTAGAATTTTGTTTTATTCGGAATCGGCATTTAAATGTTATTTGTAAAAATCTACCATAATTAGTAAAATATATAATACGGCCCAGAGATAGCTACAATTAAAATACCAGCAAAAATATGAATTTGTCGATGTCATATTTTGTTTACAAGAATTTGTGTGGTTTGGAAAGGCTGGTTATTTTTTTTTTAATTTGGAATGATCACCACAAGATAATTAGTTGCGTTGAAAATAGTATTCGCGGTGTATGATTTGTTTGTAATTCATTACTTAGTCATTCTCGTGGCCTCGCTCATACCAGATACATCAACGATAATTCAAGAAATAATCGAAATATTTGTACTGTACGTCTGCTGGATCTGTGTCTATGAAAGGAATGCGGACAAAAAACATTTAAATAAACAGCAATATATTTTATACGTCGACTTGACGAGTACGTCACCGCAAATCGCTCCGCCCACTCATTTTATTGGCTACTTGCAAATTTGCCGAATTTTTATTGATGGGACGCGTCGTTTAATTTTTTACGAAAAACATCGAGAGAATATCGTTACCCCTTTCACGGATACCCCGTAGCTACAGAACGGACAGACGTACTGTAACTCAAGAAACTTTATTAAACAACTATAGAATGTAGAATGTTTAGGAGGGGGATTAATCACCGCTGCCTTAGAGTGCGTTTATGTTTGAGCGGCGATAAACGATAAGAGCAGCGATAGTAGCGAAGCAAAGAATATTATTATATTAATTTATACGTAGGTGTTTATATTGGAGCAACGCGTCGAGACACGCTTGGCAGTTGAGCAACGATATGAGCAGCGCTAATTTACTGCTTTTATCGTTTATCGCAGCTCCAACATAAACGTACCCTTATCGTTGCTCAACTGCCAACCGTGTCTCGATGCGTTGCTCCAATATAAACACCTACGTATAAATTAATATAATAATATTCTTTGCTGCGCTACTATCGCTGCTCTTATCGTTTATCGCCGCTCCAACATAAATGCATCCTTACAGATCTATTGTGTGTTCCCATTTCTTGAGTTATAACGAGTTATAACCAGGGGTGGATGGGGAAGTGGAAACCGGCCCGGGAATAACAGGCAACCGGCCCAAATCCACAAAAACAAAATGACCATAACGAAGAAACATATTTTATTTATTAATATACAGGGTGTCCCAGAAATAAGTGCAAGTATTTTAAATGGTAGTATATTTTGGCTTCAGAAACACGCCTATCATTTTTTTTTGCAAAAATTTGGAATTTTTTGAAGAAATTTTTTGATTTTTTTTAGTTTTAAGTTAAGAAAACATAATTTCTTGATAATCTCTCAACATAGGTAGTAGATTAAATTTACATGAAAGAAAATACAGAAAAGATCCAGTGGTTCTCGAAATTTAAGCAAAAAAGCATTTTTTGTTTAAATTTTCAAAGTAAAATAACTCGGTTATTTTGGACTTACTTGAAAAACGGTAAAGAGAAAAAATGTTTCTTTTCACCAAATCTGTCCCTCTTAAAATACTTGCACTTATTTCTGGGACACCCTGGGTAAGGTCAAATCACCCCAAGTAAGGGTGATTTTCGCTCGGGCGAAAAAATCTCTTTTGCCTCCAATTTTTTAAAAATATTGAAATTGTCTTGATCAAAATTTTTATAAAGATCAATATCGGATCGGACATCTGAATTTTTACTATATAGCTAAGTTTCACAGGGTTCTACTGTTTTATTTCCATTATCGATAACGGTAATTTGATCTTGAATATATGCTACGATTTTCAATCACAGTTTTGAGAAACTTTAAGACTTCCTGATTCATTC